ATTCCTATGAATATGCCAGATCCGGTATATACCAGAGCACAGCTTTGCCCATCTTGCCAGGGACGTGATAGTATAAAATCAAAACCTTTCCTGAGTACTTAAAAGGTTTGTACGTGATCGAAGTAATCCTTGTTGAGACTTCTAGATCGCGGTCCGACTCTTAGTCAACAAAGCTGCGCAACTGACAATGATTTGAGTTTCAAATCGACCGAGCATGTTCCTCAAGTTTCTAAACAGGGATTCTTCTTGGCGGTATCAATTTCAATCTTCCATGCATTGCGGCGCAAACAGATACCCGGCACTTCCGGCTGACTGTATCCGGGGCGAGGCTACTCTGTTAAGCTTCTTCCCCCTAAAAATCTGAACATCATGGGGGTCTGATTGGAGCATGATTGATATCCAACTGACAAAATAACGTGAGTCAATTGTTACCTGGGAAATGAAGATTTCTTTACGAGATTGGATTCTAGGCAGCCAAATATTTCCAGCTTAAATACTCTATCATGGTTTTTTCTCAGATGAAGACCATAAGCTTTCGAAAGCATCATCTGCATTCATCATGGTCTCGACTACTAATATTCTCGTTACTTTGCTTTCTTTAGCAGCCACAATATCTGGCGCATTGATCGGTCGGGCTACTGCGTCTGTACAAACTCCTCCAACAGGAGTATCCATCACCGTTATCAGTTCCAGCTGGCCAGGATGCTCACCAAGCCACCCTGCTGCTGTTCAACTCTTAGAGCAGGGACAATCACTCTCCTTTCAATACGATGGCTTCACAGCTTTCACGGATGTGACGGAAAGCTCCAGCGACAGATCTTGTAGTGTGGTTGTGAACTTCGTTTATCCAGAGGGCTACACGCTCGGTGTCCAGAATCCCGTCTTTCAAGGAAACACGGATGTAGCAGAAGGAGCAACAGCTGAGATCAGAGCTTATTCTCTGTTCAGTGCTTCGGACTCCACAGTCTATGTTTGTCCTCCATTTTGATGATCATCCATTGGAACTTGAAGTGACTAATAATTCGAAAGGATATCGATGAAGCCGAGGTCGCAGGTCCTTTCACGGGCAACTATTCTCTCACTGGATCTGATTCGAGCGCTCGAACCCAAAGCTCCGCTTGCGGAAGTGGAAGTACGACTCTCAAGTTTGCGACAAGACTCAATGCTCTCGGTGGCATTCCTAATCCATACCCGGCGAATGCAACCATCCAACATAACGCCACTACTGTAGACCTTGTGTGGACTCCATGTTGATTGGATACCATGCTCTTGCATGTTGGATGGAAGTTGGACACCGCGTAGGGTGGAAAATTTGGATTGAAGATTAGCAGCAAGTCGCGCAAGTTGAGTGAGGTCTTTCAATTAGTAGTAATTAATGCAGATCACTTCAACTTAACCTGAATCAGAGCCTATGTTGGAACAATCCTACATTACATTTCTCAAATATGATGCTTTACGAGAATGTTGGTTGTCAACGTTGATGTGAAGTGATGTCAAACAGCTTAAATCCCCGCAGAGGAGAGGTCATCTCTGACCACATAAGCCTGGGCGTTGAAAGGACGGTGGCACAGATTATTTACCCCTTATTGAGTATTTTGACATTGCAAGCTTGTTTAACTTTATACTCCGAGCTTAAACAACCCAACAGTTTGCTCACTTTCTTCGGGAAAGCGGGGTCTTTAACCTTCTGATCCTCATCATGGCTTCGGCTTCTGCCATCTTAGCCGCAACTTTCTGAGGCACCACGAGTCTACAATTTGACTTCCGCAATTGGCTCCCGCTGGATTCTATATCACAGTCAATCGCACCGAGGGTTGCGAGACGCCCCCTGCTGTCAGCTTACTTGAGCAAAGCAGCTAGGTATCTTGCCATCGACTTCACCAATTTCATGGTCTCTGCAAAAACACAAGATAAACAAAAATGATAGTTCTTGTGCTAGCACGATAGACGTAGTCTTCCCCCTAGGCTCGTCGTTTGAAATACGAGATCCCATTTTTGATGGCCAGGTAGATCTTGCGCAAGCAGGCATTGCTAAGTTGAGTTCTTGGACACTATTTGGTGGGCCTTATGGGTTATTAATTACCCTACGTAAGTCATAATCGGAGATATCTACGTTTGACATTCTCTCTCTAAATCGGCTACATGCATGAGAAAAGCAGCTCATCATCAGAAACAAGCAAAACCCTGCAAGCTTACGAATGAGATGGACATAGATGGTCTTCTCAAGGCGCCTATTCTGTTCTTGTTCGTTCGCAGCCCAGGCTGACAAATCAGACATCCACGTGTGGTAGCTCGAGTGCGCAGTTTACTACAACAACGAGGATAACGCATCTCTCGCGAATGCGATAGTCCATCATTACACCACTACTCCAACTATTTCTGGGGCAGTGCACGTCATGAAACTGTGTCTTGTTGTATAGCATTATTTGATAGCTTGACAGCTTGTTGCCAATGGAGTACGCTCCTCCAGCTGCTACCATTTCACTTATTCCTATGTACATTCACGCTCTCAAGTCCAGATTCCATCGTGTTGTCGCGCTGTCGAACAAAAAAGCCATGCTTGCTATTACATTATTCTTCAACCCTTTCCCTGATCTCGACCTCATTGCTTCTAGTAAGGTCATCCAGGTCTTCCCCCTCGCATACTGTCTCTTGCACTTTGATATTCAGCATAGGCTGAAAGGTCAGCGCCACCTCGAACTTGGCCATCCCAGATCGCTCCACCGTAAACTCCCTGTAGCCATTCGAGGATCCGCATGCATGGCAAGCATACCGAGCTTCCCGTTATCTTTTCTCTGAGGTGGCACCGTTCACAGGGCATTGTTTTCTCGTATTGAATCTTAATTTTGAGATCGAAAAGGTGTTTGTGATATCGAACTTCAGTTTTGGTTTTGTCGAGGTTGGAGGCTTAAGGTTGAGAGTTCCTAGTTGGAAAAGGGAATGAAAGAATATGGCTGAATTTATAGACATCTCAGTGCCTGTATGATTACTTTAATGGCACCTGTACTCGAGATGCTGCTCGGTTCTTGATTGATGACGTTTTATAATCGTCATAAGCAAGTCATTTCCTTCTTGAATAACAGTATCTTTCGACTCGCTCAGTCTGATTAAATTTATCTCAGTGTTCAGGCGCTCCGAGCAGAGAGGTGTAGCGTAATCGGCCATTAAGGTGTTGTGTTAAGGTTAAAAGACGGTGCTAGATCTCTGCGAAGCGTCTGAGAAAATATCGCGCACTTTTGGTGTATGCTGAGACTTCAGAGGACACATGGAGATATGGCATCTTCTTATCACGTATTCTACCACGATTAGAAGTTCTCCAAGGAAGAAAACTTAGATCTTCAAAGAAACGGAGCTAGTTTCCAGAGTAATCCTGGTACTGTGGCAATACGCGCAGGTTTCCGTACTTTTTTGTGAATAATAGACTTTTACACAACGATCACAGTCCTAAATTAGCAAGAGCCTGAGATCTGGGACTAGCACGAAATTCTTCTGGTAAAGATTCATGAGAATTTATATTTGGCTCTATGTACTTGAGCCTTGGATAAACCATCCACTCGTCTGCACTGCGTTCATCTCGCGCGCTCTCTCTACCTCGAACCGTAAAACCATGCTATAACATTTCTCCTCTCAACTCTCACCATTCCTCCCTCAGCTCTCAGCTACTAGTAAGGTTCGCCAGGCCTTCGTGGCCAAATTGCCCGAAGTCCTCCGTCAAATGCTGCACCAGGATTGTTTGTGAAGGCCTCGGGATTGGAAGGATTTCCATAGTCATGAGGATCCCGAGCCGATCCATAAACACCGTGTAACCACCTGATTATGTTGAAACATTGTACGCAGTATAGCTGTCTTGACATTCGCGGCCTGAGCCTGCATTGTAAACACGGATCCATTTCCTTTGGGGCTGAACTTGTTTTGGTCGGATTTGCTGGTTTGTTGAGAACGTAGGGTGTTTGGAGCTAAAGTGCAGCTGTTTAGATTTGCAGATTTGAAGTGATGATGAAACAGAAGTAGGGAGAAGACGGGAAATATTATAGTGCAAAGTATGAAGCATGTATCGTCATTGAACAACATATCCGCTTTCTTTTGTCAATAACATAAAGCAGGAGGAGAATTACTTATGTCGTCATGTGAAAAGCAGATTGTGTGTTAAATGACTACACCTGTTTCTATTCTTATTCAAATTCAGCAGCACAAGATCGAACTCTGATTCATCATCCACAACTATAATCAAGAAACTGTTCACTTTGGCTACAAACGGTGCTTCTGCATGTACATGGGGAGGTTGTATTCTCACAGGAGACTTAGATTGCGTTGAAATCCATGCGATGAGCTGTTGTTTCAAATCATTAATGAGACAACCTAGCAGCGCTGGAGCGTTTCACATGATCCTGGCCAGTCGTCTTTCTTGTGATCGAATAAACAGTTGACAACTAAACTGAATGATGTTTGTTTTCGGCTTATAACTAAATGTCATACACATCCGGCATATTGGCGCTCGAGCTTATATAACTAAAATGAATATCAAAGGTATTTCCCCACAGCCAGGAGACTCGCTTAGCGTATTTAGCCCCTATTCTCCTAAACGAGAAGGCGCAAATCATGAAAGACTTCCTTCCTTCTCTCTCTCTATTCTACATGATGTATTCTATTCTGTTAGGTTACCAAGAATCACCGCCGCAGGCTGTGGCTATAAAATCTCTCGTCGCCCACCTTTCTCTTCCTCTTTTCTTTTTTTCTTTTTCAGCTTTTAACGATGTCTTCTTGCTATAGTATCAAGTTCGCCCGAGTACTTCCTGGAGTCGCCACCCAGCTTGTTTCTCACTCAATTCAAGCTTGTACAGCCTCGATCAACCCTTCTTACATTCCTGTTCGCTCCCAGAACATTCTTCCTCCGACTGTCGCCGTCCCAGCGCAGACTTCCGTTCATCTCTCACGACACCCGCTCGCACCAACTCCGACCGAGAGTTCAATTCTTGCGTTGAGTGTGTGAGTATCAGTTCCTATCGTCATTGACTCACATTCGTTTGGACTTTTTGAGAGGAGAGTCTTCGCGCATCACATCCGTTACTCAACATTCATTCACAGATCATCAATCCTGCCTTGATCAACAGTGTATTACCTCTTCCTCTTTCCCGTGCCTTTTCTTGCCATTATTCACAGTGTCAGACCTCGTTCATGCTTCTATCTCTCTTTTCAACCTCTCAATATCGCTTGTCGCTGCAGTGATCCCAGCATCCGTAACGAATTCCCCAACAAGTTGATCCTGCAAAGTACTTATCTCTGTCTCGACATTGAGCTCGTTAAAAGTACTCGTAGAAGAATGAGGAAGTGCGAGGTTGAGAAGTGAATGTCCGAGAGAGGAGAGATGTTCTGATGCCCGTCCATCTAGGGATCTGAAATCAATAGAGCTCGTTCCAGTCGGCTCGTGACGAGGATTTTCCCCAATTGTTGACGCCCAATCCTCATCCGTGGCTATCGTCCAGATGCGCGAGGCAGCATCCACCGGTGCTATGTGCTCATACACAGGTGCAAAGATGCTAAAGAAATGGGCTGTGAACTGTCGTGGCGCGAATGAACCCCACATTGTGGAATTGGAAAGGAAGTTTGGCAGTGTTTGTGCAAAAAACGGTATCTGATTTGCTCCAGCAAGAAGACCTGTAACCATTTGAATGGCCGCGGGCTACAATTCTTGTACGAAAACTCGGGGGTCTTGTTTTGTCTTTTCTTGCGTGGGGATCTTCTTTGATACCCTCTGGTACATTGTGTACAGACTTAATCCGTGATTGAGAACTAAAGTACCTAATGTGTCGCGGTTGAACAGACCTTTGCGCCGCTTCTGTGTCTTGTATACCTAACTCAGCAATACCTTGCTTAGATCCTCTAGATCATACATGGTTGCGATTACCGAGCCGATCTGGCAGAATTGCATCACGAAAGTCCAATCGTCCTCCCGATTGTCCAAAGCCAAAAGCCAATCATTGATTTTCATCGAGCTCTTCATTGATCTTGGTCTTTGATAAAAGAGAGTCTAACAATATGCCCATAGCTAAGATGATAGCTGCAGCTTTGGTTCCAGGATGTCGTCGGCCGAGATGTTGTTTTCGCATTTCGAAAACTCTTCGGAGAATTGACTTGGACCTTCTTCCCCGCCTTTGTAAAAACAGTATAAATGCATGAAGATACGCAATCAAGTGTGTCTCTGCACTCGCCAAGCCATATATATCGGCGCTGTATTCTCCTATTCGTTCTAGTAATCGATTGCCTTTCGAATCATTCCCCTCGAGAAAAGCCATGCCCGATGCTGCAAACCCGACAGCTAACTTCGCTGGAGAATATCCGAATTGTCCTGGTTTTCTGACACTATCAACCCCAACTTCATATAGCCAAGCGAACAACTCCCCCGATTGACGGAATCTTCCCGAGATTGCTGTGATCGCTGCCAGACGAAGTGCCGAGACTACTGTGTCTGTTGTAACTCCGTAGATGTCTTTTTGGACCTCCAGCGTCTGATGTAGAAGCGTCCAGCCTTCCTGGACCTGAACTTCTGTAGAATCTCTGCACATCAAGATCTGCCCATAGATCTCAGCGCTCTGGATTGTCTCCATGGAGTGTGCACCGAAAAGATCTCTCCGGTGGCGGTAAACTGCTTGATGCATATCCAGGGCAGCATCGTGCCGTTCCGTTCTGAAAAAGATCTGCCCCAGCTGAAAGCCACTCTGGAGGGTCTGCGGATTAGCTACCCCCAGGACAGTTTGCCTTCGAACCCACACCTCCTTCAAAACGACTTCTGCTTGCTGAAAATAATTGATTTGAAGACACAAACACGCGTACTCATGACCGCTCGCCAGAGTTCTTTCCTCCTCTGGACCCAATCCTCCCTTCCGACCATTATAAATCATTTCATAAACATTGGCGGCGTGCCGCTTTTCATTCAGAGCTAAGCCAAGCTTAATCCCATCAACTACCGGTCCATTCGGAATCGTATCTGGGCTCGGTTTCTCAAGCTCTTGTATCAACCTGAGTTGTTGCGGGCCCAGATCCTCTGCGAACTGGGATGCATTGAGCATAGGCTCCCTATCAGAATTCATCCTTGCTTGAAACGCTTTGAATACAGATGAAACTACTAATAAAGCTTTCGCAAGGCTTCGAAGTGCTGGCGATTCATGTGCCGCATCCTCCAGTGTACCAAGACGGGAGGCCAAGTCAGTACGAGTCGACGTTCTTTCCCTCTTAGGCTGTGGGGTTGAGTCGATAGTCAGCACCAGCTCTTTGCTCCGCAAGCTTTGCTTTTCTCTGTGAAGACTTGTGTGTAAATGGTTGATAGCGATCTAACATCGCGCCTGCTTCTCTCAACCTCCGGTTAAGTCTATGAATCAAATCTTTATTGCCTCCAGCTCTTTCTTCCGCGTTTGACAAGTCATCTCCGAGATTGATAATGGACACCATGCAATGCAATGTCCATTTGAGCTTTTCCATCATTTCTCCAAGGTTCCGAGCGTCTTCGATCCTAAACCTGGAAGTCTTCCTCCGGTCATTGCTTTCTTCACCATCACTTTGGTAGGTCGTAAGTAGTTTCTGGATATCGCAAAATATTTGATGACATCGATCAAGAATATTTCGGAGATCTCGCAAGGCTAATTCAGAACAAATATTGTCGGGATTCTGAAAGATTTCCTACAGCTGTAAAAGCACCGGCATGAAAAGAACGAGGTCTGACTCGATTTCTTGGAGTTCTGGGGGAGCCTGGGGAGCTGTTTGCCGGAAAGTTGAGATCGCACTTGTCAGAGTGACACTGCTGGATTTCACCTTCACAATTGCGAGCACAAGATCTGCCATGACCGATTGCTAATTGATATTCCGTAAGCATAAAGGCAAATTTGGACCGCTTGTTGAAGGAGCAAATAGTGGAAAGTGTTTAAAATGTGCTGCACTCATGAAATCTAATAAAGCTGTTCTGTTGTACGGCAGGACTCGGAGTAAACTTGTGGGGCTGAGTAATCCTTTGGCAACCATCACTGTGACCCATTTCGTTCAGCGAAGGTTGAGCGGGTTTGCGAGCCAGCCCACAGCCCTGTGGCGTGAGTCAGCGATTTGCTGCTTTTTCTTCATCAGTCCTTTAAGGCTGCATCTAAGGCAACGTAATTGATTGCTGTCGATAGATGATTGAGCACGGCATGTCATGCAGGTAGACAACACATACTTTATATTCACGATCACTTCGTCTTCCTTCTTACTGTCAAAGCTCGCTCTGAAATCATGGATGCTCGTCAATTTGCTCGCAAGATCGTTCAAAAAGTTCGTACACTCTCAGCACATGTTGGAGCGACGCCATATTCATATGCGTCTCTCGACGAGGCTGCGCGCGAGATCAGGCTTATGGAACTTCATCCAGGAAGTCCTAAAGATCCGATCAGAGTCAGTCTGTCGATTACACCTTTCACATCAGACCATGTACCGATGTTCGAGGCACTGTCTTATACATGGGGTTCGCCCAAGAAACAAAGTACCATTTTTGTTGGGAAGTCAGGCTGCGAAACTCTCTCGATCACGCAGAACCTAGCAGAAGCACTACCATACCTTCGATACGAAGATAAACCTCGAGTGCTGTGGATTGACGCTATCTGTGTCAATCAACAGGACTTAAAGGAAAGAGGTCAGCAAGTCAAGCGAATTGCGGAAATATCCACCAAAGCGACGAGAGTTGTTGCCCGGCTGGGACCAGAGTCGAAGACAACAGCTAGGGCCATAGAATGCTTCAACGATATCGCATCCCATATCGATGTGAACTTAAGTACTCAATGTTTGATACCTTTATCAGACTGCGATGCACCTTGGACAGATCTTGCCCCGCAGCAACCTTTTGACGAAGCTTCTTACTCAGCTATATTGGATTTTATTAGCAGTGAATGGTTCCAGCGTCTATGGATAGTGCAAGAGATCCGATTGTCGTCTCAAGAGTCTGTCCTGTTGCGCGGCCGTCAACTCGTCAAATGGACGTTATTTCGCAAAGTTTCTTTCTTCCTGCATCGCAAACTGTCCTTGCTTAATATATCTTTTGATCTTTACAGTTTGCTAAACGCACGTCTCATGGAAATATACCCGCTCGGCATTAGGGGTGCATATCCTGACCTTAGATACCTGATGCAGGCAACAAAAACCTGCAAGTGCTCGGACCCTAGAGATCGGGTATTCGCTTTAATCTCACTACTAGACAGCCCTCTAGGCTATGGATTTGAGCTGGACTATAATAAACACTTCTTAGACGTATATCGGGACGTCCACCAAGAACTCACACCCTCGCATAATTTCAGAATGTACGCCAGTTAGGTTTACAACACATGCTTGGGAAGGTCCATGTTTACGACTTCAGAAGGATATAGAGGATTGGCTCCTGAAGTAGCCCGATCTGGCGATATAATCACTGTGCTGTTAGGGTGCCCAAATCCTATGATTCTCCGGGCTACTACTGAAGGCTTCAAAGTTGTTGGCGAGGCTTACTGTGATGTTTTGATGAGTGGAGAGGCATTGTTGGGCTCATTGCCCCCTGGTTTCGAGCTGATCCTCACGTTTGCTGAGAGTGCTGGGTACTATCGGAGATTTGTTAATTCAAAGGCTAGTATTTCCCAGGTTCCAGATCCGAGGTTGAGCCAGATCCCTTTTCCGCCTGGCTGGAGAGTGCAAAGTCATGACTCAGAAGAGGACTTTGCAAAGTATGTCAACGATATTACTGGGGAGAATAGCTTGTACGATCCAAGACTCGCACCAGATGCCCTGAGACAGCGTGGAGTGGAGATACAAACATTCGATCTGATCTGAGTGCCTGAGATGGAATGTAAGTTTACAAACGCACTCCAACTCATTCAAAAACTTACTGACATTTTCTAGACATCACGAATATAACACGACACCAGACAGGCGAAGTAAGCAGACACCTGTTGCACCAAGAAAATATCTTTGCTTCACGTGCCTCTTCTTCATTGGTACCTGGCTGTAGAGACTATTTGGAATCGCTATCAGTACTTTGCATATCGGAGTTGTTTTGGATAGTTCGAGTAAATCGCTCTAGGATTGGAGTTGTGAGAGTCTCTAGACTGATATGAGCTTGAATGTGTGGTTTCATTGAACTGTCACTACGCGTAATACGAAGGTACTGAGTTTGAGGAACAATGACTAGAAGTGGAGAGGGAAACAATATAGACGATGTTTGAATAAAATGGCACATGAGAATGAAATATATTTTATTGTCTATGCACGTTAAGGAAATTTTCCAACCCCAATACAATTCCAAAATTGGAACCCTTTTCTATCCTGACTTTATCGCTGTCAATCCAGGAAAAGCTAAACGCCATACAAACCAATTCAACCTAGCTAACGCTCTAAATCCGATATTGACACAATCTCATTCTCTGCCACGGATGCTTGTCTCTTGCTTTCTGCTTCCGAAACTGCTGTCGGTACCTCACTCAATGTCTCCGAATTTGTCACTGAAGCTTGTGTCTTGCTCTCTGCTCTTGAAACAACTGTTTGTACCTCGCTCAGTGTGTCCGAAGACTTACTTTGACGGTCTTTCTGTGTGCTTTGATGTTGTGATTCTGATGAAGAGACTGCCTTGCCACGGATAGTTGGATGCCAAGCATCCCATTCCGTGGCTACCTGTATCTTCTCTGCAGTAACGGGGACCTCGTGGCCACATCTTTCCCATGCCCCGAGTCCAGCTTCTTCATAAGCCATTCGCTGGAGTTGGAGAACAGAATCAAGCTTCCAGTAAACTCTGCGGTAGATCCCTCTCTTCCAGCGAACTTGCATCCACCCAATTATCGACTCGAAGTAGAGACTTAGAATAATGATAAGACCACCAACTCCGAGGACAAAACTTATGGCCAAAATGCTGAACGACGTGTATCTGTTGTCTCGCATGATAAAATTATCGCAAAACCATTTCAGAGCAGGATCATTTGCGGCAGCATTTGCCGTATATTTTGAGTAAGGGCTTGGAAGACCAGTTGCGTCTTCAGCGAGACCCCTTTGAAGTAGGTTGATGCTAGTAGCGAACCAGTTTGCAGCTTCCAGTGTCCACTGATTGGGTGGTATTGGTGCGGAAATCGCAGACATCATGTTGGAACTGGCTAGTAATGGGGTAGATAGAACATCGACCACTCTTTTAAGCTGTGTGTTCAACATGACCAAGAAAATAAGATTCGCTATCTCCAGCTGATTCTTGGTGTCGAGAACATTGGAAATATTGAAGTTGCTTAGATCAATTGCGGCTAGCCAAGGGGTACATCTCGTATCCGAATTTTCGGGATGTTTGGGATTGCAAAGCTGGTACTGTTCAATACATCCCAGTGTTGATACAGGCTTATCGAAGCCGTAGGTACTGTACAAGGTATCGTTACTTGTGGTAGTCCCGATAAGCTCGCCTAGGAGATGATGAGCCGAGAACCATAAATCATCACTTTCTCCCAAGTACACTCCGTCAAAAGATACAAACAGTAGAGTCACTGTTCCGCTTGATGTAAGCAATTCTGGAATTGGATCAAAATCGGGAATTTCCGCCGGATACTGCATAGTTCTGAGTGGGTCATCGGGTCAGAAGCTGAGTTAAAGACGGATATTGGACCCAGAAAACTTACTCGAGAGAGTAACGTTCATTCTCAAGGTTATAGTCAAAACCAAGAGCCAGCGATTTGTAGTCTGTGTGGACATACGTTGCGTTTGGCAAACCTCCAAACGCTGGCTCTGATGAGTTCATCTCAAGATTTGGCCCATAATACAAAGCAGTATAGTTGTATCCGCGACCGTTCAGAGATGAACTACCATTACTGGTATATCCTTCCGTCACAATTGGCGAGCAAGTCATGCCTATAAGAGTATTAGCATACAATTTCGAGCTAGATCAAAAATCAAGTAGATTTTCCGACAAGTTGTAATCCATCTTTTTAAATGGCAAACTCGCGAAGCACTCGACTCTAGGAATGATTGCAAAACAGGGGAGTATGTGACGCACTCTTTCGGTATAGCACTCTATCTTTTTGCGAATTCACTCCAAGATCGTCGAGGGAATCCAAAAGACCCGTCGTGAAAGTAATGGCCCCATTTTCAGGACCAAGGCACATCTTGGAATTGAACGGGCATGAAGCGTTGTTAACCGTAGTGAAAGGCAACTCCTGACGGATGAAAGTGTTACACTGTGGGGAGGTCTGATATCCACCAAAACAATCACGAACATACGCCATGCTCAGGTCGGCATTTTCCCGCCTATGGACTAGGTAATTCACGGACTCCGTAACATTGGCCATAAGTTGGGCTGGCATGAGAGCATCCCAGCTCCCACAATTGGGACTGCGAACCAAAACCTCGCTACTGACCGTGGCCAGCCGAGATGACAATACACCAGCGGCGAGAAAGAAAAGCAAATGTGTAAGGCCAAGGATAATAAGAACAATCGATTTTTGAAAAGATTTCATGCCTCGAGAGCGCCAGACCCAAGCGATCTTGCCGAATTGCCAGATTGCAGCTGAAGCTACACCGGTGTTTCTCAAAATGGCTTGCTGTTGATAGTATATCCCATGACTTGGATGTGTTGTCGCTCTCAATTGGTGAACAACGAACCTTATCATGCCCCAAGACTGGCTTCCAGCTAAAGAGACAAACAGCGCAAGGATCGCCACAACAATGAGTCCATTGCCAGGTGCTACAGTCAAAGTGGCTCCAAGAATGGATCCTTTCGAATGGTTCATCCAGATCCCGGTGTACACAGTGCTGTCTGTTGACATGGCTTAGGAGGTGCAGGAATTTGATTCCTAGACTTAATATAGAGAGTGTTGTTGTCTGCCTGGAGATTGCAACATGAATTGGTGAGTCGATCTCTTCGGTTGGGTAATGTGATGAAAAGATGTGCATCAATATCAACGTCTCAGATCATATCTTCGACGAAATGCAGAAGAGGATGCTGGACTCCACATATATACTCTTTCATCGATTAAAATACACTCCACTACAATTCGAAATGGAGAAATTCCAGCCATCAAGCCACTTGCTGATTTTGAAAAACCAAAATAAATTTTGTGCACCTTTCTTTGATAATTCTTTTTCTGGCCCCCGAGAATGCGGCTTACCACCCCAAAGGTTTTGTGCCGGCATATGTACCAACAAATAAGGGGCCATCCAGGCGGTAGCGCCGCGTAGCTACCTGCGAACTCGTGGGAAACCACAAGTGTATTAGTAAGTCTTTTATTAGCCTTAATGGACCTGCATGTCGCATACGATGTAGCCAACCGATATTCAGCACTGAGATATTTAACCACGGTAAAATTTGTGGGGAAACTTTCTTTCCTTGAGAGCCCCAATCAGCAATTCCGCCCCCCGAAGACAGAGCTTTTAAGTCGTTCGTTAAACGCCGGCTATCATTGTCTTCAACTTTAACCGGATAGTGGCGCACAGGATCGTGGTTACTCGATTGTCGTACAGATTAAGTTTCCGGACAATTGACTGGTCTGGAAGGTACGGACCGGCCCCGATTACCTGCATCGCGTTAAAAATAGGAATCTGACATCTTACCAATGTTCCATGTCATTGACTAAGCCTATAACCACGAAGTTGTTATATAGCGAGGTGTCCATGAAGCCAATGATGAGACATAATTAATGAAAGGGGAAAACTTCGAGCAGCGTGGCTGCGGCTCTGGCACTTGGCCCAGTTTTTGAATAGTTGGGATAACCTTAAAAGACTTAATATTACATGTGCCCGCTTGTGTAACAGATTAAGTTTACACCTCATGAGCACCATTGAGAATCATGATGCTGACCAACACAACACGAAGCTGAAGCAATAGTGAACACGCCGCTTCTCAAAAGTTGAGCTCTTGCTCCTAGTTTAAGGACTCTTCACCTGAGTTAGTAAATCTTGATCTTTTTTTGGCAAATAATTGTCTGCGGTGGCAGTGACTTGAAGCCACTGGCTTCCTCTTTTATTTCTTTTTTTTTTTTTTTTTTTGGATATTTGGCATGACTTTATTCGTTCGCAAGCAACATTCCCCTGTCCTTATCTATTGGCCAAGAGACAGCTTACTTGTCTCCATTGCTCTGTGCGTTATCTTATGTAATGACTGGAGTATGAGTTCTTTCGGACGCATCCTCGCAACCATTGCACATTCGTCCTTTACTTACCGCCAAAATTGACATGCGTCACGTCTTCACATCTTCAACTTTAGGATGTTTGAATCCGTGATAGCACGCTCCTTAAAGCTTGCAGTTTTCGTTGATAACGTGGTCACAAAGCTATAAGTTAATTAGAGATAGAATTCTTCATATACAGCACCATGTAGACTTTCACTCGACATCCCGACATAATACTTATGCATTGTAACCAACTTCAATCTCCCAGAAGTCTGTTTCTTTGCCAATTGTCGATGAATATCCATCAAGAGGTGTTCAGCTCCAAGTCGGCACCAAACTGCTGTAAAGACGTAGACGGGAATTCATTTCATCGTGTTGTTACAGAAGTAGGACCAGAAAAGAACATAAATATAGCCTCGGTTTAGAAAAAAAGCAATGAAATCAATGAAAGAAAGTGAAGATGTGATTTGACGCGACTTGGTAACGAGAGATTGAGATCAAGGATAGATGCAAGACTCCTGATGAAAACCACCTCTGAGACCTCAATACGGAGAATCTAGAAGGTCTCGGATTCGACTCAAGGCATATTAAGTCTTGTCGCACTGCTAATATTCAAGCGGATCACGAGGAAACTTATCAATATGGAGCAATCCAGACCTGACAATTCTAAGGGGAGGGCTTGATGTCGAAGAAAATTGCCCGATATGTCACTACTGCAAGATGATTGGTGAGATCCCTCACAAAGAAAACCTCCAGTGGCATTCGCGAGCCAGTCCTTCTGAGTCAAGAAACAGTGATTGGCTGCACAGCTTCGCTTCCTTAGCTTCATTATGTCTCGAACTGGCAGACTTCGATGTTATAAGAGGTGGTTCCGCGGTCCTGACTTTCGATCAGAGTTTGCGAAGAACTTCATTCAAAGTCATAGAATTCAAGGTACTTTCCAGCTTGCAAACCCACATCATAAGACTAATTCAAAACAAAGCCAACATGACATTTCCAACGAAACCTAACATCTTCATCCTCTGCACCGGCAACTCCTGCCGCAGCCACATGGCCGAAGGCATCCTCTCCGCCGCAGCTGGCGACCTGATCATCGTTCACAGCGCGGGCACGAAACCTGCTGGTTATGTCCACCCCAAAGCTATTCGAGTTCTACAAGAGATCGGCATCGACATCTCCAATCATGTGTCCAAGAACATGGACACATTCCTCACTCAAGATATCGCGACCGTGATCACTGTCTGTGGAAATGCGGATCAGGCGTGTCCTGTGTTTCCTGGGAAAGTCAATCATTATCATTGGGGCTTTGAAGATCCAGCACACGCGGTGGGAAGTGAGGAGGAAGTGTTGGTGGAGTTCAGGAGAGTGAGACATCAGATTCGATTGGTGTTTGAGGCGTACGCTGCGGGATTGAGGGAGGGTGCTGGTGGTAAAAGTTGATTGAAGATATCCCTGGACAGGCTAGATATGTCAGAGAGTAGTTGAGGGGGAGAGGCAATCTTACCACGTAGGAATTTGAGAACTTTTAGAAGTGGGAAGTGGCCACCCTGACATCGAAGCTTTAGTCTTCCAAATTAGCAGACAGGATGTGTGATATATTTATACCCGACGATTCTGCATCTTTTAAGTCAGCCGTAAAGTAACTGCGTGATGCTTTGGTGCTATGTTCATCCACCCGACGATTCTGCATTTTCCAAGTCACCTTCGAGGTAAATAAGTAATGCGTTAATGATATGTTTATTCACCTGACAATTTTGCGACTATTAAGTTAGTCTTTAGGTAACTGCTTTTCTGTAGATTATACTTTTAAAGAACGGAGAAAAAGAGCTAAACAATGAATCTACATCATTGTTCCTTTCGTATAAAGCATAAATAGATAAATTTGTGTTCTTAAATAGGTGAACATTTGCCCGAGACGATAATGCGAGAAAGAAAGGAGGCAAAAAGCGCATTGTCTTGACAAACGCACAAACGCCTTTGCTCAATTCGGTGATGAAGTTTGATTGCAAGGTTTAATGGACAATTTAGATCTATTAAGTTATAGAGATGCGGAGGATATGAGAGATGTTTACCTACTCGTGGATTCTGATACTTCTAAGGTAGTTGTGAGATGCTTTGACTTTTGAGTGCGTTTGCAGCTATGATTGGTAGTCTCTAGCTGAGATAATATACCAAAAGATTCTTTTACGTCACTGGTCATTTCATACGGAGTATGAATACATAATTTGACATTCTCAAAGGTGGAACACTTACGCAAGACCTTGGTGAGATGGAAAGGGGCAGTAAACGTAGGACACTTACGAGAGACGCTAGTGAGGCGGAGAAGGGGCAGTAGAAAACGCCATTGCATCGTCCCAACGGACACACGATCTGAACCAAGGTGAAGCCACACGTCGAAGGCTAGAAACTTTCGAATGTTCAATTCTCCAAACCAATTGTCTTGTCAATCCAATTCCTGCCAACCCTTTCCTTCCGCCCTCTTGCGCCTTTTCAACCACTTGCGCACAAGCAACGACATCAACGACATCGCTCACCCTCCTACGTCCTTCTCGTCTGTTTGTGCGTATCTCACCATCTTGCGTACACTTTCATCAAGAGACGAAGTTCACCGAGATCCATCGAGAGACGACATAACCAACCCTTCTGCACCTTCTTCACCTTGCGCGCAATCCCACCAAAGCACGACATCACCACCCACTTGGCCCCTTTTCCACCAATTATTACGCGAAACTTCACTTAGCGAGAACATCTCTCATTTCTCTTGCGTGTTTCTCGCCCTCTTGCACACAGCTTCATAGGAGACGACGTTCATCGAAGACGACATCATTGACCGTCTTGCGCCTTTCTCCGTCTCTGGCGCGCAACCTTAATGGACAATATTACAACTCTCTGGCGCTTCTTTCACCATTGACACCCTCTTGCGCCTTCCTCAGCCTTTGGTACTTACCTTCATCAAAGAACGACATCATGGCACCTTGGCACAGGAAGAAACCATCGGGAAAGCAGGAAGAACAGAACGAAGGAAAGCTGTTTGACTGGAGGGATAAGAAGGCAAACCCGGGAAAGAAAACCTTATCAGCAGCCCCAAAACCCGCATATCCGCCAGTCAAGAACGACCCCACAGAGTTCACCCCCGGACAAGCTACCTCCAATACTACGAGTACGAATCCATTCAAGATCTTTAAAAGAGAGAGAAAGACGGAGACACAAACCGCACCTCCAAGAACCACAATCAACCAGCCTCAGCACGGAGATTCACAGCGCTTATTCATCAATGGACAACCTTCTACATCGAGTGCTGCTCCAATCACCATAAACAGAACCCAAGTCCAGATCCTCAAAAGAGGCGAAAAGATTCCGGATATTCCAAGAGCACCATGTCCGGGCCCGGTTCCTGAGATTCCAGCTCTGCCTCCGATCCCAAAAGAGAGGGTTAGGCGCATGATACCTCCTCTTAACAACCCATCTCTGGAACGAGTACAGAGACTCCAGAGGTTGGGAGGAATTCCCGAAGTCCCAACACAAGATGGAGAATTGAAGAGCAGGGTCATGGAGTGGTTGGAGAAGGTGGAAGATGATGGCGAGGAGGTGGACGAGCTTCGGGAGGAGATTGAGAGGCTTTGATGGATGGAGTTGAGGGGAGATTTTCTCGAGACTGGCTGGACTTTGTAGTTCTACACTTGCTGGTTTAGAGTGCCCGAACTTTGAAAGAGAATCAAGAAGAGTACGGCAGATTTGAGTTGTGTGATGTGAGATGTTGATACTGTGAAAATTGTGACACAAAATAACATTGCTCCAAACCTCATTAAATTATCCGTGAGTTAAGTCATAATTATGAATTAAAATCTCAAAGAATTTGTTTTCTTATTTAGGTTGCTCAGAAGTTCTGGAATCATAATCTCTTTTATTCTAATTCTTACAATAGCAAACAATTCTTAGAATAAAAGTAAAAGGAGAGTTCTTGCCACACAACTTTCTAGTATGGTAGTCGGTGTTTCCGTCCTGGTGGTTGCTGATTCGTCAGGACAAGTGCTGCTAAATTTCACCACTCCAGCATATCCCAGCCCTATAATTGGCCATCCAGGCGATACAGTGGCCAAAAGATAGGGAATCTTCAGTGGCTGCCAGTTTGAGCTTAGTGCTCATTTGCTGCGGGACGGAGCCGACCGCTTAACCTCTCCTCCTTTCTTAGGAACTCTTCACCTTCTTCCATCATTTGTTTCTTCATACAATCCCATTTGAATCCGCTTGAGCGTCACAATGACAACATTGGCAGGAAGATTCGAGAGTTCCAATCTTCCAGAACGCCACATAATTCTTCTCGACTGCCAGACACGGTCAAAGTTTGCACGTGGGGCTGATTCCAAGGTAGCTGATGCCTGTACAGCCTAGGATGCTTGTTTCCCGGGCTCAATCCATAGCTACCTCCCAAGTCCGGATAGCTTCTGTGCAGCACATCAAATCAGATTAACTGCTTTACCAACTTCCTTTCCACACTACTGCAGGGCAGCGCGCTGCCCTGACTTGTCTTTCTGTTTCCAGCCCTTCCCGGGACACTTCGTCCAATGTCAGGCCTCACCGATATCCACGTGCAGATCTCGTACAGAAACCATGGCAGCAACCAAAGGCGATCGCAACAGTGGGGTAACCTTACCTTCCGAGCTTCCCTGTGCGGCGAAAAGCTTCCAGCTCTTGCAACTGCGGTATAAAGATGTCGTGCCCTGTTTTTAGGTCGTCCTGTTGCTGTCGTTCTAGAGTGCGCAACCCCTCAAATCGGCATCATGAAGAGAACCACAGCTTCTGCATTGTTCGGAGCGCTCTCCGCTGCCATTGTCCATGCAGCTCCCGTTGTGGAAAAAGCTCCTCGAGATGTGGACGATCGATTTCCGTACACAGGTCCAGCGATCCCAATTGGCGATTGGGTGGATAACACAGTAAATGGCAATGGAAAGGGGTTTCCTCGCCTGGTCGAACCTCCCGCCGTGAAGCCAGCAACGGCAAACCCCACGAACAATATCAATGTCGTCGCATTGTCGTATATTCCTCAGGGAATGAGCATTCACTACCAGACTCCATTCGGTCTTGGTGAAGTTCCTTCAATTCAATGGGGAACCACTGCTACGGATTTGGATTATCAAGCCACTGGCTACTCTCACACGTACGTGATTACAAGCTGGCATGCTTCAATTGCTACAGTACTGATTGACAATCTAGCTACGATCGTACCCCGCCATGCTCGCTGGTAGCCGCAGTGACACAATGCAGTCAATTCTTCCACGAGGTCCAAATCGGTGGATTGAAAGCCGACACAACGTACTACTATCAAATTGCAGCAGCCAATGGTACAACAGCTTCAGACGTTTTGAGCTTTACAACTGCGCGCGACGTTGGTGATTCGAAAGAGTTTACTATCGCAGTTCTGAATGATATGGGCTACACCAATGCTGGCGGGACCTACAAACAATTAATCCAGGCTGTTGATGAGGGAACTGTCTTTGCTTGGCATGGAGGAGATCTTTCTGTAAGTTTGTCTTGTACTAGTTGTCTAAGGTTTGGAATTCCGAAGCTAGTTTCACTTGTAGCTTCCGTGGAGCTCTTAAAGCTTACTCGCATGGTCTTGCTGTCTGTTTGCAACGCTAACTGGAGCACGAACAGTACGCAGATGATTGGTACTCAGGAATTCTCCCTTGCGAAGATGATTGGCCAGTCTGCTACAATGGGACCTCCACTGAGCTTCCCGGCCCAGCTCCTGTCCCCGACTACTATAAAGTTCCCCTTCCTGCAGGTGAGGTCGCCAATCAAGGAGGACCCGAGGGTGGAGATATGAGCGTTCTTTACGAATCGAACTGGGATCTCTGGCAGCAATGGATTGTCAACATCACGGCCAAGGTCCCATACATGACTCTTCCCGGAAATCATGAAGCGACCTGCAGCGAGTTTGACGGCCCAGGAAATGTCTTGACAGCATATTTGAACAACAATACTATAAATGGAACAGCTGCTAAGTCGGATCTTACTTATTACAGCTGTCCGCCATCGCAGAGGTATGAATCTCTTTTCTTGGGTGGAACTTTCTGACTGTAATAGAAATTTCACCGCTTACCAGCATCGCTTCCGCATGCCTGGAGGAGAAACCGGCGGAGTCGGTAATATGTGGTATTCCTTCGACTACGGCATGGCACACTTCATATCTTTCGACGGAGAAACCGATTTTGCGAACAGTCCCGAATACCCCTTCGCTCGAGATGTCAAAGGCAACGAGACGCTCCCGACAGAACAGCAAACGTACGTTACGGACAGTGGACCATTCGGTGCTGTGGGTAACTACAGTGATTCGAAGACTTATGCCCAATATCAGTGGTTACAAAAAGATCTCGCTAGTATAGATCGATGCAAAACTCCTTGGGTTATCGCTATGACACATCGTCCTATGTACTCATCCCAAGTATCTTCTTATCAGAAATACATCCGGACTGCATTTGAAGCACTGTTGCTTGAGTATAGCGTCGATGCTTATCTTTCTGGGTATGTCACCTTTTTTCTTGGTGCACGGGTTGCTGACAGCGATAGACATATCCATTGGTACGAACGGATGTGGCCCATGGGATTCAACGGCACAATCGACAGCTCTTCTATCGTGAACGACAACACCTACCTCACCAATCCGGGCAAATCAATGACGCACATCGTCAACGGAATGGCTGGTAACATCGAAAGTCACAGCACGCTCGACGCTGGTGAAAGCACCCTACCCCTGACTGCTGTTCTGGACTTTGAGCATTATGGTTTCAGCAAGATAAGATTCATCAACGAATCCGCAATTACTTTCACGTTCATCATGGGAGATGATGGAAGTGCTGGCGATGAATTGATGTTGTTGAAGAGAAGTCCTGGGAACGGAACTTGTTCGTCGTCTTCGAACTCTACTAGTTCAAGTGTTCCTACATCAACTGTTGGAGGATACAACGCGACTTCGACAGCTACTGGATCAGTATCCTATACAACAGAGGTGGTGACTGCATACACGACTTATTGTCCCGGAGCTATGACCTTTACTCAGGGCTCGAGCACTTATACCGTTAGCTCTGTTCGTCTCCCCATCTTACCCTCCTCCCAGATTCAAACTAACGAAACACAGGCAACAACCCTAACAATAACAAACTGCCCATGCACCATCACCCACGCCGTCACTCCAACGTACGTCCCCCTCTGCTCTCCCTCCCCAACCCCAAACTAACACCCCCCAGCCCCTCAACAAGCGCCGAAATCTCCCTCGCCTCCGGCCTCTCATCAGCAAGCATCTATCTTCCCCCCACGGGCTCCCATACCTTCGCCTCTACCAGCGTCATCGCATCCTCCGCTATCTCAGGGTCCCCGACCCTGCCCTCGACTGGTGTAATCGCCTCCTCAGCTTCCAGCGGTACAGCTGCTGGAACGAGTTCAACACCAACGACTGTCACGACCAGTAATGCGGGGAGGAATGGAGCTGGGTTGTGGATGGCGATTGTGTGTGCTTTGGTTGGGGTTTTGATGATGGTTTGAGGAGGGGATAAAATGTATGTATGTAGGGATATGATATGATTTGAATGTTTAATGAAAATGTAATACTTGAACATGCTTTGTCTGAGTGTTGAGGTGCTGTTGGCGGCGAGAATGTCTCAAAGCTGTGATATTTGAGGAGATCTCGGGGTTATTGCCTTAGACGTCCAACACAGGCAAGTGATGCTTTACGGTTTGCGATACCTCTGATGTTTAGATGAGCAGACACATGCGCAGTAGGTGCTTCAGCCTTGTCAGCACTCCCAACGGTGCCCGGAGATCGGAAGACCTTGCAGAAGGGTGTTGTAGGATATGGGATACTCAAATCTGCTTCCTCGTCACAGACATCCATACCCCATGCTCCCAGGCCATCTAGGACATTCTAGCATTTTCATATCCTGACTTTCATTCTTCAAAATCTTCCAAGCCGAGACCGACATCCTCAAATAATTAGAACAAATATATATTACTATCAAGTCAACCTCTCTATCAGCTTCCCTTTTTTCATGGAGGCATAATGAGGCTATACGAGTGAAACAATCCATCAGGGAAGTAAGTAGGAGGACAGCACATAACACCACCGCCCGCGCGCCTCTTTATGCATTTCTTTTTCTTCCCTCTCCTCTTCCCTCCCCTCTTCCCCACCCCTCATCTCACAGCCCCCACCCTACTTCTCAGCCTCACTCCCGGGCTTCATCCCGGGAGCGCCCTTCAAATCGCTCTCAAGCTCATCATTTGGCTGGTCGTGGCGCGAGTACATCTTATACTCGATACTATCCTTGAAACTCAGGCTCCCGGTCTCGACCTGTTTCCGCGTCGCCGAGAGCTTGGATTTCGGGAGGCCCATTGATTCGAGGAATGCTACGGCTATTTCTTGTTAGTATTTATTGGACAAGAAAAAAAGAGAGAGAGAGAGAGAAAGAGGGAAGGGAGAGGGGAAAGCATACTGTCTCGCCATTCAACGTCTTTTCGTTTGTTGTCCCATTTCAGTTCCCCAGCCATGATATCGATTACTTTTGGTAGGGCTTCTAAAGCCGCTTGTGCGTTCAAAAATGCTAATCTCGTCCTCCGGGCCAGGACATCGACAGCCGTCTGCGCGTACTCGTGTCGAACCGCATACCGAACTTCTCCATCGATAAATGGATATAAAGCACTAATCCTCTCCCCTCTCACGGGAAACCTCTTCTCGGTCGGGACACTGAGCGCTGCGACCGTCCACGCTCGATCACCGTATGATTCCGTCAAGTGTTTCGCGATATCGGTTTCCACGCCAAAATGCTGGATTAGATTTATAAACAGCGTTTTCGAGAAGCCGTGCGCGCCGATGAGTTTTACTTGGTGCGTCTGGCAGGACCCGTCGAGCCGTTTCCCGTCATCGATCATCTCGGTGCCGCTCACGTCTGGGGCGTCGGGGAAGGGTTTCGTTCGCAGGTTGAAGGTGGTGATTGCTTCGTCGACGGCTTCTTCAGCCATCTGACGGTAGGTGGTCCATTTCCCGCCTGCACAAGTCAGGAGACCGGAGTCAGAGACGTTGATGAGGTGGTTGCGGACTAGAGACTCGGTGTTCTTGGCCTTGGGGTCTTTGACGAGGGGCCGGATGCCGGACCATGCTGCGAGGACGTCGCCGCGGCGGACGTTGATGTCGGGGGAGAGGTAGTGGCGGATTTCGGAGAGGATCCAGTCGATTTCTTCTTCTTTCGGGAGAGGGTTGTGGGAGATTGTGGTGGGGGAGTCGGTCGTGCCGGCGATGGTGTTTCCTTGCCATGGGAGGAAGAAGATTACTCGTCCGTCAGACGTTTTGGGATCGATGAGACCCATCTTCTGAGGACTGTAGTACCCAGGGAGAATAACGTGAGTACCGGAACTTGGTGCCACGATTTCTTTGACATCTTGCTCGTCCATCTTTCGGATCGAGTCTGTAAAAGGTCCTGTGGCATTGATGATACCTCTGGCCCGGATTGTGAATTCATCTGCCTTCTTTCCGTTCTTTTCCTGGACCAGATCCTTGACTCGTGCACCACAGAGCTTGCCATTAGGATCCTTCTCCAAAGCTGTAACTTCGACGTGGTTGACAACCGTGCTTCCGTACAATGCAGCAGTCATTGCCAACGAAACGTTCATCCTCGAATCATTGTGTGCTCCATCGTAGTATACCAGTGCACCAACCAGATTGTCCTTCTTCAACATAGGAAAAGCCTCCAATGCCTTACTCCTCGTCAAGAAGTACGAAGTCTCAATCCCTTCCGAGCCAGCCAAGAAATCGTACGCCTTTGTTCCCGCCCAATAATAAGGAGCCTTCCACCATTTATCCAACGGCAGCATAATGGGCAACCACATCGACAAATGCGGCGCCGTATCCAAAAAGTATTTCCGTTCTCTCAACGCCTCCTTCACCAACTTATACTGATTTATATCCACCTCCCAAAACGCCTTCTCCAGATACCGCACCCCACCATGCACCAACTTCGTGCTCTTGCTACTCGTCCCACTACTAAAATCATCCCTCTCCACCACCGCAACTTTCAATCCCCTCGTCGCTGCATCCAGCGCTATACCCGCTCCTGTCGCCCCTCCCCCAATGATCAACAAATCATAAACATCGCCCTCATCCTGCGGCGCCGAAGCCTCGGTATTCTGGAACGCACCAGCGATGGTGCCTTTACTGCCACCACTCCTCTTCAAGTCCGCAATCTGCTCATCTCGACTCCTCACCTTGGGGAACCGCGGCGGGCGGAAACTGCCTCCAGCGCCGTAGCCAGGCGGGGACACGACTGCGGGGTCGGAGCCGGGGATGTTGCGTGGGCGGTAGGTGTAGTAGAGGAATCCGCCGCCGAGGACCGCTACTCCTGTGGTGTAGAGGAGGGGTTTCGCGAGGCGCTGTCGGAAGGCCATTGTTGTTGACGGAGGAGAGAGGGAGGAGGATGGAGAGGTAGAATTGGATTTCGAGGTGGTGGAGTTTCTCTGCTGGACTGGAGCTTGGAGCTCTCGATGATGTGCTAACGCAGATCAGCCCGCTTTTTGACCAGGCCGGGGCTTGGCTGCTCGAGCAATTGAATCGCGATCTTTTCTCTGTTCGAGATGAAAATGGAAATCTCGTACTGTGCAATTGCACAGAGCGAGGAGGAGAGAACAGAAGAGTGGTGATTATGATGGAGGACAAGAGATACAAAATAAAAGGAAAGAAGAAGCAATTGTTTTCTCTCTCGTCCTGGCTTTGGCATCGGTGATCTGCCGGTCATTATTCCGCCAATGACGAGCGGAACAGGCTAATTTTCCTTTTCCCAGGGAAGGGTTGGCGGATGGCGGAAAAACTTCCATGTGAGACATCGCAGCCCGCCAAAGAGGAACGTGGACTGACAAGGAAAGTGAGCCGAGACGCCAGATGTGCGGCGTGACGAGAATACTTTTTATGTCCATAGTTTCTTTGACAATCTCGACTCTTATTGTCATTTTGTTGTGTGATATAAGATGGGTGTTTTTGAGCCTATTCAATGTTGGTTGGCAAGAGAAAGTTTTGGCTTTTTCTCACTTCCAAGAGATCTCTAAGTCTGCATGACTCGAAAAAGTGGCACCTTCACCAACTTGGAAGTCTTCGAAGTATCGTGAGATCCGAGGGAAAGCCAGAATTAGATAAGAAAGGTTCTAAGAGGGGTATGCAAATCTGCAGTCAGTTGATTGTTTTCGAACAACCGCCAACACTGCTTTCTAAGCATAGCATAGGAGTCATAACCAGCTGTCGTCAGCTTCTCAAGCAATAGCATATTTTTTCCGTCCGAGGCTGCCGATTACTATACATTCCTCATCCACCACAACCTCACGCCTTCAACTCCGGTGTATCTCCAAACAGGTTTGCCAACGCTGCCGCGGGATACCTCGTCCCATGAACCTCAGCTCCCTCCACCAAATCTCTGATCTCCTTCTCCTCCTCTGCGCTCAACTTAACATCCAAAGCTCCCAAGTTCTCCTCCAAATACTTGATTTTCTTCGTTCCAGGAATAGGGATGATATCCTCTCCTTGAGCCATCAACCAAGCCAGTGTCAGCTGACCAGCCGTACATCCCTTCTTGTTGGCAATAGAAACGATGCCATCTACGAGCTTGAGGTTCTTGGGAAAATTCTCTTCGCTGTATCGTGGTGCCATTTTGCGGAAATCGCCCTCTTCGAAGTCGGCGGGTGATTTGTAGGCTCCTGTTAGGATGCCACTTTTTGAGATATTAGTTATTTTTACGAGAAAAGGAGGGGAAGGAGACGAACCGGCCAAGAGGAGAGTATGCCACGACTGCGACGCCCAGCTCTCGACATGTTTTCAGGAGGTTGATTTGCGGTTGCTCGATGTCGATTGCAAAAGGAGAGTACTCGATTTGCACAGCATCAATGTGGTGCACTTTTTCAGCACGACGCAGGGTCGCGGATGAGACTTCGCTCAAACCGATATACTTTATCTTTCCCTCCCTATTCGCACATCAGCTACAATTCCTCACCGCTCACCAAAGGGGAAACTCACTTCTTCAACTCAACCATAGCCTCGACCGTTTTCTCAATCGGCGTCTTCCCATCCACCCGATGACAATAATACAAATCAATAACACTCACCCCCAACCTGCTTAAACTCTTCTCGCACGCCGTCCTGACATACTCGGGACTCGAATCAATAACCCGCTTCCCGTCCCCCACAACCTTATTCGCGAACTTCGTCGCCAGGAAGATCTCGTCCCGCTTCCCCGTGCGCGCGAACCATTTCCCGATCAGGTCCTCGCTGTCCTGATACATGTCCGCCGAGTCCCAGAACGTTTCGCCCAGCTCGTACGCCCGGTCCAGGACTTTGAAGCGTTCGGCGTCTGGCTGCGGTTTGCCGTAGAAGGCGGAGAGGCCCATGAGCCCGAAGCCCATTGCTGGGACGAGGGGCCCGTTTTTGCCTAGTTTGCGGGTGGGGAGTTGGGGTGGCATTGTGGTTGTGGGATGTCCAATTGAGTAGTTTCTAATTGTATGGAATTTGGTACGTTTGATTGTGTGGAAAAGTTGCTGTTGGAGTTTCATTGAAAAGAGAGCAGAGAGAGAGATTAAGCTTTTAAAAGGAAGGGAAAATCAATGATGCAGTACGCCTGGAGATAGCCCGGAGTTTGCACTCTCCGTTCCTGGTCCTCCGTCGTCACACTTCGATTGATGGCGTGCACTTGCAGTTTGGTTTGGTTTTCGGAGATACAAAGTCCCACCTTGACGCAATGTTTCATCGCCGAAACTGGCTTACCTATAAACGTTATATCCATTGTAAACTCCATGGATTTTAGCAGCGGATGTGAAGAGAAGGATTTATTATACGATTTAATAGCCTCGATGTAACAGAAGATTGCAAATATCGAGGAGAGGCAAACAAGCTGTCGATGACGGCACGCTTGAGGGAGCAAAGGCGGGGCAGCTCGAAGGCCCCGCTATTGCACGTGATATTAGCTTGTTGGATGTCGGACCCCCTTTCCAACAAATCGCTGCCTAGGTAGACAAGCCAGAATGCGAATAGCCTCACTCTCCCCTTCTGCACTCTCCTCTCTCCCCATTCCAGTCTTCACCTAAGAAACCAAACTCGAACCCCAACCACACGAGTAATGGCCCCCCTCCACCACCGAACAAAACATCCTGCCCACCTGGTACAGCCTAGCCTTCCTCCTCTCTCTCCTCTGTCCTATCCTCTTCCTCCTCCTATCACCCCACTACCGCAACCGTTTAGCGCTCGTCGCTTATCTCGCGAACTTGTGCTCGTTTACTGAACCGAGTGATTTGGGGAGGCCGGTTGTTGTGCATTTTAATCCTGGGGGCTCGAGGACGTATCATCATCCGGAGGAGGGGAGGTTACGGGTTCAGGCGAGGTTGTTTTTGGGTGCTGCTCTGGTGGCGGCGTGGGTGGTTGTGGTGAGCGTTGGGGGAGTCTTGTGGGCTGTGGGAGAGAGGGGAAATGGGTTGAAAGACAAGAGGAGCGATGATTCTCATACGGGTGCCAATGTTGGGAAGGGTAAGGGAAATGGGAATTGGTGGATAGCGAGGGTTGTAGAGGTGTTGATGGGGTTGGCGTTTTGTTTGACTGCAGGTGCGTTTTTGGCGATGTATGGGAGGAGTAAACATGGAAGGTTTGGAGAGTACCTTGATCCAAGGGGCTATGTATCACCGATTTTCTGAAAGGGGGCAGGATCATAGCTTTCTGTTGGATCTTATTGAGTTTGGACTACCTATGGACTGGCGCTTTACGGCGACTGATGACTTGCACTGATGATCTGAAGGCTGTGTGAAGAGCTTGTTTCCTCATTATCATGCGGCTTTGATTCCTTACGGGCATCTACTATCATCAGCGCAACCAATAATAGAGCACATTGAAGGAACATCATTTACCTTGTGCAGCATCCATGAAATTCAAGAACACTAGTCCCAGCAATACTAGTGGAAGTACCTGACCAAATCCCCACGTCGACTCATCACTCACTAAATCCGCGTTTGAACGTTTTAGGTCGACAAGGTCGTAGGTATTCCAAGCGGTGAATCCGAAGTATGCAGCCACGATCAACGGTGAGTGAATGTCTCCCCACGCCCAAAGCGCCAAGAATTGTTTGAAAAGTATCCAGACCAAATGAAACGTTGCTCTTAAGAGTACTAGGAATAGCCACCCGAAGAAGCCTTTATTGTTTGTATGCGTGAGGTTGCTGGGGGTAAAATTGGGATGATATCTGAACGTTCGCAATATTGTTCGACCTTGGCTCACAAATACTTTCCATAAAGTAACAGAAGAACTCGTCAGTGAAGACCATTGTGTTTTTAAGTCTGGCCATATTGGCGTCAGACTTATTACGGCTCCAACAAGAACGCAAGTCAAGTATGCTGAATAACAAATCAGACCCGCAATCCAAAGAAATTGTTGGTCGTACGACGACTTGTCATGGGACAAGTAGCAGTAGCCAGATTTCACCGGATCCCATTTGCCTTTCGGTCCCCATTGAGTACACCGAAAGAAGAGCCGATATCAATATTGCAGCAGTCCTGGTCCAGTAATGCCAATCGTCGTCTCCGTCGTCGCTTTGGTTCATCTCACCGGATCTTGCGGCCCAGAAAGAGTTCAGACATAGGAACCAGTAGTCCATGACGAACTGTTGATGATAAAATGTCATCTTCTCGCCTTGAACTAAAGCTGCAATCAGGATACCAGTCCCAGTAACCAACTGTATATTGCAAAGTATATCAAGACCTTTCGCTGCAAATGCTTCAATTCGCGAATGCTTTGTTGCAAACAGTGCTAGGATGAAGGCTAAAACCCTGTGAATGAAGGCCGCTGCTTTTCTGGAAATGCCAGCAAGCAAAGGATGCTCGCTGGCATAGTCGGGAGGTAGTTCAGGCGGAGCATACTGGCCGACGAGTTCATCGAAGCTTCGCTGCCAGTCTGCATGAGTCCTTGAAGGAAGTCGACTGTATACGAGCTTTGATAGAGTACAATACATGCCGATGGCAGCAATCAGACACGTAATCCACCCTGTAATTATGAAAGCATAGAGCACCTTCGAAGTCTTGAATCAGCTTTGAGATACTAGTCTTCTGAGCCGAACTTACACCAAGGCCAGCAATATCCGGATCTCCTTGGAAAGGAGCCACGCAATAACAATCTTACAAATCAGGTGTCGTAAAATTGTAAAACTCTTTCGTCCCATTGTGAAAAAACCAGCAGCAATCGCTGGGTCCATAAGCGCCCTCGCAGAGCGACATGACGGAGAGCTACCGTATACTTTTCGTGACAACAACATATTGCTGAGCTCTCGAGATTATATACGGGTTCAAAAAGAGGTTCAAAAAGAAATATGAACTGAGCTGAATGAACTTCCAATATGTGGATCAGCCACTCAATTCAGCCACAAATGTGGTCTTCGAAATGTTACAGGGTAACTCCAGCAGCCACACAGAATCAATGTAGAGCAATTTCCTGAACGAGAAAAAGAGGCGCACGCAACCACGCTGAAATGGAAAATGATAATCATTCAGTCCTCACTTCGCGTTGTAGCCTCTGATGAGTACCTTCATTGTGGAGATGTTGGCGAAAGGGGAGCGATGACAGCCCGAAACACGCTAAAGCCCGCGACTATCTTTAACTCTGCTCCACCAGCTTGGGTTTTCTCGTTTTTATCATCCCTTTGCTGTTTTCATTCTTCATGCAGCAAGCTTTTCAAATCAACACCTGATTAGAACAATGACCAAAATTTGTAAGGAAGTAAGCCGATAGGAGAAATCTAACCTTTGTTTTCTTACGCTTGAATGGATTTGCGATGGAATAGCTAGGCGAGGGCGGTAACCTCCATCCTTTGATTAATGCAGAGAGGACAAGTTCTTAGGTTCTGTGAGCCAGAATCGCTCTTGGCAAGCTAAATGCGGGGTAGCAGGAGGCATAATTTCACGTAAATAGGATCTTTTTGTTTCAAGTTTGAGAGCATCAACTACGTCATAGGAAGCTGCTGCCTATTGTTGGTTGGTAGGATCGCAGGATGAGGCGCAGGAGCGTCTCCACCTAATACTTTCAACCTTTGCAGTTTTATATATCTCTACCTGTCGTATCAAAGATTGCTGCAAGATCTGAATCACACTCACCATGGCTTCAAGAGCAGAAGCAGGTAGAGACGCTTTCACCTTCATTGATCGCACAGTCGATATCGACCAAGATGGCGAACCGGGACCTCCTCATGTCTTCCCCAAGTTCGGCGATCTCACTTCTGCCAAACTCCCCCAACCTATCGTACAGCTTCTCGAAGATCTCCGAGAGAAGTATCCAGACCATGTTGTTACATATGCCGATACATACAGCCTCAATCTCCTCGCATTTGCTGCCGCTGGACTTGCCACCGCAACCTTGGATATCGAAACAGATTCCATCTTCCGCGTGCGCGTATGGCAGCAACCCATACGCCGAGGAGCGATTGGTCAGCTTGCTGAAGGCCGCGGTTTTGCCAAGTACCGGTATCGATGGGGTGATGAAGACTTCATCCTGTACTGCATTACTGTTAGCATATTCAGCATGCAGTTTGTACTGAAAGAGTACGGCCCAGGAGAGGGGCAATTGTCTCATTCCGCAGCTACAGATACCCTTCTTGCCCAAGTCGGACTTTGGTCGCACAGAACACTCAAGGGCATTTATGTCTACGATTTGTTTTGGCGTCTAGATCTGGCGTTATACGAACAAGTGCAAAAGTTGGTCTCTTCAGCAGGACCAGTGTCATTTCATGGATAAGCTAACGATATTCAGAGCCACGTGGGACAAAGTTATACTGGACCCGGGTATGAAGAAAGATCTGACAAGCGTCAGCGGTCGTTTCTTCGATAGCAAAGCCGTGTACGATGACTTGGGGGTACCATGGAAAAGAGGCTTGATCTTTTACGGTCCGGCCGGGAATGGAAAGACCATCAGTATCAAGGCCCTCATGCACACACTTGCCGAACGCAAAGACTCTATACCAACACTGTATGTCAAGTCAGCGCCTCGAACTCTTGACATCAGGAATATCTTCGCCTTGGCACGCCAGATGACTCCATGTCTATTGGTACTTGAAGACATCGACACCATCGTTACGGCTCAGACACGGAGCTATTTCTTCAATGAGGTTGATGGGCTTGAGAATAACGATGGCATTCTGATGGTTGCGAGCACAAACCACATCGATGAATTGGACCCCGGCCTTTCTAAACGTCCAAGTCGTTTCGACAGGAAGTACCTCTTTCCTGCTCCTAGCAAAGCAGAGCGAGTTCAATATGTGCAGTACTGGCGTCAGAAGCTAAAGAAGAAACCCGAGGTTGTGTTTCCGGAGAGCTTGGTCGAGCCCATTGCCGACATTACTCATGATTTTAGTTTCGCTTATATCCAGGAAGCCTTTGTGTCTTCTCTTCTGGATATTGCACATCATCACGATGATGAGGGCGAGGACGAAGAAGCTGTAGACGAGGCGGGTGGTGGTGACGAAGATCTTGACAAATACGAGCTCTGGAGGGTCCTCAAAGAACAAGTCAAGATCTTGCGAGATGAGATGGATGCCGAGGCATTGAGAGTAGATCCGGATTTCACAACTTTTGCAGCACATACCGCACCACCAGCCTCTCATAACTATGTGGAAGATAGCGGATATCCATCCACGAACCCAGAAGACAGCAACTTGCTTCACCATACATATTCAGAGAGCTCACATGGCTCTGCAATTCACCAACCACTTGCAATACGCGGTATCCATCCAGGTGACGGCTTTTCTGCGCTGCAACCGCCATTCTCAGGGCCGGCGTGTCCTACTTTCGGGGATTCAAGGGATCAGCTGCGAGGAATGACATGGTTCGAGATAGGTCATAAATAAATAGACAATTTAAAATGTTGGACGGTTTTTTCAGTCCTCTTCACTCGCATTTGACGATTTCTATTCTTGAACTTAGACTGTACCTGGGTCGACAGAAGCAAAGTGACTTTTGTTGCGTGAAGGAAGGCATGAATACGTGACCTCAGAGGGCTTGCAGACTTATTATGCAGGGGCATGTCAGGGTAAACGCCGAGCAGCATTAGATAGGAAGGAGAATGCTCTATGGCTCCTCTCTTGCTCCACCTAGGCTAGACTCGACTCTGACATTATCACTTCTATGGCTTCTCCCACGCCACTTATTAATCATTTTCCAAAGCTCAAATAACTACCAAACTCCAGGACCTCGTCATAGCAATGTGATGGACAATTTCTTTACTGATACCCTGCTCTCTCCAGCACCCTTGTGTACCAATCAGACCAACAAAAAAACGTAAGACCATGCTAGACTCCAGATAGCCAAACCGGGAGGAATCGTTGGAGAAGAGCCCGAATGAGATGTCGTCGGAGATGTCGTGGTAGGAGAAGTCGATGAGAGCTCGGTTGTTGTTGTGCTCGTTGGTGATGACCCTGACTTAGCATTTGTTGAGGATGAACCGCCAGCAGAAGTGCGCGAAGACTCGTGGGCTGTCGTACCCATACCTTGGGTTCCCGGGAGCGAAGAACTTGCAACATAGCTCGTCGATGTTATAGTGTCCCAATTAGTGGAATTGAATGGAGCCCAATTGGGACCACCATTGTAGTCGGCATAGCAGGATGTGAGAGGCGGCTGATCCGGGAACGCCCACATGTTTGTGGAACTCCACTGATCCGAAGCATCAAATCCTGTCACAACGCCAAATGATAATCCTTGAGAATCGGATCCAGTAGTTGGAACTGTATTGGAAGCTCCCATTGGGAAAATATGTATCTGGGGATTCGACGAGATGTCGACTGTGGAGTAGGGTAAAGGTGCTGTGATGCAGCCAGATGACCCAGGGAATTGTAATGTCCCGCTCCACACGTAGTCTGTGCCCCAGACGATGAAGCCGGTAGGAAAGGTGCTATTATCAACAGTCAGGGTTCCCTTCTTGATAGATTGCAACCACAACGTACATGGTGGTAGTGCTATTGACTCCCGCTGTGGTATATATTATCTCTTGCGTCCTGATTCCTTCGGAATTGACGTCCGAGAGATACTCCGGAGGAAACTCGGTAACAATGCTTGTTGTGTCAAGGACGGTATCCACGATCGTAATGATCGTTGCTGTCAAGTTCATTGGAGTCGGTTACTTTGTAGTCTGGATAGACAGAACAGCTAGCGTTGTTGGAGCAGGACATAGATTGGTTTGTTTCAAGTACGGGCTTGATGGGTCCATTCGGATCTTTTCAACTTGTTACCACAAGACACATGTATGGTAGATGAAAAATAGGATAGTTGGTGATTGAAAGCTCACCTAGAAAAGCGAGTACAAAGGGTACACAAAAAAATAAAATTATGGAATTAACCATGATGAGAGCAAACTGTGCAGTCTCCTGTCCTCGATATAGCTTGCAGATGTGAAAATTCAAATAAGAATTGAAAGCTTGTTGAAAACATGTTCCAGAATCAGGCTCAGTTGAACCTTTACATATTACCACGCGTTACGATCATCAATGCACTCACGCTGAAGATGCGAGCCTCACTTCAGCTGTTACGCATTCCTCGGCATGAAAACGGCGATGGATCTACATCCACTCTGCATCAGCAACCAATTAAGTATTGTCTGACACAGCCTTGCGTATCTAGGGTAGCATTTACAAGCAAGGATACGGCATATTAGGCCAGCTCAAATGGAAGATAAGCGTTCCATTCGTAGATAAGGGGAGAGAGCCTCGCTCACAATCTGCCTGGACGTTGGAAGGATGCGGCTAATTGTGATGCAGAAAGTCGAGACCAAAATACACGAGCACAGCCTTGTGCATAATACACTTCGCATACGCTGATATTCCCAATTGTACCTCATGGTGAATTGAAATTAATGCTTCCAGTCTTCCAAAAGGTTGTTGAGTATTCTGATGCGAGAAAACGTTGAATCAATGGAGGAAATACCGGACCAAGATCGACCACCAGTGACAGCAACGGAGTCTGAGTCGAAATTGCCAAATGAAGTTCTACTTGACAACGAGATACAGGAGCAACACTCAGAAACACAACAATCAGATGTACAAGAAGCGGAAGTGAGAGAAGAACGGCAGCATCCAGCGAAGCCTCCATCTCTTAATCGAACAAACAAGCCAGCTGGAAATGAAAGCAAAGCGACGAGCAGATGGCTAAGGGTTAAGGATATTGCGTTCCAATTACTCTTAAGCTGGTTCTCCTTAGGCATGTTCGCTATTATCATACTGTTTGTCCAGGCCACATACTCAGCGGAGATTGATTCAAATCGCCATGAGGCTTTCGGTAACAAGTTGTTGAAGACTGATGTCAGTACTACATTAGCAGTCCTACGAACTGCTCAGGGCATTCTATCAGCCATCACTTCCATGTTACTCACTGATGCATTTAAATTTCTGCAATGGATTATGATGAATCCCCCAAGAGGTCTCTCCTATCCTAGCCTTCTTGCTATCTCACCAACGACGGGAATCCTGGGCACATTGGACTTACTCCGTTCATCAGTAGTGAGAAAGTCTGCCAAGGCGTGGGCACTACTTAGGTACTTCTTTTCAAAACCAACTAAACTGTATGCCCAAGATATCTAAAATTCTCAGAGTTTCTCTGATCGCGATAGTCTGGCTGTCCGGCCTCGTCCTTTTCTGTAAGCCAACAATCTTGTACAGTGAAGGCGAGAAAAATGGATTGACCAAATATATAGTCAAAACATCCTTGGTCACGGTCTACGATATTGCATTTACCTACAAGGTCACCGCAGGAGTGAGTCCTTTCAATGCATCACTCATACGACCTTTCATCACGAGTGCGCAATCGTTATCTCCAAACTACCAGCTCATGGTTGTTCCATATACCGTCTTCGCAGCCGTATATACACTGGTCCTGAATCCGTTGCTCTGTACGCCTTCCCAATCAGTAAAATGTACAGGGACAAATTGCATGTCGTATCTTCTCTCTGGTGGGTTGGAGATGGTGGCACCCTGGGTGCCAGAAGGATACTCGGATTATCCCATGGTAAAGATTGAAGATGTTCCATCTATTCAGCTCGACTTTGAGTGGCCAGTAAGTGACATTTTCGACGATGCCGACTGCGATGTTTTTGGGGAGGATGGCTACACTATTGGGATTCGGTTGTGCATTGTAGAAGATACCACTGCCGTTGGATCATTCAGGGCAGGTAAGTCTGCAGACTCCGGTGCTATCACGAGACCATCACGGTCCTTCAGCTGAAGTAGCAATAACGATCCAGGTCTCTTTGTCTGCAATAATGGAACCGTCGGTGGTATCTGCCATGCAACTCAACCTGCAAATATCACCTCCAGCATCTCGTTCTACACTCGTGAAGCAACTGTAGTGGCAGTAAGATCAAACTATAGCATCATCAGTACTTCAAATTTAACGGTACGTACCTCCAGAAGGTTCCCAAAAGGCGCACTCAATTTTCGCTGCTTTGGCAAGACTTTCGGCACCCTAACTCACCGTTCTTCTGATAGCCTCCGATACAATTGACTGGTGTCGATCTCTTATCCTATCGAGAAAGCCTTCGATGGCTCCTCAATTACACAGCCGCCAACATCCCACCTCCATCCTCAATCGCTCAAAGCTTCTGGAGCTCAGTCCCAGAATTAGCAAGTCCTTCAACCTACGGCATCGTCTTGCAGAATTTTCAAAGCGTCCTCGCCTTCCCATTCTGGTATTTCAACTCCAATAATTGGGCGAACCCTGATCTGCAAGAAAAACAGATCATCTCGACTCTTCCTCCCCAATTCTATACTCAGGCGTATATTGTAGCACCATACAGCAAGCTGAGGTTCGACAGAGGCATGTTTATACTTTTCCTGATCCTGCAGGGATTGGCCATTGTTTTCGTATGGTGCGTGCTCCTGTTCGTGCTGTTTGGAACGAGGACACTGCCAACGACATCTTCGTATCCTTTATATGACATTGCGTTCAAAGCGAATGTGGATCATGAGGTGAAGGAAGAGGAGCTGAGCGAAGCAGGAAACTCGCAGTGCTTGAAGTTGATGAAGAATTCGAAAGCTTTTGGGAAAGTTGATTGATAACAAGATCGTACTGAAAATACCCAAGCTATGATAGGATGATCTTGGTCAACAGAGCTGGAAAAAGTGGCTTGTTTGAATCGTTTCCTAGATATCCTGTACTTCTATTAGCTGGAGCTCGCAATCATCCCAACTCTTTAAGCATGACTGTTCATACTGTTCCTGTCTCTGACTTCGCCACACCCCGCCTAACTCAGCCGGCGAATATCCGCACACAGGAAGTTGTGGTATAGTTTTGAATAAGCAAAAGTATTTCACACAATAAGATAGCTCGATAGTTCAGTTAGTAGAATACATGCTTTGGGTGTTCCTACAAACAAGCATGTGGTCCTAGGTCCAATTCCCAGTCGAGCCCATCACCCTTTTTTAGCACTCGCTTCTTTAGAGGCAGAAAGACGACAACGAAAATAAACGGCCACAGCTAAATTTAGTTGATCTAAGTAAGTACTTCCAGCTCAATCTTTATATATCAAACGGATGCGCATTAGAGAAATATCAAGAATATTTCACACGCAGATTTCAATGCTGTGCTCAATCAACATTTGCTGACATGGAACGCTCGCATGTATGCATACGAGGGCAGCCACTTGGGCGCGAAGCTCCTCTTCCCACGTTCTCACGAGAAAGGAAATCCCATAAATTCCAGCACAGATATTGTTCTTGCAGGTAACCTCTGAGACCTATGGCCACTTAAAATTTGCAGACAACGAGGATGCAGCCACCATTCAACAACCAAAAAGACTCTTGTAGACCTTGGAAAATTGGATCAAGTCTATATTATGCTACAAGTTCAGACACCACGTTGCCTGTTCGCTACTTGGCAAAGGAAAGACTCGCCGTCCCAACCTGCCTTTTCCCAATCCAGCTAGAGAAAACTAGAATACCTTTCACAGCACCAAATTCAATCCTGACGTCAAACTCCATTTTATAGCATTTCTTTCCGTCTTTGTAAGTGGACTCAAGTGTGTTTAAATCAACCTCAGAGTAGTCGACTTTGATCTCTCCGACTTGGACTACGCCTATATTTGTCTTAAGTCAAGACCAACAAATAGAAGGGGTGATGCTTACGCTCGTGTTCCACCGAGAGAGGGGCTGTGTCGAGATTGCAGCTGTAGAGCTCGACAGTTTGGGTGAAACTGCTCGATCCTTCTTTGTGGGTGAAATATAGCGATTGACTTCGAACTGTCTTGGTTGTGACATTCTCGCCCTAGTGAGTGCATATATTAGTTTCTTGCACTGGTACTAAGCACTGTTGACCAACCTTTGCAATCTTCCAGACCATTTCCTGGATACGCCTCTGGTCTTCTTGATCGAGAAAAGGGTCGATGTAGGCTTTGGTAGCGTCGTCAACTCCTTCGTCAAAAGTTCTGCCTACCTCATAGCCGTAGTGACGCCGTTGCTTCTTCAGCGATGGCGCGGTACCTGCAAGGCCTCGTAGCGCTGCGCCTCTCGCGATGGCCGCTTGACTGCAGACTTCCTATCAGCACAGAAAGATCAAGCGGGATGGAGAATAATACGGTGCGGGTGGACATATGAGCTTGATGCCTCCATTGGTCTTGCACCACGCTCCGAGCTTCTCGAACAGGTAAGGAGAATCACCGAATCCGCCGACGAGAACGATGCGCTACGAAAATTAGCAAGTAGGCTCTCTCCGGGATTTGTTTGCTCACATCGATGTCATGATTGAGTTTTGAAGCTTCTTGGACTTGAGCTTTCACCAGAGCTATGACTTGGCTGATGACAGGATCAAACAGCGACTGCATATCAGCCCTACTGTTGTCAGCGGATAAAAAGGATACGGACGGATATAATTCGCACAGAGAAAGCTTCACGGTTCCATCGTCGTCATCGTAGTGCGCGGGATTTTTGGAAACCAGCTTCAGCGGCCCGATCCCCTTTTCTTTATCAAAGCCCTTTGGAAAGTCTCTCTTGACTCGCTCAAAAGACTGCATGAACTTGCTTCCTGGGCCGGTCTTCTTCGGGTCCAATTTCTTGAATGACTCACCGAAACGAGTAGTCATGAGAGTGTGTAAATTGCGGTCGATGTATGTAGCTCCGCACTTTCCACCTGATCAGTGTCAGTGAAAACCCTATATGACTGCTCTTCGTAACGTTACCTTCTCCCACCACAAGCTCCTCGAAGTCCAGCAGTGGATAAGTCGCAGTGACAGAGTAAGTGGTTAAATCCACTGTCCCACCACCACAATCGCAGATCATGATGTCCTCGCCAGCCTTGGAAATTAGCAAATAACTTTACCTTCATCAACGGTGATGGATAACGTACCTTTAAAGAATCTGGGGCACCTGGTGCTGTGAGTTTCTTGAGAGCACAGATTGCAGCAGCTTCTGGCTCCGGTATAACATTGATTGAGTCCATTGAGCGAGACGCAAAACCAGCGCCTTTGGCTGCTTCTCGGGTTGCATCTTGTGCTTCGTCTAGCCAAGTAGCAGGCACGGTAATCCAACATTCCATAGGAGTAAGCTTCATGAAGTCTGCCCCATTTTCCTTGTCGAGTCGAGCAAAGACAAAATTGCGAACCTCGCGAAGGTAGTCCTCGCAGACTTGTTGAGCAGACTTGCCCTTGGGTAGTTCCATCATGCCTTTTCTGACAATGTTTGTCAGAGTCGGGTCATCGTATTTGCCTTTGGGCGCATTCTTGTCAAGCAAAAGTTTTGTCCAAGAGTAAGACTTCATTCCTGGCTCCACCATGAAACCCCATTTAACTCCTTGGAAGTTGTTCTCGCTTCCATAAGCAATGACAGTAGGAGTCTTCCACTCGAAGTCTCTGTCTCTGCCATCTCCTGGCCATGTTTGCACAGTGGCAATATCATTCAGTTCGGACTCGTTGGAGAAGACATAGCTGATGCCTGGAGAAAGTCAAACAAATATTGCTATAAATTCATGGATACTTACCAGTATAGGTGGTACCATAATCAATTGAAAGAATGCATTTAATTCTGTTCGATGCGGACAACAAAGTGCGATTGGGAAGCTTCCCAAACTTACGATTGGGAAGTTCGACCTCGTGCGGCAGTGAGTCGGGTTCGAAAGGCATGATTATCTGATGCAACGAGAAGATTTTTTGACTTGTTGTGGAAACTCGAGAATAAAAGGGCATTGACTTTATCTTGGATCTATAGGTGCAAATACCAGTTCCAAAGTCTGCCCAAGACTAGAGGTTCTAAAAGGACTTCACTGTTGAAACTAGGGCAAGCGCCCCAGCCTCCACAACATTGAATCAACCTTGCCGCAGTGTCTCATATCATGCACTGGACTGAATGATTTCTTCTGTCCGTGGAGATAGGCGGAGTTTGGGCCGCCTTCGGGTCTTTGCATTTCCCTCTTTTGGACGCTCGTACACAGATTCAAACTTCTGAGAGTACGGATTGGTCCTTTTCAGCCTCACACTCCCGCCATATATGAAACATAAAACATTGGCCTCTCAGCCGCAATTTCTGATTCAAATGCGAGCGCAGATCCGCTCCAACCATAGGTCTGAGCATTCGGTGAGCTCGTTGGCAACCTTGGCGGCTTCGTATTATGCAGCCACCAACAATGTGGTTTCTCAATGACATGGTCTCAATCAACCTCGGGGAATAATGCAGAGAGCAGGATGGAACTGCCGCACTGCGGAGCCTAGCCACCCCAGCTGCAGCTGCTTGGTACTGTCAATTCTTCACTCATTAAGTCCCGGTTCCCCCAGTAAAGAGCACTCTATAGGATCTGAGTGTGAACGCAAAAAATGTCTGATAGTGCAAGATCTCGCAGACACCATGAGCAACGGGAGAGTCAACACTTTCCGGGAGGCTCATCCAGTCGCCAGGTTAGTCGATGCAAACATTTTGATCCTAGATATCGCTTCACTGCTAATATGAATATGCAGCCAACCAGCGACTATCCGATGGATTCGACTAATCCCACGACCGCAGAGCAGGCAGCCAGAGCAGCGGTAGAAGTAAATATGGAGACTTATCAAAGAATGCCAGCTAACATGACACAGGGGCGAGGGAGACCGACTGCGGCACCTCATGGAGACCAGGTTCAGTACGAAGATCCTATGGACTATGAACAAAGTACACAACCTGGTGTTCGCTCAATAAAGGTAAATGCAAAACAACGCATCTTGGAATTGATTTGGCCTGGACAATAACACTCCGTGCCAGGTGACTTACATTCGAGAGGTCACTAGCCCGAGGGGATCCACTGTCCCAACGGACCTCCCTGGAAGTTGGACTGAAGTGGACTCACCGGGACATCAGCCCGACAGTTACAGTTCGCGAAACGATGCACATCCAGAGACAGGATCACGTGAAGATCCCGACAATCAGAGGCCCACAGACTCTCGACGATCTGGAACGACGAGCGACACCTCAAAGTCTTATACCAGACGTGGCCAAGAGCAAAAAGACGAGAGCATGTTTTACGGAGGGATATTAAGCCTTTTTCGCGGGAACGGAATATCCGCACAAGACGAGAAGAAAGTCAAAAGGGAAGTTACAGAGCTGAAGACGAGAAACCAAAAATTAACCCAGGACAAAACATTGCTCGCCCAAACCAATCAACGACAATCCGAAAGACTCAGCGAGGTCACGAATCAGAGCAGTGTCAGATTCAATACCATTGCGCGGCAGAAAGAGGAGCTCACCTCATTGCGACTGGAGGTCAAACAGTTGAAATTGGATCATCAAGGCATGGAAGATCAAATTCGGACAGCACAGCTTGCAATGAGCAAGAAGTCCTCCAAGCCCAAAATTGACCTTACAGACGAAGAAAGAACAATCAAGGGGAATTTTATGAATCTCCACGATGAAGTGAGGAAATGGGCTAAACGGTGGGGATCTGCGAATTTCTCCGTATTTGAGAATCTCTCCCCAGAAAAGAAGGAAATCTTCTTGCTGGAGTTAGGTAAAGTCGTAACTCTTGAAGATGGTTGCATACCTCAATGCTTGACAAGGGAAGAGATGTCGACCAGAACATCTGTTCTTTGCGTGTCTGCACTGCTCGGACGATATATCTGCGCGGAAGTCCTCGACGCCCCCTTTCGACCCCTAAGGTCGCTTTTTGATACAGCAACAGGAGACGCTCTGGATATAGCTGAGAGACAGCAGATCTCAACACATAGCCCAAGAGTGGTATTGGGTGACGGCTTTCTAGAAGCAGTCTACCAAAGGCTGTCTGATGGTAAGAACCGTTCTCAAGATATTGTCCTCAGACTGATGCGTCGCAGTAAATCGGAGCAGAGCTCAAGTGTGGAGAAGCGATCTCATGTCCATACTGGATCCCTCATCAGGCTCAAGCGTAGCTGCCAATGTGTTACAAACCCAAGAAGAAGCTGCAGATCGTCGGGCACAGGCAGCAAGAGACCTTACTTCGACGTTCTTGAACACAGCCGTAAGCGTTCTACTACCAGACGTTGAACCAGAGCAAGTCGTCAATCGTCACGAAGAGCTGCAGACAATCTTTCGGAAGTCCCTGGACATGGCAGGTCGGCTATGGAAGCAATTGACGATTGTGAAATGCACATATCTGGAGGACCTGAAGCAGTCAGCATTTAACTACGACTCTGACTTGATGGACGCACATGCTTTTCATAAACTAGGATTTGATGACGAGGATGAGGATGAACATCGGCTAGACAACCACCTTGTCCGTATTATGGTGTTTCCAGCAATCAAAGCTTATGGAAATAGCGACGGCGAGAAGTATACGCAAGATCGGGTTTGGGGAAAAGCCATCGTCTGGTTGGATGAATGATTGGAATGAATGATCCTGTACCTAGATTCGCTGTCATGGAACGCTTGCTTGCGTGGATTTATACAAGTCAAGCCACTCGGGCGCTCCTAAAAGGTGCAGGCTTCGCCGTCTCCATCTTCCCAGCAAGAAGTCAGCGTTCCCGCAGAGTTTCAGCATACGAGCATGTCAGAACTCAAAGAATTAAGCTCGTATCTCCGCAAATTCGCTCCGTGATAGTATACCGCTGAAAATGATCTGCATCGGTTTTGTGGCGGTTGGCGAGACCTTATTCCTAATCCGGCTGTTTTGCGAGCGGTGACGTTGAAATCTGACTGCAGATCTTGTCCTTCTCTGCATCTCTACATGAAATCCTTGCTTCAGAAGCTGAATACGATATTTCGAAGTAGAACGTTCAACATCGATGATTTGGCCTTCAAAACCCGTCAGGGTCAAGCTGAATTCGGCAGATTGAAATACGAGCATTTCCCCTTGTTCTTCACTATCTTTGGAAATGACTAAGCCACTTTGATATGCTTGCAGTGTTGCACACTCACGTCCAGGATATCTTCAGCCCTAAATGTTCATACCTACAAGAACCACGTTCCTGCCAAGGGTGCTTGCCACCGAAGGATCATTTCGAAAAGCTTAAGTAGAACATCGTAGCTTCGCTGAGTCGTCCTTGGCTTCAATTTCATCTCTTGTGTCAAACCTCTTCCAATAATCCCGAAACCATGGTCGGGGCTAAGAGCCTAGGCTGCTTGGAATGCAAGCGCCGGAAAGTAAAGGTTTGTGCCTGCATGTGAATGACAAAGAAGCCAAAGTGCCGCAAGCCACTGCTGACTCGAATATCAGTGTGATCAACGCTTCCCGAAGTGTGCAAATTGCGAGCGTGTCGGCCGATGGTGCTCCGGTCCCAAGTCTCACTTCATCCGCTTTGTTCGTCCCGGAGCCGAAGAGCACATGAACACGGTAACAGTCAGCCAGTATCAGTCACTCAAATCTCCAAGAAGTACTGTTTCAGAGCGGTTGTCGGCAGACCTCGTCCGCCAGCTGCGAGACATTGACAACGTTGGCTACCAATTGCAATGTTTCGGGGTATTCGTCTCCTTTCTTCCAGCACGAATAGGGCACAATCGTGCCCTTGATGCTGCTGTGAAATGCTTGCTCCAAGTCCATTCTGCAATGATTCGGGGCAAAACTTTGACTACCCACACGGAAGGTTTAGACAGCTACAACGAATCAATTGCTTTGATCAGGAAGGATCTTAACGATAAGCAAACTCAGACGAACGCCGAGACAGTATGTGCTGCGTTGATACTTTCAACATATGAGGTAATGCCTGCGACCTTTAACTTGTCCTTTCTATCTTTTACTGACCATATCTTCAGCTGTACAAAAGGGACCATTGTCATTCCTGGGTAACACATGCTGGAGGCGTCGCTGCAATTCTGCAATGTTGGGGTCCAGACCGCTTCGTTTCGGACTTCGAAATGGCGCTCTTTGCGTCACATTACGGATCTACTGTAAATTAATCAGGTGTCCTTGTCAATGATGACGCATTCTAACCTCTGATAGGTTTCCACTTCGATAATTTATGGGAAGTCGTGCTTCCTCGACGCTCCAGAATGGCATGCTTTGCGAGGCAGGTGTCTGAAAACATTTCCTGGACTCGACAAATATACAATGGACTGCTTGACTGCTCTAGCGAGACTTCCAAATCTTCTACAGAGTATCAGGAAATCAAAGGCAAGTGCGCGGCGCCCGATCTGGTCTCGTGAGCAGCTACAACTTGCGCAAGAGTTCAAGGCCATGGTCTCCCAGCATGCCCTGAAACTACATCTCGACTTCCTCAATCCGGAACTCATCTGGGAACGAGCCAGCACTTCCTCGTATTCAAATCAAACTATGTTAGTATTCGCAAAGCCTAGGATAGCTTTTCGTTACAACTTTTACTGGGCTGTAACAATCATTGCGAATAAAATCTTGTTGGCGTTTGGTGAAGACGACCAATCGCTGGTGGAAGAGTATAGGGACGCTGCAGAAGACATATGTAGATCCTTTGAATACCTCCAGACGCTCAGACCATTGGGTATTCTATGGTTGAACTTTGCAGCTTCAATGGCATATGGAGTATCTGGAGAAGCTACCCGCCAACGAATTGTGGAAGAGATGGAAGAGGCGTTATTTCCTATCCAGATAGAGGCTACGGAGACTGTTTTGAATATGAGTTATAACATGTTGACGGGAGGGATTGATGAGATCGAGCAGATCCGGGAGTTCGATACGTTCTACAATGGTTAGGATGGTTTGGAAATATAGAGGGGTAGAACAGCTTAACCACTTCGACTTGAAGCGAATACTGAACTTGCATTTTCTCCACAGCATCACTAGGTTGTGGTCTATGATTAAAAAGTGATACCATAAAGCATGTTTTAGTCCAGTCCAGAAGAAAGGAGAGCAAAAGGCTTTGGAGAAGGAGAGGAGAGGAGAAGTTTGGACTTAGTCTCGCCGAGGTTTACCCGTCTGCGTGAAAATGAACGCAGTCGACGTCCCTTCGATATCGATTTGCTATCTGCGATGTCAACAAACACCACCAAACGAAGCTTCACAGATTTGGAATCATATGCCTCTGAGAGTGAGGACAGGCCGCACGCCCAAGATCTGCAAGCTAGGCACATCATCCACAACCTCGACCTGGCAGCACTCCGCGAGATTGCCCTCTATGCATATACCTCGGACAACGAAATCGCGACGTATATAGACTCGAGATACAATACCCCCTCCCGTTCGAAGCCACTAGAGCCTCCGAAGAGCTTCCACTCGTATACTGAGTCGTGCTGGGAGATCCTGAATGTTACATACCCTGCTTTGAAAGCAACGTCAGATTCAACGCTTTACGAACTACGGACCCAAGTGCCAGAGGTGTTGGAGAAGAGCCGTTGTTTGATCATCGAATCTGCCGGTCCAAGAACACTATGGGAAACGAGAAGGAATCCTCTCGAAGCTTTGCGCAAGATCTGCAGGAATGTTATGCTCTGCGTTGACGGAGACCTACAACAGGACATTGTGGAGGATGGGAAGACACTGCCAGGTTTCGCCGACGCGATGTACAAAATTGCTGACGAAATGACGAAGGAAGAACGCACACGATATAAAGATGAGGGTCTTTGCGGCAAGATGTCCCAGCTGAAGGATGAGTGCGATTGGTTGGCCAATGTCCCTGCTTTGGAAAAGCTACTGGCTATCTTTGAGTTCGTAGGGCAAGACCAAGATTTTGGACGTATTATCTCTGTGGTGGAAGCCACAAGTCCTCGAGCTAGGAAGAGAAGAAGGCAGGCATATTACCAGTCTTCCACTGGTGGACGAAGCATATTTCAGCTACCTCTTCGAGGATCCGGCTCGTAGAGTACTGCGAAGAAGGGGGCAGCAGCAAGTCTAAGGCGTTAATGTCCCAGGCGTAAAGGACATTGGGGATCACGAGGTCCAGTGGCTTCACAACTGATCTGGCAAACAATCGCGGTATGCTGCGTGGTCAGATTCATTTAAACGTGTTACCAGGCGAGACACAATGCATCCAAATTGGTATATCATGTTCCTCTGCATAATGGATTGTTGTGCTTCGGCTCTCCGAAAGGTGTAATCACGCTTCTATGCAGCCTTACAAACTACCTATGCCATTACAGCCACTAGGTTCAGCCAAGATATTGCATCCAATGGCCCGCAATAAGTCCTCATCAAGTCAACTTTTTGGTGGCCTATTCCGATGAGGCTTCTCAAACGAAGTGCGAACTCTTGGTCTTCTCTGACTGGAGCAGCAAGGGCTGGTTGTATGGTATGAAGCAACACAAGCTTAAATTCGATTCTCTGCGTTTCTTGCTTTCTCTCTTCCTATCCCAGATCGCGTTTAATGACAATCCCGAGTTAGAAGCTGGAATGTCATAACCAAGGCCCGGGTGACATTCTATAGTAGCATGAAGCCTAGAATGAAACAAGGGTCACCAGGGCTTCGCAGAGCAGGTCTTATTCATAGCGGCCTCTCCCAAGTCGCTGTCATTCCTGCATAGCCTGTGAGCAAACCTGAATAAGAAAATGGCAAAGACTGGTGCTCAGGGTTAGCGTAGATCTTTCATGGAGACAATGTGGTGGAGATACAGGTGACAGCCTTTTGATACAAGTGTAGCTTCGAAGAGCTACTGGATATTAATGCCTCCAGATGAGTTGCAGATACATGTGCGACTCCTTTGTCAATGTCCATGTTCCATCTCCGGGAGACATTTTTGAGACGCTGATGTCCTCACGTCATCCTATTTTCCTTCTTGACTCTTTGTTCGAGATGTTTTGATGAAAGACAAGGGGAAACATGCCCAATGCCCAGACAATAGCGCATCTGTAAAGTTTCAAGCGTGTGCCCTCTTCTCTATGGTCTGACGTAGCTTCGTCAACTCCACTCTAAGGGAGAAAGTTCTTCATATGAGACAACAAGAACCTTTGTTACTAGAGGGCGAGATGTTTCCTCCCCAGATGAAGATCCGAACCATTCTCTTCTCGTCATCGTAGCATTTGATAATGATAGAGTTGATATTACGTTGCAGGGAAGAGCTAAAATTCTCGTTTACCTTTCTTTCAAAGGTGAACTCATGCTCCCAGCCTTAAAGGTGAATATGAAAAGGAACCGAGAAATTATGACGCGACAAATAGGTCTGTAAGGCTTTGAACTGTTCAGCTTTTTTCTTCCTCCACTTCCTCTGTCGCAACTCAACTCTCCACCAAAATGTCATCGCTGACCTCGCTCGCGACCTGCGAGACACCCAATACCTCGTTAATTCCCTTGATTGCCTCTATTCCACAGAGCAAATTCTCGGTCATGCGCTCAACGCAACCCAATGCTAGAGGCGATCACCTTCGAGTAGGATCAATTGCGCTCTTCTGTCAAAACCCAACGCGGAAGTCAATTATTCGATGCAAGCGTGAGGATCATTGCGATGGACTGCGGCTCCACTTTGGGGGCTTGTCACATGCAGTTCTCATTCTTTCCAGAAGCAAGAATGATTCTGTAAATGACAAGGAGGAAACATGTCTGGTAGCTTGGGTGAGTGGGCGTCTCCGCAAATAAATCTAGTATCTAACGCATGAAAGGTCACGTCTCATGGTCATGCCTCTCTGGCAAGTTATGTCAAGAACTACGAGCAAAGCTCAAGCATGCAGAGATCCATTCCGATTGAGCATTATGAGGATGCGAATTGCGTCCAGATTCTCCGACTATTGCGTGGCAAGCTCAACAAGCAATCATATGTCATGGTTGATCATGCTTTCGAGATTCCGGTATCAATGCTTCGCAGCTATGTCTCATGTGTTGGAAAAGCTCGCGCCTTCCGACTCCAGGAATCAAGCTATATCACCTTGATGCAATCTTTCGGCATGGCTGCGCAAGACTACCGCCCTCAACCGTATCGTCACTTTCAATCGTTCGCATCCCCACCACTAGCAATTGGCGAACAAGAGGATGACAAACCACACATTCGTTATGCACTCAGCATCAACATCACTGAAACGTACGCAAACAGCCACACATACTCCGGTTCTCGATCAGCTACAGTCGTTCCTCCACGCCGAGCCGAGTCATCTTACTACTCATACCAAACCTCCGAGTTCGTCTCCTTCCCAGCTCTCCCGCCATCGCCAAATCAATCTCCTTGTCGCGGAGAATGCAAGTCACCAGGCTCGAGATTGGGCATGATGTTGGATGAGAATTCACCTTTGCTACCGGCTCCAGCCACCTACCGTCCAAGAGAGCACGTGAGATTTGGCGAGAGGGTCGGGACATGGCTTACACTCTTGTTTGCGGTGCTCACTCTTGGCTTGATTATTTTCTTCTGGATTGTTGTAGAGGAATTTGGTGTTTGGTCTGGTGATGGTGATGTGGTAGTCGGGGCTACGATGAGGCGTTAGTGATGGGCGCAGCAGGAGTTTCGGGAGCACCGTGATGAATGCAAAGGACAGGTGATTTTGACAATTAGAAAACGATAGACAAACAATAGAATAGAAGTCAGAACGATTTTGTCAGTTCAACATGTGATTTACTCGTAGCTTGTTGCCAGCGTGCTCACACTTAGATTCATAGATGACGATTGCTTGCCATCAGACTGCCAGATTGCGAAGCTGAATACGTCGACTCTGTTATACTTACACTCAAGCTTCATCTCCAATCATTGGCCTGTCTGGAAGTACGGTTCCACCAGGCACTCACCCGAGTCACCCCTTGATTATAACTTTCATTGCACAAGGCAGATCTCTGCTGTGGGCGGTCGGGTTGCACTCACTTAGATCAAGTCTGTACTTTCACCCGTAGTGAAATTTTGACTGGGGTAATCGGATAAGGGAACTCTATAGCGCGGCCTGGAGCTTTATTTTAACCAACCACTCTTTTCCAAAATGGTTATCTCCATGCCAACCTTTCCATCTTGCATGAGTTATGTCTATATAGCGCATAATGATAACTCTTCTTCGATGGTACTGATCCCGGGATTGTCATTGCGAGAAGAATTTTGAGCGTTCGTGAGAATTTGTTCATGGCAGAAATATTTTGGGTTGTTTTGGACATAAGAGAAAGAGACATGCGCCCTCAAAGCGAAGCCCCATTTGGGAATATAAATCGAAACATTTCCCAAGATTCCAAGCCTTGGGTCGTGAGTTCTTCGGACGATAGTAGAACAGGAGAAGCTTTCACCTTTCACATGCTCGATTTGCAAGGATAGACTTGCTGCTGGTGGAGGAATACATAAAACGATGACAGTAGAACGTACCGAAGGCGAGTGGTTCAGCAAGCATATTGGAGCTTAGTGCACTCTAGAAGGTCACACTTTCAAGTAATGGCTTCTTGCGCGAGACTAATTATTACTCCTTGTATGGAAGAAAGAGACGCTAAAGAACGAATAACATGTTGGCGTGATTCTTCCGATTACTTTAAGAGGACATATGTGCCACTTTCTCAATAATACATTTTTAATCGCAATACTTTATTTAATAGCAAGCCATTGCTACACAGACCCTCGAACACAATTACTTACATTCTAATCATCAGGAAACTCATTGAGGTAATGATCAGATTGCAATTGTGCGCCCAAAAGCATTTCAACCCCGATTGAACGTAAACTTCCATTCAACATGCAGCGCAATCCATCTAGTCTGAGACTCAATAGAGGGCAGAATAGAGGCAGAGCGGGTAGAGCCACTCGCGTAGATACGCAACCCGCCATTGCGACCCCAATAACAGGCTCTTCTGTTTGTGTCGAGCACGTCGCGGTTGGCTGTATTTGTAACCTTCCAAATCAAAGCCAGGTGTTTGAACCTGTTTATTGCGTTCGTTCACATAACTGCCAACAGCCGAGCTTGCCATCGGAAGGTTTCAGACACCCAGTCGTCATCTCCGAACTGTACCAGAGAGAAGATGGCGACATCATGGCCAAGTTCCAATTGGTGAGTTGCACTCTCTTCTTGACTCCTGTGAACTGGCATTGGCGGGGACCGCGTCTTCAGGTATCAACCTGGCGAGGCGGATATCCACATTCGGTTTCCCAAAGACGTCAAGGTGAAAGAGATCACAGACTCTGGCAAGACATAGTGATTATGGATGGTGACGACGACTGTGTGGAAGAAGCAGAACACCCGAGAGAATCTCTGCAAGAGTGGTGAGAGTGGAGAATATCGTTATTGTGACGAAAACGTTGCCGCATGGGCCTTTGGGGAAAGTACTGTGGTGTGGTATAGGAAGGTCTGTTTTGGATTGAAATTTTTCTATTATCTGTCTAGATATGTTACTGCTGGACCTGGGGAAAGAGTGAACAGGGACGAGGTTGGGGTGGAAGACTTCGGGTGTCTGCGTGGATCAGACATCTTACAACAGGCCAAGAAACAAAAGGAAGAACGTTGGCCAGATGGTTCTCATCTCACTGTGGTTACCTCAACATGACTTGGCTCTGTTTGGGTGCTGCATCCTCCAAAGTCTTCAAGTGCTTGTAATCATGCAACGATCTCGAAGGCAGCAAAGATCTCGGAAGAGTGAAGCCAGAAAAAGCTTGGTGACACCAGGATTCCCGACCCAGAAAGCAATTCTGAAAAGGAAAGGCCGCCTTAAAATAAAGCTTCTCGTTATGGGGAGGAAATCATTTTCATCAATCATTCTAGAGGCGATGTTGTATGATGCTGACTTGTTCACAACCGCGAAAATTCACCATGTAGATGAGTAAATCACTGAACGATAAGTAGGTAGATGCCATTATGGACGTATGCCGTACATAGAGATTAGCATATCGATTAGCTTGCTAGGTAATCTCTAAGGATAATAGATGAAGTAAAATCTTTTCACACCAAATATTTAATGCAGACAATAGGAAGTCATCTCTTTTTGCTCGCCAAATTTACCTGATCTTCACCGCACTTGAATTAGCTTCGGAGACGCTAAGATCGGTGCAAAACGACAGCCTTCTTGCATACTTGCTCGATCAATTTGCCCGGCTCAAAATAACAAATCTTAGCTTGCAATTCCTTCAGCACCCCACACCAAGGTTTGCTCTCTCTATCTAATTTTTCAACACCGATCACAAAAGGCTATCGATATTGTTGAATCTTCAAGCGATGATAATTCGACAGTACTGTTACAAACATCTCGAATCCGACTAATCACCAACCCGCATTGAATATGCAGAGCAATGCCCCACGTCCGAGTGCAAGTACTGCAAGAAGAAATCGACGCCTTCGACGCGCAGGCCAAATGGGGCTTGGAGCAGGCCATGCAAATACCTTGGCCAATCATAGAGCAAATAGCCCAAGACCTCAGTTCACACCAACAGATATCGCATCCGTTCGCATCGAGCATACGGCGGTAGGAAACGTGTGCTGGTTAACTGATCAGAGTAAAGTGCCTGAAGATGTACGATGCGTCCATAACCATCACTGCATCGAGCCATACATGAGAGCGGACGGATATCGGCATCCAGTTCTGATTACAGGTTTATATCAGAGGGAAGGCTCCTCGGCGCTGGGTGATATTATGGCAAGGTTCCAATCAGTATGTCAGCATCTCAAATTCACTCCCCTTGGTGATTGGTACCAACCCTCTGATTTTTGTATCCTTCCAACAACATGAATTCGACTAAAAATATCTTTTGATAGGTCTCAGCATATAATGGCGAAGATCTTGGGAGCTACATTTACGCTAAAACTTATGTGCGAAAGTTTCTGAACGTAATACCTATCCGCCAGGGCCGAGAAAGACCTGAAGATGGAGTCTTCCGAGAACCAATACCACCAGGACGTAGTCCTTCGAATTCGAAACCAATTCCTTGGTCCTCAGTTGATAAGAAAGGGGAACCCGCAACAGCTACATTCCAGTTAGAATTATCTCCCGAATCACAGCTCCTAGCAAAGCAGTCGTATGTAGATATTGAACATGTTTGGGAGGTCCCGCTCCGATATCTCAAACCATATCGGTTCCGAGGTGTCTGGAGCAAGAGCTATTCTTTTCGAATTTCTAAAGATAGCTATCATGTTATCGCAGCTAGAACCGGACAGCTTGTTCAACCATATACCCCCATAGACGTCGTAAAGGCTAGGACCTTTGTGAGTACATTGGAAGAGTGGTATGGATTTCGGCCTCCTGTGCGCGCTTTATGGTTACAGAAACCAGCCCTAGGAAGAGGACTCGACAGTGGTCATGCTCTCGACGTTAAAAGACTACAGATTACGGCCGGTAAACATACAACGCGATTCTCGGAGAAGATGAAGAACGTAAACAAGGCTGGACATGGAGAGGTCCACACTACGGAAGCTGGAGGAGTGACCGGATCGGAGCGACACTCCGCAATTCCATTCGAGTCGAATATCAGATCTCTTCAGACTGATAGGAAGTTACAAAGCTCGACAGCAACGACACCACGGTCAAGTGGTATCCTCAACCCTCGAGCAGCCACGTTCAGCCCTCGCTCCATGTCAACTCTCAAACAGACTTCTCCGATTTCCCCTCTTACCATACCACCACCGGCCTTCTTCCCAACCCACGAACCAAATTCACGAGCCCCAGAAACGTGGGAGATGCCTCTTCCTAATCACCAGACAGCCTACGTCCTGCAAGAACCCATAATTCCGATGTCTCCCTTTTTCAACTCCCTCGGTATTGGCCGAGACCGAGAATTCATCTACAAGCCAGGGGAACCACCTATTAGGATTCGATTTCCGAAGGAGATAAAACTTGAAATTATGTCTTCCAAGCTAGACATGATGCTCGTGGATGAGGATGAGGAGTTCCTCGAGGACGCCCAATGCCCTAGGGACTTCTTGGCAGATTGGTAACGCAGATTGGGTAGACTGTTTAAATTTGGGACAGATACCCCTTGGAAAAGGATACTGTAGAATTTGGGGCGCGATATTGTACGTGAAGAGACGATGTTGGAAAGACACACTTGGATGCTGTTGTGGGTATAATCATAGAGCTGAGACGACATTTGGACGTCTTTTTGGAACTGATCGAGAGGGATTATGTATGGTATCACACCGCGGATGTTACTAGAGCAGACACCGTCTTGTAAAGAAGTTAAAACATGGAGATCATTTGGGTCTCTTTTTTAATTATTGCCGTAGTCTTACGAGAGTGGTCAACACTCGACAAGCGTGGTCCCACTAACGCACACATTTACATTATCCTTCCCATCTTCCTTCCCATGACAATCGATCAGATTGGGAATCTCTCCAATATCACCACAAACTGTACAGATGTTCGCAGCTGAGACTTGAGTGACGGCTCCAGAACAAGAACCTGGCACCTGAAGTGTGAAGTGACCAGCCGCTGGAGCGCCAGTGAACGTCCCTGCTGGCAGAGTCGATGGCTTGAAAGGGTTAGCAGTTTTTCTCACGATTATTCAAGTCGGACATTCAAGTCAATGTGAGATGGGTAATAGGACGTACAAGCATAAAATTACAAGTTGTAACATCAGCAGTGTGAGAGGTGACCACGATCGTGCCACAATCGAGAGCCAGGTTGATCACCTGTCCCGCCTTGGCATTCTGGATCTCAACTGGGTCACCGGTTGGCTTGCTGCCCTTGAAAGCATCGACACGGAACGGATCATCTCGTTTTGAGAGTGTAAAGTGATGGTCTGTTGTCTCGTTGGCGGAATTTCGGAAGGTGAGTGAGAGAGGTGAGGCTATAGTGAATGGGACAATGAGAAGTGGAAAGAAGTTGATGAGTTGCATTTTGAATCAGGGGTCGTATTGGTCTTATTGAATGAGGCTGTTGCTGTATGGTAGATGAAGAACTTGTTGATGATGCACTTTTCGCGGGACATTGAAGGGTATTTATCTTCAAAAATTTCAGTTCACTCCAGGGATAACAACATCTCCAGTATCTCTTCATGGAGTCGAATAATCATCAGCCTCTGCCAAGTCTCCTTCCGAACGTCGCATTCGGTACGAGAAGCAGACAACATGGATACCAAACTTTTCGCTAAGCGCAAAACAGTTGCGAACAAACAACATTTCTGTCCTTCTATGAGATACTCGGAATTTGACTTCATCTGACACGTAGATCCAAGGCTGACAACTCTTCTAGAGGCAGAGCTTCTCCTCGTTTGTGATTCATGGCCCATATTTCCTTCCGTCATGAACTTAATTTCTCGGACGGTTAGAAATGCATGATGTGAAGGCTTTTCTCCTCTAAGCCATAAGATTTGATCAGCCTGCTATTTGACAGAGAACTTTATTACCGATATAAAATGAGCTGAACTTTGGATTGGCTCGACTTTTATGCATAAGCCTCAGTGGTTGAGAGCATAGACCAAAAGCTTGGCTGAAGCCTCAGCCTCAGAACTTCTGGGAAGTTGGTTTCATCGTGAACTCTATTCCCTTGACATCACTCGGGACAATGGAATCTGAGGTCCGACAGCTCGGCCGGACAAGTTGAAGTAACGAAGTCAAGACGGATACTCAAAGTCAAGAGCTTAGGCTCACGTGATGGACGCTATTTCAAGCTACCTATTACCAATTAATCTGCTTCAGTTTCTCGGCAACGGGGGAGTGTTTCCTTTCGATCAGCTATATTTACAACAAGGGTCTGATTGTCGCACATTGTACTGCTCACGTGTAGCACAATGACGTAAAATTCCCTCTCGCTTAAAAGGGGGGAAGTTGCAACCCCGCCATCTGGACTTGAGATGAACAGAAGTGAGAGAAAGAGTTGGGACATTGAAAACTTAGCATCTCACAATTGCGCTAGCACAAGCGATCGTCCTGATTCTTGAGAGACCTGAAGCTAAACACAAGGAAGGAGAAGTGGCGCAGCACTCACACTATCTGCTCTGAAAGCTATGCCTCATATCGTTCTAATTGGTACTCTTGATACCAAGCTCCAAGAATTTCTGTACCTACACCAACAACTGAACGACCTCTCCACATCCACCTCGTCACCTCTCAAGGTCACTCTCATAGATTGTGGTCGCACAAACATTCAACATGAAGCCATCTCCATTTCGCAACAAGCCCTAATCGCCGAGTATGGAGGATCAGAACTCAAAGATACCATGAAATTACCGCGTGGGGAAGTCATCCAGTACATGACTCAGTGCTGTACCGCCTGCTTGAAAACACTTCTCAAAGATGATCAAATCCACGGAATCCTAGGCGCAGGAGGTTCTGGTGGCACGAGTTTAGTGTCAGCAGTGATGAGGGATGCTGCACCTTTTGGGCTACCGAAACTCATTGTTAGCACTGTTGCATCGGGCGATACCAGTCTATTCGTGGGCGAAACAGACATCACGATGATGAACTCTGTCGTTGATATTGCTGGGACAAACGAGCTACTTCTTAACGTCCTGAGCAATGCTGCTGGGGCAATGGTTGGAATGAGCGCTGCATACGAGCGAACCCTCGAACGAAGGAGCAAGGAAACTGCTCAGCAGGTGGAGCGTGTTACACGCATCGGGATCACGATGTTTGGTGTGACCACTCCGTGCGTCAATTACATCACACAGTATCTCACCAAGAATTATCCAGTCGAGACATACGTTTTCCATGCAACTGGACATGGCGGAAAGGCAATGGAACGGCTCGTCGAAGAGGGACGGCTTGATGCAGTGCTCGATCTTACGACTACTGAGATCTGCGATCACTTATTTGGTGGAAATATGAGCGCTGGCCCAAATCGACTGGAAGCTGCACTTTCGGCTGGCATTCCGAACATTATCTCACTTGGTGCGACTGATATGGTTAATTTCGGAGCAAGAAAGGCGGTCCCGGCTGAGTACCTGAATCGACTTCTTTTGGAACACAATCCAACTGTGACTTTGATGAGAACAACCAAGGAAGAATGTGACGCAATTGGGAAATTCATGGTAGAGAAGATCAAGGGGTTTGCGAAGGATCAAGACATGATAGAAGTTTGGATTCCGAAAGGAGCCAGTGTTGTCTCAACACCAGGAGAGATATTCGCCGATGAAGAAGCAGACGCTGCTCTTGCTGAAGCAATCAAAAAGGGGTTGGAAGGTACCAAGATCAAAATTGTGCAGGATACCAGGCATATCAATGAGGAAAGCTTTGCGAGTGATATTGCAGAGAGCTTGATGAAAATTGTTTCGAGAAAGAAGGATGGAGTTTAGCTTGTAGTAATCATTGAACTCAACGACGATTTTCCAGCAGTAAATACAAATCAATGCGTTTATCGTTCCTTTCCAGTGGAATTTTGAAATGTAATAAAGCAACTCCATTTTCTGAACTATGAAGTGTTCATCGCAATGTTCTTGAATTCCATCGCATTCCGCTTGATCGCCTCCCCCACAGGCAATCTCTCCATCGAACTCGCACCAAAGAAACCATGCAGTCCCTTCACCCGGTTCAACATGAACTCCGCATCTTTGGGAGACGCGATCGGGCCTCCATGACACAAGACAATGGCATCCGGCTTCACAGAAACCACCGCATCTCGAATAGCTTGAACACTACCAACACATTCTTCCAAAGTCTTTCCAGTCTTGGCACCAATAGTCCCCGAAGTCGTCAGTCCCATGTGAGCCACGAAAATATCAGCGCCTGCTTTCGCCATGGCAACACCTTGCTCAGGATCAAAAACATAGGGCGTGGTAATCAAACCCATCTTGCTCGCCACTTGGATCATCTTCACCTCTTTCTGATAGCTCATACCCGTCTCCTCAAGATTCGCTCTAAACTGCCCATCAATAAGACCCACAGTAGGAAAGTTCTGCACTCCAGCAAACCCCAAATCTCTCAGCTGGGCCAAGAACCGTGGGATATCCTTGAATGGATCTGTCGCACACACACCTGCGATCACAGGAGTTTTTGAAACCGCGCTGAGGATTTCGGGGGCCATGTCTACGACGACATCGTTTGCGTTGCTGAATGGCATGAGGCCTGCCAAGCTGCCCTGACCCGCCATGCGAAAACGGCCGCTGTTGTAGATAATGATGAGGTCGATGCCTCCGGCTTCTGCACCTTTTGCAGAGAGCCCGATACCTGTGTTCAGATGTGAGAAGATTCAAGCTATAGAAGAACTTTCGAGCATACCTGCGCCGGCACCCATGATGGGAACATGCTTCTCGATATTGGCTCGAAACCGAGCAAGGATCTCTGTTCGATCTGTCGGCGGTGACATGATTTTTGCATCCAAGTGCGCATGTAATTACCTCATCAACAAGATAGAGAGCTAAGCTTCTTGAGAGGAATGCTCGTGCCGGAGAAGATGTGAGGTTGAAGTCGGACAAAAGCGGAGAGTTTACATAATCTCGCATGACGTAGCGCTTCATCCTCAACCACCTCACAGTTCAAACCTTGTAGCAGACATCAATTCAAAGATGCAGCAATGGGCTCTCCATATGATGGTTTCAAGGCTTCTTTATTTGTTAGAGGCAGAAATTTTGATATACAGCTTCGCCTCTATGAGGAAGAGCTCCAGCAATTACTCTGGCGGCAACGTAAGCGAGAGCCAGCAAGAAAGGGGGAACATGATCTTCGAAGGTTTGACGCTGTGAAGCTTTATTTTAATTTGCTTATAAAATGAAATAGTCTGCATTTTCGAGATACACAAGACATCTCAACGGCCATGGCTTTAACTGTCTTCTCTTTGCAATTTTGAAGGGAAAAAGATCTTCCATTACCTGCCCTCAATATTCAGAGCGGTAGTTCCGCTACAGTGTCATAATATCATTTATAATCCTGGCTTGTGCGCCGCTAATCCCTCTTCATTAATCTTTCTTCCTCCAGCCCTCCAGAGCCTCATTAATTGTCAACGATCTCCACCCATGCTCCGAGATCCGGCTCTCATTAGTTTCTCTAAGCTCCAAACATTGAAACCCATGATTCGAAGGCACTGCACATTTTCCACAGGATATTGGGTGGTCCCAATCCGGAGATATCTACTCCAGAGATTTCTCCGAGCCAATTTGTTGAGTCTCGATGGAATCGACATCTTGCGAAGCTAGAATGGACCTCAAGCCGCAAGACTCAAAATTAAGCCGACACAATCTCTCAACCGACTGCATATTCAGTTCAAGAATCATCGATGTATCCATCTGCTGCTTCTTAGGAACAAACAACGGATATCTCCTCGCCGCTTTGCCGACAATCTCCAGATTCGTGTCACGGCCACGGAGGACTAGGAACTCGTTGTCATTGACCTTGCGAATAGAACCTCCAACCTGAAATCCGGGAGAGCGTGCAACGTAGAAACATCCACTAGAAGAGAAAGTTCCCTCCTGTTTTCCGCCCGTAAAATCATACAGCAGTATTTCAAAATCATCTGCGGATCGTTTGAGGTGGAACCTGTTGATTTGATCGTCGAATTTGAACGAGTATTGGTCGAGCCCTAAAGCGAGGCCAGCAACCATCTCTTTGTTATCCTTGGCGGGTTTGAAGTCCTCTTGCTGGCCCTTTCCCACCCGCTTTGTCTTCGCGTCGTTGAAAAAATCAGAAAATTCTTCTAATTCATGCCAAGCCGCGAAATCCAACACCATTTCACTACCGCCATCCATCACGAAGAACAAATCTCGCGCCATCTTATAGAATGCAGCTTGATACGAGGTTCCTTTCGAGATCAATATTTCCTGATGAGAGACAAGATAATGCTTCACCACCGACCTCCACACTTTCGCGGGAGACTGCGAGTAATCGACTCTCAGACTAGCTTGACAACAATCCCGACTCAAGCTGCGAAGACCAAAGACTTTGTCCCGCACATCAGTACACGAAGCTCTTCTATACGTATGGAACAGTTCAAATAAGGTAGCGACCTCCGTCGGTTGGGTAGCTTGATGAGCTTTTACTCTCTGTTGCAAGATCTTGGCTGGGACGGTATCTAATAAGTCGTACATTTCCACTCGGGCAGTTTGCCGATTGGATCGTAGGGGGTCGATGGAGGCGCCGAGTCCTCTTAGCTCTTCGCCGATGGGAGGTCGAGCGAAGAATTTCTCGAGGCTGTCCCATGGAATTCTCATATCTCCGCAGACGAGCACGATTCGTTGGGCGAGGACGAGTTCTTGGATTATCCATAGCCGGCTCCAGTCTATAAACGTGGATCAGCACGTATCTATATGTATTGGAAAAAGAAGAAGAAGAAGAGCGAATATCCAGAGCGCACACAAAAATGTTGCAGAACACCAGATTCTTGAATCAGAAGCATAGAAACAAGTATAAAGTAAGCACTTACAAGTCCTCCGGCACAGATAGAGCACACTTCGACACGCCTCATTCGATGTATCCCGCGGGAAGACATTTTGTCGCTGGTAGAGTGCCAGCAGCCCAGCCGCCTTGGAGACATCCGAACCGGCTAGGATTCGACGGCGGATGCGAGGCTGATCTGAAGGCCCAAGCCAGGCCAAGACACTCTCTGCACGGCTGTAAATAGCGCCCATGTAGTTGACCTGTTATAGTGTTCTGTTCAGAATGACTCTCTAAAGCAACTCTGAAGTGCTCATTGAGAAAATGAGCAATAGCCCATAATCTTTCTTGGAAAAAAAATAAAAAAATATAAAGGATTGTCACCTGATGATTCCTCTCCTTCTCATTATCCTGATCAATACACAAAGCATCGACCCAGAGCTTGATTATTTCAGTCTCAGAACGTATATGCCACAAAGCTCGATATAGATTTTCTCGGATCGGTACTTGGTCCCCATTGAGCGTCATGCAGTATTTGCTAACAGCAGAGAACTCGAAGAATGACCCCTCAGGTTTCCATTCGTATGACAGTGCTTGGTACCGAGTCGTCTCATCTTCAAGATTGGCTAGATGGAGCGTGCAAACGATGTCCGTTTCGCTGAGGCTTGGCAGGCAAGGCTGTAGATGGATGAGCCGGATTTGGGCTCTTGATTTGTCGACTGGACAGGAAGAGTAGAGTTGAGATGGTGCCATGGCGCATCTTGAAATCTTTTCGATTCCTGAGTTAGTACATTTTATATATCGTGAGAAATGAGATGGTTGTCGATATTGAGGGTTGCTGATCGAGGCTGAGAACATTAGGCAGCTAAAGTGAGATGCATGATGTAGCGCTACAAGCGAGATCCTTGGCTTCACCCAATTAATTAAGCACATACCCATCTAAGTCGACAACACTCAATCTTGCCATAACAATAATATTACTACACCAAATTCTATTTACAGCCCTCTTCCTCTATCTTTCCTTTTCCTGTCCCTCTCATCTCTCTGTCCCCTCTCATCACACATCTAAGCAATACCCTCCCAATCAACCCCCCAAACCTCCCCACCCATCGTGAACCCGTCCCGATTCCACTGCGGCCAATCCCCACTAACCCCCGAGTCCAACACATTCGTAATGTCCATATGATGATTACTCTCCTGCAGCGGCAGCGCCAGCGGAACACCCTCAAAAGAATTCGGATACGGCGTCCAGAAGAAATTATGTTGGTAGTGTAGCGGGGGTTTCAAGCTGTCTGTTGTGGTGGGGAAGATTTCGGGTGCGGAGTCCTTGCGGGATAGAAGTGTGAGGTCGATGTGGTCGTGTTTTGGGTCGTGGTTGTTGATTGTTGAGCCGTTGGTGGTCGTGGGGTCAGGGGTGCCAAGGTTCGGGATGGATACTTCGTCCATTGCTTCTTGGACTCGAGGGGGGATCACCTTACACCATTTGTGGATCAGCTCCATTATGATTGGTGTGTAGCGTCCGGCCATGGTGATCTTTTGTGTCATTTCGTGCATTGCACGAATAGACTCCGCGAGATGGTTTTCGGTTTCCGGGAGGCTCGTGCCTGGGTGTGAGCAGATGTTTACAAGGTGAATGATTGCGGCTGACATGACGCAATGAGTGTTGACGAAGACGCTCATGCGATGGCCATATGTCTTTTTGTACAGGTCCAGCAGTTGGGATATCGTATTCGCCGATGCGGTGCATATTTGCCGTGGTGTTTCCGATCCTTGAACAAAGGAAACCTTCAGGAAAGGACGGAATGTTTGTATAATGCAGTTGTTGTAAAATATACTACCATCCATCAGCGACTATCCATTGGCACGAGGAAAACACTTACTGTAAAGTAATAACTTGTGGTAAAGTAGGCCCCTCCTTCCGAATAGCAAGCCCCGGCGGAAGTTTACGATACCAATCCTGCAGCTGCTCATGAAACATCTGCAACTTCCGACTCGTGATTCGATCTCTCGGGGCATAAAACGAACGTAAAATATCATCGACAATCTCCACCAGGACGCTGCACTGTAATAAAATGGAATATTTCAAGCTTGGCTGAGTAAGTCTCGCCACATCCTGCTCGGGGAACCCATGTGGTCTCCATAACGTATTCTCCAGGCTGGCAGTTAATGTCGGTTTCTCTAACCGGACTGCTGTCCGTGGTAAAGTCGGTATTCGTCCTACACAGACTGACCAAATCTGCTCGAGGACAAAACAACCCCAGAAGGTCACTTTCCGGGCTTCAATCTCGGACAGAGTGAGCTTGCTGCCAGATTGAGCAGTATGAGAGATGTGCAGTCCCAACTCAACCGCCATGCTCATCATTTGAGCGGCATATCTTCGACCACTACTGTCATGACTGCTGATAGCCTCGCGCAGAGACATTAGACCCAGAGCCTGAACAATCGTCAGGGCCGGTGTATTGTCATCCTCTGCCAAAAGTCGTTTTGCCTCAGTAAAGAAACGTTCTCCAATAGGCGGAGATGCTCGTGTTTCTGGCCTGTCCGAGTAATGGCATCCGAGAGCGAGAATAGCATTGACAAGCAGCGGCGTGCAGTATTTAGGCTTCCTGTCCCGCATTCCGTGGTGGAAGATCTCCTCCGAGAATATAAGGTATATTGGATGTATCCATGCGAAATAGGATTCCATGATATCGTTGATTAGATTGGTGTCAGACGTAACAGTTGTCCAAGTCTCAACCTGTTCCGCAGTCATAGCCCGATTTTGGACCTGATCCTGCAATGAAAAATTGGACGTATGCCCATAATGACTGCTAACGCCCGACTTATCCGTCGAAGCCTTTCCATGGAAATCCATAAGAAGCTGTCCTTCAAGACTAGATGGAGGTTCAACAGGAGGCGGATCCGAATGCTTATTCAACGCCATGGCCCTGATCATCTCGGCCATATTCTCATGACTCTGATCCGGATTAGAACGAATGAGTTGCACAATATCATCAACATCAGCTTCAGAGCCGGCTCTAACTATTGGCAAATTAGCAGTTTCTTTTGACAGAGCTCCAGAAGCCCATTTTCTTCGATGAATTGCTCACAAAAACAATCCCAAAGAGCTCAGCTCCTATATTAATCCAATCCAGAAAAAGGGAAGTAGAAATCAACCTACTAGCATCAAGCACCGCCCCAATCCCCTCAACCCTCTCCGTCAACTCCGAAATATCCCTCTTCAACGCCCCCTTCCTCCTATGATCCGCATCAATATCAAACCGGCACTCCACCCGATAAACATCCCTACAAGCCCCACACCTAGGTTTCTCGCCATCACACTTCACATACCACACCCGTTAGCCTCGTCCCCTCACTCCCCTTACTCAAATAACGGGAAACATACCTTCGATTTCCGCTTCCGACAAGGCATACAAGCACTCGAGATACACCTCCTCTTCGCCGCCGCTGCCGCCGACGACGACGACGCCGCCTTCTCGCCGCCCGATCCCGACGACGCTGGGTCTAGCACCGGCGACGCGGATGAGGACGGCGGGTCGTATTTCGGGAGGAGGGGGCGTTGCTGCATGGTGCCGTACCGTTCCAAAATTCCAGTTCCTAGGAGATGATGATGGGTTTCAGCCTCATGGCGCGAGGCGCGATGTATATGCGGGGATGCTGCGTGCGGGCGCGCGAATTGTCTGGTGGAGATGAAGAGGGCGATGTGCAGCTGCTCAATTCCCCGACGACGTCAGCCTCGTAGATAAGTATAAGTATACCTCAGGCATTTAATCTCTCCAGGGATGCGATCGGACTCGAGAGAGGGATGGACGACGTCTCTCTTACTGTAAGAGAACGAAATAGAAGCACCGGGCAGGGACGACGGGGCGAGGCAAGGAACTTTAGTTCAGGTAGGTAGTTTATCGCCGACGGGGCGCTCCTTCTCGGCAATTGCAGCGCGTCACGTGGTCGAGAGCTGAAATTGGGAGTGAGCGGTATTTATTTTGACGGGTTATGGAGGAGTAGAAGAGGAGGTGATGGTGACACAGAGTGAAGAGAAAGAAAGGGAGGGAGGGAGCTTGTCGTGTCAGCGTTGGAGATTCGCAGGATGCTGAACCCCTGAGTGGGGAACCGGCAGCTAACCCCCATATCGCCGATCATTGCCTGCTGAGTTTTTTTCCTTGGCTTGGCTGGGGAGCTCGGGGAGTTGATAACGGAGCATGGATACTACTTTGGATCTTTTCGTATTAACGCACCCTGTTCATGTAAGGCCGAGAACCTCACGTCTTCAGCTCTCTGAATCACGGTTCATATTTCACATCACTCAAATCCAGGAAAGAATCAAGATAGTAAATGCACAAGGCATCATCCATTATATTGTATTTAGCTCCAGCTTCCCCTACACACCACAAACTCTACATTCAACAAGACAAGCCGTTGCGTCGCCGCAAACCTCCCTCTTCTCTTCTTTCTTTTCCCAATCCCACCCATCTGATATAACTCACTTTTACAAGTTCCATTTTCGTTTCGCTTTTCGCTTTGTGATACACCAGACAAGAGACCATGAAAAGAAGAGAGCAAGAAAGAGAAAGGGCAAAAGAGTACGAGTATCAGCGGCGTGAGCCTGAAAGTGTTTTGACTTTTTCTTGCCATGCCCGCCAGATCCGCTTTTGTCCTTCGAAGCCAGCGCAGAGAAGAAACACACATACACCAAGTATACAATTATCAATATCCCAATGCATCTTCCGAAGGCCGTGTATGCGCAGCCAATCCCATTTCGCAGATGCCAAACTTATTCAACCCGCAACAGCCCATTCACTGCTGTAAAAACTAGAAAAAGGAAAAGGATGAAGATCAGTAATGATTCAATTAATCATAAACGCCCTTCATCCGTCGTAAAACGCCGTTGTTCGCCTGTGACCCAGAAACCATGTAAAGATCATTCGCTAAAACGCTATTCAAGTGGGTATCAAATCAATCGATCGATCATCATGCAGTAGTAGTGTGAAAAAAGTGTAGGCGAAAGAGGATGAAAAGGGTATCGTGAAGGGTTGTCGGCCGTAAGGAGGAGTTTCTAAATAGGTGTAGCAGGGACATTGTTGCCCCTGTCTCGAGAATGTGTCCAAGCAAAGATATCGAACTTGTCCTTTTGTGTGGACGAGAATCCAGTTGGGTCGTTGATAGGGCTAGGTCTTGGGTGCATGTTTTCGCGAGGTTCGAGGAGTAAACTCTTGCGGTAGTATTGTTGTACGTTCTCGTTCTCCGAAGAAGACTTGACGCGTACAATCTGTGCTTGAAGCCACTCTTGCATCTCGGCAATCTCGGCGAGTCTGTACGGAATCTGGAATCGCTGAAGTTCACCAATGATCTTCGCAGTTCGGGTATGCTTGTCAAAGTTGATCACTGACATTCCATCGCTGTCACCGAGGCCTGGGAGTTGGCGAGTGGCAGCATTGCCGGCATCAACAAAGGTCAAGTCGGTCAGGTACATGCCGACGAATGGAAGGCAAGGAGGAACGTGATCGTGGAGTCTTCTTCGCAGGACAGCGTAATTCTTGTCGGGCTCGACAATGGCTTGCAGACCCTTGAGCATGTCCTTTCGCTTCTGTGAGACCATATCCCATGTTCTCTTCAGACGAATGATGGTTGAAGAGTTCAATGAACAGATGATGGCCATCAACGAGTCGTAGTTGTTGAGCTCCAAGCACTTATGTGCGATCTTGATCCAGTGCTTGATGATGACTGCTCGCTTCTTCGCGTCATCATACTGAAGGATAGTATCTGCAACCAAGTTTGAAAGGTCTGTGGAAAGCGTCGACATCGCTCTGACGTTGACCGCGTTGGATCCGGATCGCTTCGTCCATTCCGAGCCAAGGAGCTCCTCAGGCATAATCGAGCAGAAGATAGTCATCTCCTTGATCGTTAATTGACGGGCCAATTCGAGGGGATCGAACTCGAGTATGGTAGGATTGCTTCCGCCCATCTTCCAGTTCTTCAAAGCTCCCATCTGACTCTTGCTCAAGCCCGTTGGTGGTAAAGGCGTATCTGCTGGAATGTATTGTGCGATGGAGGTGGATGTCTTGCCCATGGAGGATACTAGACGAGGAACAAGGGGACCGTCAGTAGACGAGACCTTCTGAGACAACTCCAACAATCTCTTTCCAGCTCCAGGAAGTACTCGTCCAAGCTTCTCGGTGGCAAAGGGCTGAATGATTGACAAGGCATCATGATCGGAAAGATCTCTCCAGTGTGACTCAAGCCAACCCTTGAAGACATTGTAAACTCGCAGTCTTACGGGACCAGCGATGTGAGGGCTTTCGCCAACGTAGTCAAATCGATCAACCAAGGCTTTGGCAAGCTCGGTTGGAGTAACGAACAACCTGAAAGTGAGGTAGAAAGTCGAGACGAAGATCGAATCTGGGGTCGAGTCATGCGTGGTAAGTCTCTCGACCAGTGCTGGAAGAGTACCTCCAGTGATTTGACCTTCCTTATTGTGCATAAGCTCGTGCGCATATGTCTTCTCCAGCATCTTCGATTCACCATCATCTGCATCATCAGCAAGAGTCGACTGGGAGCCTGTCATGCTCAATTCTGAAATTGACGGTTGGGTTCTGGGTACATATACGGAGATATCGGGAGTTGTGGCTCGAGTTGATGTTTGAGAAAGCATGCTTTGTTCAGAGTCGCGCATGCCGCTCAAGTAGGTGCTGCTGGTTCCAGAATTTGATATCGCGATGCTGCCAGAACGGAAAGAGGCTTGGAACTCGCTATCATGAGCCGATGAATGTTCTGAAGGGCTGTAGTCCTCTTGAGTCATCAACGGGCTGGTCATCTTTGGGAGAGGCGGTAGGAGGGATTTGCGAGCTTCTTGCTTGGAGTCCATCATTTGTTGCTCAGCCGTAGCATTCTCTGCCACGGGTTCCAGCGCGGTTGGTGATAATCGTGCGAAGTTGTCCTCGGGAGTAGGAGATGCCAAAGGAACCTGTGGAAGGGGTTTCTCGTAGCTTGGAATGATTAGAGGAGGTGGAGGTGGTCGACTTGCAGGTTCTGGAGGTGAGTCCTCAATTATGTCTGCTGATGGTTTGGATTCTTCCTCCGTGACAGCGCCAATTGACGCTATATCAATACCGAGACCTTCGTTTTGCGGCTCGAATTCAAAGTCTCCGATTCGTTCTATCACGAATTTGGTTTTGGCGACGCACTCTCCTGCAGCCTTCACACAACTTGTTGCAGCCATGAGTAGGCGACCATTTTGTTGGGGCATGACCACATCTTCATCTTCAATCCCCGACAAAGTGATGATCTCCCGTGCAGCAATCACCAACTGATTAATTCGGTCGTACATGGCGTTTCGTGCAGCATCGAGGACCTCAGCGCTTTGATTATCGTGGGCACAAATCACCTCAACAACCTTAAGCAAATCTTGACCTGCTGTAACAGATTGTCGTACTGTCGAAATGAGATCTGCAGAAGACTGTGATTGGAGATGCAATCGGCCAATGAATGAGCCCAGGTGCGACAAGAAGGTATCATGACTGGAGTTGAGTCGTTCTGAAACCAAGTTCTGTCGTTGTGCTGCCGGTATGGTCGCCGATAAACGATGGGAGATTGACTGCCGCTTGATGTGGACCGAAGACGGCCGTGAGGATAGAGGCCGGGATGAAGAGGCGGAGGGATGTTTGGTCTCCATCCGTTTGTAAGACTGTCGTTTTGTTTGCTCGTCTAGCCGTTGTGATCCTGACAAGCCGCTTCCCGAGCTGCGACTCGAGCTCCTGCGAGATGCCGCATCATATGCAGGGTCTCCATGCTGTGCTCCATCAAACGACGTCGAGTCCGCAGGAGGTGTTGGAGGATTGTACGCTTCTTCGGCCACGGTTGCCATTAATCGGTGAATCGGCTGCTGTTGTCGTGTTCTGAGATCATCGTCCAGGACATCGAGAAACCGTACTCCCCTCGTGACTATCTTGAACGCCTTCAGAATCATCTCGTCAATAGTGTTGTTAATTTCATCCGAATCAGCGTGTGATGGCGGTACACTAGATGTGTACTCTTGCAATCTCTTCGCAGTTTTCACCAAAGCAGACAGATCAGACAAAAGTGCTTTCCTGTTCCTCCGTAGTCCTTCATTGCTCTGTATGAGATGAGACTCTCGGGTCAGGCAGTTCGATTTTTCCTATGATCGTCAGCTTGCATGAAATGTTCTACGGCTTACGTTACTGACAAGTAGATATCGCACTCCTGCTATGATTCCTCGCATGAACTCCTGGTTACCAAAGACTTCGCTGTCGCTTATGACTCCACTCCTCAAGAGGTCCCAGAAGTTCAATAGAGCTTTTAGTAAATTTCGCATAGACTCTGGGTCGTATGCTTCACAGTAATTCGTTGGCAGCCAGCCTCTTGCTCCAGAGATGAGAAGTGTGCCATCGGCCCAGCCATTTGTGTGGACCGAGTGTACCAATACCACGTCGCCTTCGTTCAACGGTAGGGTCACTGTCGTATCGGAAACTGCGTAGGTAGGATGAAAGGGATAGAATGCTCGGAGGAAGTTGTGGAAGACGGGTTGGGCCAGTTCAATCTGTTGGCTGAGGTCCTCCTGCGAGCCATTTGGTGTCGCTGGTGGCGTCATTTGCGATTGACCACTGGTCGATTCTGTTCCAGTCTGGCTGCTGCTTCTAGAGGATGTATTCCTCCTGTGTCTTGACGCGCTGCTTGCTCCACGAGACCTGTCCTTGTTGATGGACAATGGGGCTACGTGAATACTTGAACGCAACGAATGTTCTTTCTCCGTCACCATGATGGGCAATCCTGGAAGGCTACCATGGGACAGTGATGTTCATAGGTATTGTTGTTTCCCGCGTAGTCTGAATATATGTGTGTCGTTTGTTGTCGACTATGGATCGTACCAACGTATCGTCCGCTATGCCGAATGTTTGTATTATGATCGGTGAACTGATCCAGCGGTAGGGTGATCACGGAGGGGAGAAGGTATGTTGTATGCGGATCTGGCCGTTAATCAATGCGTATCGAGTCCTGCTTTCGGATCCAGCCTGACGTCCCTTCCAAAGATGCAATTGATTGCAATCAACGCAGTGAAGATCTACACGAGACGGGCAATCAGTAAAAGAGGCTCGAAAGTTTTGTCTGTTGTTGTTGTGAAGGGTAGGGAGATAGGAATGCAGTGAGGGGCCTAGGAATGCCACGATGCTCTGAGAGCGTGGGCGGAAGGCTGCATACCAATTCGGGAAGCGTTCAGGGTTTCGGGAGGATGCTCCAGTCAACGTCCTCGTCATGCGCAGGCTGAACAGTAATGCCGGACGACGTTTTTGCTTATGCCGATCTCCCTCGAGGTGACCTTGCTGTCTGTATGTGTGTGTTTTCTTCCAATATTCGTTGCGATAAGTGGGCAGGGAGTCAGGATGTAAAGGAGGAAGGCGAAAGGTGCTCGAGCTCGGAGCAGGGCTGGCGTCCTAGACCCTAACCCTGGGTTCTCTATGCTTTGCACTCGAGTCAGAGAAGGTGACAGACTATCGAGCCAATGGATGGCGGAGCAAACTAACTAATGTGTCAGGCCGTGAGGTTGGAGCTCGAAAATACCAATGCGTTCGGTCTCGGATGTGTTGTGAGTGAAAGTGCTTTTCGTGATGCACCGCACCGGGAATCCGAGCAATGCCAATGCGTGAAACTGTGAGGGTCGAACGATGCTCGCACGGCGCGCGGGAGGTACTGCTGGTCCCGTTGCTATTGCTCCCTCTCCTCCTTCTCCGTGGACGATCGTCTGTCTTCTCGCGCCGAGTGCTCTCGTGCGTGGGATATGCAACGCGGTACTTGCTTGGTACGTAGGAAGATGGGGTGCAGTCGACAGACACAATTGCACAAGAAAGGTCTTGCAGCAGGTTGTTGGTGGATACCCAGGCCCAGATATCCGTAAGTAGGGCAGCAATATAAGATTGCTTTGACCTCTGCGATCTGGGGTTATTGTGACGAGGGTGGTGGTGCTGGTGGTGGGAGGTAAATGGATGTGGGTGTTGGTGGTTCTCTGGTTTTGGTTTGGTCGAGTCGAGTCGAGTCGAGAAATAATGCAAGGGCAGGATGAACGGCGCGACAGGGCAGACCAGGGCAGGCCAGGCATGTGCCGAAGGAACGAAGAGGAAGAAGGTGAACAAGGGGAAGGAAGGGGAAGGGGAAGCAGCGACGAAACAGATGAAGCTGCGACTCGACTGTACAGTACTGCACTGCACTGCACCGCAAAGCTGCACACCTCCACACTTCCCAAAAGTATTTATTCGATGACCCAAGAATTCAATGCACCAGATGCGGAGAGAGAATGAATGTCGGTAGGCACGCATAAGAGATGGAGAGAGCGTTGAGGGTGTGCAGAGGGAGAGGGAGAGGGAGAGGGAGAAAAGAAGATAACAGTCACTGGGGGAACTACTGTACTTGGAGTTCCCACGGTCAGTCAGTCAATTAATTAATTAGTTTTCGCACGCAGGAAGAGTTGGGTTCTAATTTGATCTGGGCTTTTGCCTTTTGGCTTTGGGCTTTGGGGCTTTGTCTTTGTTTTCCCACGAGGGCGAACGAGACGAGGGTCAATTCGGAGACTTTTCACGGGCCACCAGAAAACAAAATACAACGGGCGTACCCTGGTGTCGTGTGTGGTGTGGTGTGCCACGTTGGCGTCGACAATAGCGGAGTTGGGCGAGGTGATGAAGAAAAGGGTCAATTGAGAACGCTCGCCAGAGATCTTTTCCTTTCTTTCTATTGGCGGTGTGCAGGATGGATTCTGGTGCTGAAGCTGCGTAATGACCAAATGGGGACAAGCCGACAGCCAATCCTCCATTTCCACTGCATCGGTCAGGGGAGCGTGTTTTGCTGGAGACTACTATAGCCCCTGGACCGCGTCGCAAGTACCCTCGACACGAAAATGGTATGCAGATATCGACGCCGGTGGGAATAGCTTCATCTTGTACCTCCGCGAGCCGTCATGCTCAGTAGTCCGAGCTAGAGACTGAAGGGCTCTGCTAGCTGCATGATGGCACTTGTTAGATGTTGAGACCACTCAGGATAGCTTCTGAAGGGAGCAAGATTGAGGAAACTCTCCGTGGGATGGGTCGACGATCCCCAAAGACGTGGGAAACATCTGCCGTGAGTGCTATTCAGAAATCATTCCACGAGGGTCTAAAACAAGTATGACACTCGCGGTGTCCAGAGATAGACATATCTGATCACGCATCCAGTTGTTACGATACGCCGACGTCCAGTGTGATGTTGTCTGTACTGGATGTCGAAATCGATGTTCAGTAATTCATTCGTCTTGCTGCTCAGTGAGCTGTCAATTCGCGCACTGTTACTGGCTCAGCTCAACGTCCTCATTTCTCTTGACGGGGTTTCTCCATCCAAACGCTGTAGAACCAGAATTGTATATGATTCGGAACCTCCCTCGGTTTCCTAGATCTGTCTCTGCCACTCCCCGACATCCTTCAGATCATCGAAACGCAATCTCATTTCATCTGTCGCCATGGTCATCTAGGAAGAATCGAGTATCGCCTTGTTGTTGACAGCGTCTCCTCGGCCAAACAGAAGGAGGATCGATCTGCTTTGGGAGATTACGTCGAGCGCGATACTACGTGCCACCGGCCCTTTAACGGCTCTGTCATTCTTAGACCAGGTCGATTCTGGTAAGTACTGTAGCATCGTATTGCAGTTTACCTTTCAATTCTTTGTTTATTCCCTTTTTTTTTTTCCGGAATGAGGTCGCGAACATATCATGGCTCTCCTCCTTTTGGTTGGAGGCTGGCAGGGCGTCAAGATAGATAATTTTATTTCGCTGCATCGTCCAGAGTCGATATCACGATGTCACTCAGATACACCACAAGGCATTCCAGGCGCCGAAGGGTACAGTAGTGCTTGTGTCCTCCGTTCTGTTCGACTCCCCTCAATCGCCATGGGGGGCCTGGCCATGCTCGTCGACGTGGGGTTGTGTGTCTTCGGGGCCCTCATCTGAGACCGACCTGGGATGTTGGTTGGATTCACAGTCTCTCCTTGCACGTGCGAAGAAGAGTCCCTGTAATTGTGGCCGTCACCCCCATGCTCTTCAGTGGACGCCATGTTCAGCATCCCTCCAGCATCCTCAAGCCTGGTCTTATGCGCACGTTCCACGGAATATTCGAAGGCCGAAATACCCTGCTGTGGCGTGCGCTGCTGCTGAGCTTTCTTCGCTGCTGAAAAATTGGTGGTGATGTTTTGTATCTCGTTTCGTACTCCTGAAATTCGTACCAACTGTGCCTCACTTTGCCACTCGCACGCCGCTTCGGCTGCCTCAATCCACCTCTCACAGGCTCAGATTCCCGCAATTTCAACGCCTCCCCGCCTATCTGACCACGAGGGTTCCAACGGTACGGGACGGAGGGCCAACAGCGATGGCACAGAGCCCTTCGTTACTCTGGGGAGATTCCCGAACGGGCTCTCCAGTGGCATTGAGAGTACGTACCTGAGCAAATCAGAGAGCAATGCTTCGCCCTAGAATCGATACACTTCTCGTCCGACGACGGCGACGAGCAAAGGAGAGAGCGGGAGACTCTCTGATGTGGTGATGTGATGGCTGCTGACCCGGGTGATAATGCAGCCTCGTGCACGCAAAGCACAATATCGAGTCTCTTAATGGATTCCCTTTCCAGTCGGGGACACGTGCAGGAGCATCTGCATCGGGCTCAAACAGAAGCTGCATTATTCTGCTGCGGTGATGCAGCCATTGCCAAGTTGACAGCGGGTGAGCACAGATGCAAAATGACCAAAAGCGTACATTTTCCTCCCCTAGCCATTCGTCTGATTACTTGCTCGCTTCTGCTTCGAGACAAAAGAGAATGCGAGACGCACACCCGCCGCAGACTCGACTTTTTGCTTCTATTCAATGGAGAGACACACGACCACTGATCAGCAAATATATTGTCTGTTCAACCTGATACAGGCTCACATTGAGCATTGTCTCTTGGCACCGGCAGTGGGTTTGAGTATTAAGAGGGGTTGAAAGAGGCCGGTCTTAGAAAATACCACCGCAGCGTCGTCGATCATTTCATCTAGAATTTGGATGTAGATGATCTTTTTTTTTTGCTTTTTACACTTAACCTCAAACGATCGTGCTTCTTCAATGGCCTTTCCTACACATTCAAGAAAGACTGGAACTCGACTCCTCTTCTTCACTGCCCCAAGTCACGAGCCGGGGAACCTTATTTGGGGAGATGCTTTGAGAAAGTCGTCTCATCGCTGCTTCCTATTTAAACATCTAGCATAACTTTCACTCCACACTGAATCCTTCCCCAACCAGTGGGAAATCGGTTCAACTCCACTCTCTGCATTCATGACGCATGCAATGCAGGCCTCATCGTCTTATCCTTCTGCAGCTATCAAACTCTTCCCAAGACTCCAAACACATCCTTACACTGATCGGACCATTTCATCTCCACTCTATCCATCACACATCCTCTCCCTCGGGACCTCTCAATTGCCTTCAGATTCTCGGACATTAGCATACAGATTCGACCAGTTCTACAGCATCCAACGCAGGAGATGGAAACCAACATACATATGTGACCGATCAAGCAATCATGACGATATGAAGCACACGTCCAGACTGCTGAAGACAACCACCTCGACTCAGCCTTCGGCATCTTACCGTCAACCGGGAGGAGTATCAGATGAACCCGGCGCACCAGTGTCAAACCGAATTCAATTTTCACAGCATCTAGGCTGGCCGTGATCTCGTACTCGTACTGAGAAAGATTTAGGTACTAGTACCAGGTCCCAGTTATTCTTCACTAAAAATGTCCTCCGTCTTAGCTCTTGTTGGCTTCAATCAGCAAATTTTCCTCTCGCGCGGAAATGACTAAGTTTCCCAACGGACAGCGACGGCCCCCTCTTAATCTCTTGACCAACGGCGGAACCCCACCACGCGGACCACGATTGGTGATCTTGATAGCAAGGTTTCCCGCCGGGAGCTATCCTTCTATCCGCCCGCCAGATTGCTGACGCCTCAGGGTCTGTGAGCACTTTAAGTTCGTCAACCGGGTCAACAACGAAGCCATGTTGTTTGCTGAACGATATCGGCAAGCCAAAGAAATGAACAGACGTGTGAAATGCTGGTTCTACCATCGATGAACTCTTTCGTTCTATTATCAATTTCTTGATAAAGGTGCCAAGACAATAGCACACGGGAAGCACTGACCGGGGCATTTCGTCCCAAACTTCGGAAACGAGCTGCATGAGAAGCTTCGAAGCTTGCATTAGTTTTCTAGCATGCAGGTGAGTGCAGATGAGAATGCATCCAAGGGCCAATTGCAGTCACCGCGGAAGTGGCCACACGGGCCAGGAACTCGACCTGCATAACTCCTGCATAACCTTGCCTCGGTTGGCCCTAGCCATCTGCAATGCACCCGACCACAATTTCGACATCTCACACGCCCCCAAAACATCTGGAATGCCCCAGACAAGCGACGAGCTGCGGATATGCGGCCGACTGACTGATCGCTTCCTCTACCAACGTGCCCAAGCAGACCACGTGAGCTCACTCATTTATTATACCTTCTATCGCTCCAATGCTGCTTCTCTTGGGTCTCTGTCATGTTGGTGACGTACGCTGACATTCAGGAGAAGCAGTCTAGATCTTCTCAACATCTCTTGACACTTCTGCCAAACGAAAAAGGTTCAGATCTAAGATGCCATCGGCGACCAGAAAAAGCGACGGGGCTGTTCTAGTGCACGTCTCGCCTGACTGGACGTGCACGAAAACTGACGGCTTCTTCACTCGTCCATTCAACTATTCTTCATTCGATCAGCCTCTTTCCCAACCCGCAAACTATTACGAAGCCACCACAACAAAAGGCGGGATCATCATCGGCATTTGATTCTATCCACTGTCCACATGTGCTACATCCAGAATAGCTTCAAGAGAAGCATATTTTCAGCGGGAGCCAACAGGCGAGAGGTCTTTCTGCGTGGAGAATCCAAGAAAAACGAAACACAAGTGTATCAAGCCTTCAAGCCTCAAACTCCATCCACTCGGTAACATGAGGGCCCGAAAACCTTGGAGACCATGACCTCATGTAACTTTCCATACTCGTCTCTGTCTCCCGAAAAAGGACCAGGAGCTGAATGCAAGTTGCTTCCTCCACCACTTCAATTATCGCACGTCTTTGGATCGACAAATTGGTGGCCGAGGCAGTCAAACACGCTGTTTTGGCACCGCGAGGATCTTTCCTACCACTAAAGCGCGCGTTAGTCCATTTCTCTACCCAAGTTAGGAAACGGGGAAGTCGGAAAATTTGCTTAGAGCTGTCGATTGCCCGTGCCGTCTCTCGATGTCTCTGAATAGCTTCACTTGTTCTCTAGTGAAACAAGGAAGGACCTTGCTAAAAGGGACCCCAAGTTTTCGTGTGCGCAACACGTGCATGAGACTATTTTTGCTTTTCCGCACGTCCTTTTCGTCAATTATTGTATTTTGCTGCGATGATCTTTGGGCTTGTGATATTGATATTGATATTGATATCATAAGCTTTATGTTATTATCGTTTCGTTCAGTCGATCAAAATAAGTCGAAACAATCTTTCTTTATTTTCAAACTTTATCGTTATCATTAAAGTTATGACTATCGCTACCAATAATCCTCACTCCCAGGAAAAGTACGGAGGAACAAAAATAACCTCGCCCCCTATCCCAGTCCCACCATGTGGTCTCCCACAAACCTCAAACCTTCCAGATGAGTTCCAATCCCAACGTGCCGCCGTCACGGTTTCATCCCCTCCCCCTCAAAACAATGATCCCCAACCATCAAACCGACATCCGGTCTGTGCGGTCCCCTTTGTACCCTCTCCTATATTTTTCTATGACAAACAACATCCGAATTCCTGGATGCGTTTTCTTCCACAGGCTTAAAGTGCTGACTCGTTCGTTGAAAGGTACGAAGTAAAGTTTGATCACCACCCCCGCACGGTCCACTGCTTAATGCCCATCACCCCCGCTGCCGCCGCGGGGAGGACACCCGGAATCCCATTTTGGTATTCCAACATCTGGATTCGTGAGGCAGGCTTCCTATTCGAGGAGTGAGCGGAATCCTTCGCGGCGCGGCGGCGGAAGTCAGAGGTGGGTGGAATGGATTCCGAGTCACATGCGAGCAAGAGAGTTCGCTTGCTCCCGCGGCTTTGCATTTCGTGGGATTGCGATTTAGATTGAAGGATCGTTGATGATCTTCGAATCGGGGGTTTTATACGGAATGATGGCTTTCTTCTCATGTTTTGTACGGGAAGTTGCAAATCTTATTAACTCAGTCTTGAGTCATGTTATTGTTTATCTTCACGACCCAGATACATATATTTCCTAGTTTCTAAATACTAATACAGTACCGGTATCTAGATCTTTGCTGGGTCTGTTCGAATGTAGCTCTTTCTTAAATCGTTGTTCTGGGCCCTTTTCGTCTATCTAGATGTCCCGATTGTTTGGCAGATTGAGTTTGTTGGTTTGGGTAGAGGAGAACTCAATCTGCTTAGCTTAGGAAGATCTCTTTCCGTGCGGACGACGGAGAGATGCTCCGGGGACGAGGTTTTAGTTTTAAAATTGGGTTTTCTTTGAGTTTGTGTTTGGCGTCATGGACGTTCTTTGGCTTTTGCTTACGGGAACCGGGAACATGCTTTTCCTCGCGTCTTAATTCTTTTCTTCACTTTGCTCTCCGCCATCTCGATCGCATCTTAATCCTCGAATGCAAAGCTTAGATTTGCTTTCCCTTACAGGTAGCATCTCTTTGGCAAAGAGATTTCTTTTTCTTCGAGAATCTTGGTTGTATTTCATGCGAAATGGAAAAAGAAAATTAAGCATCGACGGCCCCACGAGGATGCACATTGTATACTCTAGGAGAGCCATTACAATTGCAAGACACTTACTCTTTCTTCACTTTAGAGTTTGTGAATGATGAGAAAGAGTGCAGCTGTAGTTTCGCTAGGCACCGTTACAACGGGCAGCTAGGTAGGAAGGTGCCTTGACACTACCTACGCGAGCTTCCTATTTACTTGAATCTACTGTACAGCTTCACTCGTTCATAAATTCCACTAGATACCGTTACAACGGGCAGGCGTTCTGATACAAGCAAGATTCCTTTTGCAGCTCCAGATCATGTCGGTAGCTCAGATGTGCTCTGTGCTGTGCTTAAGGTTCATGCAGGTGCGTCACTGTACATGCAGTACATATCATCACGGTACTGTGCCTTGAGCGGATGCAGGTTTTGGATTTGTGTTCCTTCAGGTATAGTGTTTTCTTTTCCCCGTTTTGCATTAAAGCTCATGGAGTCCGTCTGTGCGGAAGGATTCTCGACACTTAGATAAATACCGGTAGTCATCATTCATTCACATCTCCAAAACAAACAATTCTATCTCTTATCGTCACTCCATCAATAGTTCAGCCCTGATAACATAGCTACCTAACATCCCCAAGAGTATCCGTGCCCACCAGGCCGCTCCACATCAGGTGTCAAAACGCGCGCAACGGGGAAGGTCCCGGGAGTGTATCCATGACTCAGGATCCAAGGGGAGCTTTGACGGGGGAATTGGGGCCGGGCTGGTCTTGTATCGATAGTTTGGTTGATTACTGTTATCGGGTTCCCCACGACGGGCGGATAGCTCGGAGAGGTCGGAGCGTGGGTAGGGCATGGGATAGACATGGTTTGAATCCTTTTATGGGTGGGTATGAATCCTTCAATGGGAGGAGGAACGCGATACTTACGCGTAACAGTTATCGTCATAAGAAAAGGAGATAGCATAGGTAGATAGCATACAAATAAGCAGCATATTAAAGAAAAATCAGTTCTTCGGCCGTATCATTTGTCACAAGAAGATACAATCGAAGGCACAACCTCGGAGGGATCAAGCCATTTAACTTCCTCCCCCCAGAAACGAGCCTAAGAACGTCGATCCGACGTTGAACCTTACTTCTTTAAGCTCTTCCCTGGATGCCTTGACTATTCTGGGCGCATTCAAGACAAGGGGCAGGTGTTAAGCGAGGAGGAATAGTTCATGCGTTGTGTAACCGGGACAGGGTACGTATTTTCCTGTCTATTATTGACAGGGAACGGAAGAGGAGGCGTTGATGCGATCGATCGATGGATGGATGGATGGGGATAGGAAACGAAACGAAATGCGTGTGATTGTTGTGATGTATGTGATGGTGATGCAGTTGTGATGGATGGGGTGAGTTCGGGATTTGAATGGAAGTACCGTACTGTACCTACGTTAGATGGGGATAGATGCTAGGCAGATATTGGGATTTTGATGCGGGGCTGCCTAGATACCGAGCGGATTTGGTTTTGGAGGGAGATAGATGTCAATGTTCTGAGCGCAAGTACGTTAGGTAGATAGGGATGCTAAGCAGATATTGGGATTTTGATGCGCGGCTACCGAGCGGCTTTTGTTTTAGAGGGGAGATGTCAAAGTCCTGAGTACATGTTTGGAGCCCTACTAAGCAGATGTTGGGATTCTGATGCGGGGTCCGGACGCGATGTTAAGTACCGGTACCTACCGGCTAGGGACATGTCAAAGTTCTGACAGAATGACAGACGGGGCTGGGATTGTGATGCGAAGGTTGTTTCTTCACTTAGAGAGAAAGCACGAGTGAGTGTTTGGTGCTAGAATTTAAAGTTTGCTCTCTTTACGAGTTGTCGTGGATTTGGTTGCGAGTGCTGGTCTTCTTTGTTCGTTTATTCGTATACTCGGATCGATCTCACCGAGTGGCATGAACCGGAACCCTTCTAATTTTATATTCACACGTTTCTGATGCTCCACTGTGGGGAAGGGTAAAGTATATCTTGATTAAATTTCTCAACGGGCACGGTGATAGGGTCGGGAAGAGCCGTGGCTGGGTGGTGTGTGGGAGATCGAGATTTTGAGTTTGTATGAGGGTACTGTGTGACGAAGGGTTGGAGGTTGGGTTTGCGTTCCGAGTCGGAGAGAGCTTGGGTGTGCATGTTTCGAAAGATGTATACTCGTCACTGTATATTGAATTTCTTGAGTCATGAGGATGGAGGTGTGTTGCGATTTCTTTTGAGTGAATTTCGGTGCTTCTCCAGATCCATTGAACATCTTTAGGTATTAAATTAGAATTTGAGTCAAGAAAACCCTGTTATTTTTCCCTTCCTGAGGCTTCATCATTAGAGCTCGTATACAACTTAGAGTGAATCTCTTTTCGGCAGAAGGTAGAAGAGTTTTAGCCCATCATCGGCAGAAGTGAATTGCTACATCTGCAAGTTGGTACAGAGGTACAGACAGCAGGACCCCAGTTAAAAAAAAGTCTCATATCTCTGCTCTACAACCCCCATCATCACTCTTCGTTCTGCTCTCTAAACATCAAGCCTTCTTCTGTCGAGGATGGACCGGAGACCTTTGGCTTTGTGAAAGTTCTTCCGCCATTTTCTTGTTTGTAGCGAACCCGGTTCCGGCTTCGCTGTTTTCTGTCGGCGTTGTCTGCTCAACTCCTTAGTTGTTGTCAACTTCTCCATGATCAAGTTGAGGCTGACCATTGGTCATATGAAGGAATTCTCTTTTTGCTTGGCTTTAGCTCTCTCTCCCAAAATAAAAACTTTTGGCGATGTCTTCTGATTATGAATCCTCAAGCTCTTTCTACCTAGGATATCTTGCACTTCTTGTAGCCAGGCAGTAGCCAAAGTGAGATCCGTCCAAGATCTGGATCTCAATCGACCTGTAGTCGGGAGGTGCAGCTTATTGCTTTCAAGCTCACCCACAAAATTATCAAAAGTTGCGAGCAACAGAGTTGCAAAGGGGGTGGATTTGCAGATCCTCTTCGTGCCTGTCTTGGAGGTATTTGGGAATCTTCTACCCTCCGCTGGAAGCACTCAACGTCGAGGTCTCGAGCACGCCGTCTTTGTTGTCACTGATTCTACTACCGCCAAGTCTGTGGGTGTTAATATGAGATGAACAAGGTTTGTCTACTCAGAAATTGATTGCTTAGATGAATTTCACGCTTTAAGAACTTAACACCTTGATGCCAAAAGCAGTTCAAAGATTCTGAGAATGCGTGAGAACATGTTGTTTGTCCTTGACTCGATTACCAGGTCCTCACCAAAGTTCTAGAAAGACCGCACACAATGGCTTGACTGTTCACTGAATGTCTGAGAAAGGAAATACAAGAGGTCCTAAATTTCTGTCCTGAAATGAGCAGAAAGTCCGACAGGTTTCTGTACATCTAGAGTCTTGTTTTTACTCGTTCCTAAGCTACGATCCTCAAGGCAAACGCAGACATTGTGATTCCAATACATATTCTGTGATTGAGAAGATGGGGGTGTTGATACAGGGATTGTTCTATGAAGAAGATACGATCTCCGTGGTCTAGTGGACAAGATGTAGAGGACGACGAAACCTCACTCTTCTTAGAACAGATCTTGAAATAGAAGATTGGCAGCGCGATGAATGAGACAAGAGCTCAATTTGACGTCAAGCGCATTCCCGGAGAAAGAAAGTTTCATTTTAAAACATATTAAATTCTACTATGCTTCCAAAGCTCAAGTTTCGTTACGATAGATACCACAAAAGGCGTGAGACTCTAACAATCAAAACGAATCTCAATGCTCAAACTTTTCACCTCCTCATAGCGAATGGAAATCAAGTCATCCTCTTCAAGGTGAAGATCGTCTATTTCAGACTCTTCCGTCATCTGAGGGCCATTCGATACATGCTTGAGCAGTTCCGTCCATCGTGGTGGAGTCTCAGGCTTTCTGGGCTCAAGCACATCAGTCGTGGGTGCAGCTGGTTCATAACTTTCATCCTCAGCTGCTTCGTTCTCTCGGAGTAGAATAGCGAGTTGGTCACTCCACGAACAGAGGAGGTGTCCCTCGATTATAGATTCATCTTGTGGGAATGGCTGATCTAAGTAGTCTCTCGCTTAGAAGTATTTCGATGAAAGTGCCAGGGATTATATACCTGATTGATATTCTCGTTGTGTCTCTCTCGAAAGTGGTGACTGCGGAGATGTAGACATCTCAAACTGATTCATAGGCTTAGTGCTCGTGATGCATTGTAGCTCTTGCAAAAGATGGTCTTCATTGCTATCATGGGTAGATTCGGACTCGGCTGGGATCAGCATTTTTTAAAACGATGGCCTTTGAAGGGGAAAACCGAATAATGAAGGAGAAGGGTTTATACAACAAGGAAGTAGTTATTGAGAGGGGGCAGGGCAAGGCTGCACGGCTAGGCTGCCATGTCGGCTGAATGATGTGCATTGTGACTAGGATCACATGCCACTCTTCCGGTGTGCGGAAGCGAAGGGAATGCTGAGGAAAATGCGGCGCGATCATGTTCGCCGGGCTGCTAAGTAGTGTAAGTTAGAAAGGTGAAGTAGAGACAGTATTAGATGGGTGAAATGGGGATAATGTTCAATAAACAGCAAAATACATTTCCATTTGCAAATCATCGTGCACAAGGCACTGTTTTCAAAAGACGCATCGCTATCTGCATGACTCTGATTCCCAATCTCCGACCGCCTCAAGACAATCGAGGAAGATATCTATCCCAATACGACCAAGGAACCTCTGTATAAACACTCTCTGGCATTTTCCTGAAGCAAAGGAAGATCTGCACGACGATGATAAGACGGGACATCATGTATACCGAAATAGCAACCAAAGTAAATACAGCCTCATGGCCGTCTGAAGTCCAACCCATCCCCGCAATGAAGAGCAACGCACAGGAGGGAAGGACGGCAAGACAAGACAATCTCCAAAGCCAGAGTTCGACATGACTGGGAAATAACCAATTCCATGCAGCGAGATGTATCGCTACGATTAAAACAGCAAGGCTAGCCATAATGTACCAGCTGTACAGGCGAAAGATATCGGCTTGAGAGATTTAGTTTTCCTTCTTGACATTGAGGGTGGGGAGAAATACGGTAAGTGCGATCATCCTCAAATCTCACTCTATCGTTGTTGTAGTCGGACGTTAGGTTGTGTTTGCTAACCACTTTCAAAACATGGGATTGTGTGGACTCGGGAAATGTAATAACACTGCGATGCTCGATATCATATGGCTTATTCCACCAAAAGCCGTACGATACCAGAGAGCACAAGACAAAGGCGCAAGTGCTCAACTCCAACTCGGAGATACCTAGAAGATAGTTCAGCATGACTTCAAGGCAAGAATGACTCAATTGCGTACTTGCACCTCCAACTGTTCTTCCTATACATTCTAGCACTAGCCACAAAGACTGCACAATTGCGAGGGTGGCTGTGAAGCTATCCGTTTTGCTGCGATCTTTAATGTCTACATCGGATGGTAGCTGCTCCACTACTTCGCTCCAACCATAACGATCCATCAGTTCTGGGAGACTTTCCCACCTAAGCAAAGCTAGACCCTCAGAGGTTGTGGTAGCCAAGCCGCCCATGTTGATGAAATGTGCTTGCACCATCGAACAACTAAATATTGTGTCAACTTCAGTCAGATCAAGACGGCCAAACTCCACTTACTAGTATCCCTTTGCCTTCATGCGGAGACAAATTGACCTGGACTCACTCCAGTCGCTGACTGCTCTAGCAGATATAAACTCAGGGGACATGATCGCGAGGACCATCACTCCCAATGCCCTGAGCCTTTTTCTGTAGAAAGGCCACTGTCTCCAAGATGCAAGGTGCTCATTCTCCGAGCATACATTGTTGTGAACGACTTTATAAGTGCAAAGCAGAATGACCGCAAAACAAGACCAAAGGATAGTATGTGTATTTCTCGTCGAGGCGCCAGATACCCATCCACATACACCGTTGCCTAGATAACCCGACCCACATGCAGAGTCGCCTGGTGAAGTTGTCGATGTTGCTGATGGAGACGAGGCTGTAGCAGAAATTGTCGTTGAGGCTTGGACATTGGTGGCTGCAGAGGCAATGAGCAACGAGAGCGTAATCCGCTCGAGGAAATGCTTCGAAATGATCATTATTGACGGCGTCGATCGCGAGGGAAAAGTTTGACAAGTCTAGAGAAGTATGGCGCGAAAAGAGAGACGTGTATGTGTTGGCGCATGAGGTGCTTCACGACAGCGAGGCTACAGCCACCAGAGCGGCTGTGCAAGCCATGAAACTTCGAGTCGCACGAATCATACATAGACATTATAATCGGGCGTTCTTGATGGCAGTACATGCACATCTCCGGGGCTGGAGCAACGTCGTCGAGACTAGACACCTAGGAGTAAATTGGCCATACCTGCCGACAGGGATTTTGTCTCGTGTCTTGTCCCGTCTTCAAAGTCTGGAATAAAACATCGCAGGAATCTTGCGTCGACAGAAAAAGAAAAGTTAAAGACGCTGCAATGTGAATGTATGTGGCGGGCTGAGCACTCCAAGAAGATCACTTGTTCTTACGTTAGACGTCTTTTGTGCTGCAGAATGTCACTGGAGTATGATTTGATGCTTTCATAAATCGCATGGCATTTCATGCCGTTTATGAATTGATGAGGAAGAGGACGAGGACGAGAAGATTTCTAAACCCAACGGATTTGCCGAGGCTTAGCGTAGCCTTAAAGTCACTTCCCAACGCGTAGATTTCGCGACGATGAGAGCCCAGGAGTTCATGCTCCCGCGCACGACTGTTATTTCGGTGCGTTTCTGCATCAGCATAATTGCTTGAAGACTGAGCATCGAAGTATGCATCACGCCTTGGGTTCGTTATTTCTTGGCTGTCACGTCTGCATGTCTTGCTAGGAAAGCCAAAGAGCTGATTTCTATCACTATGCTTGTGGACCTCCTTGCCACCGTCGCTAGCTATCTACGAACGCTACACGAACGGCAGACGATAAAAGCGTATCTACGAGATGAATAGCAAAGACCGTCTGCGGCTTGCGGGCGCAGTTGAAATCCAGCGCCTCGAAACACTTCACAACCCCTATCGTTGAGCACGAAGCCTTCCGCCGAATCTTCGACAGCAGAACCCTCGCTAAGTTTCACCGAGAAAATTAGAGCACAAGGAAAGAAGAGCAAAGACAAAAGAAATACGATGGACCCCATATCGTACGCCTCAACCACATGCCACATGCCTGAACACAGTCTGGGCTCAGCGTGTGCTGATATAGCTGGAGATAATGCGCGATCCGCCCAGGTCAAGATATTTTACTGGTGGTGGAACAAGCTATTCAGGCTTGAAGACTGTGTGCAGTGCGATTTAAGACCAATGGTCGTCAATGGGCATTATACGGAAGGACATGTTTCTTCATTTGGTATAATCGCAGACATATCTGGCTTCGTCTTTGGCACACCTACACTGGCATGCAAACAGGTGCTTGACGACCCACTTGCCTGGAATCATCCACTTCATCTTGAGGCATATGGGGATGCTATTCTCCGGTGACCTTCTTGTGGGCGAGATAGAGTGCTCGACGAGATCTGGATTTCCAGTTTGGAGAAGGCCATGAGATGACAGCCAAGAAGATGCCCAACATACTTCGACCGTCGTTGGACACAGATCCAGGAAGTCTCTTCGAACTCAAGATTCTATCAAAGAAGAGAAGTTGGCAGGAAAGCCCCGTCCGGGCTGAGGCTTACTCGATCAGTTGAGATACTTCGAAGTTGCTTGCCGATCGATGATAATGAGAGTATCCTGGGAAGCTGTAAGCACGGTCTCAGGGTCTGAAAGTGTTCATAAATACAGGTATGATTCAGTAGCATACTCTTCTGATCTACTTACATTGAGCTCTAGAATGCCTACCGCTTTCTCATGTCTTGTTTTCATTGTTTTCATCGTCCCTGGCGGAGGAATGGTTCATTTTCTTCAAGACAGCCTCCTAGCAGACCCTTTTTCTGAGTCTTCGCCCCATTTTCCAACGTTAATCATTAAATGTAGGCGAATAAACGAGTCTGCGAATCACTTGCAAGTCCGCTAGATTAGAATACGAGTCTGCTCAACTCCCGAGCACCTGGCGATTGGTCAGAGATTGTGCCTAAATTGGGCTAATTATCCATCTATATTGCTCTTTCGTTTTCTAGTTGCTAGATGGCCTACTGAACCAATCGTGGTGCCTGCGCCGTGTCAGACATGTATGCTATACAGTCTCACGGAAGCCTAAAATTCTCTTGATTGCATGCGTTCAATGAAATCCGTATTGATTCGCGATATTTCCCTTGTACTTTCGAGCTTGTGGGTATGGGATCCATATGAAAGACCACAATAGGGCGAGATTGTCGTCGGGCGAGTTCAATCGCACGTACACGTTACAAAGCATTCGGCGTCCTGCATTGGGGGCCTAAGCAATTCCAGCTCGTAATCATTTCTCGCACCACCCTTCATATACTTAGCTATGACTTGGTACTTGTTTGCTCATCCGTTTACATTCGTTTACATCGGATACAAATTAAAACGTTGTTGGCGACTTCACGTTCTTCAAAGGTGTTATATGTGATTTTTTTCGCCTTGCTTTAGGCTTCTACGTAAGAAACCTTCTCGAGAGCTGTAACAGCATGGACTGAATGCTTATATACGTAGCACCTACTACTAGAAGCATGTCGTCTAATACAACAATCCATACCGGGTTCTGGACCAACTACTCCAAAGGAGCAGTAATTGGAGCAACGCTCACACTTACCAATCGGAATGGCGGTGTATTGATTGCAGCACTTGCTATCTTCATCCAGGTGTGTCCATCACTGCTCTTTAGACCTCAGCTAACCTCCGCACCAGCTCATTGGCGGGCAATCCTGGGGCATCATAAGTTTTATTGTGCATCAACGACGAACAACGACTCTTGCTAGAGATGGTCTACATCACCAACAACAAGCGGTGTTGAGAAACAACAATTCTGATGCCAGCTTTACCTGGCAATTTAGCAGAATAGGATGGGCATGGCGATCTCGTGCCCTGAGGCCTTACCGACGATCTCTTCTTTTTATCGTGATGGGGGTTCTTCATCTCGTAGCCTTTGGAGCTGCTGGCATCTTAGCTTCGCACATTATCACTGCTGGAGACGAGGTAACTGTAGCTCGGAGCAGTAGATGTGGTCCATGGGTCTCAGTTACGGAGAGCGGCAGTGACCCGATTTCAGACGCACACATACTTCAAGCAAGTTATATTGCAACGCTCGCACGAGCTGGCCAGCAATATGTCCAAGATTGTCCTGGAGACTCTCAATCCCTACCCGAGTGCAACATGTTCAAGCGTTCGCAATTGCCTTGGGTATCAAGAGCAAATACTTCATGCCCTTTCGATGATCTCTGTCTTGGCCCTCTCAACAGTGGTTTATCTCTGGACACAGGCCTGGTTGATTCGCGCGACGATCTTGGCATCAACGGTAGAGAAGGTGATCGGATTCAATGGAGGAAGAACATAACGTGTGTGCCAATCACCACAGACGGTCATAGCAAAAATGGCACTAGCTTCGTAAACTACAGATATCCGTATTACAGAGGCCGCAATGCCTTCAACTATACAGCCATATTTACGGACCTCGTTATACCCTCAATTACTCCATGTTGGGATTTCCTGACCCTAGTTTCACCAATGCAACTTATCTGTATACAAACTACCCAGATATCAGGGTGCCCGAATACCCGTCACCGATACCTCTATATATCATAGAGTAAGTTTGGTAATACCTATCTTTCTCCACGATAGATCTAATGCTTTATAGGCAAGAGTCACTCATGACCTTTAACCCTATTCCAGCACTATCTATTCTGGATACTGACCTTTCTTTATACTTTACTACAGTACAAACATGGTATACAGCGCCAAGCGATGATCTCTGGCTACCCGCTCATCTAGCTCTATTTGAAAACTTCCAAGCAAGCTCTGGACCGATCGTTCGGAAGGAAATATACTTTCCGGATAACCAGGTAACAGTCCTGGCTTGTTTGGAGCAACAGCAGATCTGCAACCCTACACCGCTCGTTAACAACACGAAACATTGCACGCGCTTTCAACCCATCTTTACAAACTTTGAAGAGCTTCAAGACGTATTGAGCACTTCGCGTCAGATGAGGCTAGCATATTCATTGTTGAATTCATCTATGCAATCATCGCTTGCCTATACCATCGACGCCATCCCACTACTCGCAGAAAGTCTTGGAGATGGGGCACTATCTTTGCCCATATCTCCCATCCAATGGATCCTTGAGACCGAAAATTGGTTTAAGGTCGGTCTGTACATAATGCAGCGGCTTACGGTGGACTTTGCTACTAGCCCGCCTTCTCAATTTTCACAGTTCATCCCATTAAATCAATGGAATAATGATACCGACCTGCGCTGGATGTGCGACAATCAAATTCTGAAGCGCAGGGATTACACAAACTTTCACAGCCTTTCCATCGGATTTATATTCGGATTTGGTGTACTTGTCTACGCAATTAATCAAAGTCTCGAGACGACTGTAGGCTGGGTACGCTTGAAATGGAGAAGTGGGCGGTGGAGACAACGGGCTTGGTGGGCTGACGGTACTCTGCAGTTGCAAAGACGTGCATTTGAAGGCATGGGTATTAAGGACTGGGAATTGGATGAGTGGGACAGGGTATGACCGAAAAGGGCAGGGTGTTTAGTGCGTTGAGAAATTGGGATGAAATGCTTCCACACTCTGTGAAACTCAAAAACACAGCTGTGGTTGGGACGAACAAGACTTCAGTAAGCGAGGTGGCTGAGGAAGATAAAGACATTGTACAGGTGGCTTCTAGCAGTCCCCCTCGTAAGGAGGTGGCGAGAGACACCAAGAGTCCCAGACCATACTCTGTTTAGGTGGCACTCTGGAGCAAGGTAAAACCTGGGGTGGATTTACTACTTGTCTATTTGTATTCTTCCCGATGTGGCGATCTCCTATATTCTAATCAGTACGTGTGGACAAAGACATGACGTACATTTGAAGTAGAGTATGGAGAGGGGATCAGAATTGATGAGGACCTTCATTTCATATCTGCAATGGGCAGACTGGAGAAAAGCCAATCGACTAAGCTTTCGGTTCTTTTACCAGAACACATTCAGAGCGAAAACAAATACAGGTATAATGCGGTTTAGGGAACAACTTATTCTTCTTACAGAGCTCTACTCACCTTCAGATTGATCCCAGCGTCCCCAAATTGACTTCTGTTGCCCATCTGTTGCCCGGCAGCAACCATATGCCGCGCATAATCCATCATCTCGTCCAGCATATTCTCAGAAGTCATTTCTCCCTTCATCTTTCCCTCTAGCAACAGCGCATGATACGCAGCTTGACTAGTACTCGCTGCAGTATGTGGCCTGAACCCAGCAACCGCGTCGCCAACCAGTAATAATTTCCCATCGAAGAAGGATGCTTGGGGTGACAGCACATCTGTGATAGCTTGCACGAAAGGTAGTTGTGTTGCGCATACTAAGTCCGAAAAGGCTTCTGGTAGTACGTCCTGAGCATGTTGCTTTTGTTGAGTCCATAGTCTGTCTTGGATCTTGCCTGCTGGCATCGTGGTGTGATGAAAGTGGCCGTCGGAATCGGTCATCAGATCTTTGTATTCTGGTGAGTCGGAGGGATAGTTGCAGTACCAAACCCAGTTTATGAGACGTTTTCCTGGCTCTAGAGAACCGTTCTCGCCAGGGATGAGATATCTGCTCCAGTTAGAGAGAGATTATGTGACAGGAGAAAGTACCACTTACGAAAGGATCTGAATGCCGCTTCCGTGGAAGAATGTGAATTTGTCCACGAAGGTCTCCTTCAGCAATTCACTGGCCTCGCTCTCTACTACCGTACCTCTCCACGCCACGTATCCGACATACTGTCTCTCAACCTCCGGTAATAGAAGTCGTCTCACAGCCGAACTTGGCCCATCTGCAGCGATCACCATCTCGGAACTTTCTTTCCCACTTCCACCATCTTTCTCCTCATACTCAACCTCGACTTGTTGCCCCAAATCTTTCACATTTATCACTTTCCTCCCATAAACATACTCCGCTTTTCCTTCGCCGTCTTGTCTCTCGGGAACCTCACAATACCCACTCTTCACACCATCAAAGCAAGCTCTCAGACAGAAATACAACAGATCCCAACTGACCATCCTCTGGCCTCTGTGATCCTGATTCAAGACCCCTCCATCTCTCCTCAATGTCTGTCGCAGCAAAGAATCAACATGGAACTTTCGATTGACGTTTACATGTCGGGAGAAGAATTCTTGGGCTTCGGAACCGAAGACGATTCCTGCTCCTTGGTCTTGGAGGAGGGAAGTAGGTGAACGTTCGAAGATGCGGACGTGGTGACCGAGACGTTTGAGGGCAAGGCCTGTCATGAGACCGGCGAGTGAACCGCCTACCTATTACGATGAGTCTTTGGCAATATCTTTCGATGATTTCACTTACGATGATGATATTTTTGGGATGACTTGGTGTCATGATGTTTGGCATTTACGATGTGATATTCTTGGTGTCGAGAGGTCTTTCTTTATCTTTCAAGAATTGTTATTCTTGTATTTATTGATAAAGATTTTCATTTCATATCCTTAAGTCCATTACATTGCTTATAAACTGGGATATATTATGTTTACGTCATCTCGCCGATATCTCGGCGAGCGGTTCCGAGGTGTTGATCCTCCCCCCTTTTTCTCGAACCGAGGATTCAAATATTGTTTTGTTCTAAAGGCCTCATGGTGCGAAATAGAAGCTACTATCTAGATCTGTCCATATGAGATTGATCATGAAAGTATGCACACTTCAAGTCGGTGGGTTGTCGTCTCAATTTGGGATGACATAGGTACTCTTCCAAGCGTGAATGAAGTACGATGTATTTTTTGCAATTCAATTTATAGACCGATTTTGGGTCATCTATAATCAGACCTTGCAGATAGTTTCACCATGCAACACAGTGAACCATGCATCTTCATCCTGACCCCATTGTCTCCAAGCATCCGCAATATCCCGCAAATCTTCCTGCTTGCAATGGCCTCCTTCAATTGCAAAGTCTCTGAAAGAAGATTCCAGTGTTCTCTTTGGCCAGATTCCACTCCAGTACTCAATCTCATCCTTTGAAGCATATAACCAAGTCCCAACCGAACATTTAACGTCCTCAGCCTTGAACCCCGCTTCTTTCGCCCAGACATGGATTCGACTTCCAGGATGTGGATTCGAACCTCTTGCTTTTGCAACCCTCATGTAAAGTTGTTTCCACTTCGTCAGTCCTTCAGACTGCGGATACCAAGTCATGTCTGCACTTTCTCTACAAGCCACGATTCCACCCTTTTTCGCCACCCGTTTCATCTCCCTCAGTCCTTCCACCGGATCTCGGATATGCTGCAAGACCTGATGAACATGGACGACGTCAAAGCTGCCGTTCTCAAATGGTAGGTTATGGATATCAGCAACCTGAAAATCGATATTGGTCACTCCTTGTTCTGCTGCAAGGGCACGAGCATTTTCCAGTGGCTCTGGTTTGTACTCGACACCGGTTACATGGCCTTCTGGGACGAGCTTCGCTAGGTCTGTAGTGATGGTTCCCGGGCCGCAGCCAATATCGAGGATCTTGAAATTGGATTTGAGATGTGGAATAAGATATGGGATGGAGTTTCTGGCAGTGCGCCAGGAGTGAGTGGCGAGGACGGAGGCGCTGTGGTCGGACACGTAGACGCTGTCTTTGGACATGTTTGAGTACTCGCAGTGATCCTGCCTTGAATGTTTTTGAGATATGGTTTTCGTATCAAACGTTCTTTGAAGGACGTTCAATGGAACGGGGAGATGCAGGCAGCAATGACGATCTCGGAATGAGAAGGCGCGAAGCCGAATCATTGTCACGTGGGAGTTTCACATTCAAGGTAGAGTATCTATAATGAAGAGGAAAAATATCTATGTGTGTCCCTGGAATTATACTAGACCCTCGCTCTTGACCGGTAGCAGCGCCAAAGACATGCCCGTATCACTTCTCCTTTTCTCAGAACTTATTCTTGATTTCGAACGCTGTCTTCTCATCATCCTTTAAGACATTCCTGAATTTCCATTTCTGCCATATTGTCCATATTGCAAACACTGCTACAGTGAGTGGGATGGTTACCGCCAAGTAGTACCACCACTTCTCAGACACTTGAAATTGTTGATTCCCCATGCCATCTTGCTGAAAGTTGAAGAATGTCATGCTGAAGATGGCCTCTCAAATTTAGTTGCAGATATTGAAGAAATGATAAGCAAACTCACTGATACGAACGTCCCAGGCAAGAAGAACATGGTCACTGCGGCTATAGTGATCATCGACGAGCTATCCCGTTGAGCTTCGTGTGCGATGGCTTTGGTTGCACTCGAGATTTGAAGGTTGATATCGTTATCTGCTTGAGTAGACAGATGGAATGCCTACATTATATCAACGAGGTGTTGCTGTTTCAAAGCTTTGCGCATACCAGGTTGATGCGGATGTTGATCCTATCCCGAAAACTTCCAACCCACCTCCCTGCTTTCGTCGTCGTTGACAAAATCTGCTCTAGCTTATCTGTGTTTCGAAGCTGTTCACTTGCCTTGTCATTATTAATCACTGTTGCAATTCTGCGGCTAGCCTTGATTAGAAAGCCAATCAACTCTTCAAGATCACACAAGTATTCCTTTAGCGAGTAGAGTGCAGAAGATAGCCTATGTAAGCTTTCGGATTTTGCTTTCGGTTGCAGATTATGAGGACCATTCTCCTGATACTTTTAAGCTCTATCGGGTACCCATGGGCTGTGTTCTCACCTCCTGCAGGACCCCATTTCTTAAATGACCTCCTTCGCTGCTCAAGCCTTCTAAGCAGTGCGGCAAGACGAGTTCGTGTATTCTGAAGTACCTGCAAGCAGCTGGGAGCCCAAGGTTTTGGATCAAAGGGTTTAAGATGTGCGTTGCACGTGGTTTTGCATTGACCCAAATGTTCGTGATCGTGTTTCTCTGGATCTCATATTTCGAATACAGGAACGAACGGCCAAGCCACCTCCCATTAAAGTATCTGTAAAATATATCTGACGTTTTGTTAGCATGAAGATGGTGGCGGATTGATCTTAGCATCGATAATGAATCGAACCTATGCTCAAACATTTTCCATTCTCATCCTTAGTGACAAACAACCCATTCCCAAGTCTGATCCAATGTTGCGTCTCTACCAATCCTCGAACAAATACTGGTCTGATTTTCATGGTGTTGCACAATAGCTCCATGTCTGTAGCAGTAATGCCAATAGATGTCTCATGCCCATTGGGGACGCTCCATGGAATCAGGCTAGAACAGTATTCAGCGAAAAACTGAACCAACCCTCGATCTTGAGAGGCTTACAAGGTTCGGATCGTGACAGCAGCAGTGGATGTGTGTATGATCTCCTGCGGACCAAGAAATCAGGTAAGCGCTAAGACATTCACATTTAGAGTTCGTACCTGCAGCTTAGCTTTGAGGGAATGACTCTGCAGGACGGTTTCTTTCCCTAAAGCAAACTATTTAGCCCACAGTCAATACACGAGTTTGACAACCATCATTCACATTCACTTTGAGTTCCAAACGACTCGAGTAGAGTGATCTCGGAATTTTGAGCAAATCGACCGTTGTCGAGGCCATACTGGATAGCCTCGCGCATATCTGTGGAAACATCCTCTGCAGTCATGGTTCCAATGAGTTCTAGACTGGAAGAAGTGAAACAAAAAGCGATGTTTTCGAGATAAATATGATTCTTAATCCTCAGCAACACTTTACTGCGAAATGATCATGTTTTCAACCGACTAGGCATCGATGGGGAGACAAGGCTATGCCGTCGGGGTGCTTTGAGATAGATAGGCGTTATCGTGTCATGTGCCAGTACGGCCAGTAGCAAGGCTTCAGCCAGATGTGGCTTCCATTTCGTGTGGTCGTGTGGCTGCTCAGCCTGGGTTGCAGTGCATGAAGCCACAGTTTATATACACGTGATCAGCCTCATTCTCGACCACTTGTAGGTATTCATTAGTCAATGTGATAAGAGAAACAATATCTTCCGCTAGTCTCAAATTAGTTGAAAGTAAGACGGATACTGTAAGAATAAAAGTGAGGCTCGTTAGTTTTAGTCTATAGACTAGAAAATTGCGTGAACTTAATTTCGTTAAAAGGAAATTCGTTATCGAGCGAGTGTTCCAAAAAAATATAGCTTGTACTTCTATTGTAGTAATTAGTTAAGCGATCTTGACTAATAGATTATAGTTTCGTGTAAGTGAATATAGCAAATATCCGGCTAACCTGCACCGTGCCGAACATGGATTGTCTAGCCGGTAGCAATAAGATTTGAGACGGAAACGAGCGTCAGGCAAGCTAAGAACAATGTTGCTCAAGTGAGACTTCTCATCTTTATTGGCCTTTGCTCGCGTTTCAAAGCATGCAAGGCAATGTAGCTTTTGTCCGGCGAGCCGGTTCTCTCGCTTAACCCCTATTTCACACTCTAGGGCTGAGACAAAGGTGGCCAAGTATTGCAGAAGATGTTTCGAACCATACCTCGGCCCGTTCTTGAAAGGCATCGCAAATGGCATTCAGTGCTATGTGGGGCAGCACTGAGAATGCCATTTTCCAAAGAAGAGCTCTCTTTTCGGACTTTGATAAGCAGGACAGGGTTAACTTGACATTTTGTCCCCTGTGGCATCAACGTCTTTTTCAAATCCTTATATTTCTCAATTTTCTACAGGAATAAGTTTCTTGGCTCTCGTCCTGTGAGCGCCGAATTTGACTGGTGATAAATAGTAAACGCTTATGTTCCACGCGTCCGCCTTCTCTCGGTCCGACGCTCTTCTCCGACCGCTCTTCCAAGGTGGCTCAGGTCAAAAGGCGCCAACAGCCACCAGCCATCGGGCGCTGTGGCTGAAAGTGACGTCCTGACCTCCATAGCATCTAAGACACTTTCGAATGCGAACCATCGTAACCAGGAACCAGAATGTTCTCTGCACCTTGTCACACCGCGTCACAACGATTTTTTATTACGATGTACCTTTTCGGGGTTTCCGAGAGAGAGATCTCAAGCGCAAAAGCCGATGAAACATGCAATTACTGACATGAGTTGCAATAATGGGACGCAGTTTCTCATGGTGACTTTGAAGACCACGCGGTATAAAACCTTCAACCTGCCTTGCCAGTCGAACACAACTGTGCCCCGCTATTGACCTCTTGAAGGGAAGGTAGGACTGCGAGAACCTCATAGTACTCGGGTGAATATGTTCAGGGGCTCAGCGTATATTTGAGCTTCGAACGCATATCTCATACTGCTGCTCCGCATTCTCAAGCCTCTAGACTTCATGATTCAACGTCTATTTCTTGAGGCATCTAATCATTTCCACCAAGTACCACAGGATGGGGCTGTGCTGTGGGTGCCAAGATTTGGGGTCCCCTGCCGATCAACACCCCTTTCCGCCCTATGTGCAGCATTTTACACGCTAACACAACCCCGCCAGATCTGCCTTGCCCCTGAGTCCTCGGTGAACTTTCTAAGCCCTTGTGCGTCGGGCACAGCAAATAGAAGCTCGATGATGGCAAGGTGGACCTTCTTTATAGCCGGGACGGTGCACTTTTGGGGTTTATCCGGACGAGACGAGACTGCTGTTGACCCCTGGGCCCTGGACCAGTTCTTGCCCATCTTAGCAATTCCATGGTATCAACTCTCCGTCTTTCTTCTCGCTGCTCATTTCTCTCCATTCCTCTTACCTCCATTCGCTCATTTCCCAACGTTCATTGCTCTCGGACAGGATGGTCATTAATACGCTCGCTCAAACTACATCTATTGAACCAACTGGAGCCAGACCTGTTCATCCTGACCACAGCCTTACCATACATACGACACCAAGTCGCTCCCATTTGGACTTTTTCTGCAGCTTATCAGGCACACTCGCAAGTCAAACGATGACCACCCTTCCTCTACGCCATTCAGTCTATCCACTGGCGGTTTAGTGAATACCCCCAACTTCAATCTTTGGGTTCGGTAGCTTGCATGACAATGGAATTCATACCCTATCGCCTCAATCCTCAGCAATGGCTTCGTGCGGACCAGATTATGCAAGATGAAGCCAGCAAGCCCTACGAGTCAAGGCCTGCTGTCAAGGTTGTGGTCAATCGGACACTTGGAACAAGTTTCAACAATGTCTTCAAGTAAGTTCATCTCTGTTATAACCTGTTGCGTAGTCGAGGACTGACTCATTGTTCGAATATAGGACGCCTACATTCAATGCGGTCAAGAAGCGATACGAAACCTATTTTCTGGGAAAGATGGGGTCACATGGTCGATCTTTGGTGGAACTAGGGAATGAAATGATGGACTTAGGTTCCATGAAGCAGCTCATGTGCACGCCATCTGAGCTGGCTGAGGATATCAAGAACAATTATTTCAAGAATAGGTAAGGAGTCTTCTGGTCATTTCAGGGCTATTGCTGACGGGTCAAACCCATAGTCCGAGTGCATTACATACCCGAGAAGCCATCGAAAGTCGTTACAGGACATATTTCATGAAGTGGATGGATGCGGATGAGATGATGAAGTACGCAGCCCAACCGACAGATAATCTTGGAATACGATTCCGGATTGGAGCTGTGGTTGATCATATCAAAACAACTTTCTTCCCTATGGAGTAAGCTCAAGTCTCTTCTCCGCTCACAAATAGAGACTAATAGCTACAGCCCATTAACAACGGAAACAAATATTCAGGACCGATACTGCAGGCTCTGGCTGGGAGGTGTCATGACTGCTACAGAAGTTGAAGCATATGATCAACAGTGCATCGACCAAGAGTGGTCGACACTGCCCCGAGAAACGAACGTATCTCGGCCTCCTCATCAACCAACCAACGATTTTGAAACCGCACAAGAGAGTATATCGAGTACTTTACCACTTGGATTTCCACGTCCACCATCCCAACAATCAGTCGTCCCACCGAATTCGTCTCCACCCCCACAACAATCTGTCGCCTGGAGCGCATCTGTACAATCGCAACCACTCGCAACGCCCTCCCAAGTCCACGATAGTCTTGAGCCTACAAGACAGTCTAGTGTGAACTCCCACAAACGTATACGAGGAAATAGTTACGACAGCAATGCCATCACATCAAATACTAGCTATATGGGCCGAAGCAACAGCACAAACTCCCCCCTCGAATCTCTCCCTCCATTCCAGAAACTCCAGAGGGAGCTTCGAGACTCAGGATTCTTCTCCAGCAGTAGCTCTAGTGACTCGAGGTCACTCATTTCACGCATGAGTCGTCTTTCCATCGAGGTCAAGCCATGCACGATGAACCACTCACTTGCGTCGTCCGATAATCCCTGCTCCGTGTGTCAATACCCGGAGCTTCAACCAAAGCCCCGTGTGTATGTTGCTCCAGAATATGCATCACCACAGCGTGCTGATGTCGTTGATGCGGATGAGATGGATAATGGGATACTGACTGGCAATGCGAATGCGAAGAGTTTATGATGATACGATGTTGCATGGCGTTTCTTTTTGGAGCATAGAGCTCAACTCTTTTTCAGCATTGTTTTGGTTGCCTTATACCTTGCATTTTATCCTGTAACTTTTATTTCTTGATACCTTTTTGCAGTTCCAAGCTAGCGATTGAGCGAGGTTGTTTGGTTCTTCTTGGAAAGCGAGGAGCTTTTCGTGGGCGAGAAGGAGGTGTAGTCATCGAGGTCGATGACTATCATACCAAGCACAAGGCAGGCCTTTCAAGATATAGATACAAAGAATAGGTTGTACGATATTCATGAACTCAGCATGTCTCCATATTTCTGGCAAACTAGTATATGATCAGGGTGTACGGGCATTGCGGCATAAAGTGATGCGGCTCCAGGATATTTCCCTTCATTCAGGCCTTCAATCCACTAAAAGTCAGTGAACAAGCGCTGTAGAGACATAACAATCCCTATTTCCAGCATGCGCACACTAAGCTAGGCTCAAGTGATCTAGTTAGCTCCAGGCACTTTAGAGCTTGGTAGCCTATTAATGCTCTCTAAAATAGCCACTCTTAGGCACTATGTCCCTAAAACGCTAGCTAATTCCAAGCACTAAAACCTCAACCTTTTAGCGAGGTTAAGGCTAGAGGGCTGGAAATCCAGGGTGCACAGTGGCTAATGATACTGCTTACAGCGTGTTATGGCTGTGCCGTTGCCCTGTAGAGCACTCTTCAGGGAGCAAAGCCCTGTAGTCACATCACTTTCTGCCGCAATATCCGTACTGTACGCGAATATGGAGGTGCACAAGCGACCGCAAGCGAACTAAACCTTAGACACCCAGATCATCAATTCACCCACTAAAACAACAGACATCAAGCCAGTGAAAGCGTTGCACCTTCCAGACTCACTTGCTATTTAGGTGAATCTAACGAGGTACTCAAACGGCCGCGTGCGGCCGCAATCCCGCAAGTATATAAACAAGGACTCCTCCCTCCCTCCTACTTCCCTTCTTCTTTACACTCAAAGGATATTACTACCAGGGATACTAGGTGAGCTTTGTGACAGGCTCGGCCGGCATATCATCTCATAAGGATAGCTTTCAGTATCGAGATATGTTTCGTCTAGAAGCTTAAGATTGTTCTTTACTGTCAGTTGTGTTGGCCGCGTTTCGTTGCCATTTATTATACCACCTTCCCGATTCAACTGCTCTAGGTGAATCTGATAAAATGAAGAAACGGCCGCAGACGGCCGCAGATCCGCAGATATATAAACAAAGACTCCTCCCTACTTTCCTTCTTATTTACACTCAAAGGGATGCTACTATCAGGGACACTAGGTGAGCCTTGTGACAAGCTTGGCGTACACATAGCCTTGAGTGTCGAAATACTTTTCGCCTAGAAGCTCAAGATTATTCTTTGCTGTCAATTGCGTTGGCCGCGTTTCGTTGCCATTCATTTGGGTTTCTTTGTTTGTTGACAGCAAGAGGATAGTTGACGGCAGTTATCGTCCTGTACTAGATCAAAGAACCATGTCATCTTCCGACTTTGACTTGCAGAATGACTACAGCATCGCTCCAATTCGAGGAGAATGGACGGACAGAGTTTTGTGACAGGTTTAAAGTCCGTCAGGGATTGAGTATTTTGAGGCGGCATAAAGCTTTTCCTCTTTATGTTAAATTGAAATAATCGAAAGTCAGGAAACCAAGATAGGATCAGGAGGTACACTGTAAACAGCAATTGGAACCAGAAAATTGAAGCCTTTGAGTTATTGACATGATTATATTCATTTTGGATGCGTAAATTGAATATCCTCAGCCCCTACATTCTCCAGCTTCAGTGTCCCATCACATCCACCTAAACAGCAACTTCCTTATGCTCCGCAGCCTTCTCATCGACCTGCAAATCCTCCACATTTTCCAAGCCAGCCAACCCCAGCCTCTGCTCAATAGCCCTCATCCTCTCGCGATCCTTCACCGCAATCGCATCCGCATCACCCCCAAAGAAAACATCCAACTCCTCCAACGTCTTATTCTTCGTTTCCGGCACCGCAATCCACACAAACAACCCACCCATCGCACAGAACGCCGCAAAAAAGATATACGTCCCGTACTTCATGCTAGCCAACATATGCTTCGTCGTGAGCCCAATGATAAAATTAAACATCCAGTTCGTAGACGCCACGATCGAGACGCCACGCGATCTCATCGAATTCGGGAAGATCTCTTGCGTGAGGACCCAAGCTACGGGGCCCCAGGAGTACGCGAAGTTGACGGCGAACAGCCAGATGAAGGCGATGCTGGCCCATCCGGCGCTTCGGTGGGTGGGCCAGGAGTCCTCGAAGGAGCCATCGATGGCGGCGACGAGGACGTGGCAGATGCACATGCCGATCGCGCCGGTGATCAGGAATGTCTTTCTTCCGAAGTTGTCGAGGAAGAGGACTGCGGGGAGAGTGAAGATGATTTGGAAGATGCCGGTCACGCCAGTGGCTAGAAGATCAGTAGTGACGGACGTGAAGCCAAAGGTCTGGAAGATTTGGGGGGCGTAGTAGAGCTGTGCAGCGAATTAGCCTTTCTGAAAATTGGAGATTTCTCGTAGAATAATTCTGGAGACTGGAACGAGGAGCTACTTACCACTGCGTTGATGCCAGTAAACTGCTGGAAGATCATGATCCAGACACCGATATTGAGACGCCTGAACATATTTGGTGTGAAAAGAGCTTTCCATACGCCAAACTTGGTGGTGTTATTCAATTCCGCCTCTGTTTCTTCATCGAACATGACAGCGGCTTTGATTTCGAGGTACTCAGCGCGAAGGAGAGGAGATTCGGAGGAGAGACGACGCAGTTTGCAGAGGGAGGCGATGGCGTCGTCATCTCGGTGCTTCATCATGAGCCAACGGGGTGAGAAGGGAAGGAAGAACATTCCGAAGAAGAGGATCCAGGCGGGGATCAATTGTAGGGCAAGAGGGATACGCCAGGAGATCGCTTCCTCGCCGAGACAAGTGTGACCATGGGCTGCGTTGTAATCGAAAGTACCGTCTGGGAGGTTACCTCCGTTTGGAACACCAGCTGCGTTGCAATCTGAGCCACCGGCAAAGTGCATGCCATAGTCAAGCCAGAAAGAGATGCAAGTGCCAATTGTGATGGACAGTTGTTGAAGGGAGACAAGGGAGCCTCGGAGCTCGGGAGGAGCGATCTCGGCTTGGTAGAGGGGAATGACCTGTAAGTAGTCAGCACCAGGTTCTAATCCACATGGAATACGGACCACAATGAAACAGCAATTGAAAGTAGACTACCACTCACCATAGAGAACATTCCAATACCAATACCTCCAACCACTCTGCCACCAAACAACATAGCTGGATTCTGGGCACCGGTCTGCAGACCCGTTCCAATAGTAAAGATAATGACTGCGACAAGCATGCTGTACTTTCTTGAAATCTTGTCCGCCAAATAACCACAGAACAAAGCACCAGCCCAAGCTCCCAACTCCAACGCTGAGACCAACCATCCTTGGATCGTAGAGCCAGTGAGCGAAGGGAAATGAGCCTCGAAGTTCTGCATGACGAGGATGGAGCCCATAACTCCCTGGTCGTAGCCGTACATCATACAGCCGAGAGAGGCGAAGAGGCAGGTCATGAAGACGTAGGGATTTTGGAGCATGCCAATGATTCCATGTCTCTTGTTGGCGTTGGTACGACCAACGACCGATTGGGAAACTTTTGCTTCCTGTACTTTGCCGAACGCCATGATGGGCGAGGTTGTTCTGACTGAGGGTTCTGAGAATAAGGTAGAGAGACCCACTTGATGGTCAGAGTTGCCAACGATAGAGGGCCGAAGAGGATAAAAAGGAGGGTGAAAAGTCAAGGAGGAGAAAGATCGTCGGGTACTTATACACTCCCCAACCACTTGGTGAAAATCCGAGAACCTGGGCAGACAGCGAAGCTACCCTCGCGATATTTCCTATCCTAGACTGGCTCATACTCCCCCACCACCCGCATCTCACAGCTCTTCAATCGGTCCTTCTGTGGCGCCTATCCACACCAACTCCAATTGTCAACTCCAGTCCCCGTATCTCCATCGAACCATCTCAGAGTGGCCGAGGAGTTGGTCAGCGATAGATCTCCACTGGGTCCCACTACACCTGATTTGCTTGCGGAGGAGAAACGTTCCTTCAATCATCGCGGAGAAGTGTTTAGCCTTCTCTCCAACCCTCCTCGCGTGAGCTTCTCAGACCGTGAACAGAGACACGATTGGCTCGAACCCAGAAACTCCAGCACGATGGAACGTATCCCATCGATTTAAGCCGCCGTCTTGCGCCGCACGGAAGCTGTTTCCCTACGCACAATTTGCATAAACAACCGTATTCGGTTCTACGGCACAAGCCGTGTTCTCCTCCGCCTTCCAAAGAATGGTTGAGGAGTACTTCTCCGCATGCCGATCTCCTACCCGAAAAGAAAGAAAAGCAGATCTAGGTCCAACGTCGGTGCAACTTTGCATGCATCTGATAAAGCTCCCACGCAGAAGCGAGAAAAGCTTACGCGTGTGGCGGCGCGTGTGGAGAAAAGGATTAAAGCTTGTTCGAAATGACTCGAAATATTGAGGCTACTTTCCCTCCCTGACTTTGGGACAATTTTATTGGCTGGTTTGGAGCTAGTGGGAAGAATTTCGTTCCTAATTGTGCCGTGCTTTCCGAGTCGTGAACTGTGGGGAAGATGCGAGATAGAGGAAACAAAATAAACACTACTTTGATTTGCTTTGGGTGTGGATTCGTGGAAAGATGGGATGGAGAGCTGGGGACTTGGAGTTGATGGAGACTTCATCGGCTTGTCCTCGGTCGCATGCAGTGTTGCTCGGACAGACTTCCCAGCTTTGGGGTGTGGAGATAAAGAGGAGTCCCAGATATTCCCAATCGCATTTCGGGACCGACGAATTGAAGCGCTAATCAGGTCACTTGACCAATGGATGTTCGGTTCATGTCTCTTGATCTGCTTGATCTGCATCTTTCAAGGGTTCCCGGTTGAAGAGGGTTATATTTTCTACTTTTAGGTTACACGAGAGCCTTTCTATAAAGCTCTGAAAATTCCATCGCCAATTTGTACGCCAGTTATGAATGTCCGGTTGAAGGTGGATCATTCATCAATGCTGTTGAACCCCCAATTTATGTCGCCCCCAGAATAGCTTTTGTCTTTATGCCCATGAACGCCGATGTTGAGATCGTTGAAGTCATAAAGTCATCCGCTTCGCCCGCTATCATCTCCAGACAAATGAAATGAAATAAAAAATGGTATTATTTACTTGGTGGAAGCATACTTTTGGCGGTAGAATTTGGCGGCGTTGACCATGTTGATGAGCGCAGCTTTGGTCTCAGCCCATTGACGGGTCTTGAGACCACAGTCAGGGTTGATCCAGAGTTGTTCTGGCTTGAGGTAGACTAACATCTCATCGATTCTGTCCTTGATCTCTTGCTCGCTGGGAACACGAGGAGAGTGGATGTCGTAAACACCGGGACCGATGTGGCGAGGGTAAACCTCATCGACGAAGACTTTGAGGAGCTTGGCATCTGACTTGCTGTTCTCAATGGAGAGGACATCAGCGTCGAGAGCCGCAATGGCGTGGAAGAAGTCTTGGAATTCGGAGTAGCAGAAGTGAGAGTGGATTTGGGTAGAGTCCTTAACACCAGAGACGGACAGACGGAATGACTCAACAGCCCACTTCAGGTAAGCCTCACGTTCCTTGCCAGCACGGAGAGGAAGACCTTCTCGAAGAGCTGGCTCATCGACTTGGATGACGTAGACACCAGCAGCCTCAAGGTCAACAACTTCATCACGCAGAGCGAGGGCAAGTTGTTCGGCTTGGACAGATTGGTGGACGTCATCACGAGGGAAAGACCATCGGAGACATGTGATGGGACCAGTCAACATGCCCTTCATTGGCTTCTTGGAGATAGAGACAGCGTACTTCGATTCCTTAACTGTCATTGGTGCTGGTCGGGAGATGTCACCAACAACGATAGGAGGTCGGACGCATCGGGAACCGTAAGATTGAACCCAGGCATGGGTGGTGAAGGCATAACCATCAAGACGCTCGCCGAAGTATTGCACCATGTCGTTTCGCTCGGGTTCACCGTGGACGTAGACATCGAGATCAAGCTCCTCTTGAATCTTGACAACGTCTTGAATCTCCTTCTCGATGAACTTCTCGTACTCCCCAGCAGTAATCTCACCCTTGGTGAACTTGTTACGTTGGATACGGATCTCCTTGGTTTGAGGGAAAGAGCCAATAGTGGTAGTTGGGAAGAGAGGAAGTCCGAGAGTTCGTTGTTGCTCGGCGATACGGGTTGGGAATTCGGATCTTCTGTTGTACATGTCGGGGGTGATCTTAGATTGGCGGGTCTTGACAGCAGGGTCGTTGGTGCGCTTGGATGTTGCACGGGACTGGATCGACTTTGCGTTCGCCTCAAGTTGCTCACGAACAGACGCTGGGCCCTCAGTGACAGCCTTAGCAATCACAGAAACCTCAACAGCCTTTTCGCAAGCAAAAGAGAACCAATCGGCGATTTCAGGATCAAGCTTCTTCTCGCTTGCGAGAGTGTGTGGGGTGTGGAGAAGAGAGCTAGAGGTGGCAACAATGACACGGTCTTTGCCGAGATTTTGGATGGCAGTCTCCACAGTCTCAATAGCACGCTTCAGGTTGGTCTTCCAGATGTTTCGTCCATCGACGACACCAGCAGAGAGAACAGTCTTTGAGCCCAATGCACTGATCACAGTGTCGAGTTGCTCTGGGTTGCGGACAAGGTCAACGTGAACAGCGTAGACATCTTTGGGGAGGACTTCGATGTTGTGAACAATGTCACCGAAGTAAGTAGCGAAGACAATCTTTGGGATCTTGTCTCCGAGAGCAGCGAACTTTTCGTAAGCTGGCTTGAATGCAGCCTTCGTCTTAGCTGGGAGATCGTAGACGAGAGTTGGCTCATCAATCTGGACGGTCTCGGCACCAGCAGCCTTGAGTTTGGTCAAAAGCTCAACGTAAACTGGGATGAGCTTCTCGAGCAAGTCGATTGGCTGAACAGTTTGGTCACGATCGGCCTTTCCAAGGTGAAGGAACGAGACGGGGCCGATGAGGACAGGACGGGTAATGATACCGGCAGCTTTGGCCTCCTCGAAATCAGAGACTGCCTTGGGGTTGGCAGTGAGCTTGAACTCCTGATTATCTTGTAGAGTTGGCTTGACATAGTGGTAGTTCGAGTCGAACCATTTTACCATCTCCAAACTGGGTACGTCGATGCCATTCTTTTGGTGACCACGTCCCATAGCAAAGTATTCATCGACGGGGTTGAGGCCGTGGGAGGTATATTTTGGTGGTGCGGCCTGTGCAGATAAAATGTTAACATGATGATTCACCTTAATGAGGTAAAAAGCTTACACCGAAGTCCTGGATCTGGTGGAGAACTTGATCGTAGAGAGCGAAGTCGTTGCTGGGAATGACGTCGACACCCGCCTTCTTCTGGATGTTCCAGTGCTCGAGGCGCAGTCTCTTGGCCTCAGCAAGAAGATCTGCTTGCGAGATCTTGCCGGCCCAGTATGCTTCAGTAGCCTTCTTCAGATCACGATTGACACCCATGCGAGGGAAACCGAGAATCGATCTATCATTGACATTGAAGTTAGCAGTCTGCAGCTTCGGATGGTCATTGCAGAGGACTGTACTCACGATTGAACCATGATTGCGGTGTTGTAGAGTCGAGGAACAGCACTGAAAATTGCTACGGAGACGGATCACCAGCTATTGCGTGCTTTGATTCTGGGGTCCGATTGTCGGGATCTCAAGAAGGAATCCTCTACAGCCGTGAGGGAGGAAGTGTTTGTTGATAGAAAGATATCGCTCTCTGATTGTATTCGAAAGCGAGATCTGTGAGAGGAGATGGGGAAGAAGAATTGTTGAGGAGGTGAAGCGGTGTGAAGAGAAAAGAGATTTGAGAAATCTTCTTGGAGGGGTTGGTTTGCTGAGGGGCGTAAAATCAGCGTTAGACCAAGCTCTAGCAGGGTGACCTTACGATTTCAGGCTAGCCTATCACGTGGAAATCGCCGAGAAGATTCGAGTGAAACTTGAGCCGTGTCTCGTATGTTTCTCAGGAACTCTTATGTTCTTGCGAGAGGATGGTACTTTGATATGTGCGAGAAGTCAAATATTCTATCAATTATTTGCTATCTATTCACTCTCTCAAGAGTTGAATGTTCTTCCTTTTGAGGTAAATGGAAGCTCTCTGGCCCCCCGCCAAGGATTCTATCACACAGACCTGTTGTACTCATTCAGATTCGGCGGCGTAGCTAAATAACAACCAATCATGACTGGACGTGTTCAGAATTCGGGATTTATTTAGCGTCATGTTGTACCCCCACCAAATCAAACGGCCGAACGAGGGGAGCTCAGCTCAGTTGTTTGCAAGCGACGTTGATATCCCATTAACAACACGATTTGAGTCAGCGACGAGCAGAGTCCTCGTAGAGTGCTACTTGCTTTGGTAAGCAGGTTTCAATTGAGTCATTACACAGATACACAGAATCTTAAAGTCAAGAGAAGAGGCAGTTCATCCGTCGCGGAGGTTTAAACAACTCTTCATTTATTGGTTCAACTCACACCACCGACTTTGCATTATCTCTTTAATTGATAAACATTTCATTGTAGTTGAAGTTTCTCGCTTTCACTTACAGTCTGACATTGTATCGGAAGTATCATGAGCTCAATCACTTCCCAAATAGTCTCTGATCATTATTCAGCCTTGGCTCGAGAAGATGCTTCGTTGAACGCAGCACACATCAGAAAGGTGGCAGAGTCTTTCGGATATTCTACTGATGATCTGGCTTCCGTTCCAGAAGGTGCAAATCTCGGTGTCAGCTGTGGGAATCCACTTGCAGTTGCTGGATTGAAAGAAGTATTCCCCCATGTTCAATTAATGAGAAGCGTGTAATGACATCCAGTGTTCAGGGCGAAACAGTGATTGATCTTGGATCTGGGGCAGGCTTTGATGTATTTCAAGCAGCTCGAAAGGTTGGACAGAATGGACTTTCCATCGGCGTCGATATGAGTCAGGACATGCTAGACAGAGCGAAAAGAAATGTCGAGAAGTCATCCATCACCAATGTCAGATTCGTCCTCGCACCAATTACGAAGATACCTCTAAGTTCTGAAAGTGCCGATTGCATCATCAGTAATTGTGTTGTCAATCTCCTCGCTCAAAGTGACAAGATCGTCTGCTTTCGAGAGGTCTTCCGCCTGTTGAGACCAGGGGGACGACTAGCTGTCAGTGATATCCTAGCGAAGAAAGTCTTCCCTGCGGAGCTGCAGAGAAATATGGGCCTCTATGTTGGGTGTATCAGTGGAGCTAGCCTTGTCAATGAGTATCAGGAGTGGCTGAAGGAGGTGGGCTTTGAAGGTATTGAAACCTCCTCATAAACTGTGTACCGTAATGTTGACAATAACCCCAGACATCATGATTGTGGACAAGAAGTCGGACCTTAATATCTACAAGGAAAGAGGCCAAGAAGATACCTCATCATGTTGCGATACATCGGTTGTAAAGCCGCAAGCAGAAAGTTCGTCTTGCTGTGCTCCTTCAACCTCATGCTGCTCGAGGAGTGGAAATGCAGAAGTAGATGGCAAGAAAGAACTAGCCAAACGTGTCGCGGACATCGATTTCAATGAATGGGTCAGTGAGTATCTCCATACTCGTTCTCCAGATGTCCTCTCACAAAATCAGGTTCGTACAGCATATATGCTGTCAAGCCTAGCAAAAGCCAATAAGTGCTTACCGACTTCATGTCGCGTTCGCGTTCGAAAACAAAATAGCACTCATTAGATAGTTGCTGGATTCACTTCAAAAGTTCCCTGGGTTGGTCGGACGTACTTCGGTTGATTCTCGGGCAGATAAGGGGGTATCAGCCTTGCTTGAAGCGGGACATTTCCCGCCTTGTTTACATCCTTGATCTTTACCAAGGCGACCAACATCCATTCATTTCCCCATGCATAAAAGCCAAGGTGCGGAAAGACCTTCAATAGCATATCAATTCAACTCAATTCTTCAAAGTCAGAAATCTCACAGAAAGTTCGCTAAGAATATGTTCCCGAATTCAGAGACCCAACATCAACACGTGATCCTAAAATCACCGAAATGCCAACCATAATACCTAGCATATCGCCGAGATGCACTTCACTTGAGCACACAAATGCTTTGTTCCTGTTCCTAGGTTCGTTCTCCTAGTGCTGTTCCACTTTCGAGTTTCCAACTCGAATCCAGTCGTCGCAGAAAACGTGGACATAGGTCACTTTCGAACTCTACGAGTCTACGTGCCCTTCAGAGTATGCATGCTTGCATAGTAGCAAGAGCATCCTTGTATTCTTCCCATCACTCGAAATATACGTCGTTCCATCATCTCCCGTAACAACCAAAAGGTGGCAATTACAGACTGTTCGCGCGGGGGTGTAAAGTATGGTTTGCATTGCTGAGAGCTAATAATGCATTTAGAGAGATGGTGCATTCAGAGAACCGGTGCATTCAGAGAGTGCATCAAGAGCAGGTGCAAGTGCGAGAGCTGGCTGAATGGGCTCAGAGAAGGTGCAGGCGATAATATCATAGCAATTCAAGATTTTTTTGCACTTCAAATTCTTCATAATATCATACTATCGTGCGTGTGCCCTTTATGTCTCAAGTTCCTCCCGTAATACCTTATTTTTTTCTCGAGATGCAGCGTGATTTATTGATAAACAGATTATTTTACAAGTAAATCGGAACAACGCAAATACCCCTTTGTCTTCTTTCCATTTATCAAACGAGAAGTGGCGTATCTTCAGCAGAGGTGGTTTGACGGATTCCTGCTGATATTATGATGACGGTACAGGTGCAGGAATCATGATGGGACCAGGCGTGGAGGGCAATACTTGCGGCTTTTACTTGTTTGCTATACGAGTATACTGCCGCTCGCCCAATTTCAATCTGACATTTTTCTTTGGCTGTCTTCTCCGTTGCTTCGCTGCATTATATCTATGCGATGACCTGTTTTACTCTCTATACAGATAGCAGTATAATCCATAAACCAAACCAGCTGGACCATCCCAACATTACTCCTTTCAATAAGTGGTTGCTGAATAGTGAAGCAAAGTTAGGCGAAGATGCCGAGGTTTTGGTGCTGGGCTGTGAACCCGCTCCGGGGCTTGTAGTTACAACAGGGGCCGTAGCTTCAATTATTGTACGGGAACCCGGAGAAGTAACTCCACCTGACGTCGTGATAGCTGGCGTGGTGACCGCTCCGTTGACGAAGCTGGTAGAATTGTGAGTTTCCCAGCCGGTGCTAGTGAACCCATTAAGGACCGGACCGTCGTCTTCAGTAATGTAGCAAGACGCAAAAGCAGGTTGGTTTGGAAAATCTGGGCAATGGGTGCGGCACAGTACTCAGAGTTATCAGCGCCTCCTAAAGAAACCTGGAAGCTCAAGCCTTGCGGATCAGACGCGATCTCTGCAGAGCTGGGCAGAAAGAAGCTATCGGCAATGCTGGCAATCGCAGGCTGAAGGGTTGATTTCAATTGGACTGTACTCCATGTGAATGGAGTTACGAAGCTGGTCATCGGGGTTTTCCCTGAGTTTGTGACTTCTAACGTCCCTGTCCATATATACGAATCTGGCCAGACGAAGAAAGGAGTCGGAGTATTCTCAAGGACTGGTCTGCAGTTTCTATACGGTCTACTTCTGTGGAGTCTTTTCGCTGTTGTTCTGATATTCGTGCAGACTGGAGTTTGGGCAGAGTCAAGATCAGATGAAGGGCAGTCTCTGAATAATCTTTTGAAGATCAATGCCAGTACAACTCTTGCTGTGCTTCGATTTACACAAGGAGTCTTGGAAATTCTAACCTCCCTCATGATCGAACAATCTTTTTCATACATATAGTGGACTTTGACCGCATACGCCAATGGCATCTCAGGTCATAGCCTTTTGGCTTTGGCGCCAGCTACTGGCTTTTTTGGTACGATCATGCTCGCATTTGCCAAAGTCTCACTTCACACCAGGCTTTGGGCATTTTTGAGGTTTGTTAATTCCGTGATTGGCTTGCGAAACAGCCTGGATTCAAACGAGTTTCTGACATCACGCAGAGTGTCTTTGATTGGAGTTGTATGGCTGACAGGTGTTGTCTTATTCTGTAAGCACCCATCGAGCTCGCGACGATGACCAGAGCGCACGACTAATTCGCTCATTGCTGTGAAGTCCGCACGTCTACCATCGTCGTGTACGACACTGAGTCCACTTACAACGTAACGGCAGGCGTTGGCCCATTCAATGGCTCATATGTCCAGCCATTCTTCGACTACCTCCACTCGTTGGCACCTAGCTATCCACTCCAGACGCTGCCTTATACCTACTATGCGGTCTCCTACAATCTTGTCATAAATCCCATTTTCTCAACCGTGCTGCAGCCTGTTAGCTGCGTACAGAATCAGACTTCCGGGACTCGCTGCATGTCATACCTTCTCAGCGGCGGGTTGGAAATGGTTGCGCCTCGGACCGTTAGCACCTCAGAAGATTATCCGATGGTGAAGATCAGCAAGGTGCCATCAATGCAGCTCGACTTCGCAGAAGACATACCGAGTAACATATTTTCGGAGGAAGACTGCGATACCTTTGGAGCAGCGAATACGATCATAGCCTTGCGGCTTTGCCTAGCAGAGGACCAATTGGATTATGGACGGTGGAATGCAGGTTGTCGCACTTTATCCTCAACGATAGAGCGAGCTAATCGCTATAGGCCTTTATCTCTGCAACTCTGCAGAAAATGGGACTTTATGTGATGCGACAGGGGCTGATTCGCTACCCAATATCACAAGTTCGATCTCCTTCTACAAACGCCAAGCGACAGTGATGGCAATGCGGTCAAATTACAGCATCACCAGTATCTCTGATCTCAGCCCACCGGAATCAGTCACAGACATGGATTTACCTGCCTACAGATCTGCTCTTCGCTGGCTTCTCAACTTCACAGCTGAAGGTATCCCTCCGCCATCGTCGATTGTGGAAAGCTTTTGGGGCGCCGATGACCAGCTAAACACTGGCCCTGCAACGTATGGTCTCTTGTTGCAAGAATTTCAGAGTATCTTAGCGTTTCCGCTTTGGTTTTTTAATGCCAACAATTTCGGCAATATAGCGTTGAAGAAAAGAACGACATCAGCCGCGCCCCAAGAGGTTGGGCTACCGGCAGAATTCTTCACGGTAGCTTCACTTGTGGCACCGTACGCAAAGCTCAAGTTCGACCCAGTAATGGTTATCCTTTTTATTGTGCTCCAAGGGTTGACAATACTGCTTGTCTGGAGCATTCTGTTTTGGATTTGGTTCAGAGTAGGGGTCGACCAGCTACCAAATGTATCGTCACATCCTCAATTTGACGCGATGTTCAAAATCGAGGCGAAAGGAATGTCGAAAGCGCACACGCAAGATGATTTGCTAGATGCGGAAGGAGGGGAAGCTATCAAACTCGTCGATGGGGTAAGAGTGTACATGAAAGATAACTGACAGTTCTTTGAACAATGTATGAATTCAGGGATGTTATCCCAATGTTACGCATGTGTTCTTCGCGATATCAAGGGCACACATGCGGGAGAGGTAGCCGAATTTGGGGTCACAGTTGCGGAGGCTGGAGAGAAAAAGGATAATGTCTCTTGCGAGGAGAACCAGGGCAGTGATACTTGCTACTTCGCCAACGCCGCACATTATTGTGAGATTGTGATCAATGGCGTTAAAGCTTTGAAATATGTTTCAGTTATTATACAGAAGAGGTCGACCCTCGAAGAGATATATTGTAGACGAGTTTTCCTTGGGTCTTGATTTCGCCAGATATACTTTTCCTCTCGCAAGTTCAGTGAGACATGCAAAGCAACGCGCGCTTTCAACACAGTCCACCGCCACATCCTTCTCACAAATCAAGCAAGCTATGGTATGCACAATAACATTGCATTTGCATGATTCGAGCCCTCTCGACGCAAAATGAAAGGCCCTTCTTACTCAACAGCAGCGCTCTCAATGGGCAGTTCGGGCCTTTTTTTTGCCCTGAACTGTCACCAATAGCACCCTAGATGGTTCCAGACGGAAAATTGAAGAGGGTGTCGATTGCTTGAAAGGAGTAGATGGACTCGAAGATTATCAGCTCGTCATTCCAGACATATTCTGCAAGGTAATCAGCGATCCGAATTCGTTGCCGAAGGAGACTGGTGGGAAGCTAGAGAAACTGTACAGTACCTTGATACAATTTGATATGGCCAGTGATGTTGCAGGGTGCCCCATTAAGTTCTGAAGGGCGAGTGGAAGTGGTGGGATGGTGGTTTGAGCTTCTCTGGGATTGTCCTTGGCGACGATGATGGTGATAGGAGACTGAAACGCTGTAATCTTCATGGGTCTGGTACTGGGAGGTATATTGAGGGATAGACCACGTCGAAATGTTCATGTGGTCTAGAAGAAAGGCCAAACCTCAACACACGAGAGGTGAGCTTCCTCGTTTCCTGGTATCGAAAATGATATCAATCAGCATTTCACCTTCCGGTAACGCCGTGTGTGTCTCCACGATATCATTATCCAACAAATGAGCACCTTCTGTTTTAAAGAGAAAAGCCAATATGTGATTAATTGCGGTGTCTCTTCTGCAGGTTGGAGTAGGGTATTGACGGCATCCTGCCATGTGTCCCCCTTAGGACGAATATCCGAAAAGCCCGCTGCTATGTCCTCTCCGCGACCCACACCCACAGCTTCCTCTTGGCAAGATATCCTGCAGGTCTTTTGAAGCCAGCCAGAAGCCACTGATTAAAGACCCCAAAGCGTTGAATGTAATACTTGGACGGGCTGAACTGATCGTCAAGATAACGGAAGCAAATATCAGGGTGGAGAATGATGTCCCAGCCTCTTATGTAAGATTACCTTCTCCCTCGAGATAACCAATGCATTCGTGCCTTGTAAAAAAAAAAACTTCCGAATACACCCTCTCGCTGGCATTGAGATCTGTAAGGTGTGATTAGCTAGAATAGGTATTCAATGTAATGATAGAATTGTTGGCGGTTGCAATTTGACAGTTGACTTCCTCCAGTTGCTCGACTGTTTTGCTGTATTCGCCAGAGAACTGGAGAAGTGTCTGTAGATGTGCAACAAAAAAACTGTCTCGAGAACTGATTGGCTTGCGCGTTCACAGCGGGTCGTAGATGTGCAACGAACGATTGTCTTGAGAACTGATTGGCCGGCGTATTCTCAGCGTGTCGTAGATGTACATCGAAAGATTGTCTTGAGAACTGATTGGTCCGCGCAGTCTCGTAGATGTGCAACGAAAAAGTTCCTGAGAGCTGGTTGGCCGGCGCGTTTACGTAGATGTGCAACGAAAAGGTTGCTACGGAGCTAAGCAGGTAGACCACTTGCTTCCACAGTGCCGAAAATGCTCTGCACTGCTATTTAGTACGTCTTCCGAATCGAATATAGCATTGGCAATCTACGGCATCAATCACCTCCTTCCATGTATGTTCCATTATTGACTTGCGATCATCTCTTGATATTAAAGTATTGACAAGTGCTCAGAGTAACCTCCTGTCTTGCAGCCTCCCTGGCTGTAACAGCGCTACAACCTCTTTCAACCTTGAGAAAAGCTTCTGACGAGGCCATCTCCCTCCATTCATCCTCTTCGAACTTCCTTATCTCTGGCTATCTCCCATCCGCCCAGGAGAAGCAGCTATCGAAGAACAACTTGCGACTATCCACGCCACGCCACACAAATATGACTTTGCGGCGATCTCGACATGGCATACGACGGCCGCATGGATAAGATTCAACCCAGAAAGACATGCAAAGTCCTCTGCTAATGCGTTTCAGAATTATATGCTTACTCCTTTGAATACAGACAGCATCCCAGACCCCAAGCCCAATGAACCTCCGATCCTCTCCCCATTACCGTTTTACGACCCACCTGCCCTCGACCTCCTCCGAAAGATCTCCTCTCCACTCTACGCGCACCAAGCGATCCAGAGCCTAGAGAAAACAGCCTTCCAAGAACAATACGCAGAATGCTTCACCAAGTTCTTCACGCAGTGGAGCGGCTGAGCCATCCTCTTCTACAAACCGGGTTCCCAATCATAAAGTGGTCTTCGCAAATTGGCACGGTGGGCGGAAAGGCTATTTCTTGTTGACGGCCTGGACTTGAGGGAGATATATACTAGGAGTGTATTTGATACTGTGGGGAGGAGATTGATGGTTTGCAAAAGTTCGAGAAGGAGAAGCCGCTGAACTGGTTATTTTTATTACTTTTTCTTTTGGAATTTCTGGGCCATCCTGGTGAGGATCAAGCCTGTGTCGTTGGCATATGTAAGGAAGATTCAGGGCTGGAGGGTGTGGCCAACTTGGAGGCATTAGCTTTGACTGTTTGGATGGTAATGGGCGAAGAGAAGAACGACTCTGGGATACCGATGTCCTACACTTGTGTTCGCTGCCTGTGTGCAGATGAGCTGATACCGATACAAGGAGCATATGAGGCGTCGTGAACTTTCGTCTTTTTGAATGGTTGATGTGGTCGTTGATGAGTGATGTGTGTTCCAGAGGAGAAATGGTGGCTCTCGTGCATTATTTTGTGATATTACTCTGTTCCAGCTTGCCAACTCAATATACCCACCATTCTACAAAAGGTCCTACACAAGTGACTCCAGTCCCATTGCCCTCTGTTCTATTCGTATCACTCGTTCTTGACCCTAACCAGCTTGGTGACGCTCGTCCCATCGCTCAAAATCTCAACATCTTCTTCGATTCTATACCCATGCCAGTTGGGCAGTGCCACAAGCGCCACATACCAGTACAAGACTGCGAAGACAATACTATCCCAGTTAGTCCACTAATCACCAAGCGATCGTTTGTGGAAGACTTACAGTCCAATACCAACAACGGCATAAGTTGCGTAAAAGAACCCAACATCCGCACTCCCATCTTTCGGTGGGAAGAATGGGGCTGCGATCAATGCAATACAAATTGCAATCCTTATCCAAACAGCAGGAACCCAAGCCTTGAACGGCCTCCCCAAATCACTCCTCTTCCTCCTTAGCCAGATAAGCCCTATCGATGTGGCTAGTGCTGCGAATTGCCCCGGATAACCTTCCACATCGAGGATGAAATTGTATACATCGCCTCGAGGAGGGATGGCTATTACAAGGAAGGAAGGTATATAGTGGACAATCAATCCGCCCATTGGTGCGCCGAAAGGTTTCGATGAGGAGAAGAAGTTAGTGTATTTTCCAAGAGGAAGAAAGCCTTGGCGTGCTATCTCTTGGTTTACTCGTGCCTAGGAGGTATTAGCTTATTGAGTACTTCCTCAGAGTAGGAGGCTTACCAAAGTAAAAGTCACCACCATGACATTCCCTGCCGCAGAAACAGCAATCGCGAGCGGCAGAATCGTCTTCCCAAATTGCTCTCCAAAAACACGCTCAAAAAACAGGGCAGCGATAAGCTCACCGCTTTCCTTCACCTCCTCGAGAGGTACGACAACAAAAAATGCAAAATTGACAAGCAAGTACAGTAGGCAAGCTGTGAACAAAGCAGCGGGAGCCACAGTCTTTAGCGTCCTGACTGGATTCTTCACCTCGTTGAGAACATTGTTGAGATTATGAAGCCCAGCATACGAGTAAGAAACTTTGAAGATTGCAGTCGACAAGGTTCCCCACCCCCAATTCGAGTCTTTCCAAAGCCCATCCCAAGAAAGCTGCGAGCCAGGAGTCGATCCTTTTACAGGCTTGACGTTGAACAAGACCACATAGATCCCGGTCAGTGCCATGAACAAGATAAGTCCGACTTTGATCCACCCCAAAGCATTCTGTATCCTGATACCAGTCTTCATGAAGCAACCATGCACGATGGTTATTGCCGTCAGAAGACCCAAAGCCAACGTCTTTTGGGAGACCTCGGTAACCTCAACTCCGAAAGCAAACAGGACATACTCTCCAAATATGATACAGTTGCTGGCAGTGAAGCCTAACAAAATAGCTTGTACAGCAACTAGAGTCGAAGCAAGGAATCTGGGATACTGATACGTGAACTCCAAATACACTTTATCACCACCCGATCGTGGAAGCATGCACCCATATTCCAATGAAATAATCATTCCACACCAAGCAATAAAAGCACCGAAGACCCATAACAACAGTGCTAGACCGACACTACCAGTCGTTTTCACTATTGAACCCGGCGTTGCGAAGATCCCGGATCCGATGACTCGGGATATCACGAGTATGTAGGCGCTGGCCCAGGAGAGGTTTCGTCCTAGAACTGCTGTTTCGGGAATAATCGCGTCTTCGACGTGACGGCTAGGTTTGAAGCTTTGAGCTTCGACTTCACCATTATACGATGTTGAGGATGATGAGGATGGTAGGAGTGGCTCGGTGGCTGATGTTTCAAGCAGTGTTGAGGAAGCCATTATTGAGGACCTTGACTTATCATCTTATATGGTTCGAGCGCAATCAACGGTCACTACGGCTCTTCATAAGTAAGGAGCTTTCGGTCGTCCTCTAATACTCATACCTTTCCTTGTAGGTGGCAATCCGGGATGTTTGTAATACAACTCACGTGCTTCACAACAACAATCAACGACCTCGAACCCTAAAGAGGACATGCAAAAGACTCGCATGAGGCAGAAAGCTCGATGTCTTCCAACCGGAACTACGGTTTTGATTTGAATAGACTTCGATTGATAATCAAACCTAGGTAAAATAGGGACGCTAAATCCTGATACATCATTATGTCTCAATCTAACGTACGAACCATGTCCTCAATTTTTCAATCAAATATCTCATAGATAAGATAATAAACCAAGCTTCGCAATGATGCCATTTTGGCCTGAGCTTGGTGATTAAAGGGGGCATCGGGAATTATTTACGACCACTGCCATTGGCAAGCTATCGCGTGAAAGATCTGACGAATTGCGTGCTTACCCTCATATTCTCCATACCACTCAGCGGCTCCATACCCCGCACTGGTGCCAGAAACGCTAGTATGTTGGGATATGGTGTTTCGATGCTTTGAAATCCATGATTACAATTATTTCTTGTGAATATGGGTATCTGTAAATTCCGTTTCCGTTCCGTAGTATAAATAAAGCGCAAGCTGCCTAGGGCAGAGATTCTAATTACCTTTTTCAAACCGAGATCAATATGGCATCTGCAGCAACCCAGCAAGCTTTCGTTCCCGAGCCCTTTGGAGCTCAAGGTGATCATTACAATTATCTTGCTACTCAACTAGGATCTACTTATCAAGATATTGAGGTCAAGCCTCGTGATGTGACGACCATTTTCAACTATTTCAAAGAAAATGAAGATGGCTCTCCTCCCGCACCAAGCTATGTCGGAAAGCCAGAAACATACTTCAGGCCGACTGTGCCACAGAAGACGGTAGTCCACGACATCCGCGGTACCGAGAAACAATATACTTTGGACACCAAAGGCTTCCAGATCGTGAAGCATGCAAGCAAAGAGAAGGACTTCCTGGATGATGAGCAGATCAAACGCATTTACTACCCTGAGACTGAAGATTTATTGAAGAAGGCGTAAGTACGAATTTATGAACTCTGAATATGGAGTTTTAATTGACTGACCCCAACAGCACCGGAGCTTCTAAAATATTTATTTTCGACCACACCATCCGCCGCAACGCGCCTGACTCCAGCCAGACCGCCGAGAACCCAAAAGTACCCATCACACTCCGTGGTCCCGTCCAACGAGTCCACATCGATCAATCATACGCTGCCGGACCCCAGCGAGTTACCCACCACCTCCCAAACGAAGCATCCACTCTTCTCCGCGGCCGGTATCAAATCATCAACGTCTGGCGTCCGATTAAGACCATCTTGAAAGATCCTCTCGGCGTCGCAGAAGCTGGCTCAGTCCAAGACTCAGATCTTGTTGGTGTCAAGCTCATCTATCCGGATCGTGAAGGAGAGACGTACTCTGTGAGACCAAGTCTGGAACATAAGTGGCACTACCTGTATAAGCAGACTTCAGAAGAGGTGTTGCTTATTAAGTGTTTTGATTCGAAGACAGATGGGAGAGCTAGGAGGGTGCCGCATAGTGCGTTTGTAGATGAAGGGCATGAGGGCGATGTAGCGAGAGAGAGTATCGAGGTCAGGGCTTTGGTTTTTCATCCTGATGACACCTAGTAGTAGCTCGGCATGCGTGGGATGGGACCGAATATCATTATCAACTGATGTTTGAAAAGAGAATTTATTTGTATTCTTTAAAGTACAGTAAGTGGAAGACAGGAAGAAATCAACTGGAACATTCGTCCATGATCACTCAGTGGGGCCAACATCTTCTTCATCCGCCACCTTACTTTGATTTTTACCTCCGGAACTCTGCTCATCGCCTTGACTGGCTGCACCCTTGTTCCAATCAACTTTCTTGAACTTGATCTTTGCCTTCACACCTTGTCCCTGGTATTTCTGCATCTTTGCCATCCATCGCGAATTCCCACGATGAGCTTGCCTCCACTGCTTGATGCTTGCATCACTCCATCGGTGCATAGGTAGGGGCATGGCAAGCTCGATGTCTGCTTCCTTAGTTGTTGTGGAAGCACGGCGAGGTCGCAAGATGAGAGTGATTGTTGTAGCGACGACGAATACTGTGACGCAGACGATGACTGGCAGTCCAATCACGAGGACGTGGTGGACTGAAGGCTTCATTTTGAGCTAGTTCTAGAAGAACAGCCGCAAGGTTCGGAAGTTCAATTGAAAGGACGTGTTGTGTTGAACAGAATTCGTAGTGAGCTCTCTGACAGTTTTCGGTGTAGTTTTGATTTATGAAGAATATTGAGGTGACCAGTGAACAATGTTTTGAGGTCGTTGATTTATCTACACTGAAATTTCAATGCGGACTGTTGGGTGTTAGGTCATTTTCATTCGGACTGTCCCGTGGTTTCTGGTCATGTTCTGGTTTCGACGGTGGGCATTCGCTTAGCATAAGCGAGAAAGAAAGGGGCGTGGAGCGGGCCGTTGGGGATGCTAATCGCAAGCATAAACCCCTCATAGTGAAGCATCAATTTAAGATATATTCTCTGATCGATCGCAATATCTTCATTCAGATGTATTCGAAGAAGTGGTCCACCTCAGCATCGATGATCGAACGTGCGTTGGTTTTCCAAGCGCAAAGGCAGTAACGCAATCTCTTGCAGATGCAATGGCTCGCCATTCCCAAACAGCAACAGTCATGTTTAGACTAGCAGAGATATATATCTTTTCTCGAAGCAGCAGCTATGAAGTGATACTAAACATTTATTGGGGTTGTAATAGGACAAACTGGAGTTGCGAGAAATGAATGTCGCAGACTAGCCGAAGTACTAGTGCGCAAGTGCGCAAGTGCGCAAGGAATGCAGATAGATGGCTATATCCCAATCGCAAACACCATGATCTTGTATACTTCAACAAAAAGGACCATTGACTTGAGCTTTTACATCAAATTCCACACTCCTCTGTCTTCAATCTCTGGACATCACCTCGCGCAAAGTAAGACATTTGGAGTGATTCGAATTGTACTTACTTGCGCCTTCATCTGCACACTTCAAGAGCACAAAGCATAACCATGTGTCTCTACGCAACCATCTTCTTCATCGGCTACTGTCTTGGCATATGTTGCTCAACAGAAGCTCAAGATAGCGAAGAGGATAACATGTCAGAGCAATATGTTCAGTATGGCGATCCTCTACTACCTAGTCCATCATCACCAGCTTACGCACAAGCCAATGAGCAAACACCACTCCTTCCGAGGGCTGATCGTCTGAGAAAATTCAGTCCGCGTGGCAGTCAGAAACGGGTAACATCTTGGGTACTCACGTTGGAGAGGGAGCAGGTAGAGAGAAAGCGAGTCACGGATGAGCAGTAGGAAAGATGCTATCTGGGAAGCGCAAGTTTGTTTTTATTGATGCTATTGCGGAATGCATATTACTTTTCTTTCTTGTAATCAAGGCATTGAACCTTGGAGGTAGATGATGATACGACCAAAAGAATTACTTGAAACCTACCAGATCTCTTGAAGAATTAGTGCACGTGCGCCTCAATGTTGAGCGCAATGCCCTCGCGACAGTAATCATTTACTAAATTTCAATGTATGCAAGTGAAAAAAAAAAGATTGGATTAGAAGAGATTATACTAATAAGTACATTTTTATCCTCGATCGATAAGCAAATCTAAAACACCGGACCTAAATAGTACCGCATCTTTTCCTAATCTAACAATATTAGTATCCTGCCATTCGTGGCTGTCGACTAATGCAGAGCGAATTTTGACCTCTTTCTTAGATTTTCACCAAAGAAAAATAGAAGCCAAATGCCAATCTAATCAATCGATTAGTATCCAGATGCAATTTCGTATTGAAGACAAAAAACATACCACACCCAAGAAGCTCAAGCCAGCCAATAAACTACTTCCGGGGCCAATACCGAGATTCTCATACAAAGGTCTACCATATAAGATGGCGCCGAATGCCATCAAGGATCGACAGACATCGTTACCGGCGAAAAGAGAGGCGGCATATGGTGGGTATGACATTGGAATGTAGGTGAAAATTCCGAGGGTGACGATGAAGACCTGAATTTCTTGTCAGTAATAACAAGGGTGCATATTGGGAGGAGGTGACCTACGGATCCAGCGTATATTCCAATACCTATGATGCTCACTATGTAGTTGACAGAAGCTCTTGCCGTCCATCCTAAACAGGTGTCAGTATATTCCTTTAGGCCAAATCACATGATACCTACCAAAGAGAAACAAGCCAATCGGGGGTCCGAAAACCATGATCAACGATGGCATCAAGACATCTTCCTGCTTGCCAGGTCCTTTGGCTTTCATCTGGGGAATCACAACGAAATGTAGTAACGCGAAAAATCCAGTCCCAGCAACCAATGCACCGACAAGGACAGTCAAGAATGCGACTCCTGTCAAGCCTAGATTGAATCCATAGATCGGCGGGTACACAAGGGCAAAAGCCTCGAAGAAGCTGTAGTAGATACCGTAGATCAGAGCAGTGTAGACATTGGTGAACAAGACGGCAGGATCTTTGAACATGATTTCGAAAGGCTTGATGATGGCATCGATGAAGATTTGATTAGCAGTCATATTACGACGCTTGATCTCAGACTGAGATTGGAGGTTGGGATTTGAGGTTAACTTCCGTAGACGACGAGCGCGGTAAAGGAGGATGGTGTCGGCACTGGTCTCCGGCAAGAAGAAGAACCAAAGGATAAACACTGGGCCAGATAACCAGAGAATTTCCCAAAGGGACCACCGCCACCTGTATCAGTCAGCGACGCAGCCTTCAAGATATCAACCACAGATCGAATTGCGTACCCTTCTGCTGCAACAGAGAAACCAGACATCATAGGTCCAAGTGCTGGTCCACAGAAAGCAGCTAGAGAAGTCAGCTTCGACTCATCGTTCAAATTTAGATGACAAACCGGCAGCCCAGATTGCGATCGCGTAAGGAATGTAAAATGGATGGAACTTTGTTCTGTCAATACTGGACTCTACAGCAGCAGAGAAGAGCTCACCAAGTCCTGCATTGTGGCACCACCATTTGCAAGGCACGGGCTTCCAAAGAATCCTGTCAGGAATCTAAGAACAAGCAGCCCTCCGACGTTATCGACCAAAGCTGTAGGAACACACAGAATTACATAAATAGCAAAGGTGCCGACGTATGGCACATTACGCCCAAAAATTGGAATCTCCGACATGGGAGACCAGAGAAGAGGTCCGAGACCATCTGTTACTTGTTAACAAGAGCGGGAAGTAGAAGAGACGGGTCGAACATACATCCAAGAACATACATCGCTAGACCGAGTGCTGCCTTGGTGTACCCTATGCCGAACACATGCATAACGTCCCTGGAGAACGTCAGTAATCAGCTATATTCGTCTCAAGAGTAACCTACGGCTCGCTACTTGTATATATCGATGATGCCATATAAACTGCGAAAGTGTAGAGATCCACTTGACCAGCGACAAAAGCCTTCTTTCCAGCAGACCAGTTCATCGGATTCGCTGGGTCATCGGTGGTGTACCAGTCTACCAAGATGGTGCCTGTTGTCGTTCTGACAGGCACGATTGGTTGCGAGCGAGCTCTTCCAAGTGTGCCTTCCGCATTTCCCGTAGCAGGAGCCGTGGCTGCTTGATAGAGATTTGGGGTTTCAGTGTTTTCGGTTGCTTTCTCGAGATCTCCTGACTCGCTGACTCCTTTCCATCCTTAGTTCAGTACTTTGATCTGGAAAGGAATTGGTACAATGGTACACTTACTCTCGCTGTTGGGAGCTTGTCCCGCGCTTAGATTAGGTGTGGACTCGTCGTCTCCTTCAAACTTCTTCTCGTTGTTTCCAGCTTCTTCATCTTCTATTGCATCAATTGTTAATCTCTCGTTGGTGATAGAAACAGAGTTGGAGGAAGTCTACATACTGTCTGAGATTGAAGAGGCTCGGCCGTCTTGAGCTTCCAAAGTATCAGTCCGTCCTCCATTTTGAGTGTCGAATTCGGATTCATCTCGAGGATTTGGCGGATGGGAAGCATCGCCATAGAATCTCGAGAACTCAAATTCTTTCTGTTCCTCTGGGTATGAAAAGAATCTATCCCCTGTCGCTAGACGGGTAAGTTGACCAAAGGTCGAGTCTCGAAGAATGTCCCACACCATTTTGACAATATTCACAAGACGAAATGGAAGCAAGCACAGAGACAGTCACTCTCAATTCTCTGTGAAGAATGGGAGTGGGATAAAAGGGACCATTTGAACTTTCGGAAAAGGCCTAGGAGATAAGGACTGCATTACTGATATTGGCATCTCACAGGCTATCAACTCATTCGGCCTTATGAGTACGCCGTAAACCGAGCTTTAGCTTCGTGAGGAAGTCAATTTGACTCTCATATGGATGACTCTGACTGCGTCGATCTTGACTGGTTCACTTGGGAGATCTAGGCAGCTTCACGTAAGCTGTGCCGCCGCAAAGCTACCGCACCGCAAACTCACATTCTTACCCTTATCAAATCATCTTATCTAGGAGCCAGTGAAACCGCAGTTGTGGATTTTGAGTTCCCACAGTCCGGGTCTATGATGACGGGGCGTAAGATCAAGTAGCATGATTAGTGTGCAATACGGGCCCCAAGGCTGACTCTGAGTAAGAAATTAGTGTTGGGCTTGTGGAGCCGCGATCTGAATTTTGGGACATTCCAAATGATGTCTCCTCGTGTCAAAGCTCGATTTGTTGTTCGTGAAGTCGCTTCTGGGTTTGTAATATTGATCCAGATGGCGAGATCCCAGGGAGCGGATATACTAAGGTACCGAATTGCAGGTGCGGCACTGACTAACGCTTAAGCAAATCGCGAATGCCGAATGGCAATGTCATCTATGCCGGTACACGGCGGAAACATCAGACCGAACCACGAAAAGACCGCCTCAATCGGCCGGCTTCGGTGGTCTAGCATCTAGTGTCGCTGTTATGGTCATCACGTGACTCGTGAGGCGCTCATCTGTCCAATGTTCTTGTCAATGTGTCAAATCTGGCACCAAGGCAAGTTCTAGGTAACTTCACGATACGAATGAAACTTGGTAAGCCGTACGGAGGTAAGTTTAGACTCTGCCATGGATTTTCAATTGTACTTGCATTATGAGCTTAACATCGAAGCCCGAAGTCCTAGGTATCTTAGCGCACGGCTATATTCCTCTTTGATTGGACTTTATAGATATTCAATAGGTTACAGACACTGATCTGATCAAGAGCAGGTTCATTGTCTGAGATCTATTTGCAACCTACACGTCTATCGTGAATATCAACGATATTTGATGGGACTTTACATAACAATTGTTATCTGGTCTTCTGACGAGTATCTTTGCTTATCTTTTTCATGACGTCCTTTTGTCAGGGAACACGATGGCAAAGTTAACTGCTACAAAATGCCCCCTTCAGATAATATCGAATGACGCAAAACATCGATATAAACTGACCAAACGGCATATTCCCATGTGATCAAACCTTCTTTTAGCGCTTTCCATGATGGAACGCAAGGGTTATGGCCTTCTGGATATTTTCCTGACGTGGTCGGAGGTAAAGATAAAAAGCTGCATCTCCGACGATCTTCGGGTTTATGGGAACGACTCGACACTTTGTCGCCAGAATCACAATAAATCCGAAATCCGAAAATTGCTTACCAAATCCGAATTCTTTCGATGTTTGGATATCGCACCATTTACCATTATTGGAGATCATGGCGGTATCAGTTCTTCCTAGGCTGATCAAATAAAATCAACTTCATAGACGAAGGGCGGCGTTCGGATTTTGAAACTGTACCAGCTTAAGAAAAGAAGGTCCGGTTGACGAACAGCTATATCCGCCAGTCTAAAGAACTGAATATTACCAGAATTGTCAATTGGCAAAAAGCTAGTCAGAAAGACGACGGTGCGGTTACTGAAGATACCGAGGACTTCTTTAGCGTGACCGAATGAGTATGTACCAGCTCGTTTCGCTGAATCCATGTTGAGCGATGTGATCTAGTTTTGAGCCTCCAAAACGCTAATACTTTGTACGCTAATACTTTGTACAATTAGAAAGAGAAATTTCCCTATAGGAGTAAGTGTAGCGCTTGTGGCATCATTGGCACGTAGTGGCAGGGGTGTTATTGACATAAGTTCCCATCAGGAAGTGCCTCGCTAAGAAAGGGGAATACTCGGTCATGTGACTCAGTCATTGATAGCTCATGCCTCTATCGTCCAGGTCAGTAGGGTCATTCAGACATCAGGCTAACAAAATCAATTTCGTGCCCAGCTTGTCTCCTTTCTTTTCTTCTTTGTTCGGGACATAAATGGCTAGATGTATGCATACATGACGTGGCTGCCTGCTCGAGGTGCACAACAGCCTTATCCCTCAGCCCGTTCGCTCGCAAGGCTATGAGAAGTTCTCACGAGAAAATAATTTCTCGCTCCTCTGGAACTTCTCTCTAAACTCACAATTGTGACTTTTCGTCCGATATCAGCAACAACATTACCATTTCAAAGCACTCACCATTTTTCAAGAGGCTCGAACGATCTCGACGAGGCTGGTGAGTCAAGCCACAGCCCAACAATCTTGAGATGGATACATATAAGTACGAACCACTCGATCTTGACAAGCCTGCTGTTCGACTCCTCCGACTTCTGAGAGGGGAACTCGGAGATGTCGTCGAATGCGACCTATTTCAAGGATGGATTGACAGAGACGATAGCGGCATGCCTTACGATGCCTTGTCGTATACTTGGGGAGGCACGGAAAAGCCCAACACGATCAAGGTCCACGGAACTGCGATGCATGTTACTGCGAATCTGTATTCTGCACTCCAACATCTACGCCTCAAAGATGAGGATCGCATCTTATGGATTGACGCCATCTGTATCGATCAAAGTAATGTCCATGAGCGACGACATCAGGTTCAACATATGGGTGAGATTTACAAGGGGGCTGAGCATGTTGTTGTCTGGTTGGGTGAGGGTGATGTAGCGACCGACCTTCTCATGGGCACCATGAAACGGCTCGAAGAACGACTCCTTGAAGTCTCAGGCGATTGGAGGCGATCAGCTCATCTATGGATACAACCTTGGACTGATCTACAATCTTCAGACGAGAGAACGAACACACACCATAGAAGCCACCTGCGTCATGGAATGAGTTCAATATTGAAGCGATCATGGTTTCGAAGAATATGGGTTCTGCAAGAAATTGCTCACGCTCGAGTCGCAACCATAATTTGTGGAAACAAGTCTATTTCTGCACGGGTTTTCGCCCAGATCCCTCCTCTGATAGGCCTTGTGGTTGATAACCATTGTCAAGCTATTCTAGATATCATGCCAGGGTTTACTTGCAAAGAGTCGTGGTGGAATGAAGACAGAAGTTTGCATAAACTTCTTATGAAGTTTGGGCACAGCGAAGCATCCGACAAGCGAGATATCATCTACGCTTTGCTAGGGATCTCATCGGATGCAAGTGACAGCAAAATCTTAATTCCCGAGTACACCAAGTCGGTGAGAGAAGTGATCCGCGATACCACGTCATATATACTATTTCCTTCGAACCGAGATGAGCCACTCTTTGAACCTCCTGACTGGAGTCTGGAAGATTTCTTACGAAATCTACTTTTTTTACACATTGAAGTACTCAAACACGTTTATATGACCGGCCTTGAAGGTGTATCAAAAGTGTTGCATGCAATGAATGAATTACCGACAGAGTCAGGGGGGAACATTTGCTTCACACCACTACAGTTACTTGTGAAAAGAGAACAGAAAAATGGAATCAGGTCATTGTTGGAGAGCAGCATATCAAACTTATACAACTCGACTGAGCCCCCACTGTCGGAAGCCATTCGAAGCGGAAATCAAGAATTGGTTGATCTTTTCTTGAAAAGTGGTGATGAAGTGGGCTGGATTCCGCTTCCGTATGCTTCCCGATGTGGAAATCAAAGAGTTGTTAAGTTGCTCTTGAACATGGTTACAAGCCAGAGTCGACAGACAAATTTCGGCATACAGCATTTTCGTACGCTGCTAAACAGGGAGACCATCATTTGATCAAACTACTACTTGAGTACACAAAGGAGCCAGACTGCATGGATGGTTATGGCCGGACACCACTTTCGTATGCCGCTGAGCAGGGATATAAAGTCGTGGTTGATTTATTGCTTGACTGGGGCTATAGTCCAGATGCTATAGATGACTACCATGGAACACCCCTTTCGTATGCTACGAACAGGGGACATGGAGATGTAGCTAATTTACTTCTTGAAAGGGGTGCCAGGACAGATCCGGTAGATCGAAGCTTCATGGGACCACTTTCCTATGCTGCCAAACACAAGAAGAAAGAATTAATCACACTCCTCCTGGACAGCGGTGTCACAATAGACACCCTCGACCAAGATCTTCGAGGAGCGGTCTCATATGCTGCTGAGAATGGAAGGTGGGAGATTGTCAGATTGCTTCTTGAACGAGGTGCCGAAGTAAACTTGAGATGCGAGTTCGGTCGAACCCCTCTCTTATACGCCGCGATGAACGGCCATACAGAAACAATGAAGCAACTTCTCGCTGGAGGCGCCATGGTAAACTCGAAAGACAACGACCACTGGACTTCGATGACATACGCTGCTCATGCAGGTTTTGTGGACATTGTCCAGCTGCTCCTAGAATATGGGGCTGAAATGGACATATGTTGTCGCTTTGGTCGTAGTCCAGTTTCGTACGCTGCTCAAAATGGACATGCAAAGATAGTGGAGCTTCTGCTTGACAGAAATGCCGAGATAAATCTAAAAGATTGGAACCAATGGACGCCAGCAATGCACGCTGCACAGAATAAACATGAGAGTGTATTGCAGCTACTGGTTGGAAAAGGCACCGAGGTCATCTCAGCTCCACTTGGTGCTGCGAAAGGTTGAATACACTATATGTAAGAACGGGTTTTAGGACCCAAATAGGATACAGGCAGAATTAGGCCATATTACCAGCTTTTCTTTGGGACAGGAGCTAGCATAGAAAGTGAAGAATGCACCAATGCCCCCTGTAAACCTAATGGGGAAGTGACCATCGAAGTTGCGAGATGCAACAAACCCCAGAGATGAACTTTAAATTAGAGCTAGGCCAAGCATGGGTCTACTCCACACATATGGAAAGCGCGATACCTGATGGAGACTCAAAAGCTCCCAAAGCTGAGTGGGTACTCACGGTGAAAATACTTGGGACCTCACAAAAGGTTCAACGGCTGATATATCAAACACTGGAGCTTTTGGTGGGTAACAAATCTTACCCGTTCACCACCACCCCGCCGCAGCAAGGGATGGCATCAAGAGCAGAATAGAACATAATATGAGAAATTCATCAGAGGTGAAACTATCACACACTTTCCCAGTTTAAGCAATACAGCAAACTCATCTAACCCCTTGAGTGAGCGAGGTGTGCCATTATCGAACGTGCGAAAGCAACAAGAGGCTAGGTTCCAAGAAAGGAAGGCGCGGCTGAACGGCAGTTCGTTTTGCGATGTGCAACAAGAATTCATGGTGATGGTAAAAGCCACAGTGGAGACAATGAATAGAGTGTGGCATAGCATGAGATCCACCAGGATTCAAGCAGCGGCTTGGACCGTCCTTGGTGTGAAGCGTTTGTGATCTCGCATAGCGAGAATGTTCGGTGCTATGAATTAAGGAAGGGCCTTCAAAAATCTAGATCTCGTCTGCGATTCGCAGCAAACCGAATTCTGAAAGAGAAAGCATCATCAGTAAACCAAGCTCCCGGGAAGGCAAGCACGCTCCACCACCTATAGTCTGCACAGATCTAGACCTTGCATGCGATTTCCAGCAAACTGAAAAGGAAAAAGAAGTGGGTAGACTATTCCCACGAATATGCATACACGTACTGTACTTCGCTGAACCACCAAGCTGAAAGGTGTTCAGATCTGGTTCTCCACTGCGATGTGCAGCAAAAGAGATTCTTACTTCCCGCACCAGGCTTCGAAAAGGGACCGCATCCTATAGGCCAATATAGACAGCCTCTCAGCAAGCAAGGATCTAGACGCCCTCCTCGAAGACCAACATACCAGATGTTCGAGCGGGAGCAGAACATATAAGGACACACGATCTAGACCTCCTATGCGACTTGCAGCAAACCAAATTCCAACAAGGGAATAGCACACACCACCTCGAACTCTAAATCCTACACCCGCGTAGTGGAGAAATCCAGACCACCATACAAGATACAATGTACCAAATACCCAAGCGGAAAGAAAGTGTGGAACCAAACTCTATCAAATGGATATAAGATCTAGACCTTCCCTGCGACTTGCAGCAAAACCAAATTTCAAGAAGGCAAGAACTAGTCCCAAGAACATACCACCTCAAACTTTAACCATAGAGCCTCAAGGTCTGGACCTCTCTTGCGATATGCAACGAACTTCTTTAGACCATCCTAAAGACCATCCCAAAGAACGACAAGTCTGGTGAATCCATCTAACCTCAAGAGCGCAGGCACGCAAATAAGCATCCGCCAAAAATAAAACAGGCCACGGTTCAGGAAACGAAGAAATACATCATCTCAAACTCAAATGCAAGAAAGGAAAGAGCAATGCAGTGGTGCGATGTGCAACAAATAAAATGATAAAGAAGCATCAGTGCTAGTAACGGAGCCACTGAACTTTATTTGCGTGGTGCTGCGAAACTTAATAATGGACGGAGGCTTAAGACATCTGGAAGACTGAAAATGAAGACAATTTAGACACGAGAGACGGATCTTAACATGGACAGCAACGATCGACGCCACGAATGCATTACTCATACCTCATAACCTCATTTCTCATCACCTACTATACCTCCCTCCACTACCCAAACCTCATCCCCATACTCGGATCCCAAGTCCCTCCCGTCTGTCCCTGTCCTTGTTGCCCGCCACCCTGCTGCGGGGCCCCGCCATTCCCGCCAAACTTGATCCCCATAGCCGGATCCCACGTCGTCGGCACCATATTCGCGACCGGGGCTAGACTAGCTCTCTGCGGGACCGGAGCCGGGATCGCGGTGTTGGGTTGTGGGGGACGGTATTGTTGTGGTGGAGGTGGCTGAGATAGGCGCTGTGGTTGAGGAATTGGAGAGTTGGTGTATGATTGTTGTGGAGTCGGGGAGTTGTAGGATCTAGGGATGGCGGATGCGTGGGCTTGTTCGGCTTGTTTGTGGAGGGATAGGGAGGAGAGGGGTGGGAGGGAGAGGTCGCTGCTCTCAAATCAGTATGAATTCCATGGTGAGAAAGGGGAGTGTACTTCTCCATCCTCAAAGCCTCCTCTCTCCTCTCATTCACGAATCCCTTCGCACCATCTCTGAATCTGCCCACAATCTTCGCCAGATCATTATAGAACTTCCTCCCCGTCTCCAGATTATGGATGATCTCCTTATACTTCAGGTACGCATTCTCAAGTTTCTGCAACGCTTGTTCTCGTTCCCTCGAGCTTGTGTCTCCTTTCCTCGCTCCTACGAAACTTGCATTCGCAACTTCAAGTTGTTGAACAAGTTTCTCCTGCTCATCAGCTTCAGTCTTCAATGTCGCTACGTCAGCATCGTATTTCGCGAGATGCTTGTCGAAGAAATCCTCAAACTGAGCAGCAGCAATGGTCTGACTCGGATACTCCCGCTCTAACCTCGCTGCTTCGGCAAGAATGTCATGATTGATATCATCTCTTTTCGCCTTCTCTCTCAAAGCCTCAATCTTCCTCCGGCGACGAGACTCCAAACGAGAAACTTCATTGAGACTATTCCGCAACTTTGAAACTTCTCCCTCGAGTTTGGGAGGGATAGCAGCCCGGCGACTACTCGGGACGAAGTTCCCAATGTCGCGATCAGACGAAGAAAGGATTCGAAGCATGTCTTCGCATTCTCGGAATTTGGATTTTACCAATTCGTCGCTCTTAGATGCGCTCGAGAGATAGCCGCCGATTTCGTCGACCTGCGCGTAGAATTTTGGTGCTGCTGATGTGGATTCTAGGCGGCTCCATCGATCTGTTCCATATTTCATCATCAGACGCTCGTTCTCGGACTTCTCTGCTTGAAGAAGTTCACAGCCTTCGGCGAACATGGCGTTATCCGAAGATTTTAACTTTTCTGTGTCCGAGAATGAACGGTGCAGCCGGTCAATGGCATTTGCTTGTCTGATCTCTTCGGCATGAGATGTGAGACTGGGTGGTAGACCCAGAGGCTTTTCTAGCGCTTGTAAGGATCCTGGTAGATTCAGTGATCGTAGGGTATCATGGATCTTGGTTGTCATAATCTCTAGCTCGTCGATGATGTTGGTATTGACAAGACGATCTCTTCTCTCCTCGTAAATGCTCGCCGCTACATGCACAGCAAACGGTACTAACTTGGCAAAGAGAGGTGGACCAAATTCTCCTTTATCACCGATGAAGCTTGACGGGTCAGAGACTTCTTTTGGTACTCTAGCTATAGCCATATTTGCACGTTCAAGGGTCTTCAGTTCTGATTTTGGCGGTACGGGATCTGGGATGTTAGGTGAGTTACAAACATTGAGACTTCGACTTACTGAGGTAGATCAAATCGTTATCCTTCTCAGCTCTCTTCAAATCCTCTGTAACCTTGTTTTTCAATCCATTAAGATCCCCTAGAACCACCTTGTTAAGGTACCGAGCCTCCTTCAGAGCTTCATTTACACAAGCAATACTGTCTCGTAATCTGGCAACCTCTTCTCCGTACTTTCTCTTCTCCAAACAATCACATGCTTGTCTGTATTGTGCAGCAGCAGCAAAGTGATGATGTTTCGCAGTCGTATGGTGTATCCACTCAGAGCTTATAGCTTCGCTCTTCACACCCCAATCTCCAGCAGCACCATAGAAATCAGACACCTTAGCTGCGAGCTTGGCGATAGAAGCATCCTTATATCCATCCATCACTGCTTTCTGCCAGAAGCATTCTTGTGCTTGTGCCAACATGAGCTGCTGTAGAGATTCGAGTGTAGAGTCGTCCATATCTTCTGGAGGAGTAGCTCGTAGCTCAGGTATGGTCTCGGTTCTGAGGTGGAGTATAACACCAGCTGCAAGACAAAAATAGTTGATCGCTGCCTTGAGGCCTTCAGTTGTGCTTCGATTCGAGGATATAGCTAGCTGGGAGTATAGAGCTGCCAAGTTGTAGAGGACATTTGCCAACTCGAATTTCAGGTTATTCTGGGAAATGGGTCGTTCGGTGTTGTATCCTAGAGCCGGATACCATGTGAAGTCTACTCCAATCTGCAAGACAAATTAGAGAATAGAACTCAAGTGGTGGTCGTGTGGTCCCTACATCGATGGGAAATTTACCCCCCATCCAAGAAAGTTGCCCCGCATATGCTGCTATCTTTTTGATCCCACTCGTATGCGGCTCTCGAACATTGACAGCATCCCTTCGTAGAGCATCGATGACCTCGAGGTCCTGCCTGAACATATCTGGGTGTTGATCATATTTGCTGGAGATGTACTGCTTAATCGCCGTTGACAGAGACTGGGAGTTGGTCTTGCGGAAGGGCAAGAAGAGAATATTGCTAGCTGTAGTTTAGCAAAGCTCTGCGGATGGACCAAGGGAAGTAAGAAACCAACATACTTAGCCATAACAACAAAACACAGGGCGTGACTATCAACGCGCCTCTATCGTGATTGTGCACGCGTTTCACCACGAACTCACGATGATCTCATTGACGCCTTGAAAGTGTGGCATAGATTCAGGCGCGAACCGAAGATTTCCCTTTGGAAAGTTTTCCTTTGTCGAGTGGAACCAAATTCGTAGCAAACCGAAGATCAGGGCTGCTGAGTGGAACAAGAACGGCTCCTCTTGAAACCGGCTGTTCTTGATGATCCCTCGTGTTCCTGTTGATCCGTTACAGATTTATGCTTGAATTCAAGATTCTTCACCATTCCCATTGCAGCCCCGCCATTCCACGTGATGATCAGCCTATCAGAAGGACAAGCTTTCCCAAGGTTTTGATACAAACGAACTCGAGGCTTAGCCTGCCGCCAGCATCTTTGACACATCCCTCAAACGTAACTCGATGCTATCCTTGACTTTCTCGACTTCATCCAGCAAACGAAACGCCGCATCCAACGAATTACCGCTTGTGTGCTACGACCAACTCAGTTGATCCTTTCCTGGCCATTGCAACATCGGTTACCCCTTTTCGGTCGCTTCATCTTAATTGGGCGGCGGTGGCTTGCCGTAGGCGCAATTCCCCTCGAAAGGGGGCTTGATGGCTGCAGCCCAGATCCCCAGCCAAAACGGCGAAATTCCTTGCTGAACTGACTGTTTGTGAGCCTTTGTGCGGCCTCGACAAACGGTTGAGATGTCACCACCCGCCACTCGAGATGATCTGTAGATAAATCCAACATCGTGCAATTTGAGACCCCTTTCCAGCTTTCTAATTGGATGCGACTCCATCTACCGGAGCAGCAATCTCTTGGACATCTTATCGCTGTCAAAAATTGCCAGATCAGCCAGCCATCCCGGTGCAGCTCTCCACATGATCGCCGCCAGCGGAGGAACCAGTACAGATGCAGCAATTCGAATCCCATCTGTCAGTGTCTCACCCAATCAACGCCGCGACGTCTACTCTGTGACATCCACTACTCCATCGACTGCACATCCACTTCCACTAGGTACGGCACCAAGCATAAGAAAAAGATTGCGTATCTGGGTTGATGCCGAAGAACTCTGTCTCCATACACGTGGGCAAGGTTTCCCCTGAGAGCGTTGCTGTTTTCGCCCTGAATTATATTTAGGCCGAGACCCCAAGCTCTTTCCTCAATTGTTGCAACACCACATCCAACATCTGTTCACGACTGCTGCAGTGCTGGTCTTGTTTCCTCCCAACTTTTGTCTTTCTTTTTAACTGCTTTACTCTTGTCTGCACTCTTGAAAGAAACCTCACTCATTATGGGTTCTCCAATGGCAGCTGGAAAAAACATGCTCTCGCCCCGCAATACCTTCACTCGCGTCTTGTTCCTCGCGGCCTTCTGCACCGTTCTTTTCTTTTACACGCTTCGTCCCATATCAGATCATCCGCGCAATTTTCACCAGGAAATAATACCTATTAACATTACCCAACCCCATTCGCGAGACTGCTCCCTGGACGCCGCACATTTACGATCGTTACAAAAGAAATACAATCTCGAAGATGATATCGATTATGCGAGGCGATATGTTCGATTTCACCGCCAAGATATACAACGGGTTTCCATGACCAAGCTTGATAAGGACCTCTTTCCGAAGGGCTTCGATCGTATCAATATTCAAGATCCACCTATGAAGACAACATGTCTCAAGCCACTCGAGGTTCCAGTACCCCTCTCCTTGACGCCCAAAACTGTTGATGCTTCCGAGCTTCTTTTCGGCGTCTCTACAAATTACAAGCGTCTCACAGACGAGAAGACAAGTCCAATGAAGGAGTGGGCACACTGGTTGACTGACGGGAACGGAAAATCTAACGGCGCAGGGCTGGTCTTGCGCTTAGTGGATGCTTCGGAGGAAGAGATGGAGAATTCGAGAAAAATTATGACGGCAATGGGTACCAATGTCAAAGTTTACCATTCCAAGAGCTCAGACGAAATGGCGGCACGGTATCTCTCTTTACTCCCAGCGCTCTACAACGACTCTTCACGAAAGAATCGCAAGTTTCTTGTTATGTGCGACGACGATACTTTCTTTCCTTCCATGCATTCCCTCCTTGCTCGGCTCGCTACCTACGACCATAAGGAGGAACTCTATATTGGTACTTTCTCCGAAGACGTCAACAACATTCAACGCCATGGTTCTCAAGCTTTTGGTGGCGCAGGTGTTTTCTTTTCTATTCCTCTTGCAGAGAAAATCGCCGCTCTCTACGATCAATGCAGCACATCTGAGAAGATCAAAGAGTCCAACACAGGTTGGGGACCACAAGGCGACATCCTGCTCCGGAAATGCATCTACGAAAACACCGAAGTGCGCCTCTCGATGCTCCGCGACCTCCACCAACTCGACATCCAAGGCGACCCATCAGGATTCTACGAGGCTGGCCTCGCTCCCCTCTCCTTGCACCATTTCAAAGGCGGCATCTGGCACGAAGCAAAGCCTTACGCTGGGGCACAGGTTATCCACGCTTGTGGCGAAGCATGTTTCCTGCAACGCTTTCAAACCAAGGACGATTTCATCATCAGTAATGGCTATTCTGTCGCTCATTACCCGAAAGGAATCGACTTCAACGTTCACCAGATGGAACGTACGTTCTCGCCAGCACCAGATGATTACGGGTGGAACCTCGACTTCATGCTTGGACCTGGGCGAAAATCCTTAGCATACACGGGCCGAAAGGTGGCGTGGGAGTTGAAAGAGGCGAAAGTACAAGATGATGGAAGTGTGTTGCAGACTTATGTGAGGAAGTTGGATGACAGGAGATGGTCTTATCAGGATGGCGAGAATTGGTATAGGATGATGGAGAAGGACGGTGTCGTGGAGCTTGTCTGGATACCTTAGCTCCGATTTCCTTTTGTTTTCTGGGCATAAAATATGGGGTTTGGCGTTCAAGTGGCATTTAGTGGCGTTTTTTGTTTGGATAAAGTCGAGGTTTGACTTCTTGTACGAGAATATACCATTGCTGCTGCTGGTTGGATGGGAGTGTGCTGTACATTAGACGCATACTGTACATGTAGATGATGGAACGCAAGGATAGACATGAGAATAAATACTGCATACAAAAGGTGGTCATGTGCCACTCAAATTGCCCTTTAAGGGAAATGTCCCAACACGTGAAGTGAGCACGCCTGAAGCGGAGAGAACCTTGAAGTCTCAACTCCTACCTCGTCATTTGTCCTGGTATCTATTGCTTTCTCTGCAGGTTACGCCAAAAATGAGCTCAAAGGGGACTGTGGCCCTAAACGTTCAGCCAGGGGCTGATATTCCTTTTCCTGTATTCCCGTGTCTCAACGCCACACTGAGACTCTTCGCACTACAACTACCTCAAATTCACTACGTTGATAATTCAATCAGAGCATCTCACGATGGTACTTTAGAAGAAGAGAGAGATCTATTCCTTGTACTCACTTTTCTGGGGTCTGACATTCGGCGATTCTTTTGAGAGTCTTTGACATCGGGAGCTAAACAACGGTGCGATTTGGGCAAAACTTTGATGATCTAGTGTCAGTCTCACATTTAAGATTGTATTTCTGGGGAAATACGCTCAACTTTCAAGGACAGAGCGAGTAGCTGTCAGCCATAGCGTGCATATTTCCGGGGTACTGGATGGATTATGAATGAGCGTTCCTTTGCGTGTCCCTTATCATATTGACTCGCGCCCAAAATTGCCCAGACAAGTCTCACATTTAGATTTATTTTACTAGTTGGTGGCTTTACCTCCCTTTTCTTCCGTGTATATAGATACCGTCTCATACCCCAAGCGGCTCTACAGCAGTGTGCTCACCTACAAGCACCTCATTCTTACTGCCTTGACATCAGCGATGTTATTCCTTCCACTCGTTATAGCTCTTGTGCTCTCCTTCACTGGATCGGCTATCGCTAGCACAAAATCATGTGCTAATAACAACGATCTCATGAGATGCTTCCTCAGCTCAACCCAACTCGCCACGCCGTTCTGCAGCTCTTTCTTGTCCATCCCAACGGCTACATTCACGTACACCGCGACTACTACGTCGTAAGTCTTCCAGAAACGGAACGTGATATGTTGCTAATAGTTCCAGGTATCTTACTTTGCCCACACTTGCTACGATTGAGACCGATGTTATCGAATCGTCGGAATTCATTACCTCATATACTCCGGTTGTGGTCACAACCACATTGACTTCAAGTACGCTACACGCCATTCATATCTACTCTTACCTCATACAGGAGTTCTCAAAGCATTGGAACAATCCTCTGATATTACCCCAACTCCAACATCATGAGCTTCTGTTTTATGACGATATCATTTTACCTAGATACTAACACTTCCTAGCCACTACTTTGATAACTGATGCACCTGCGAACATTGCCAAGCGAGAGCCAAAAGCACCAGCACCAAAACCATCTCCAACCACGCTCGCCTGCCTCTCCGCTCTTACTGCGAAGTTGGCTCACTCATCTACGAGCATCGCCCTTGCCTGCAGCTGCCTCTCCGTCAAGACCTCAACAACATCCGTAACATCCACACAATACGTCACCGCCACCTCCTTCTCCTCCTCCACCGAAACCACCACAACGACAACAATCCACGAGATAGTGACCATCCTCCCATCCACCACCATCCAGACGGCAATCGCCATGGAGACCGACTCGACCAGCTGCTTCGGCCTAACCATCTCCAGCGCCTCGGATTCCTCCCTCATCGGCCAAGTCCTGGCCCTCACAGCCTCAGACTACGATCCTGCCGTTGGCCAACTGACACATTTCACCGACCCTTCCTCCGCAGAGGCATTCTACCTCAGCTCCGCTAGCGGCCTCGTCTCAGGCCTCAACGGCGCCTTCCCGGGCCAAACCGCCGCAATAGCCCCCGGCTCGACAGCGTACTATATCCAATTTATGACTCCGGCCGATAAAGCGGGTTACGGGCTCGTAAATTTGGTTTGTGGGGTTGATCACGGTGGGACCTTGGCTTGTAGGGATGCCAGTGGGGAGGGAGATGATTTGTTGGAGTATTGCGCGGATTTGGAGAATCATTTGTTGATTGCTAATTATCAGTATGATCCTACCTGTGTGACGGTGACGTTGCGGACTGTGCCGATGTCTTGTCATGGTGTGGATTGAGGGTCTTTCTAGGGAATTGGATATACTGAAGAAATTGAAGCATTTTTGATTGGTGACTTTTAGTTGATTCGTCTAGGTGTGGGTCCTTGTTGCTCACTGAGTCAATAGCTAGCTTGTTGCGGAGTTAGGTGGGCAAGACGAGCGACTCGAAGATGTTGCTGAGATCCTCCTCCCCCACAATGCTTCCAAGGCTCAGTCACACAGCCTGTCACACGGGGGCCCTCTCCCAAAGCCTAGTTCTCATACGACATTCCGCTCTATTCATCTAGCCATCCTTCATCTAACCCTACCTTTTCGTCAAGACCGGTTGCTTTGTTCACTTCTCTCGCATAAGAACGTTCGTGCCACAGCCACCAGATGCGCCAAATGGGATAGTGACTGTCTAGTATATCCAGAATTTGGGAGATATGGTCGAGTCTGCTGAGGAGGAGGCAGGGGATGATGACCAGGAAAACATCGACATGCTAAATGATGAGAGTATCTCTTCGTCGAGCCACGACTGAGCCTGCTCGCTGCTTATTGTAATGTGTCTGAAGGTTGTCTCGTCGAGAGCATCAATCTAGTCAAGTAAGTGGAGTTCCTTCGAGACTTTACCCCTTGATATTTCCACGCTTCGACTGCCTGCAAGTCGCTGCTCACTTGCTTGTCGCTGCGAAATCTTGCGATGTTAAGAAGCTCATTGTTTCGAGCCTTAAACATTATCACAGTGGATAGATGCGACTTCTATATTAGAGATATCACGAAATAGAATCTATCAGTGCAGAAGAAATGAGATGTGGTGCGGCTGAGACGCAATATGCAGTTACCATGGTCAGGTGAGAGCTACCCTCGTGGTCAAGATCTTCACTCCATCTGAAAATCATTTTCGGACCACTCTATTACACAGCTTGATCAGATATTGAGTCTCGTTTTGGGTATTCTTACAGTATTAGTTGTGCCGTACATCCCACCTAATCCATGATATAATCTAAATCGTGCCTCCTGAGGAGGCCCTCCTCCTCCTGAGACAGCCATATGACTGACTTTTCTGCTTCCATTCTCGGAATGCATGACCGAATGAGCCGTTTTCTTCCTCGCCAAGTATCACAGCTACTCGATGCTCCGCCTTCTTCATGGTACTTGTATCGACCAGAGGCACAAGGCTTGGTCGGCCATGCGCACACTGAAAAGGAAATTTGCAATCTGCCAGCTTTCTCACCAACTTCTCGCATTGAGTCTTACTCAACTCATCATTGAACATGATGGCACCTCTGCATGCTCTTGAGTTCAACATATCCAATATGCCTTGAGGACAGGTTTGGGTTCGCTGCAGCCATGTTTGTTGCCCCGCCGAAACGTCCGGGGCATTCTTGCCCAGCTCGTGAGCCTTCCATGCTTCGGTTCGTATCAACTCTATTAGAAGCCTAGGCTCCTGTTTGCATCTCTCGATGATACCAGGAGGAAGAGATCGAACTGAGAGGCGAGGCATCGCCTTGGCATCGATGGTATCGGACCCCCTAAGGTTTAAAGCCACCTCGTATCGTATGCCCCAATAGGCGAAGTAGGAGATCTTGGAATTAAGAACCTGTACCTCTCTCATGGATATTTCAAACACAAGAGGTTTGTTGAGAAGTGTAGTGACCACAGGAGATTCTGGTGCAACGCAGTCATCCTTCGAAGGCGTGCAAAGCTGCTCCATCAACGATTCGATACGAATTCTTTCGTCAGCTGCGTGTTGATCAATGAGAATAAGAATACCGTCACTGTTTTTGTCATCGCATGACTGGGCAAATAATGCTCGCACCTTCACAAGAATGAATTTTCGGTCGACTTGTGAGACAACTTCAGCGTTCCTCAGAGCAGACTTCGAGATTCGACCACTGACGCCAGCCGATGACTCTTTGAAAGCAAGATCAATGTCGATCTGGGAGCAGTGATGGTGGCGCCCATGAAGGATGCTTTGTGTATGTTCGTCGGGACCTTCTAGCAAAATCTGCGGTATCGTAGGTTCAACAGTAGAGAAGACGGGATTTTCCCAACCTTGCAATATATCACTAATCCACGCGTTTGAGGGTTCTGTGCTGTTTCTATTCGACTGGCTCGAGAAAGATGGCTTTGTAGAAATCCTCCCATGCCTTTCGTTCTTCGCAGGCAGTGTCATACCTGTCCGCTGGTTCACCAAGCATCTTACTTTGGTGATGGGATTTACCCATGCCACGAACTCATCGCCATCATGACTTGTTGTTTGAATCGTTTGAGAGGCTGGAGTGGGGCCTCGAATGACTTTGGTCGTACGAGCCCGTGCTGTGACTACATCATCAAATGGTTGGCGAAGAAGCTTGCCATCCTTAGCTATCAGTGGAGTTTGTGATCGTTCTGTGGTCGTTCCTCGAATTAACGGCGGTGCTGATGATGGTCTAGCAATCGTTTCTTCCCGCTTTTCCTTTTCACTCAGATCGACGATGACTGCACCGCTTTTGACTTTCGACCAACCTTCAAATGGCGAGTCCTGTTTTGACAAAGAGCGGCGAAATGGTGGAAGCCTGACGTTTGTTCCAAGAGGATCTAGTCTGGACTTCCCACTTCTCGACTCTGCACTCTTCTTGGCTTGTGCCGCCACTCTGTTCAAACTTGCAGATATTTTCGTTTCGGCTAACGACCCATTTGGGAATGCGGGTTGAGGGAAATCGCCCTCATTATGCTTCCTCGAACGCAACCCGCGACTGGGCTTCGGCCGAAAATGGTGAACGGTTAGGAACTTCGTTATCATGACTTGTAGCAGCTCCATGATTGCGCCGAATTTGTTGCCAGTGTCATCAAAAATACCATCGGGATTCATCTCACCAGTTCCTGCCGATGATACTTGACCAATATTGATATAGAACATTGGCCATCTGTCCACGCCTTTCTTTCCTCCCTTCAGCTCTTTGTTAGTGTACCCATCGCTATTGAATCGTCGATCTTTCGCTCTTCTGGTCCGTTCTGCATCATCAAGATCCGAGACTTCCTCCTCATTCCCGAACGAAGAGTTGAAAAACAATCGATTGATCTCATCATGAAGTATGCTTGGACCTTCACCCGACAGAGGATGAACACCGAAAGAGATAAACTGAACTTGCTTGATAGCACTCGGAACGAGAGAGATGGTGCCTTGAACAACCAAGCTTTGAGTTGATATCCCAACAGGGACCCAAGATGTTTTCTCGTCTAGCGAGACAAAGGTAGCTTGGGTGAGAATGCTGCAGACTCGTGATGCATCCACTCCTGTAATGCCTTCGTTGAAATGTACAGAGGGTCGGATGGCTAGCTTTTGATTGCTGTCCAGCTCTCGAACAGTGATAGCAACATTTCTCGGCCATGATATCAGAAGCAAGACAATAGCTCGTCTCAACTCCTCCCAGTCTTTGTGGTTCCTTCGTTGTTTCTCTGCTGCAATAGCTCTTTGTTTGACACGAACAGGCATGTTCCCAAAGAGGTCACGAATAGTGACTCGTGTGCCATGATTTGAATTTGAAAGATAATGCTGGGGTGGAGCAGGCGTTTGGCGTGATACAACATTTGATTTGTGCATGCTTATCGTATTGTGCGAGCGATGCAAATGGTAATGTGATGTGATAGACATCAAAGCCATAGCTGAAAGTGAAGCAAGGAACGTTCCACGACCGCCATGAACTATAGTCTGGCTGTTCAACTTGGATGAATCTATCACGTGTTAAGTCTCGCCAACAATTCAGAAAGGGGGGACACTGACGATACAGCTTTCCAAGACACCCATCTTCGCCAAATTCGGACGGTTGTATTCCCAGACCATCATCTTCAACGACACATCCACCTCTAGTGTAATCAACACTAATATCGATTCTCGAGGACGAAGCATCCAGAGAGTTCTTCACAAGCTCGCATATAACTCCATTCAAGCTTGTGATCGTGATTGAAGACTTGATTTGAGCAATGACTTCTGGCGGTAATGGTTGTATGGACATGGTGACTGGCCCAAATGCAGCATCAAAGTGCTTCCAAAAATATGGTTTGGAACGTGGCGAGAAGGACAGCTCCAACAGGCTGAATAGCACCTTCCCAGACTGAGAAATAGCGCTCCGAGGAGATCATGTCGGCTGCTACTATAAAGTATTTTTGTCGACTACACACCTTCTTGAGGCCACAATGGAAACTTACAAATATCGTATAAAGTTGAAGCATGAAGTTATTACACCAGCGGACATTTAAACCGCCGAGACCCGGCACGTGACTGCGCTAGCCTGCAGCTTGGGCTGAGACGAGGCTGTTGTGTCGACCGGAAATAGAATCACAACTTCCACCTCATCACACCCTGATTCACCTTAGACAGAAGTCCAAGCACATTCGTTTTCTTGCGACCTCAGCTCCTCGAGACATTGAGATTCTATTCCATCCTATTCTTCCTTTTCCGTGTCATCTGCACCAGTCCTTTGTCTGCGACTTTCACTACCTCAAAATGGCTACCACCGAGACAGCACAACAAATGCATGGTATGAGTCCAACCAAAACACAATTACGCTGCTTCATTGCACCCTTCTCCAAACCTGATAAAGTTGTCAAACTTGGCCTTCTTCGCGTGCCCACTCAAGAATCGCCCTCGAAACTGACTGAAATGCCAGATCGTCCTGGACGTCGTCGCCCGTTCTCGTCATGGATGAAGAAGCTGGCCAACTTCAAAGCCGGATCTTCCGCAGATTCTGGAAGTCCTGCGAGTACGAAACGGAACACATATCAGATGAGATCGAATGGAAAGAAGCCATCGCCTTCGAAGAACAACAATCCATACCCTCAGTCTGGCGTGATGAATGGCAATGACTTCACCGCGCCGAATGGTCATAGGTCGTTCTCGACAGTTCCAACTGGCACATCGATGAGTACAACCTCTCTGGACCGAAGTAGACGATCCTTTCGATCATCTCTAGATGGACTCCCTCCTCCAACCATCGGAAACAAATCTATGGCTGCTACATCGTCGACAGATCACGATGCGGCGCATTCAGATGCTGCGCCTTCACACGCACCCTCATCTGGACAAGGGACAAATGCTACAGCTGGATGCGGAGTTAGTTCTGGCAGAGGTGCTGACAGCACTTTCTCTTCTCCAGCACATTCGGTACGGTCGCTAACTACGACACTGACAACAATACAATCAGTGGCCCCGCAGGCAGCGACTGGGACGCACCACAATTCGAACACAAACAATTCCCAGAGCATACAGTTTGTTCACCAGTTCCCTACCTCTCCGCCTCCGAATGCATTACCAGCACATCTCGTTCCTCAAGGAAGTGGTGGACATCCTGCGACCTACAATACAGCGACTGCCAATAACCTCCTTACCGACAACGCTTCGATCCTGACACTTGCTTCGTCATCAAAGAGAAGGAGAAGGAGATCTATGGACACCGATGCTTCGGTTCGAGCACTGGCTCCCTCCTCTTTGTTCGGAGGCAGTCGAGAAAGTCTACCATTAAGTGTGCTAAGTGCTAATATCGATCCAAGTGGCCCACCACATCAGACTCGACCAAGTGTTGGAGGACTGAATGAAAGAGCTAGTATATACTCTGCGACGGGAGTCGCTCCCGCTCTCCCCAGTGAACGAAATAGCTACTATGCAGGCAAGCAGTCAATGGCAGCCGATGGCAGTAGCATAAAGAGTGGATTACTTGGTCACGGACGGAACGATAGCATAAGCGGTAGCATAGGTGGTGTTGTGGCGCCTGGAAGTCCTCTCGCAAGCCCACGAGACTTGACGGCGCAGAATGGGAAATTGAGCCGGACAAACTCTGCTTGGGGAGAGGGAGGGGAGGGGGGAAAGAATGATTCTGCCGATGCTGAAGCCGATGGCGAATATTTGAAGGAAGCCGAAAAATCGTAAACGAGACAAAAGGCTCGATGTTCATTCTTGGGATTAGGTTTGGCGTTGGTTACACATGGAGTCAAGAGAGCATGTTTGCATGGACATTGGACGATGGCAGGCGTAGGATTGAAGGGCAAAGCATGCCAAAGATACCCGTTACTAATATTGCATTTGAGTGGTTTTAATGGAATGAATCCATGTTATAAACATCGGTGTTTGACTGTTGGCTGTGAAAGTCCCAGAACCTCGAGGCTGCGTATCCCTACCATACACCGTCAGTCACCGAAAGCTTGAAGCAGAAACAAGAGTTCTCGCAGGATCAGAAGACCTTGGAGGAGAATGCAAATACAACAAAGTTCAAAACTCGCAAGCTCTTCTTATTTTGATCTGCTTTTTTCATCTTTCCTTGTCCTGGGCACATTTTGAAGCCACGAAATCATATTGGTTGAGGCGATCATCTACCTTGCATGGGGAATGCTTAAAATGGATGCTCTGCTTACATCCATGATGCAATGTCAATCAACTCAAATACCTAGTATCGACGATGGCGGCCGCCATGACTTTGTAGGATGCTGTAGGATTATTGAGATCCGATACGCGTACTGGACACAACTATCAAGGTCCCGTTAGGGCTGATGCTCAGCCGCAACCCCGTGCATTTAAGATGTTGACAACAACGCGGGCTCATTCTTGACGGGAAACCAAACCGGGAACTGGAATAACTTTCCGTACGATGATTGGTGGCCGTGCGATGATTGTACAGTTCGTAGGTCACATCTGACATTTGAGTTCGAGATCTGCATTTCTTCGTCCCTTGATAGGGTCAAGCTCCGCTTGGTTCTTACCATGGGAAAGGAATCCCAGACTGCAAGCCAAATAGTCTGCAGGTCCATCCCGTACATCGCCATTTAAGTACCTGATGGTACCTGAAGTCAAAATGTTCTCTAATCTTCTCAAGCACTTGTCTTATAGTTGCGAAGATGCACTTCTCCGATTTTCTTTCGCTTTTGCTCCTGTTAGCCTTGGAATGGAACGTGGAAGCTATAAAGCTGGTATGCCACGATGAGACTTTCGTTCCTGATGCTGTGCTCCGAGTTACAGCAGAGAACCATACGACATCATGTCTCCCATCAAAGTCAACAGTGCTCGTCAATGGTACTTCGCCAGGACCTGAGCTTCGTCTAGTGGAGGGTCGAACGTACTGGATTCGAGTCTACAATGATATGCCTGCGGCAAACTTGACAATGGTTCGCCTTACGTTGCTCCAATAGCTTCCTTGGCTAATAATGGATAGCACTGGCATGGCCTCTCTATGGCTGTATCACCTTTCGCAGATGGCACCCCTTCCACAGTACGTTGAATCCTGCCGTTATTTTGTATGCATTCTAGGAGCCGAGATATTCGAAATCCTCCTCGGGAGCTCTTTGGTAGAGAAGATGTCGTTGCGATTCCTCGCATAAGCTCCTCGGCTCCTAGATATCTATAGAAAGTGTATACTGAATTGTCTATAGTCTCAATGGCCCATCCCGCCCATGCATTTCTTCGATTACGAAGTGAGCCCCGCTGTCGGTATGGCTGGTACTTACTTCTATCATTCCCACGTCGGCTTTCAAGCGGTCTCTGCAGCAGGCCCATTAATCATCGATGACTGCGAGGAGCCGCCGTATAAGTACGATGGCGAGAAGATTGTCTTCATTGGTGATACCTTCACAGGGAATGATTCTACAATAGAAGCTGGACTAGTCCATAACCCTCTGGTGTGGAGTGGAGAAGCTGCTGCGATTTTGGTCAATGGTCAAGGAGGTGGAACAAACAATGGAACTGCTTGCAACGCCACTCTATCCTCTCTAGATGTGGAGCCAGGCAAAACATACCGGTTTCGATTCATTGGCGGGACAGCACTTACATTTGCGTCTCTTGCGATTGAAGGGCACAGTAATTTGACTGTCATTGAGGCAGATGGGTACGCCTTCAATTCTTCCTAATGACTGTAGGCTAACGGAGTGGACAGATCTTATACAGAACCATATAACACGTCTTTCCTCCAAGTTGCAGCCGGCCAGCGTTACAGTGTCCTGTTGACAACTAAACCTGCCTCTGAGCAGACCAAGTACTTCATGCAACTTGAGTCCCGTGAACGCCCAACAGTAACTCGTGGATATGCGGTCCTCAATTACGGCACTCCTGACCCGCCATCTACCTTCTATCCTCCAGCTCAACCCGTCATGACGCTCCCAAACACTACTCTAGGGTTTCTGGATTATGACCTCCATCCACATTCTATGTACGGAGAAGAATACCCCTCCGCCCAGGACGTCACAAGAACAATTACGATGACAGTTCATCAACGAGTAACAGGTCCAACTATCTGGGTAGAGAACAATTACAACTGGACAGAACAATTTCCTCAAGAGCCATATCTTGTGTCCCTTTACAAAAATGATGGCATTGAATTTCCTTCCATGGAGCGAGCTCTTGCAAACAACGGTATCGACCCTGTGACTCGATCCTTCCCCGCTCAAATTGGAGAAGTGATTGAGATCGTCATCCAGAACACTGGAGCTGACGCAGGTGGCCTTGACGCACACCCCTTCCACGCTCACGGAGCACATTACTGGGATTTAGGCTCTGGAAATGGGACATACAACGCGACTGCAAACAATCTGAAACTAACTGGTTCGCAACCAGTGAAGCGTGACACCACTATGTTGTACCGATATGCGATGACCACTGGTAATGGCACACGGATGGGCTGGCGAGCTTGGAGGTTGAAGGTCACAGAGCCGGGCGTATGGATGATCCACTGTCATATCTTACAGCATATGCTTATGGGGATGCAGACTGTGTGGGTGATGGGGAACAGTAGTGAGGTACTTGGGAAGGTGCCTACTCCAGAGGTTGAGGGGTATTTGACTTATGGTGGAGACGTCTATGGAAATGAGACGCACGCGCCAAATATTGTGCAATTTTCAGACGATTGGGAGGAGGAGCAGTAGATGATGTCATTGTACACAAGATAATGTTTTATATAGTAATGGGAAGAAGTGAATTGTAGATTTCTACCAGTATTGGTCGCATTTTCAAAGACGGTCCCAAAGTCGTTCTCGCGCGCCAGAGTGAATTTATCGTTAGCCTCCCTAGAAGGTATATATAAACCACCTCGGTCTCCGAACCTCCGACCTCCGACCTCCGAAGACAACTCGTCTATGTGGTTTCTGACCATCTTGTGGAGAGTAGGGGCCTGGCTACATCACGTTGTTGAACGCTGATCTCTTCTGGCTGATGTCCCCCACCACGCAACAGATAGTCTCTCAAGTAACAAGCTATTTTTGATCAGCAGTAACTATCTTCTGTCATTGTAACTACCATTGCTATTCTCGTGGCAACGATTCGTGTCTTTGAGATGGACCAGCAATTAACACATATAATGTGAATAATAACTATTCCCGACTTTGAGCTCATTTCTTGTCTTTGAGATAGACAGACATTTTACATGAGTAAAGTGAGTCTGACTAATCTCACTTCTAAACTACTTTCTGTGTTTGTGGAATAGACCGACAATTCACACTTATAAAGTCAGTAGTGATTGCTCTTAACATTGAGCCACTTTTAATGTCTTTGAGATAGACCAACATTCTACAAATGTGAAGTGAGTCTAAACTCTCCCGGACTTTAGGGCCCAATTGTCCTAGTCATGTTTATAATTACTTTCCTTCTATTGATCTCGCAGGCCAGCCCAGACGAGATTGCCACACAATTTATTCTTTATCCGTGGTGGATGTGGTCCGTGGAAAGCTTCTCTTTGTAAGACTCAGATGTCAGTAAACTTTTTTGATGCAGCCCTTGTTTTGCTCCCTATATGAGCCGTTGGTTTTGTCATCATCTGTCTCGTCATTGTCATTTGTTCATCATCAGATATGAGCACATTCTAAGTTCGACGAAACATTTAATATAGAGACATGCAGCTATCATGCGCCGGGTCCTTTCTTAGCTGCCTGTCGGAGTCAACTGTCTGTCACATGTGGCATCTCTTCTCTTCTTTGGGATGTTCTTAACTCTACAGAAAACGTGAGTCGTGATATTATATACTGACTAGCGTAGTTTGAAAAATCAATGACAAGTTTTGGCAAAGCCTAGTGAATGGATCTTCTGCATTCACTATCAAAAGCCAAGGATATACAATGGCTGAGACGAGCAATCATAAAACATACAAGTGTAAAATCGAGACGCAGGGTCAAACAGCCGCTGGATATCGTCTATTCAACTTCGGGTATCCCACTGCTGCTTTCTAATCATAGGGAGATGACTTTCGAGGTAACTTTACATTACAATTATGTCTACCAGCTTCAAAAGGCAGAATCTCTTCAAGGTGACAAAGTAGCCGTAGTATAAAGAACACCTCACGGCTAGAAGGCCACAAACATCCGTGGAGTAACTCCAACGGCTAAGCTTGCAGTATTCAGGCCAAGATATACCTTTCATGGTGGTATCTCAAGGACATGAAGACATGATCAGATTCACTGCATAGGCTGAGGCCCGAATCGACGATAAACACGATAACAAAGCAATATCCTTAAGGCGAGTTATGTCACCAAATATTGTGAAAATGCATTCACTAAGATCCCAAATGACTCGAGATTCCAACAAGCTCGAGTTGTTGGTCTCGGAGTTAAGCGAGCCAATGACCCCCTTTTTGCTCGCTTAGGTGGCATTCCATGATCTAGCAACCAACCCGCAGAAAGCAGATGATGCTGTCGATGAGGCTGGAAGCGCCTATTTTGTCTTCTAAATAAAATTATCTCTTGTTCATAATCGTTTCGAAGGCAAATCCTCCATCTTGCCGAAACGACACCTTGCCGAATCAGGATAGCCGAATGGGACATAGTGACGTAGTGCTTCTCTGATCAAGTCAAAGCTTGACAACTTCATGACAGACACAACATATGTCTCATAACAGGAGAAAGTTTGCATATACAGGAATTCAATATTGTCGAATCATATCTCTTTTTGTATTGATTTCACCTCGACCGCTGCTCGGCGGAACATTTTCCACAATGTCGTGGATGGATTCATGGTCTCGCCCCGGGAAGCATGCTGCAATACCGCCGCCTCTATATTCGACTCAAGGTGACTCGGCGAGATACTGCCAATCGTGTGGCCGTATCATGAGCTCTTCAGCGAAAGCTGGAACGGCAAAACTCGAAGAGAAAAAGTACTGTTCGTCCAGATGCAGGAGTCAGAAGCCCGGCCCTCAAGATCGAAGAATCGAAGATGCATTTGTCAGACTTTTGATGGCAGATTCGAAGTTTGAACGAGAACCAATACCCGAAGCTCTTCTGAATAAACGAACGAAGCCACTCAAAGGCGATCCCAGAGTCATCGTTCCTTGTTCAGTGGTGGAAGAATTAATTTTTGGGACGCGGCATGATCCCACGAAGACATCGGGGCGAAAGAAGAATCGTGCCTCAAGGGTCATTGGAGATGAAAATGAAGAGCTCGACGGGCATGGAGCGGAGCTCAAGCAGTTCACAACTCAAGGATTCGCGGGCAAAGTGCGCCCCCCGCAACATTTAACCGATATCAACGGAAGCATCGGTGGCGAGAAGGGAAGAGCAGAGAAAGGAGAGGAAACCGGAGAACACGCAGGACGGCGGAAAGAAGGGCTGCGGGTGACGGAAGAGAAGGAGAGAGTGAAGCGGGCGGCAAGGAGAGGAGTGGTCTTTGGCTTCACGGTGGGAGACGCTAAAGAAGCCGAAAGCGAAGATAAGGGCAACGATCATCATGCGAGGAGGAAATGTGAAGCCATGATGAAGGGAAAAGTTGTTGAGCCGAGTTTCGCAAAGGGTGACTGGGGTATCAGATGGAGGGAGTAAGGGTCATCCATGTTCCGATGTCAGCATCAACACTTACAAATTCATTTGGCTCTATCTGGAATTTCTTTTGCTTGGTTGTTGTTCTACTTAACCTTGCGCAACTCCATGACAGGGCTTCTGGTCAATGTTGCCGACTGGACCAATGTTCCCCGGCACCTATGGGATCTAAACTAAATGGGGCCTAAGTTTATGCAAGTTCTCGAATCCTTGAACAACATCCAATATGACCCTACCGCAGATCTTTCAGCTCACTCACCTCGAACTCATTCTTGATGCTTTCTCAGCCTTTGCATCCTTTTCAGTATGAGCACTCTTCGCAAAGCTTGTCGCAACTGTACGTTGTATAAACGGAAATGTATTGTTCAACTACCAAAATGTATCCGTTGCGCTCAGAGGGGTCTCGAGTGTAGCTACGATCTCGAACCTATAATCACACCGACTACACAGCTTCAGGAGCTACCACACTTTCTATTCAATCCCTCAAATTGCGATTCGCCAGGATATTGCATTATGAAGACGCTAAAATTCCGCCCTTCCTTCATCGACCCAACCATCTGCAGACCTGGACATCGAGATGCCATAGAGGCTCTTCGCTGGGGTTATCTACCAGTTACTGGCCTTCTTAGAGCAGGAAAACCTGCAATCTTCGTGCATCCAAAGTTACAGATGCATAGTGATTGTGATTACCTTGCCGCCTTGGGAGAAATCGGGGAAAGTGGGGCAAGCCACGAGAGCTTCGAGGTCTTGCTTCAATTGAATGTCACGAAAGTACCCATCAAGGAGGCCCTTGTCGCCCTTCAAGCTCTCATTGTCTACCTCTCAACATTCGTTTTCCCCGGAAGTCCAGGCCAACAAATCAATGCAGAGAAATATCTCAACGTCCTGTCTGACTGGACTCGAACTTTATTGGCATCCGCAAAAACTAGAATGCCACCAGACCAATCTCCATGGCAAGAGTGGCTGTTTGGGGAAAGTGTTCGACGAACCATTCTCATGTCATACATACTGTCTTTGGCTATATCTAGCTTCCACGCCGGTCATTGCACCAATTGGCTATTCGTGGAATCACTCCCTTTTGACAGACGTGCTGGTCTCTGGATGGCAGAGTCTCCACAAGCTTGGATCGCTGCAGCTAAAGCTAAAACGGGAGAAGAGGTTGGAGAGAGGCTCAGTTCTCTTCATGAGTTCGCAGAGGGTTTAAATAGATCCGAGCATACTTTCTATGGAGATATCTTCTTGGCTCTGCTTGCATATGGTCATAATGGAGGTAACACAAGCAAGGCAGTTCACAAAAACTAGGCCAAATCGGATATCAACGATATCGAAAACGATTCGAATGATACAACACGGAACCATCATTCTCCCGCGGAAGATCAGAGTAATGGGAACTAATCTGAATTGAGACTCAAACACCAAAAGTTTCCGAGTGGTCGGGAAGATGTTAAGTAAAGCGGGGCAATGTTCATCCGTCACTTGGAAGAGACAGTGCTGTATAAATCAAGTCAACACTCACACACCGACTGATAGACCACGAATCATACTCGCCTTTCTTTTAAAAACCATCAGCATGTCGGCAAAGCCTCTTCTCGTCGTCCTCGGTGCCACGGGTAACCAAGGAGGCTCAGTTCTATCATACTTTCTCTCGTTGTCGCCTCCTCCGTACGCACTTCGTGCAGTAACTCGAGACCCATCCTCGTCTAAAGCCACCTCTCTCGCCACTTTTGGAGTTGAAGTTGTGAGGGGCAACTTTGACGATCCATCCTCACTCGACGCCGCTTTCAAAGGCGCAACTGCTATCTTCAGCGTAACCGATTTCTGGACACCCTTCGGCCAGCCGTCGCAACGCGAAAAAGCCACTGCATCTGGTCAAAGCATCGGACCCTTCAGTAGAGATTACGAAGCCCAGCAAAACAGAAACATCATCGATGCCGCTGCCAAAGTTTCCACGCTCGAAAGGTTCATCTTGTCCAGCTTGCCCAACACGAATAAATTGAGTGGTGGAAAGTATCCACACGTCTATCACTTTGAGGGGAAAGCCATAGGCGAAGAATATGGCAGGTCGACCTATCCAAAGTTCTGGGAGGAGAAGACAAGCGTCTTTTATGCGGGGTACTATTTGGAAAATTACTTTGGGCCTCAGGGTGCTTCATTTAGACCTACATTGGTACGTCCAGCGGCTTGCGTCTATTTCCATTCCCTTTGTCATGCTAGACCTTGCACTCACCGGCTCCTAGAACAAAGCTAAAGACACTCTCATCTTGTACATGGCAGATCCTATAGCCTCCAGCCCTCTGCCTTACTACTCTGCCGTCGATGACACGGGTCGCCTCGTGCATGCCTTACTTCGTGCTTCCCCGGGCAAGAAGCTCATTGGTGTCAACGAGTGGCTCAGTCTCCGCGACTTTGCCAAAGTCTTGGGCCAGTCGTTGAAGAAAGGGGTCAAATTTGTTGACAGTAATCCGGACTTTACGATGGGAGACCCGGATCTTGAAGAGGATTTTGCGGATATGGTAGGGTGGCTTGTGGAGTTCGGGTATGATGGAGGGAAGGTGGACAAGAGTGTTGTGCAGCCGGCTGAATTAGGAGTCACACTGGACTTGCTGTCTGTAAAGGAGTGGTGCGCAAAGCAGGATTGGGAGAAAGTTCTGGAGGTTGAAGGTTAACTTTTCCGTTTTTACATGAAAAGAATGTGTACTATGTTACAAATGCATCCTATTAGGATCGAGCATCGACACACCTCAAGACTTGATGTTTCAGTATGACTTGTCAAGCTCTGCATGGGGTGTACAACAGAGCGTCATAGAACTCAAATCCACGTGTGCATCGTAAAGCCATCCCTCTCGAGCAACTCCCCAACTCCTAAACATGGAAGTCCTTGCAAGGGAAATGGCGAGAATAAGAACGGTTCTCCTTCAGAATCGGACCCAATACTGTGCACCCTGCCCAAAGTCGGAACGTCCGCCGAGAAATAATCCATCAGGTCACTATTCGGGCTTTCGTTCTGAGCAAACTGAACATCAACCTCCCATCTCACGGCAAGGACGCTCAATGCTTCGATAGCTCTCAATGCAAACCCATGACATGAGCCCATTGCTTCTAGATCCCGTATTCCTTGTTCGAGTTTCATCCTCGCGTCGATGTTTGAAGAATCCATCTTGATGGCAATGAGGTGGATGATGGAGGATTGTAAAACAAAGTAGGGCACAAATGATGGAGTTAGACGAAGTGTGTATAGATCCGAATACGATTTGACAAGTCCTGTGATTGCGGATGCGGCTTGGAGGCATACTTCGAGGGGGACGATGGACGAGGACACCAGGCGGAGTTTGATGAATGGCTGGAACAAGATGAGGGTCGCCGAATGGTAGAATAGACTTTGATACGGTTATTTCAGCTTTCTCAAACTGTATCAAAAGAGGAAGACCTACTGCGCGAACAAGACTGACGGAGTGGAATTTTGTCCAAGCCGAAGACTGTCAGGGATGGTATCATACCACTCGAGATACAACTTGTACAGTTCTATTAATTTAGCGCTATTCATTCCAGAGACCGGGCTATAGAGGATGTGAAGAGCATTGTAAACTTTTTCCGAAAGTTCACAGAAAGTCCAATAAACGCTTCGTAGATTCGATGGTTGACCGAATTGGAGACCCAATGGTTCGCCTTATTGAGTCGTCAGTTAAAACTTCCTCGGGGATTCGCTGTCAATGTTTACCATAATCTGTGTAAGGGACCCATAACGATTGCTCGTCGCGGTCTATGATAGCAGGCTTTGCTGGAAGTGGGATCTGGTAAGAGGTCTGCGGAAGTGAACAGGTAACAAGCGATAGCATCCTACGGCTTATGAATTAGCATTGCACAAAATGAGGTAATAGGACGTACTTGTTTAACGAAAAAGCGCCCCAAAAAGTTGCTTCTCTGACGGGTTCATCTTCACTATCCGTTTCCACATGCAATCCCATCTCAATTGCAAGACTTATCGACTGACCGGATAGAAACACACTTTCGTTGATCCGGCCACAGCTAGCTTCACGGATTGACATCACACCTAGAGCTTGGACTGTTGTCAAAGCATGTCTTTTCTCTGTATTTATCAGCCTTGTTGCTTCTGCAAAGAATGCATCCCCAAGGTTGTTCCCGGCACGCTCAGAGAAACGACAAGCCAGGGCGAGAAGAGCGTTGACAAGCAAAGAAGAGCAGTATCTTGGGTTGCCAGTGAAGAAGTGGAGCATGAATTGCTCCTGCTTGATGGTCGCGAATATGGGGTATTCCCAGCAGAAGTATAGGGCTAGTAGATGCTCGACCAAGGTTCGATCCGATGTTACCGTTGTCCAGGTTTCGAGATAGTCTGTTGGGCTATGGTCGAGTAAGAGTTCTTGAGACGGACGTCGGCTTCCCTGTTCGTGCCGAAAAGCGCTTTCGAGCAGATTGGCTCTGGCCCATTGCTCGAGCCAGTCTTCAAACTCAAAAGGCAACTGATGTATACTCGATGTCAAGTTCCCATTCTTTGTTGCAGTGGTGGATGGGGTACTCGAAGCCTCAGGCAGTTTGGAAGCCTCAAGTCGTCTCGAAATATCTTCAACTGCTTCCCCCTTCTTTAGCATTTGCAACACGTCCCCAGCTCCGCCATCTGAAGCCAGAGCCTCGAGCATCATCTTGCTCTGTCGTTGATACTCCTGCAGACGTCTAATTTCAGACCTCATCTCGTCTTTTGTTTGTCTTGCAGGTGCCTCGTAAATGCAATCCGCAAGTTGAGAAGCACATCTTGTACATGGCTTTTGTCCATCGCACTATGAACAATGATGTTAGGGAACCACGATTAGTATAGAAGCACTTTGGGCGGATACTTACCTTGGCCCTTTTCCTACGGCATTCGGTACATGCGTCTATAGACAGATTATTAGTCAACTTTGACAGAGATCTAGGAGCCGCAGAGCTCGTGCGAAGAGTTCCGATCTTGTTTGAAACAAGGCTCCCAAGCAGGATCCCAGACTCCTCGTCTCCCAGTATAAATGCAAGACAGAGACGGAATTTGACTTACTTGGTGTTACAATGCCTGCTCCACGGCTTCTCCTTCGATAAGAAGCATCCATCACTTAATGTGCACAGACTGACTACTAGCAAGGACGATTAAGAGATTGAGAACAGGTAAATTATATCTACATGCTTATCTCGGGAACATCGAAGGTTATATTATACCCAGCCAATGAAACCGAAAAAGGAAAGAGGTCAAGGGAAAAGAAATTCACAACGACCGATGCAAAAAGTCTAACAGTTTCCATCCCGAAACTCTAATTGTTTCCATCCCGACCCTTTGCTCTCTTCCGCTCGAGAAAGAGTGATGCCATATGTTCCCATTCCCATGTCAGAGTGCCGCGTGAAAAGGGGAAAGACATCGCTGGTTGGTTTGCGGTTACGCAGGGTCTGAGCGTATCGAGACGGGACGGAGGTAAGGTCCGACCTTACTATCGTCTCACTAAGCGCTATACATGTCAGTAAAAGGATTAATTGTCTGAATTACCTTGCCGCCGGGATCTGAATTGAATGAACTGCCCCGAGTTTCTGTGCAGATGCCGACCGCAGCAAATCCCTCGCTTTTCACCAATGTAGCGATAGCTTCGTGACTTCATGGCTTGAATTGCACTCAAGCTGAGGTTCTGCGCCATTACGGTAGAGCCTCGGGGTAGTTTCTTCAATTCAGACCCCGCGGCGGGGTAGTTCGAACAATTGATCCAGTAAAAGTGGTTGCGCGGAGACGTTGGGGGCATTGATCTTCAATGCTTCCCGCTATACAGGACAGTCAAAGTAGCCGCGCGGAGATACTGGGGACATTGACCTTCATTGGTCCCCACTTAAGCTGTATTGTTTGCCACTAGGCAAAAATACATGCCGAGCTTTGTATCGAGACTGCATCAATTATCGGGAGAAGCGAAAGCTCGTATATGTTTGAGTGTCATTAATCGTACATTAACAATAGAATTACCTAGGGGGTGACCACCGTCTGATTATAATCAAGATCGCAAGCATGCGGATGCTGCAAACAGTACTTTGGCACCAGTGGAGCGGCTCCAACCCCATTTGCAACCAAATACTCTCTGAAATTCAAAATTCTTTGGGTCATCTCTGTGACTCTCTTCTCTCCGGCAGCATTTTTATTTCCGCTCCAACTCAACTCTGCCAACGCGGCAGCACGAGGCCACATCTTCCCACTGATCACAGTATCGTCGACTTGCTCGCTCCAGAGCGGCGCAGTAACACCTATTACCCGTGCCGCTTCCGCGGATGTGAGGTTGGTGGTGAAATCGTAGTCGTAGATACGTTGCCAGGTCTTGTATGGTGCACACCAAGATCCACCATTTCCTCCAAAGTTGAAATTTGCCAGCCCGTCAATAGCGTCCGGGTTGACCATCACGTCATATCGAGGATCGTTCGTTACCCAGCCGCCGAAACCGCAGTCCAGACTCCAGGAAGTTAGCACTTGGTTTCTTGTACAGATAAAGAACCGAATCTTCGGGACAAGGATAAAACTTATCCGGGAGCCCAAACATGGCTTGAGTAAAAGGAAGCGAGGAGAAGGAATAAGAAAGGGGCTTGTTACTAGAACCAATCTGAGGAAGAAACAATAACATCGTAGCCAGCTGAGGTGAGCGTTTTGATGTTGGTAAGACCACCATTCCATGTTTGCATTATGATGTCTGTGGGAACGGAATTGGCGTGCGGGGTAGCGAGATAGATATCTTCCCACATTATGAGACGACGATCCCTGGGTTTTTGGAAGATAGGTACTGCCTCGTCGACCCAGTATTGGAGGAGATCGTTATATGTTCGAGAAGCGTTGGCTGCAAACCATTCAGTCGTAATAGTGCTGAGGTTGTAGCAGCCAGTCTGAAGCTCATCGGCACCAACATGGAAGAAGTTGTCCGTGAAAACACTTGAAAGCTCCTCATACACTTTTGACACAACATCGTATGTCTTGCTGTTCAGGATCTCGAGCTGACCAGGGTTTGGTTCGACGGCAGTGTGAAGCGGCCAATCATCGTTCGACCACCACGAGTCGGCACAAGCCACGATGCTAGGGTCGACTTGCTTCCAGCCGGAAGAAGCGTGGCCTGGCATGTCTACTTCAGGAATAACCCGAACACCTCGAGCCGTGGCATATGCCAATACATTTTGTATGTCGCCATGGCTATAGATCTGATAAGATGCATATGCGTCCTTGGTCATCTCAGGGTAGGTCGACATCTGTACAGGCCAAGATTGAGCATCATCCAAGTGCCAGTGGAGAACATTAAGCTTCGACAATGCCATTCCATCGATTTGTTCATAAATCTTAGGCAGACTGATGAAGTTGCGCCCACTGTCAATCATTAGGCCTCGGTATGGGTATATTGGTGCATCTTTGATAGACACAGGCTGTTCGACCATCAACCCTCCCTTCCCATCCGATATTATGATCTGTTGCAAAGTCGTGAAGGCGTGCAAAGCTCCCCAAGGCGTCTTCGCGGTGACGCTGATCGTAGGCGAGCTGGCAGTAATATCTATTGTATAGGACTCGTCTACGCCATGTTGTAGAGCCGCATTCGAGTCCGAGATCTTGACAGAGACTCCTGTGAGCAATGTGGAGGTCGTTCGCTTCGCTTTGGCAGCTGTGGTTGGGAAGACTGCATAAGTAGCAATAGGAGCTTCTGTAGCTTGAGGTACCCATTTGAGACTGGCAATTGTACCAAACGCGCGGTTCCAGGCACTGACGACGGTCGGATTCGAAGAACCAGTCAAGACGAGATATCCTGCAACCTCTTTTGGGCCCGTTGTTCCCCAAGAAATCGAGGTGGGAGCTGGAAGAGGGTTGACCATCACAGCTTCACTCAACCCCACCAACACGCACCCTATCGTTCCCACAAGTTGATTGAGACGCATCTTGGATAGATGGAGTCTCGAGTCTCAAGTCGACAATGAGTGCAGAAGACGAAAGAGATTTCCATCGTGGGAAGCCAAGGGTTAAAAGATCAGCAGTAATAGGAGTAATAAACTCCAGCCTTCCTCCTGCGGTCAGCAGTTGCACAGGATAAACAAATTACCTTCTAAGATGTAACGTGCATGGTTGAACCCCGTTCACGACGTCACTTTGATTAGGTACCAGCATGTCTCCCAGTGAGACCCTGAGCAAGGAGCAGAGCATGCAACGTTAAGGGGCCAATCAGTGCAAGGCGGCGTTGGGTCAGATGCGGTGATGAGAAGTGAACCCAGGTAAGGGAAGGATAGGGATAGCGAGATGCACGAGCGATGTGCAGTTGGGGGAGTCGGGCCTATTAATGCTCCGGGAGGAGGGCCCACTAACGCCTATTCGTGCTGTGTTACAGCGCTTGAACAATGTTCTAAGCTTCTAATTTTACAGCTTAATATTAGCTTTCAGCTGAAGGGGGCCACTAGAAGTGCTCGATTCCAGTGGACTCCACCAAATTCAAGCTTATCTCCTCCTCCCGCCCGGGCCGCCCCTAAGGATTTGGGTGCGGCTGCCCTGAAACGTTACAACAAGCCCTCACATCCTGCCACTAGCCACGATGGTCTTCGACAAGAACCGAACACTCCAAGAACCTGCATCGATGCACGTGAGTTGATCTGGGGAGAGCCTCACATCCTGAAATTAGTGGGACTCGGTTCAGAGACCGACTGGTCTATTTCGTACTCGTATGTACAGTTCGTGAAATTGTGTAAACATCTCTGAATCCTGTCTCGTGGCTCCTCGTGGCTCAGCTCAAAAGGGGCTTTGCCAAGAAACATCGACACAGCTGATGAGATCGAGGATGAGACATTGATTCGGACGTCGTGAGTGTATCTCCTGCTATTGTATTGCCAGTGCGCATTTGGCAATACTGTATATCGTCCGACCCGATAACTGCCATTGACAATATTGTCTCGATATTTGTTGGTCTTTGCCTTGCAAAGCAAGGAGCCGATACCATGGTACAAGTCGCTTTCTTACTGTACTTTACATTCTTCTTTCGTTGTTTCGAACACAATAGGCTCTGACAGGTCCGCAGATATGTACTCTAATTGAAATGGTTTGAGAAGACGGTATCTTAAGTGAGATACCCGATCAGGATTACATTCCCATCAAATTAAGCGAGAACATTAAAATCCTTAGAGTCTCCTATTTCAACCTCCTCTCATTCGAATCTTCGTTTACAAAATTATATTAAAACTTGATCCACTTGAAATTCAGGCCTTCGAATACTTTTCTATAAAGCATTGTCAGAATGTACATAATTATTGTGCTCTTAATAAGTATTGCACATCAGACAATATTCGCGAAAACAACGTAATCCTGATCGCAGCTTAGGGGAGAGCAACCAACTAGCGGAAGCTGTAGAGTAGACGGAGTTCTAATTATGCTGCATGTAAGTCACAAATCATGAAGGCGAGACTAAGAGCTAGGGAGCTGGGAATAGAGAACTGGAAATAGGGAATAGGGCGCTGGGAATGGGGTGCTGGGAATAGCTCGGAATAGGGTGCTGGGAATAACTCGGAATAGGGCGCTGGGAATAGCTGGGAATGAGGCGCTGGGAATACCCCGCGCTGGAAATAGGGTGCTGGAAATAACTGGAATAGTGCTGGGAATATCGCGCTGGGAATAACTTTAGGGCACTGGGAATAGGGCGCTGCTTGTGACCTCCCATAAGCTGAAGACGCATAAGCACTCTCGGCACTCGATTATGAAGCACTCGAGAAGGCCGAAGAGCTGGCCATGCATTCCGTAGTCTGAGCTTTGTGGAGACCCCGAATAGTCATGAAATATCCCGCGCCGGGAATGGGCGCTGGAATAGGGAGCTGGGAGTAAAGAAGACCTTGAGTTGGCCTAAGCTAATATTCAAACATGTGGTATTTCATGACTAAGACTAGCGATACTCTCATTTTTGAGGTCAGCATCGAGTGAGTTCATCTTGAAAGCTTGAAACACTTATTTAAAAGTAACAATAGAAGCTAGTCCTTGAAAGCTTGGGGGAAATAAAATATAATCTTAATAGGAAACTGGGTGCACATGAGTATAAATTTCAAAATTGCCTTTTAACAAAAAATCTTTAATTGAGGATAGAAAGCGAGGTTTCAAGCAACTCCGACATCTCCAATAGCATCCCTCCTTTTACAGTGTTATCTATCTCGGACTTCAAATTCTCCCGCTCCTCGCGGCGTTCGAGTAACATAGAAGTCCGAAGGTGTCGTTGAATCTTTCTGAATCATGGTCTCAAATGTCTACATATTAAATTTTCACTTTGCCGCGTTACTTTTCACGATTGGCAGATAATTTATTGCGCTGCAGCACATGATTGGCTGAAGCCGCGCGAGAACCCCTTTTCTTCATTCTCTGATCACGAGATCTCGATGCGCAAAGCCCTCGCATTGGTCAGAAATGTCAATACTTCAAGTTGCATGGGCGAGCCGCATTCAATGACCAGTGCGGCTCTTCAAAGTCGCTGATTTTCTTGACTATCCGCACGCGTAAAATTTCATGTTTTGGGTTCAGGCTGTCTATGATTGCTTTATCAGGAATACTCAATGAAATGTAATCTGCTCAAATAGACCCGTCTCGCAGTGTATTCTTGCTCAAGCTTCTCCCGCAATGCTTTCTATTCTTCAATTCATTGCAAGTACTTTCCTGCAAGCCTTCCACTTCCTCACTGCTCATTCTTTCCAACAAATAAACTCCTCATCGCTACCATCTCAAACCATGAAGAACATTTTGATTCTCGGAAGCTCCTATGCGGGGATCAGTACCGCACATCGAATCCTTAAACAGTCTTCCAAAACTGGTCCAGTCAAGATAACTCTCGTATCTCCAAATACCCATTTCTACTGGACCATGGCCTCGTCTCGTGGCTTGATTCCTGGACAATTCTCCGATGATCAGATGTTTCAACCCATCTCAGCTGGCTTTAAGCAATACGTGGAAGCACAGTTTGAGTTCATTCTCGCTTCTGCCGAAAGTCTCGACGTGGACAATAAGTCTGTGGGAATCTCTGGAGGCAGAACGCTCAAGTACGACTTTCTGATTCTAGCTACTGGCTCTCACTACAAAGGTGACACCCCATTGAAAGGCTTGGGTTCAACCGAAGCAACCCAAACCGCTCTCCACGACTTCCAAGCACAGATCCAGAAAGCTCAGAAGATCGTCGTTGCTGGAGGTGGGGTAACTGGTATCGAAGTTGCAGGCGAAATAGCCTACGAATACGGGTCCAAGAAAGAAGTCATTCTGGTAAGTCAAAACCATTCCTCTTCGCCCCTTTTCACTAACACATCCCAGATCGCAAGCAACCCAACTCTCCTCCACGAAAGCCCCCCCTTCATCTCCAAATTCGCCACCAAAGAACTCCACAACCTAAACGTAACCCTCAAACTCGGCACCAAAATAACCTCCCACACCCACTCCACCCCCGACAACAAACACCACCTCCTGCTCTCCAACAACGAGAAGCTCGTCGCGGACCTATACATCCCAACCTTCGGCCTCCTCCCGAACTCCTCCTACATCCCCTCCAACTTCCTCAACGAAAACGGCTACCTGGTCGTCGATGACTTCCTCGCCGTCAAGGGCGCAAAGGATGTCTGGGCCATCGGCGACGTGTCGGCTGTTGAGCCGTCGCAGTTTATCTACGCGGATAAGCAGTCTGGGTTCCTGGCTAAGAATTTGGGACTGCTGCTTAGCGGGAAGCCGGTCTTGAAGTATAAGGTTGCTACTTCTCGTGAGTTTCACTTTCTGTTCTTCTGTGGGAGAGGGGGCCTTTGGCTAATACGGGGATGGATAGGGATTTTCGGTTTCCAGGTCGGGAAGAAGGCTGGGACGGCGCATTATGGGAATTGGGTGCAGATGCCTGGGTTTGTGATTGTGCGGGTGAGGAAGAATTTGTTTTTGGAGAAGTTTGTGGGGTTGCTTGATGGGAGTGGGTTGTGATAGGTTCTTTTGTTGGGAAAGTATGCTGGATGATTGTGCACGTTGGCTATTAAGGGGTGGATTTCTCTTTCCCTGGACTGGGTGCGGAGAATGTTATTAGGAGGATGTCTTGAAATCACAATATATGCAATCTGCTTTGGAATTGGCTCCTCTATGCTAGCTATCCTAAGAGGCAGAATCTATATCTGCACCATGATGCCTCAACTCTTTTGATATGAGCTTCGAACCTCATTTATATCTATACTCTATTACATAGCATTCCCTGAAGCTACTCATCTCCCAAGAGAAACGTTTTGTTACACCTCGTAGCAACGACCACGCCCTCCAAAGAATGCCCACTTTTTGCGCAATGCGCGAACTATGCCAAATTCGCGAAGAGCTAAGATAGGCATAAAAGCCCAGATAAAATTAGCTCGATAATATAAATCTATACAGCATTCTTAACCGTGTTCCAAAGAAAGCCTCACTGCTGTAGCCAGGGTTCCATTCGCTATGAGGAACGTTTCAATGGACAAAGTGAACAAACTCTTGTTGGCTCTGCCACATTGGACTGATAACAACCCACATCAGCGACCTTGCAGAAAACAACACTCAATGTCAAATGATTACCAAGCTGATTATCAAGCTCTCTATTTTCTATCTGCCCACCCATCTAAAATATACTCTCTATCCCCAACTCCTGAAGTGCCACCAACACCACTCACTCAGCAACACCAAACATCCTAACACTGTTCGCCCAAGCAGCCTCTGAAACCTGCTTAACAGAGATCCCCTTAATCCCAGCAATAGCCCACGCAACGTGCCCGATCATACAAGGCTCGTTTCTGCCTTTGATCATTAGACCCTCTGCCCAGCGCTCCTTCTTGACGCTTTTCCATTCTTTGAGTTCGCCGTTTTGATCTTCTTCTTCCTCTTCCTCAGCCTTAGGCTCATGTCCAGCAGGCTCCCCATCTTGCATTGCAGCTTCTCCAATTAGCTCTCCATCACCAACGTCTTTGTGAGAACCGCCTTTCGAAGCACCCCCCTTCCCATTCGCCTTCTCAGCCCTAACCTTCTTAACCCCAACCCCCATCCCCAGCAAAAAATCCGCACTAACATGACTAGCCCTCATCTCGCACCACGGCCCATCAGTCTCGACCTGCAACCTATCCAACGGCACCTCCCGCACCACCTCGCAATTCTCCGCCGTCTTCATACTACACCCATTAACGCCAATATCCCAGCCCTTCTCCACCAGATCCCACATCTCTTCTTTCGTTCCGGTGAAAGAATGCACTACTCCCTTGCGGGGAAGTCGCGAGGAGAAGGAGCTCAGGATACGGATAAAATCTGCATGCGCGGCGCGTGAGTGTAGGAAGAGCGGGAGTTGGACTTCCGTTGCTAGCGAGAGTTGGGCTTCGAAGTACTTGAGCTGTTCTTCCTTCGGACAATGCTCCAATCGGTCATAATCAAGCCCTATCTCCCCAAATGCCACAGCGTGGTTAGAAGCCTTTGCCTCCACCGCCATTGCCCGGAGCTCATCTAGTATCGTGGACGGCGAGGGTGATTTCGTGAATTGGGAACAATTGCATGGATGCACGCCTATTGTGGCGTATATTACTCTTGCTGTAGCAACTTCTCTTAGTATGATTCTCGAAAGATGAACGAGGGGCCATACGATGTTCCTTCGCAAGTTGCACTGCTTTCCGGCTTTCCTTCAGATCACTGCCTGTGACGATCAATTTCTCGCATCCGGCTTCTTTCGCGCGTTGGAGGACGCCGGAGAGGTCGTTAGGGTGGCGTTGTGTGCCGTAGTAGAGGCCTGTGAAGACGGGGTCGGTGAGGTTGATGCCTATCTACTGTGTGGGAGGTGGATTAGCTGTTGTGTACTACCTACAGAGATTGGCAGAAGGGGGAAGGGAGTATACATCTATGTAGCGGGGTTTGTAGAGTTTCTTCACTCCGTTCGTAATAGGTACAGAAGACTGAGATGCTGAAGCTGCAGCTTCAATGGTGTATTCGGTCGCCATTGTGGAAGTGCGAATACTTGGTGGGTAGCGTAGGATGCTTGAGAAGATCGATTGAGACCTTAAGAGAAGTTTGGGGATGTGCGGAGTGGGAGTCATCGAGTTTCGAGCATTTTGTGGGTAGGGTGAAGGTCCAAAGTCGTGAGTCAAGACTCGATACGAGGCTGCAAGGCTGACAAGAAGCGGGGCGGTTGCTATAAATTCGGCTTTGGTCCTACAGTATGGGGAAGAAAATACAAGTCTTAACAAGCTCCTTCCAAATCAGTACAACCGAAAAAGAGATCAGATTTCCAGATACTTGGGTCAGACAATCAATAGTAATCAATCGTTCAGCTGCTTGTCCGGGAAAGTTGCAACGCCACGAACCAACCCTGAAGTAAGTAACTGACAGAGAGATAAGACTTGACAGCAATAAAGTCGGGATTAAGGATAATGTTGATCGAAGCATCCTAGCTTTATCGCGAGAGGAAAGTTTGACCTACTCTACCACATTTTGATCTTCGGATTGTCCGAGGTTTGATGGACAATTCCAAGACTTTCCATCCCAGACGGAGAACGGACATTTTTCTCTGCTTCATTACGCAAGGGACCATGCAGGACGAATGATGAAATGCCCAGCTATTCTTCCATCGAATGCTACCAACCCTAATGCCATTGGATATCTCCCATCCCAGATGCCCTGAACGCCAGACATGATACTCATTCATACATCACAATAATAAAGGGCGAATGGAGCTTAAACCCCAGTCCCCTTGAATCCTCTTATACGTCCATCTCGTACAACACCAAGGCTCACACCCTCCTCGCCAGTCATCCATCCTGGCATCTTCTCCCCCTCCACGATACCAGCCTCTATCAAATCTCTGATCCCAGCAAAGACATGCGATCCATGCAATGTGATCCTTACATCCGGTCGCCAACCATCAGCTTGAACATCATCTTCTTCAGCTTTGTCTAATTCAATACTAATGCTGCTCCTTCTTCCTTTTCGTTTCGAATTCCGATCTCTGGCGCTGTCATCGAGATTGAGGTCCTCCTCTTCAGCAGCATCTGCTTCGGGAAATAGATCTTCAACTCGTATGTCAAGTCTTTCAATACCCTTCCCATCATCTGCCTTTGCGGTATTGCCAAATCTCCCTTGCGCAACCAATCTACGCCTCTTCACAACATCGTGGGCCTCTTCTCTCTTTCTCTTCAAACCCTTCTCCTCTTCTTTCGTGTTCGACTCAACATCGTCCAGTATGGAAGCTTCCGGCGTGGGTAATTGTGTATTAAGTGGATTATCCTTTCCATGTTTTTCCTCCGCATAGACACTCCATCCTCCACCAGCTGCACTCGTTCTCCCACCACCTCGTTTTTCTACCAGAGCCTCCAAGTTCTTAGCACTGAGACTCGTGCTTTGTAGTGTATATCTCTCCCTTGGCTTTGAGAATGCTTTCGGAATTCCCTCTAGTATCAGCCTCCTTAAGCTCTTATTATTTGATGAAGGGCCTCGTGAGCTGCTTTGTGCATTGAATGTTGCTGATACGAAGACATGGGGAGATGAGTCAGGAAATGCAACGTAGAATGTCTTGTTCGAGTCGAGGATGCTGTTCTGATTTACAGATTGGAGAGCCAACGAAGTATTGTACGGACTTTCGACGATAAATACTCGAAGTATGAGGAGAGGTAGGGTCGCATGTCGGTCTAAATTATAGTGCGCCTTAACGTCTGGGAGGACTTCTTGTTGGAGGTTTCGCAGGAAGGTTGCTGGGTGAAATCGTGGTATTGAGGGAGAAGTCTTCTCTTGGTCGTTGGTGAGGCGTGTAATCTTCAAGGCATTCCATTTCTGTGATGAAGGATGATCGTAGAGATATTGCATATCTGCCATTGCCAACTGGTAGAGAGATATTCCATCTCGCCAGTCCCCTTCAATCGCCCTATCCACCACATCTCTCTTGCCGCCTTTGCGACCCTGGAGGTCTGTATAGATTTCGCGCAACGCAGCGAGAGATGAAGCTGGTGGGTATAGATCATCGTCATTTTCGTCGTTGTCTTCGTCATCGGAGGAGAGAAGATATGGTGCAGTATTCTCTTGGTTGCGTTCATCGAGCCAGTCCAGTACCAAGGATATCATAGATTGTCGCGATAATCGAAGCAAGGTTCGATGGACTGCGGGGTGTGTTGAGGGGACGAGTTGGGTCGAGGGGAGGGCGGAAGTGGTCGGAATGGAGAGAGTCGTCATGATGCCAATGCATGTAAGTTAATTGGATATCATTATATTTGCGGTTGCCATCACATATCCGTCCTTGTCGACATTGTCGTGCTGTATTGACATCTGCTTTTGTCGCGTTCCGATGCTTGGGTAACGCGCCTGGATGAGGCTCAAAAAAAGGTCCAGATCAATGGTCACATGGAGGTCCCTTTCTCATCCCGGAGTTTATCCATCAGAACGGCTAAACAACAAAGCCCTTGCCCGATCCGGGGAAGTGAAAGCCAAATATTGGCCTCATGATTCGCGCATGTAAGCAATCTAAGCAAATTTGTCTCAGAGCCCCCCCACTTCGCTTTATCCTCTTGCAGCAAATCGAGCCGAGGAGAAACCGCGAGCAAACTCCGATCTTCGCTCCTGGCGAGATTTGCCGGCCAAGTCTGCTGTCTGAGGCCATGAAGAAAAAACTTCAAGACATCATCATGATCAGCAATGCAATTCCGTCCACCCGTTTGCTGAAGATTGACGGTCAGAATTGAATCGTAAGAGAAGTGTATGTTCGAAAAGTGAATTTCTCATCTTGGATTTCCAACGAGAACGCCCTTTTAATCCAGTCACACGCCTTTGCCGCGGGTTTTGTCCATCCCACGTTCAGCTTTCCACTGCATTTTGAATTAGTAACCCGCCCCACTATCGTGGGCCGACTCTACACGACTCACTCCCGGGCAAGGAATTGCTTCTTCAACTCCGTCAAATCCTCTCTCCTGCACATACGAACCAGAAAGCAAAAAGTACGGGGTAACAACCACAGCCTCCCAGATTCACTTGACCTGTGAGTTGAGGAACTGATTGGCGTTGTTCTATTCAACACCTGTTCGGTCGAAGCGCATTTGCCTTCAAAGACAGACTTACTCACTCCAGTCTGAGACTTTCACCACCACTTCCACCTCTCACACGCCTCCTCAGCAGACCCGAATACGCCAGCGAGTACCTCCCTTTTCGCAATTAAATCTGTGGCTACGACAGCCTTCGCCCGTCGCATTCATTGTTCATCATGGCATACAGTGGAAGGACAGGACCGAACGTGTCGGAGTACATTGCGAACCTGAATGCGATTCCTCCCACCGCAGCAGAGGCTACGAACGACGACGACGAACTGAACTTCGACGCCGACCTGGCTATGTTCACGAACACACAATTCTTCGACTACGATTTGGGCCAGGATACCGATCTACAATCTACAAATTTTGGCGTTGATGGGCAGGATGGAGCACCGACGGTTGCGCCCGACAGCGTGGACTTGAAGTCCCTAGAGTTTATGAATGGTACGTATCAACCTCCGAATGCTTCAGTTCTTTTGCGGTCTCTTTGTCTGTCCTTGCGATCATCGTTGCCCACCTTTGTGTCTCTCGACGTTGGCTCGAGTTGAGCACGAGTGAGGTTCGTATCTCGTCCTACCCCGCTGTACGTTCGATTATGCGAACGCAACGACCACTCGACTCACCATTCGCCATCACTGGCTGAATCCCTTTCACACGTGGGCCCTGCGCATCGCACTGCATCTGAGAGCTGCGATAAGATGCACATTGCTACCTCTGTTCTCAGCGAGTGCTTGCATCACGCAATCCGCGATGGATATTTGCCGAGTGATGGCGCAATGTCACATGACCCCCATCACCGCCCTTCTTTGCAGCATTACACAGCAAGAGGGATGCCTCGACGACTTGTCAGACATAAATGCGGCTCTCCACATTGTATCCGCTTTTCCCGTTTGTCATTCAAAGAAGCAATATGCTGACGATGTGACGATGTTGCGTGCAGGCGACTTCTCGTTTCCTGACTTCAATAACTTCTCCCAACCCTCCTTCGACAATGCCGCTCGGCCATTGGCACCGATCAACACTTCGCAATCAATCTACCCTGCTTCCTCCAGCGCAGGATCACCAGGACCCGCCCCTCAATCTGCGGGCACAAAACGAAAAGCGGACTCGGTATCCTCTCCTCAAAACATCGAAGATGCCTCTCGAGTAGCCGCCGAAGAAGACAAGCGTCGACGAAACACTGCTGCCTCGGCCCGTTTCCGTGTCAAGAAGAAGCAACGCGAGCAAGCTCTCGAGCGCTCGGCGAAGGAAATGAGCGACAAGGTCTCCGCGCTGGAGGGACGAATCAACCAACTGGAAACAGAGAACAAGTGGTTGAAGAACCTGATCACCGAGAAGAACGACAGCAAAGATGACTTAGCAGTGCTATGGAAGAAGTACAGCGAGAACGAGGCTAGGAAAGGTGCTGAGCGGACCGACGGTGTGGGAACTGATGCGTGATGCATGACGGGGATTGAGTGAGGCTTTCTGGGTTCTGGTGGGGGAGGCGGTTTTTTGCATTGCATGCGCTTGATTCAGTTCGCGCCGGTGGTTTCCATGATACGAAGTTTATGCATACACGGAGTACGTGGGTGGTGGATGTGGGGATGGCAGATGAATATCGGCTGCTTTAATACTCCAACTGGGTGGGGAGTAATACATATGGCTACTGGGGGTGGCTATCATCTATGCAGCTAACAAATAAACAAAGATCGTTCTATTACAAGCATTTTGACTCATATTTCAATATTGCGTGTGTAACATGGATCTTTCTCATTCTGCACGCTGTCCAGACAGTTCTGGTCCAGTCTTTCTTCTAGCGGATGTGGGACAGTGTCCTTCACAACCTCTAAAGCCTCCACTAGCTTTACGCACGAGTAGGTCAAAGATCTATGAGGTCAAATATCTTATTCCGTTGAATCTTCTATCCTATCAAATATTCTGTTCTACTGAGTGTCCACCTGTCGAATGCTTCTCCGTGATCAACCTCTTCCTACGTCGATGATTCATCACATCCTTCATCTCCCCTTCCCGACCAATCCACTTACACGCCAAGACAACTCCTTCATGAAAACACTCTTTATGCTTATATGGAAAGAAGTTCATCCTTTTCATTGCATTACGCAGTTGCATACATTTGTATTCACTTGACAACTTATTTATGTCACGGGCCTTTACTTCCCTATGGGGAAGGATGTAGAGCTGTTTCGTTGCGTTATGCGTTTGTATTCACCTGATAAATCTTTCATACACAGGCCCTTTACTACTCTGTAGGGAAAGATGTAGAGCGGTTTCGTTGCGTTACGTGTTTATATTCACCTGACAACCCTTTGATTCTGAGCCGCTCTATACCAAGCCCAGAAGCTTAAGGAAATTAATCGTTGCGTTACGCACCTGCCCTCGCTTGTTATTTTAATGGTATTGGAAGGAGTTAAATTTGTTTCGTTGCGTTACGCGATTGTATTCACTTCATTCTTGATAGTCCTAGAAGGAGGTAAATCTACTTCATTGTCTTAAGCAGCAGCATTCACTTGCTACTCTCACAAAGGAGAACTTAGTATAAATTCGCCGTCCACAAACCTAACATCCTTCTCAACATCACCAAGAAGATACACCGGTTCAAGGAGCAACACGAGCCGGGCACCCTGGCTTGACACAAGAACTACCACAAGTAACTGGCCGCCGGGTGCGAAGAGAACCTAAATTCACCCTCCGCAACCAAATCAATGATATGCGAGCTACTGCTCACCGTGTCAATGAGTCTTACAGGGTTGAAAAGATATAATCCATCTCACTGCGTTATGTAGCCTAATTCAGTTCCCCACCCTCTTGACTGTAGTGGAAGGAAGTAAGCCCATTTCGTTGCGCTACGCAGTTGTATTCACTTCATTCTTGCAAATGTAGTTTAAGTAGTCAATTATTTTGTACCGCTTCGTTGCGTGACGCGTTTGGATATGCTTGCCATACGGCTTGACTAGTGAATCACTTTAGTGACCCACGTCGTGTGTTTTAGGGGCGAACCTGAATCACTTGAATCCTGGTGGGGTATAAAAGAAGGCCCTTGAGGAGCTGTCATTTGAATTGTGGCTCCTTTGGTAAAATCACAACCCCACACTTCAGCCCGGGTCTGTGGAGAAATTTTGAAGTGGATGTGAGGATTGATAACAAAGGTGGTGGCTCTCCGTTTGGAACTTTGCATGAAGGGTCTTTTCTTAGGTAAACATTTGACAATACCTTAGAAGATCTCTCTTTTCACATAACAATTAACAACTTTATTCACTTATATTCACTTACTTGCCAGTATCTTATATTGCCCCAGGAGTGAGGCAGCACTGCCCCCAGCGGCCGATCTTTCCTCCTATATATACTTTGAATTTCCACCTTTCAAAATTCTCAGATCCTGTCCTTCGTTGGCGCGGTATACCATGGGACTGTCGCGTTGGAAGGGGCGCCGAGCTTTGTAGGCTATGAATGTGTGGTGTTGCGAGCTAACTTTGGGGGTGGTGCATATAGATTCTTTGGAGGAGGCATATTAAAGGTCGGAAAGAGTTTGTGGAAGAAAGAGTCGACAATAGCTTGGCACTTGACAACAATTATTTCCCTAGACACTTTAGCACATTATTTAACAGCAGCATGGGAGTTCTTTGGACGAAAGCGTTTAAGCTGACCTTGGATATTTCCAAAAGTGGCAACGGAGAAAGAATTGACAACAATCGCGATCCAAAATGGTGGTTGACAACAACAATCAAGCACAAAAGATGGCAGTTCACCAATTTCGTTCTGTAAAAGATCTGTGTTTGTTTCATGTCTTCCGGGGTGCAGAAGCTATTCTCCCAAGCGACACATTGGCCTCCGGCTCTAGTGTGGTGATTGTGGTGTGTGTGTGTTTGTATTGTACTGAACTTTTTGTGTGGGTTTAGTTGAGCAGTATTTATATTCGTACAGCGATAGAGAAAGCTTTGCGACTCCCAGTTTGGAAATGTGAAAATGAATTTAGTGAATCTTTGCAAGAGTCCTCGGTTTTAAAAGTGAATTGCAGCTATGTGTGAGTGGTAGAATTTTCCCGTCCTAGGTGCAAAGAAGTATATAAGCAAGCTCCCTTTACAATTCTGACAAGGAAGATGGTAGAAGATAACGAGGACCCTGCCATCTCCAAGCTGTGTCTGGAGAACCTTACGGTTAGGATTAGGCAATCTGATATTTAGAGTATTGCCTCCATATTGCGTTGACAAGTAGCTGTTCGCATTTCTGAGCAGTACTAGGAAGGTCCTGGAGATATGAGAATCTTGCTGACATTGACGAATTCTGCAATTGTTGACAGTGGAGGGAAGGTCGACAGCAATACAGGGTTCTGGCGAGCGTGCCAAGATACTATGCTATGTATGAGAAATCGATATGTCTATTGCTGCAAGAATGTTTCACGAATTCAAGACTGCACCGAATGAAAAACTCCAAAGGAAGCTTTTCTGCATTTCGAACATCTTAGCCAGAACTCAACAATATGAGAATGTTCATGATCAAAAGAGGGTTTTATTCAATCTGAAGTGACTGCCTCACAAAAGTACTTGATCTCAAGTCAAAGATCCACCTCTGAAAGGGAGGACCTTGCTTGAAATCCCACTTCCCACTCCTCCAACAACCACATCTCCTTCCACCTCACTTTCCAAACCCTCTTAGGCGGCCCTGTTCTCTTTCACTAGAGCCTCACTAATTCACGGAGCTAACTTGGAAAATAAAACCTTTTCAAAAAGCGAGGATGTATATATCCATGACTATTGTGGATAGAGCTACAATCAAAGACCATGAGCTTAACCTTAAGTGGACCCACTGCAGCAAAAAGTGAAACAACGATGTTTTTCAGTACACGCTAACAATAGAACTATGCTGTTGCTCTGCGGCATCACACCTCGCAGAAGTAGCATTTTACAAAGACAATGTTTTAACACGCAGAAATCTACCATGGGAGAAGGAACGTCAAAACCTTGCATCAGCCCTATGATCGGAGAGAAACACCACCTATGAATCATACAAGACACTTCAACTAACAATCCCGAGCTTCCAATCTCACTGCAATCCAAGACTCGCAAAAAGCATGCGAAATCTACTTCCACCGGAACATGAAGGGAAAGTCTCAAGATTCTCGCAACAAAGCACATTTCGGTACTCGATTTCATGGGCCCAGCTAAAAGTAATCTCCCCTCTGGAAAGACAAAAACAGAAGTCCCGTTCCAAACTTTGAGGTCCTGTCGATCAAGACACCAGCCCAGAAGGACAGGGGAAGGAAACTTTTCGCGCAAAGTCAGATCTTAGTTCCTTGAGAGATCATGAACTGTGGAAGTGAGCAGCTTCAAAGCGGTCGATACGAGATGATCTTCCATGTGAGCCAGATTTCCAACAGCTGGACCAGAGTTGGATTGTATACCAGGTCTCGCGATTTTGCAAGCTTGAACTTTGACTTCAAGATGGACGGCAGTCAATTCAGCACGGAATACACTATCGCCAGATTCACGAGAGCCGGGTTCAAGGCCGACACCAGCGGCACGGCAAATCGTAGGTCTGGAAGAAAGTGGAAAGTTCCTTTGCCGGATCTCGAACGTTCCGATCGTCAAAGCTTGGCAGCACGTACGGAAACTTTTCCCGTCTTGCCATGCAAGCAGCAAAGCACTGATTCTACGGGATGGGGATTGAAGATGGGAAAGATAGATGTGCATTTTGTTGAGACTTGGCGCAGAGTATCTTTCGTATGCAATTTATATCTCGCGCAAGTGCCATGCGATGATGCGAATGCCATGCAGTCCTGCACGCTCCCACCCTTCGTCGAACAAGGACGGGACGGGAGCTGTGCCTCTTCGGCTAAAACGGAAGGTAGTCAAACTCGCGTAGAATATTTTTCTTATCTTCAGAATTGACGATTTCTCGGGATGTCACATCATGAAGGTTTCGATCTTGAAGCTTGTTTGTTTGTACTTTGGCTGTTCTGGGTATACTTTAAGTGCCATGGCGTGCAAGTGCCTAGCCTCGTTGTCTATCTATGTACATTGATGAAATCTCGACCCGACCCAACCCAGATCCAATCCTGAACGCCTTGTGCGCCAAGCCCTATGCACAGTAATCTGTGGTTGGTGATAGATCAGAAGGAAGTCCCGGTCATGCATCTCCATTCAATCGTTTCTTTGTTTCGCGCCAACTCATCTAGTTCAGGGGAGAGAAGGTGGTGCAAGAGCCGGTGGGGGCGCAAGTGCAGCGAGATCCGCAAGTTGTTTCTCAGCGGCTTCCTTGACTGCAATCTGCTGCTTTTGCTCTTCCTCTGGGAGATTCTTGAAAACCGCAATGTTGTAGTCCCATAGCTTGACACACTCGGGATCCCAATTGCACTTCTCAACTTCTCCGAAGACGGGATGGCTGAACCGTGGGTGGTTTGATGGCCAGGATGATGCGTGGTAGTGGTGCTTGACAAGTGCTGTTCTAGCATTGTGGTTTCCAGAGTCCGAGTGGCCTTGTCCTGCTGCGAATGCTTCAACAGTGAGGACGAGGACACCGCCAACCAGCTTAGATTCGTTCATGTCGTGGAAGACACTCCAGTCCACTGTAGATTTCTCCTTTTTGCTCATGGCTTCCAGAACTGCAATCGTGAAAGCCGAAGGCCCCGTACCACTGATGACCTCGTCGAAGTCGAGATGAAGTTCGGAGATTGGTACTCCTTGCTGTCTTGAGAGGTCGTTGAGCCATGCTAAGATGTTGTCAATCAGTTTCAACATGACTGGTAGACGTGGCTTGCACATGAATGTCCATTGACAGAAAGATTGTGATTTCTTGCCGAGAATTGCATGCTCCTTGAACTCTGGCTGGTCGATCTCAACACTGATAACCATGTCGATGTCTCCTTCGTCGTATCGATCTGGAATAAATCGCTTGATGGGCTTCAATGCCTCAACATCAATGTCTGCATAGACTCCACCCTCTACGTACATAACGAGATACCGCAACAGATCGGCTTTGATAATCTTTGCGGTTAGTGATCGGTACGTTTCGACTATGTCTGGTCGATTGAATCCATCTGGTCCGAAATGTGTCTCGACATAGTACAAGTCATTGTTGTCAGTCAAGACTTCGTATCGATAACTTGGATTCTTGGCTGTCCACGTCTTTGCTGTATCCGAATCTCGCACGTCAAAGTTCAATGGATCCACTTTCCACGTTTGCCATATCTTCTTGGGGAATTGCGTTCCCAATCCTGTGGAGAGGACTTTCTGTGTTGAAAAGCTTCGCTTGAGGTTCTTCGGACTCGCTCTCTTCATCGACGACCCGATTGAGTCGGCATTGGAGATGATTGTGATGAATAGAATGACTGCGATATATATAGGAAGAGCTCTTCGAATCTGTTTTGGAAGACGGTTTCCATAGGTCATCTTGGGTTGCATCGTGGTGTCAGGCATAGCATCCAGCTGTAAGGTTGAGGCACACAGATAAGATGGGAGAGAAGAAGGTTATCGTTATTTTTCTGTGAGCTTGTGACAACTTCCCCGAGCCATGCGATAGCGGGGACTCCCTTGTATCCCATCAAGGGTCTGTTATCTAGCCTGAGGGAGAAGCTCTGTGGAGAATGGGAAAGGGAATCCGAGGTCCACTCTGCCGTTCTCGAGAACTGCTTAGTGACGTATCACTGGGTACACAGTTTAAAGACGGCTGGGACGATCGCGATCCGATGTTTGAGGGTGTGGGACAAACATACAAATATGGCTGAAAGTCCGTCCCAAGTCTGCAGCGGTCGAGGATCTGCCCCTGGCAGTTAGTGCTGATCGCTGGGAGGGGGGATTAAGCAATTTGGAAGTTGTGTAACGGCTCATTTGTGGAAGGAGGGTTTCACCGACTTCACATGATGACTCAAGGTTACAAGGGGCAAAAGGTCCATTATTAACACAGGTGCATGTCAAGCTGGTCCGCCAATTTCCGCTGTGAGCCAGGCCAGAGATATCAACGGCAGAAGCTTGCAGTTCAACGAAATACATCTTGCAGTAGACTTGTCCACTTCCAGCTTATCTTATCACAGAGACGTCTAGGAGTGACCGCTCCTAAATAATGCATCAGTTAAGCCACGTCACGCATGTGTAATATTTGAGTTCTACGAGTAACCTAGAGTTCTTACAAGCACCATTGACCAATGGCATAGTTGGAGTAGCTCATACCTGATAGAGTATGGTTACCGGCATTAGTCAGATTCCGGATTGGACGAGAAGGCAAAGAGAAGCTCTTGATATCTAGGTTTAGGCCGATCTCTTTCGTAAAGTCCAAGAGTATGAAGCATCTGTAGTTGATTGGTAGAATTGGGCATGTACCTCGGACGCACAAGCGAGGATAAAGGGGCTAACAATGCGGGGTTAAGCGATCCTTCCCCCAGCCGGTAATGGATCCGAAGAGCAACACAGAACAACGATAGGGCGAGTTGGACTTAGTCAGGGCAGATGCTTGTTTCGCACTGCCGAACACAGCGATAAGCAGTGCAAATCGCGGCTATATATGCTTTCCTGAGCTTTTGTTCCTGCACACCTCCTGCACCTGGCTCGGGAACGTTTTCTCGACAGGGACATGGCAATTTCGAGTTGCAAGGTGCCCCGCAGCGTTACACTCGTCAACCTCGGGAGCCGCCACCATCTGATTGTTGGGAGTGCTCACCACATGTGATAAGTATGGTACCCTAGTCTGGGTGTACAGATTGCCATACAAATGTCCTGAAGCAATTGACGCCATTTGTGTACCCGTCTTTAGACGATCCGCATCTCCCGAGTACAGACCTCGGCGATACTCTCTGACCCATGTGGCCCAACTTAGGCTTGTGATAGACATTGCGTCCACAAGCCGCCACACGCGGCCTCAACGATTGATGAAGCTTGCTAAATCTCCGTTGATGATATCGGCAGTGCGTCCCGCAAGACCTCGTGCCTTGGCAGTCTTCGTGCACACACTTTCTTCCAAGGAGCACGAGAGCAGCGAGAGTGAAACACAATCTCAACAGCATGCCTTCGCTTCCTCGTTCTTACACTTTACCAACAAGCTTCAATATGCCTTCTAAGAAAGACAGCATCTTGGATGCAGGTAATTGGGACGAGATCAAGCAAGATGTCCCACCTCTTTCTCCAATCCGACGCGGGCGATCGAAGACCTGGTTTCTGGATATCTTCAGACCATTGTGTATGAGCAAGACGGGCGATCCGGTCAAGAAAGCAAGGAGAACAGCTTATCTTGACGGTCTTCGAGGATTTGCAGCTTTCATGGTCTATTGGCACCATCACCAACTCTGGGCTCATCAAACAAACAAGACCGATGAAGTTCTTCAGCATGGATTTGGATACAACAATGAGCATCACTTTGCAAGCATTTCAGGCATTCGTACATTATTCTCCGGTGGCCATTTCGCTGTCTCGATCTTCTTTGTCGTTTCAGGATACGTCCTCTCCGCGAAACCGCTATCTCTCATTCAGTCTGCTGAGCACAGCAAGCTTGGAGATAATCTATCTTCGGCTCTATTTAGACGATGGCTACGACTTTACATTCCAGTTATTGCAACGACGTTTTTGTACATGACTTCCTGGCATCTCTTTGGACTCTGGACCGATTCAGAACACAAAGGTACCTATGGAGAAGAAGTCTGGAATTGGTATGCCGAGTTCAAGAACTTTAGCTTTATCTTTACAGGCGGCGGAGAACCTTGGCTGAGTTACAACTTCCACGTTTGGTCCATTCCCGCCGAGTTCAGAGGTTCAATTGTCATCTTTACAGCACTTCTATCTTTCTCGAGAGCTACCAGGAATGCTAGATTGTGGTGTGAAGCAGGACTTATCTTTTATTTCATGTACATTGTGGATGGAGCTTTCTGCGCCATGTTCTGTGCTGGAATGCTGATCTGCGACCTCGATCTTCTTGCCGACAGAAACAAGATCCCAGAAATGTTCACGCGTTTCGAGCAATTCAAAGAACTTATTTTCGTCAATTTGTTTGTTGTCGGGATCTACCTTGGCGGCATTCCCAATCATGACGGAAAGTTGGATGAGCTGAAGAAGGAGAAGGGATGGTACTACTTATCATTCTTGAAGCCACAAGCTGTCTTCGATTACAAGTGGTTCTACCTTTTCTTCGCAGCTACGTTCATTGTGGGCTCGATATCACGGATACCTCTGATCAAGAGCTTTTTCGAGATGCGATTCAATCAGTATCTTGGTCGCATCTCGTTCTCTCTTTACCTCGTTCACGGACCTGTCCTGTGGACCCTGGGTGATCGACTTTACGCTGCTACGGGCTGGTTCAGAGACGTCCATCAAGGTGGAATACCGAATTGGGTCAATGCTTTGCCAATGAGTAAAGCAGGACCTCTGGGCATGGAAGTGGGTTTTCTGGTACCACACTTGATTCTTCTGCCAGTTACTTTCTGGCTTGCAGAGCTCGTCACCAAGCTCTTCGACGAACCCAGCGTCACATTCTCACAATGGCTGTACGGAAGGACTTTGCGAGGTTCAAAATTGTAGAGTTGTGTTTGATTACCTAGACATAGAAAGAACATAGATTATCGCAATCAAAACGTGCAGCATCTCTGGATATCGTGAGATGTACAAATTTGCCCAATGTGACGATAGCAATAAATCATCTCGGATTATTTTCTCCAGCTTCCAATTTTGAGCTATGATCGGCTTCACCACTTTCCCTGTCGAGCGTACCTTATCAACGTGAGCAAGGTTACCACACATTAGTGATGTTCAGTAGTACAGACGAACAAGGGATGAGTGGGGCACCCCGGTATGTACCGAGGGTGGCGGAAGGTCCTGGTTGAATGTCGATCTCGGCCGTTCTGCAGCTAAGACTGCAATATGAGGACGGCGTCACATGTACTTCACAGGGGACTCCTGCTATCGATCGACATCTCAACCAGTTTTCGAATTCCCATCCTGAACCCCGCGAGCTTGAGATCTAAGCTTTCTCCCTGAGTGATTTCACCCTGTATTTTACTTTATCCAGAATTGCTTGGAGCTGGAGAAGCTTCCATATAGGCGTTGTCAAGATGATTTCTCGTCCGATTGCAATTGTTGCAGCGATTCTCATTATTTTTACTTTTGGGTTGTACCATAATTCAGGACTGATACCGAAGTCCACGAGCTCGACAATACCTGCAAAGGCTGCTACGTCGCCGACAAAACCAAGTAGCAAGTCAGATTCCAATGCAGAGCTAGGAGTTCCTCATGCAGAGACATATTTTGAGCAAGTCTTTTCAGAGCGCAAGCCTCCCCAATACGATTTCCCAGCGTTGAAGCAGCAATGCGAACGTACGAAATGGCCGGAAGACGAGGTGTATCTTCAATGCGGCGGCATGGCAGCAGGACTTACCTCCATCATGTCACAAGTCAAAGTCTGCTTGAAGATGGCTGTCGAAGCAGGAACAGGCATTGTCCTCCCATCAATGCCTCTCAGAGACTCCAAGCAACTCGATAACTTCAACTTCCTCAATGGCGAAGCATACTTGACATACGATCAGTGGTTCGACGCCGAGCATCTCATTTCTCAAATGAACCGCGCTTGTCCACAAATGAAGATTGTCCATCCGAATCAACTCGACGCACTGACCGAAGACGGAGTCCAAGTCAAGAACAAATGGTCTATAGACCTCGCTCAAGCCCCCGGATACGTCCAATTCATGTCCTACTTCTGGGCTGGCCGACCCTTCAAATCCTTCTTTGAAGAACAACTCGGTCGTCTTGAAAATCTGCAGCAGCTAGATCCACACCACGATGATACGAAAAAAGGAATCACCATCATCAACATTTCTTCCCAATTCCTCGTTTTCAGAATAACGGACGACCCAACAGGCGAAGATCTCCATCTCTGGAACGATCTCGGACACTTGATCCGATTCAACGAAGTCCCGCGCAAGATCGTGAACCAACTTATTAGGCAAATCAACCGCCCATTCTACGGCGTCCATTTCAGAGTAGAAAAGGACACCATCTGGTCCTCGCTCGAGAACCAGCTCGCAGTCGACTTGGACGCTCTCGACACAGCTTGGACCAAGTATGGCGACAAGAACTCCCCCAAACCTCTCGTCTACCTCGCATGCGGCGACCAAGAACAAGTCGAGAAATTCGTCGCAGAAGGAAAGAATCGCGGTTGGGACGTAACTCACAAATGGAATCTCGCTTCTACCTCTCCCGAGACGCTGAGCCTGATCAATGGGTTGGCGTTTGATTTCCAGGGTGCGGTTGATATGGGACTCATGGTGAAGAGTGAGTTCTTCTTGGGGATTACGGGAAGTGCGTTTAGTAGCAGTATTGGCAATGTGAGAGATAGGACGGGGAGGTACCGCGGGAGCAGCTTCTTGGTGTGGGATGACGAGGGAGCGAGGACGCATTTGTTTAATGACGGAGATGCGGGGAGTTATGCTTGTTGTTTATGAGGGACTCGTCTTGGAATGACAGTCTGATGTGTTGGACGAGGCTTGGGAGGAGTTTTTGGCGAACTTGGCGTTTGGGGAAGAAAGGTTGGAATATTTGCTGTAATGGATACGACTATATAAGACGAATATCATCATAGATGAACACTTATCAGCCTATTTCCGTCGTACGTCTTGAGACAAGAAGGAAAGCTTACACAGGAAAAGCCTCACGTGAGCCCCACGTGAGCCGCATTCTGGATCCCGTTGCACTTGATAGGCCAGACCTTCATCTTCCTACCTACCGGTTGGTGATTGACTATTGTAAGTCAAAGACCCGAGATGCCCTCACTTCAATGGTTGATCGGCTGACTTGTCGGTAACCCAGTATCAAGTGAGCCTGCTGTCACAATGCATCACATCGAAAAAGGGCAACCAAGCATTCGCCCCTGCATCAAGTCGGATCCGCTTCAGCAAAAGCATATAGCAAGTGCCTCTCCCACCTCCAATTTTCCTCTTCTTCTCGCACATTTTCTTCCTTCTCAACCTTATTTTCGCAACTCAATCACGCTAGTTCGCCCTATTCTTCAACTTGCAGCCGCCACATTTCGCCCTCTCCACTTCAGGAACCAACAACATGAACAATATGGACAACAACGGATACTATTCGTTCAACGAGAACGCCCTTCCTCATGCCAGCATGAATCCGTTCGAGCAGCAGTTCCACAGCGCTACTTCTTTTGCCCAGGTTTCCGACGGCAACTTCACGGCTGGGCAGACCGCTGCCAACGAAGCCTTCACCGCTGAAGGTGCGATGAGCTTTGCGGATTCCTATGCTTTCGACGAGAACGCGCTGCCCCAGCCTGCTACGAACAATCTCTGGCAGCCAATGTCCAATACGTACCAAGAAATGGTCCAAAGCCAGTATGCCTTCGATCAATCCGCTCTTCCTCAGCCGGCCCTCACGAACGCTTTCGACTTCGACAATTCGGCTGGACCATGGGATGCGCTCAATCAGCAGGCCTTCGAACAGACCCTCACCGACATGCAATCGCTGGACTGGTCAACTGCGAACGCCCTCTCGAGTGACACGACGGGAGGCTGGCAACCGGCTTTGCTGACTGGTTCGGATATTGACGCCCCTTTCGAAGTCGACGAATCCGAGTGAGTTTTTTTTTTAGATGTTGAAGCTAATTTGCCCCTTTTTTTGCTTTCATAGTGCCAACGAATCACCTCATCTACCGATCCGCACTACAGGAAACAGTCATGTATTCATGGATGCGGCTCTGAAGTGCACATTTCCAGGCTGCGCAAAGACGACCTCTTTCAAGACCGAAAAGCTTCTCATGACCCACGTTGAGAATATTCATACTTTCCCATTATATTGCACCCAGCCTGGCTGTCCTTATCGTCGCCCATTCCCCAGGAAAGGTGACCTTGACCGGCATCTTGCCTCAAAGCACGGGATTGGCCGCCTGTTCAGATGCCCTCGACTGGATTGCCCAAGACACAGGCGCCCATATGGCCGTAAAGATAAGCTCAGAGATCATGTGAATGATTATGCACACGGCATAAATCATTGTCAATATGATCATTGCTTGCTGAAGAGCGAACGTGGTCTTTTTTGCCAGACCGATGTCACCAAGCATGAGCAAAGCTCTAAACATGGAGAGTACGAATGCAGCATCGGTGACTGTGCAGGGTCAAACTCTCACTTCACCAAGCAAGGGCTGTCGTTCCATTTGTCCTCGCACAGAATTGGGCCTAGGGAAGTCGATATCGAGAAGATGCTGAAGCCAGGCAAACATGTACTCAGATCTGAGGACATCAACCAACTCGTATACTCGGACAAAACTAAAGCCACCTCCTGCGTTGATGCATATCAGAGCAAAAGCTGCACCGCTTAAAGGACACCAGGTTCTCATTCTACTTGAATCGTAATGAGAGTTGGGTGTATGAATCTAATGAGGGTATTGCGGTTCTTCTCATAACAAATTCTGCTCTTCGTGTCTTCAGCCATCTGATTTCTTGGCATTCAGATAAGATGCAACCTCGAGATGGAGATGGATTTTCTTTCAGTCTGTTCATGACTTTAATGTTCACCAGTCCCTCGCTTCGACTCTTCCTTTGTTCCATTTGTGTTTTGCTGGAAGGTTGATTGGCAGGATGTACACACACTCGTTATTAGATAGCAATATGAATTTTCCTCTGGTCGCGATTTTGATGACGTTGACATCGAACGTGAAAGATCCCAAGCACACTAGTGCATCTGTAATAGCATCGGATAGTACACATAAATAGCAATGTCTGTCATTCACTCTCCTCAACCAAGCAAATTGCAGCTTTATGGGAAATCGAAATCGTGAAGCAAAGAGTTACAGCCTTTATTGTTTGAATGTAGTACTAGCTGGAGCCCAACAATTTCCGAAGAATTCAACTGCAAAAGCTCATCGACAGCATATGTCCCATACTCAAGCCGACCACATTGCTAAAGCAACATATTCTCCCCATCACTCTCACCACCTGACAACAGAAACTCATCTTCCTCTTCACCATCCCATCCGTCACCAAACAACATCTCATCCGTCTCCCTCTCAATCGCCAACCTCTCACGCTCAGATTCATCTAGAAGATCAAGCTCATCTTCATCGTCGCCATATAGCAAGTCATCGAAATCATCGTCTGATGTGAAGTGCGCTAGGATTTCGTCCCAATTGCTGGAGCCTGGGTTCTCATCCTCAAGCAAGTCGGGGCTTGAGTCCGAATCTTGAGATTTGGAGGAGACATCTGTGGCGGGTTTGGGTTCTTTCCATAGTTTTCGAGTAGCGGGAGGATGGTATAGGGTTCTTTGCATCATGCTGAACAGGCTTGTTTGAATGACGCGGGACAAGCTATCGGATCCGTCGACGTTGTCGCTGGGGTCTTCCCCTACTAATGGCGAGATGGGTATTGAGGCAATTTGTTCCAACTTCTTCTTTAAGCTCGGTGATTGGACATTCTTCGGTAAGGTCACAGAAAGTGCGATGGTAATGGTTGGAAGAAAACGAGAATGGTGAGCCATTAGCTAGCGTATGTCAGCATTGTCAATTGCAGTACAGTACCGGCATACCTCTCGGTACCCAGGATTGAACATGGTAGGTACGAGCTGAGATAAGGATGTTTCTGGGACGGGTTTCTCGATTTTGACTTTGAGTGGTAGTTGGATCTTGGGATAGTATCCTCCGATGAAGGTTTGCAAGGCTCCATTAATCAACTCGCAAGCTACGGTAAGGTCTAAGGGCTCGGATGAAGGGTGTTGAGAAGAGATCTCCGAAATGGAAGAGGCGGCAGTTGAGAATATGGATGCTTTGGAGATGGATTCAGTATCTTCGCTGCATTGAGACCAGAGACCGGGAATGTCTTCTTCGAGGGATTCGACCTGTGAATGGACTGCTGAGAATAGCATTTCTTCCTCGTCCTGAACGAGCGATGCACCAGAAAGCTTGTGTCTGGATTTTGCCATCCAATTACTAATCTGGCCTGGGAGTGCGGTCAGTAAATGTGAGAGCGGATTTGGAATCTGTAGTCACTTTTCTTGAGACCCGTCTGTTTCATCAAATCCTGCTTTTCTATGTTTGTCGGGTAAGGATGAAGAAGATGAGACCTGAACCATGCTTCCAAGATACCCACGACTTCTTTGGGATACCGTCTGTACATCGATAACTTCTCACTAGAAGTGGACCGCGAGAGAACCTTATTATGGTTGGTTTCCATTGCCAATTTTGAGGGTACAACCTTCGTTCCACTACCATCAAGCCGAGGAAGAATGGGTTGAAATTGCCCGAAGTTAGCCGCAACGACCAGAGGAAGGCTGCTAATCCTCCTCACAGTGTTCTCAAGTTGTAGTAGATGGTCGGTCTTTAGCTTGCGGTCCTGGTCAAGTAGCTCGGCGTCTTGTTGAAGTTGCTTGGCCGGATTCTGTGGCTTTGCTGGTACGTCGATTGTGAAAAAATTCAACAGGAGTCGTATCGTTTCCATCTCTGCCTTGAGTATCTCGTCTGGAGGACTGACATCCGTTTTGTCCAATAGAAAACCCTTGAGTCCTGCTTTCATCGCTTGTGGATGGCCATGCTTGAGGGTAATCGACACATCGGGTCCGAACGATCGGGAGAAGGGTATCGTGGGGATATCGAGACCTGGTAAGAGAGAGAGCTGATTCCATATCTGCGAGAATTAGCAAATCATTGATACTAGCAGAAATAGACATCACCTTGGCATCTTGAACCCGTTGTCCAAGACCCTTCCGAAAAGCTGCCCGCACCGTTTCATCCAGTGGCTTACCATCTAATAGAATTGTAATATCCAGAGAACAACCTCTACCTCGTGATGTCCATATGTGTCCAGATATCAATGCTTTGAGAATATCAGCATCGCGGAGGCTGGGAAGAGATTGTGGTAGCTGGAACGATACAGCGCAACTGGCTGACAGCTGTATCCTCTCTGCGGAGTTGGTCAAAGTGACCTGCCCCAGTTCTAGCCCATTCGAGGACATAATACTTGGTACTTTTGCGCTCTCCGAATAATTGCCTTCACAGAGTTCGTAGCCAAATATCGGAGGACTTTGACGGAGGAAGAACGTGGTAAGAGTGGAAGAAGATATTTAGAAAAGGAGAAAATAGAACTGTTTGGAAATGTCAATTGGAGTGTGTTAGTATGTTATAGCATATCTTCGAGTCGTGGCAGACCCTGGATCGTGATCATTGCGATTGATGGAGTTGATGTTTGTTTGCTGAGCACTTGTCGAGATTCGTCCGAACTCGGGATTTCAATGTTCCACCCAAAGTTCTGCCATCCGCGACCGCCCTTAAATTGAAGAAGAACGCTCATCCTCCGCTATCCAGAAACTCCCCACTGCCCCGAATCCATCTTTGGTCAAGCCCAGAAGCCCGCCGGGAAACCATGACGCTGCACCTCTGCCGATAACCCGAACACCACGATTCTTGGCTGGAAAATTGATACGAGTAACCTACGAGACACACGCACACCCACGAGACCAGCAAAGCCCAGAACCTGCATATCAAGCTCCTCCACCACGCCCACCATGGCGCTCAGCAATGTCGGATCAATTGTCCTCAATCTTCTCATCTTCATCACTACCCTCGTCAACTTCAGCTACGCCCTCACCTCCATGGAACCTTTGGTTCTTATCGCCCTCTACGCTATCTCGAAGATCTTCGTCACTCCGCCTGAGACGGGTATCTTCGCAAAATGCCAGCACAAGGACCTCTACCCCGACGGATGACAAGAATAGTTCCCGAAAATGGCTACGAATCACCTCAATCCCCGGAGAGCAGCGGATTCTTCTTTGGAAATGGCATAATCATAGATGGGGAGCGGAGAAGAAGGAACCCGTTCGGTGATAGCAACGAAGATACTGCAGCGGATGACACTGTTGAAGAACAGGATACAGCGGCAGAATGCCAGCAGATGGAACAGCAGAATGAAGACGCTCCTGCGCAGAGGATTGTCGGGTTCCGTGACCGTGTTGGATCCTTCACATGGACATGGTTTACGATGACAATGGCTACAGGAGGCATTGCTAATGTTTTGCATTCAAGTAATGGACTTGCTTCTACCTACAAGTTCTCCTCTGACGATGTGCAGTTCCATACCGCTCTGACTGGCTCAAGATCCTCGGCGTGATCGTGTTTCTGTTTAACCTGGTCTTGTTTATTCTGAATTGCTCATTAATCACATTGAGGTTCAGATGGAATCCCGGGTCGTTCACAGGATCTTTCAAGAGTCCTTCGGAGTCCCTGTTCATTCCTGCCTGTGTAAAGCCTCCATTCCCAGTATCTATACCATGTAACATCTACTAATGCATTTACAGGTTGTCTCGTACGCAAAATCAGTGTGCTACAAACCTTCGAAGACTGACTTGTGGACAGAGTTGGGACGATCCTCATTAATATGAGCCAATACGGCATTGCAGAAACAGGAGAATGGTTCCAGACGGTCATGCAAATCTGCTTCTGGGCATATGCTGTATTGAGTTTCGTCGCAAGTTCTGGGCTCTACCTTATCATTTGGTCTACACAGCATGTCTACCTACCATTGACCCAATCTGATGCTAATCCTTATCAGAACTTTTCCAATTCACACAATGACGCCTATCTGGATCTTCCCAGCATATCCTCTCCTTCTTATGGGACCTTTTGCAGCAAACTTAATCGATGCCCTGCCCAATTCCGCCGCTGCGACTCGAATCAATTCTGTTGCCATAACTTTCGGAGCTCTTTGCATACAAGGAACGGGGTTTCTGGTCAGTTTGATGATTTACAGTGCTTTTATCTATCGTCTCATGACCCAAAAGCTACCACGAGAGACCACAAGACCAGGCATGGTAAGAACTACCTTGCTACATCCCTGTCCCCAATCACTGATGCTTTTTAGTTCGTTTCTGTTGGACCCAGCGGCTTTACAGTGGCAGGTATCGTCCATCTAGGGAATACTGTCATTCCTAAAGTCATGCCAAATGGATTTGAGGGCAATGGTGATGCGGCATTTATCATCAAATTGCTGTCAGATCTAGCAGGACTTTGGATGTGGGGGCTATGTCTTTGGTTCTTTCTTGTCAGCATTGGAGCGCATTGGCAAGTAATGCAGCCGCGGCATCCAGAGCATCACATACGATTCGATATGACTTGGTATGTCAGCTCACGAAGAATGGAATTTAAAAGCTAAATCTACTCAGGTTTTCCTTCGTCTTCCCGAACACCGCCTTGGTGACAGCAACACAGGCTCTAGGAAAGTCCCTCGATTCCAATGGCCTAAAGATATTCGGCACTGTCATGGCTGTTATCCTAGTCGGGGTCTGGCTATTCGTATTCGGCATGATGATAAGGGCATTCTATCTCCGTCGACTGTTGTGGCCAGGAGAGATTGATGGAGCGGAAGCTTCACGACGAAGATGGATCGGGAAGGTTGAAGAAGCTGCTGCGAATGGGGCTAGCAGATTGCGGCATAGCAATGATACTAATCCATAATGCAGCATGAATAAAGTGATCGTTGATTTCTCGAATATCGGCCCTCTGCGTGATTATTCTCCTTGTCGCAAGTGCGATTATATCGGATTATCGATGGTTTATAATCATCTGCGGACAATTGTCGGAGATCTCAACCATCAGCCGTTCTTTTCGAACTATCAAATCCCGAAAAGTCGATTTATCTGCGTGTCATTCTGATGTGTAGAAGCAAGTGTTGGTGTAATTAAGCTTATCGCTCCTGTGGTGAAATGTTGCACAGCATGCGGCTCAAAACCCAGGTGACCAACCAATACAGTAGTGCTGTGTGACCTATTAGCCTGCCAATGATGTTTAGGCTGGTTCGGTCTCCTCCTGTCACACGAATAGACTGGCATTAGGGTGCTTCAGCTTTGAGACCCTCTAGCAGACATTGTATCATCTAGCGCCGTTTGCTCGAAAGTCTCCCAATCACAAGCCACCTGGCTTATCTATGCATTGCGACACTGAGATAATTTCTGGAACGCGAGAAATAGTGCACTTTCTGACTGAATGCGGTCGATAGGAATTTTTTCCCTGCTATTGTTGAGTTCAAGTACTTTTCTGGTACGCTAATCGCGGCTCTTACACAACGCACAAATTTTTGGAAATTCGAGCATCTGCCCTCTGTACAGGTAACCAGATCTGGAGATATGTTTACGGATATGATTGTTTCACACTTCGAATCTTGGAAGTTCACACAGAAGAATTTGTCGTGATAATCAAAATCCGAACATTGTGGACGAAGTCGTTTCGTCGCATGTATTATCTTCCTATAAATCTACGTCAAGTTGCTTCATTTTCATGCTAGACTTAATTCATGTTATAATACATCACGAATACATCACGGGAACGCTATCAAACATGCCCGCCCACCACCTCAATACCATTCTGTCAACGATGACCCTATCGTTGCAACTGCACATTTTTGACGTCAACAAACTCGAGGTTTAAGGAGGAGAGTAAGACCAGATATTCATCCCTCAGCTTCCAACCTTTACAACACTCTCGTTCATCGTCTTCAAAGCACCTAAAAATGAAGGTTTCATTCGTTACTGTCCTTGCCTTCGCGGCTTTGGGCAATACTCTTCCTCCTCCTGACGATACGGCTACTGCCCTCACTTCTTCCGATTCTGCGACGAGTGGACAGACACCTGACCAGTTTGCAACTCCCGACATCACTTGCTCCCGAGAATGATTACCCGGAAACCTCATCTCCAGAACTTACGATCCCTGATCCAACAGGCGATGAAGCAACGGACACCGACCTCGCTACCCCGGATCTCCCTCCCTCAGAGGCGATACCCTTCAGATCTCCCCTCCGCCTCCACGGACTCCACAGCCGCACCATCTCTGGCTCCCATATCGATAGTACTCAACCTCATAAACTCGCAACCCACAAACTCAACCCAGACCTCCAACACCGCAGAACCCCCCAACACCGCCATGTGCCGCTACAGCGACGTCGGCGGCGTCTTCACCGGCTGGCGCGTCTACACCACGGGCAACTGGACCGGCGACCACGGCAAGGAGCTCCACTCGAAACTGAAAAAGCGGTGCGGCGGCATCGTGCAGTGGCAGTTCCGGTACGAGAACAAGACTCTGAATCAGTGGAATAATGATTTTTGGGGGAGTGGGGACGGATTGGCGGATTTCAAGACGTGGAAATTTCATACCAAGTGGTGTGTCGAGAGGGCGGTTAGGGATGCGACGAAGAATGCGCCGGGGGGGTTATCGGGTGGGGAGAAGGCGATTGAGTGTAAGCATCTGGTTTATATTGATACGGAGGATACGCGGATGTGAGGGGGCTTTGGGTACTAGGGAGGGCATTTGTTCTGTGTACTGGCCTGGTTAGTAGAAAGCCGTTGGGTGCCGCTACCGAGCTTTGGAATTTCAGGGATTTCAGTGTGTTGAACTTGTACTAGGAGCGGGTAGACTAGAGGTACCACATAATAGTCCTATGGCTGTAATATATGATCTCTATCCATATCTTTATTCCTTTCTCTTCTTCCACTTCCTTTCAGCACATACAAAACACACTCAACAAAGATTGCACACAGAACGCTTCAAGCAAATCATCGCACCTTTTTCCAGCACCTGTTCCAACTCCAAAATGAAGCTCACAACCCTCATCGTGGCCGCTCTTTCTGCTAGTCTGGCTTTAGCTCGTCCCTACGACAATCGACTTGCAGACAAACCCTCGTCTCTCAATGGAAACACTCCGTCCAACGACCTTGTTGAAATCAAACACGGCAACGAGAATAACACAGCTCTCTGCGCCTTCGAAACGTTTGCTTTTCGTCCGGGCTCCGATCCTATGCTCCAGTATCATCAGTGGTATATATGGGCCAACGGCCCTTGGGTCCGACGTGAGCACGCCCTCTCTCGGCTTTCTCCCACTTCCATCCTTTGTCTTAGATTAGCATACTGACACTGCAGGATCTTCTAGCCACAGAAAGATACGACGACGCTGGACACGCACTGAAATATGGTACAGCCTTCAAAGAAAAGCTCCATGCCAAATGCGGTTGGGTAGATGATTTCCAGTTCCAGTACGGAAACTCTACTATACAAGAGTGGAATAATTCAAAGTATTCCAATGGCGAGGCGCTGATATCATTTATAACCCTGGTTCCTACGTGGCATCATTGCGTCAACGGGGGTATTGCGGAGTTTACCAGAGACCATGGTGGACTTGCCAATAACGGAAGAGCAAAGGGCGGGAATTGTCACTGTGAGTTTTATCCTGATGCTGTGTTGAGAACAAAATCTTCAGAGAGGGGTATTGAGACAAGAACGTAAACGACTATGACTCGTTCGTCGCTCTGAAAATAGTTCCAGCTCCCAGAATGCTCTTATAACTTTACAGTGCTGATCGGTTGGTAGATATCACGGAGGGATATAGAGACCTTCAGCAAATCAAAGACAGGGCTTGGGAATGGGACCTCCTCGATCATTGACCGGGGTATGAGACGGAGAATTCCAAACAACTCTTGGATCTGAAGAATTTTGATTGGCAGTAATGAATCATTTCAGGAAGGCTGAGAAAACTGCTCTGAAGAGGCCAACAAGCAAGTGTCTGCGAAGATCTTGAAACGCTTGGTTCAGGATGGAAGTATTTATGCCTGGGATCAGATTCTCCGCTTTGCATGTATATATTGTTAGCATTTGATTCGCTGTCACTACTTGACTGCCTGCCTGATTTTTTCAAATGGATTTTTACCAGTGCCTGTTTTCGTGGAAGATTTTGGAAAGGGCTCAATCGCTGTATGCGCTGAGTGCGCGGAGTGCGCTGGACGCGCTGCATGAACCAGACAAGCAGAATGAACACGAACAAGATCTCGAAGTACAATCTCCAGCGACCTTGATAACAAAAAGCTTCAACGTTCTCGACGATCCATGTATCTTGCTTGCGGCAGCTTGCCACGTGAGTAGATATGCCTCACTCTCGAGGTCCATTTGACCTCTAATCTCCTTCGGCAGCTGATCTTCCTTCCACGAACTACTTGGCCTCCGAGCTTCGTCGTTCGCTCGGAATTCCTATGCCATTCGAATCTCGTCTTCTCATAGCGAGCTTGGCACTGGTCAAAGTCGTCGCAAATTATGACAAAAGCGAGAGCAAGAAAACATAGACGTCTCTCCAATTTTCGAAATTGGAAAGCTAAGAACGTCTCATGCGCGCGAGGAGAAGCACACAATATCGCAAGGGGTAGCATCAACGGAATCGCTTTTGGAGGCATTTGTCTATCGCGCCACGAAGAGGATTGAACGACCGATATGATAAATAGGCAATGCTGCATCTATGATCTAGGCTCAACTTTAAGCACAAGTCTAGAGGTGTATCAAACGTCTATGAAGCAACGCAGCACAAATCTAATCCCCTCTATTTCCCAATCTCCTGACTCCGTTTCGAACTCGCAATGACCGCCTTACTAAAAGCATATCTCGCTCTATCCTCCTCCAGACTTAACAATCCATCAATAGTCGTCCCTTTCGGACTACTAAACTTCTCCCTCAACACCGCCGGATGCTCTCCGTTCTCCAACAGCGTCGCCAAACTGAACAGAGCCTGCGTCAAGATCTTCTTCGCATCCGCTCTCTTGAGTCCTTGACTCACTGCGCCGTCCAACATGCCGTCGAACGCCACGGAGAGCAGGGCACCGGATGCGCCGGCCATGACTCCGCCGATATCGAACAGTTCTGGGGCTACTGATTGGATTTTGCCGCATTGCAGGAAGATCCAGTCTGTTAGTTCGTTGTAGGAGGGAGGCATGTCTTCGGTGGTTTCGATGACAGTCATGCCTGCGCCGAACTCGACTGCTATATTCATCATTGCTCGCTTGATGTGAAGCGCGCCTGCCTTGTTGGTGATAGTACCCTTCCCAAAAGGTTGGCACAGACGGATCGCATCCTCCAGCTTTTGAACCGGAGAGCCTACCAAGACACTGATTACGAGTTTGCCTAGCAAAGCTTCATAAACACCCTCATTTCGGAGGACTTTGTCAACCATGTAAGGTTTGAATGCCAATAGAACGAGATCAGCCTCTTTCATCGCCGTGACATTGTCTCCCCGAATAACTTCGATTCGGTCTTGGAAGCGTGATCGGAGAGCCGCAGCCGATCCTTCGCTCTGGACCGTTGCGATGAAGCGAGATATTCTGGGCTCGTCTCCTTGCGCTTGGGAAGCGGCACAAGCATTAAGAACGCCTGACAAAATGGCTGAGGCCATGGTTCCTATTGTTCACGGGTTAAGGTTAGTTTTCATTCAGTGGAGGCGAAGCGGAGGGAACGAACCGCAGCCAATGATTGCCAGGGTTTGCCCCGTTCGTGGGGATTCCTCATTCGTGGCCATGGTACGAGGTGAGAAGGTTGGACGTGACTTTGAGTCAGGGTTGTGAGAGATGATGAGATGAACGAGTCGTTTGACGTGTAACAGTCACGATAATCAAGATTCCCGTTGCCTGGTTTGATTCTGCCTGGGATGATGGCAGCTGAGAAGTGAGTGTGAGTGTGAGTGTGAATGAGTGACAGGATTTCTCTTTTTCTTGGAAGGATGCAAACGACAGGGCGTGAGAATCAGCATCTTGATCTTGAGTCTAAACGAGAGTGGGATTGGATCCGATTGGGAAGGACGACCCTTTGGCGAGACCGTTTGCTGTACTGTACCGAGCAAGAGCGACCTCATGGCGTGAACAAGAACAAGAACAAGAACAAGATGGAAGTCAAAGTCAACAACAATCATGGAAGGCAGACAATCAAAACTTGATCTGTTGTCAACAATCCATATCACATGAACGAGAAAGAAGGAATGCATTCGAGACCACCAGGTTTTCTCTCGCGCGACCATGTCTAGCCTCGTGATATTGGGCCAAATATAGGTCGACAAGGCTGAGCTGATGCCAACAACGACATGCCACATCACGGGCCGCCAACCTCGATTCGACCTCTTCACGTTTCAGATTCCAACTTGGCTCAGCTATACCGCGCACAATTATATGCTTCTTTTCCCGTATGGTGTATGGCACCACGTTGTGACTCGACAACTTTGTTCTTCGACTGCATCACCATGCATGTCATCGCTCAAAAGTTCCCAACCTCACTCACAACTATCCAGCACAAACATACATCACCACCTGCAGTAGCCAAGTTGTCCACCAACGCAACTCACCTCAACTCACCACCGCACGTTTATCATCGTACGGCACCGCCCTAACTTAGATCTGCCGTTGATGATGATACCTGCAGGAACACGTCGATCATTAAGGCCTGGCCCTTTTCGGCGGACGATATCATCTCCAAAGATTAAGGGAGGTTCACGTCAAGGCCCAGAAACATCCTTCACCCAACCACGATTCCTCCCAAAAAAGCGCAGCCCCCCACCGAACAGCCAACTGAGATGACCATCTTATGCGCACAACCCTGTCCTTACAGTACCCAGTACTGTACTCATCACCCATCATCCATCGCTGGGCGCGCTGGCAGGATGATTGTTGTTCGGTGATCCGCTGTGGTGGTGGTGGGTTCTTGCTACCGCCTTCGCCTACGCGGGACTTTTTCCACTGCGACAATGCGAAACCGAACAATTTGGCTCAATTCGACCAATTAGGGTCATTTAGAGGATCCCGGCTTGCACCCCCCCTGGCACTACCAAGAGGGCCATGTCGATGTGATTATTTCCCAAAACAATGCCATGTCTATTCACGCAGTCGGTGAGATTGCGGGAATTCCTTCACCTGTGTATAAGTATTTCACGATGCCTTTCTTTTGGTCGGCCCAGAAAGTACTGGGTTTTTGATCCTCTGTCAAGTACTTTCACTCTAGTTTTTTCTTACTCGCGCAAGAAATAATTCAAGATGTTGTTCTCGATACCTCGTACACTTGCAGTACTTACTACATCTATTGCTATTTCAAATGCCTTACCTCAGCCTCAACCCAAAGCTACACCACTTCCTCACACCTCTCCAAATCCAAATTTCCATCAGCTCTCAGAACGAAATCTTCAATCTCGAGCAACACAAACTCAATATGTTACCTATGCAGTAGCGGGCATCAACCAGTTGATGACATGGTACAACGCTGCCACTGGCCTTTGGTCTGGTGATTGGTGGAACTCTGCCAACGTCATCACCATGCTTGCTGATTTCCAAGACTACTTTCCCTCGATGGCAACTGGAATCACAAATTCTGTGTTCCCAACCACGCTTGCCAAAGCTCCTTCTACCTATGCTGGGTTCTTGAATGGGTTCTATGATGATGAGTTATGGTGGGTGTTGGCATGGATCAAAGTCTATGATGTTACTCAGGATGAGACTTACCTTACCACCGCCGCTGCTATCTTTGAGGACGCAAAGAGTGCTTGGGGTACCTCACCATGTGGTGGCTTATGGTTCGTCTACTCCCAATCACATGATCTGACTCAACTAACATATTCAGGTGGGACAAAGCACACACAGGTGTAGGAGCTGTTGAGAACGAACTGTACCTGACCGCGGCCGCCAAGCTTGCCAATCGGCGTCCGTCAACACCCAGCCAAGGCTACTACTACAACGAAGCCATCAAAGCCTACACCTGGTTCATCAACAGCGGTCTCATCAACTCCGGCAACACCATCAACAACGGCCTCGTCCTCTCAACCTGTAAAAACGACGGGAACCTAGTTTTCTCCTACAACCAAGGAATCCTCCTCTCCGGTCTTGCGGAACTCACGTGGGCCTCAGGCGATGACTCCTACAACGAGCTCGCAAACACCATCGCTACCGCCGCCATTGCAGCTCTCACCGACGCAAACGGCATTCTCCACGAACCCTGTGAAGCGACAGGTTGTGATGCCGATGAAGAACAGTTCAAGGGTGTCTTTGGACGTAATATCCAGTTCCTGGTTAATAGGGCGACCGTCCTGCCAGCTGCTACGAAAACGCTATTTGTCAATTTCTTAGAGGTTAATGCTAATGCTATCTGGGCCGATGATGAGGTTGATAATCAGCTGGGGTTGGTGTGGAGTGGACCGGAGGGGACGGCTACGGTGCAAACGCAATCTAGTGCCTTGGATGCTATTGTTGGCGCTGCTTGTGTTTCTTGAGTGCGGGGCGGGTTTCTTTTCCGGCGATGTTTGTTTATTTATTTGTTTGATACCCGGTTACCATTAATTGGTAATGTCTTCTGTTTATTTGGTGTTTTGGATTAGAAAATGGAAGGGCCTGGATGGAGGGAGGAATTAGAGTTAGGCTTTGGTTTGGATAGAGGGTCGCATGTAGATAAATGATACCTGGTTATGTACTGTACCTAGTTGGTAGTGTTACACTGTTACGAATTTATAAAGTATAAACAAACATCGCTATTCCGTTTTCCACGTGATGTGTTTTGAGAAACGGAGGAGAGGCTCGGCATCCGGAATGTGTTTCGATTGCACTTTGTTTGGAGGGCGGCTATTATACATTACTTTATTGTGTTCTATGCCGAAAGTCTATCAAAGTTTAGTCTACCATCTACTTCTGGTCTTACCAAAGAGTCACTTCAACAACATCCAAGCCGCCGCCGCAGCAGCAGCTCCAATCAATCCTACACTAGCCCAAATACCAAACCCCATTCCAACACCACCTTTTCTATCGACAGTCACCTCCTCATAAACACCACTCCCCGGCACATACCCCTCAGCAACCCCCCTCAACGCCCCCTCCAACCACCCCGCCAACCCCCTCGCATCCCCATCCGGCGTAACACCCCTCACCCAATTAACACCAACCCTCATCTCGCGCCCCTTCACCGTAACCACCGACACACAATACGGATCCGCATACGTACACAACGCCGACGAAAACGTCGCGCTCTCAAACCTCGCCTTGCCCTCTTCTTTCTTTCCCCCATCCAAAACCCCAATATTCGTCACCTCGAAAGTATGCTCTCTCTTCTGGCCCAGCAATCCGAGAAAGAACCCCCTGATGTCGGACACGAAGACCAGTAAGCCCACCGCTTGATTCCGTTCGCTCTTCGTCCCCGCCTCGACGAACGCCTTGCACTGTCTAGCTGCCGTCCAAAGCGCTTTTTCGTCCTCTCCTTCTTTCCCTGGGGCAGAAGAAGTGAGGCAAGAAATATACCCAGCAGGCACCTCTACCTCGCACGAAAATGGCGGCGCGACCATAGATGTATAGCACCCCATATCAAGCGCGGAATGCTTCGTCCATTTCCGCACCGAGAACGGGATGTTGCCCATAAAGCGCTTGTGCCTAGACCGGTGGACCTGCGCGAGGCGTCGCGCGACTAGGACGGTGATTAAGCATGTAAGGGTAGTTTTCTGGTCTCTGCATTTGGAGAGCAGCTTCTGCACCGTGGGGTTCGGGAACGAGAATGTGAGGAGGTTGCTAACGGGCGGCGTGAGCGGTGCGGTGGAGGGGATGGGGGGCCCGGTGAAGGTTAGGGGCGAGGGAGGCGTGTAGATGTATGCTGCTACTATTTTCTTGATGGCGAACCAGGGCGAGATGGGGAGTTTGCAGCGCTGTTCGAGGGTGTCTACTAGTGGGAGTTTGGGGACGGAGATGGTGGGTTGAGGGGTGATTGAGGTGGGGTGAGAGAGCAGGGTGTTGAGGGCGGAGAGGAAGGTGAGGTGGAATGCTCCGGCTGAGAGGCCGTCTCCTATTGCGTGGTGGCAGTAGAATGCTAGTGTGAATGAGAATTCGTCTTGCTTTTCGGATTTGGATTTGGCAGAAGAAGGAACAGCGACGATTATTCGCCATACTGGTAGTTCATCGACTCGATCCAGACGAGTTCGGTGGCCAGTGGTGATCCAATCGTCATGTGACTCGTCATCTGTTTCGATGATCTTGACGATTTCATCGAGGTTGATGGAGGCAAGTCGTTTCCATTTCGGTTCTCGAGTGCCTTCGTCCTGGATCGTGACCCCCAGGATGGGTTGACTTTGCAGGGCCAAAGCCAGAGCTGATTGAAGAATTGGGAGGAGGGAGTAAGTGGTGATGGCTGAGTGAGGTATGGTGTAGGTTGCGGATACTTGGATATTGTTGTAGAAATTGAGAGAGTTGCGGATTATGTTGAACCGCTCCATGTTGCCTATACTTTGTTAATTGTGTTTGTGAAGCTTATGGACGAGGGTACCTGTCGGCCTCAGCGGCATGTCTTCTGAGGTTGCTGTCTCCATGATTCTGACGGCAAGTAACTGCATGTCCCAAGAATTCAAACAGAAACTAGAGAAGTATATACAATGATAAATGGAAATGCTAACTCATCATTCTGCTGAAAACACCCGCCTGGTCATCACGGGATTGCAATTCATCCGAGCTGGCCGTTATCTTCAGCATCAAACCCCTTTTACTTCGCCGCATTCTATTTCCCGGCCGGCCGGACTTGTCCTTGTGAGAACACGCATGCTGTGAGCCCTTGAAACGCGTAGAGGAAGAAGGCAGTCAAGGGTGAAGGAAACGAAATTGCAAAGGGAAAATTCCTTGGCATATCCACTTTCGGATGAAGCGGGCACTAGCCACACCAACCGGTTCATCTCATCTTTCAAGCAGCTTTCCAACCTTCTCTTCTCTTTATCATGAAGATATACTTCTTTGTGCAACCTCCCGAAGCACAACATCAATACCGATATCGCATTCGGTCCCCAAGGCCATTCAACGGTTCGGCCCGATCGATCTCAACGCCCACATCGGCGAGCTTCGTTAATGAGGACCAATTGCTTTCAGGCTGATACTCTCCAGCATCTCGTCTCCAAACCTGTCCCACATGCAGGACATAAAATTGAAATACAGCATGCACACCTACTCGTCACCTACCGCTTCAGGAGTCTCTGATCCGTGCCATCCACGTGGGAAACTCCCGTCATCGCATCCATTTGCACGAATACAGTACCGGAAGCAACCCGTCCTCGCGCTCGGACGGCGCAGCCATATCGAAAATACGGTTTAGAATCCCCCAATACATTTAAAAAATACACTCAATTAATATATCCAACATTCGCAATCTCCTCTCATTTGTCCCAGCGCCATGTTTCCGTGAAGTCTGACCCAGCAAAACTCAAATCCATTTGCTGAGTCGGTTCTGACAAAGAAGTCTCGTCTCCAGTCTTTTCTCTTCTCTGCTCTTCCTCCCCGAAGCGCGTGTTCGCAATTGGACTTCGGTCTCGCTTCTTTCGGGCAAGGCGCCCTTTCTGTACGTCGTGGTGGTGGTCTGAGTTTGTTCACGATGGACCGCTCAGCAGGGTCTGTATGCGGGGAACGCGCTTTTGACATGGGGCCCCGCATCTGGCGTTCCTTCGACGGTCAACACCCACGTTGGATTCCTGGGAGGGAGCAAGCTTATATATGTTGGGGTCCCGAGTGTGTTTTTTCTATTTTGCCTGTTGGTTTACTTGCTTGTTGCTATACGTCTACTTGTTGCTGTATCCTGTTGGATTTAGACGCCAAACGTCTCAACTTGAAGTCAAGATGGCTACCAATGGTGTTAGTCAACGCAAGGCTGTCAATGAGGATATTGCGGAGGATATGGGGCCCCACTTGCACACCTTGAAGTCTTCAGGCGCAATGACCATTTCTCCTGAGCTTTTTGAGAAGGTAATACAAGGAGTCTATATCTGCCAAGCGATACTTGGAGCTAATAGCCATGTAGCTATACCTCACGCCCAAGACTGCTCCCACAGGAGACTTCCGAAAGCGTTTCGCCAATCCCACGCCTCTGGGTCTCATGGGGTAAGACGCATCGCATTGCAACATACACCCAACTGACCTTCAACTTCCAGCTTCGTCATATCCGCTGTGACATTCGCAGCCATCGAGATGGGCTGGGGCGGAGCCACAACCTTGGACGGCGTAGCGTTCGTCCCTCTCCCCTCCCCCTCAACCAACAACCCACTAACCATCCCAGCGGAATATTCTTCTTCACCGGCCCAGTCCTCCTCCTCCTCGCGCTCATCTTCGAATGGATAATGGGCAACTTCTTCTCCATGATGGTAATGGGCATGTTCGCCGTCTTCTGGCTCTCATTCGGCGTCCTCGAAACCCCGTCCTGGGGCATCGCAGCCTCGTATTCCGCGACCGGCGACGCTGCCCAGGGCGCCGCTTCCAAGGGGTATAATACTGCTATTGCGCTTTATCTGCTGGTGTGGGGATTCTGGCTGTTTACCACGTTTATCTTTACGTTGAAGACGAATACGGTTTTTGCGTCGATCTTTTTGTGTGCGTTTACTAGTAGCTTTATTTTCTCGGGCGCATATTGGAAGGTTAGTACTGGGGATTATAAGACTGCTATGAGGTTGCAGAAGGTTTGTTACCTACCGAGTCCGTGGATGGGATGGATGCTGACGTGATTAGGCTGGAGGAGCGGTCTTCTTTGTGCTGGCGGTTCTTGGGTACTATATCACTGTTGTGATGATGGCGGCTGAGATGCGGATGACGGTCAACCTACCAGTTGGAGACCTATCACATTTTTGGCCGAACCCTGATGCTGAGCTTGCGGATTTGGAAAAAGCCGAATGAGATGCTGTGGTGCGTGGAGAACTTTGAACTCGGACGAGATACAAGCTTTGCTGTAGTGCTAGTTTGGATAGGACTGTCGTATCCATACTCAGCTGTCGTAGTGTTCTCTTTCTTAAAGACAATTCTTGCTGCAAGCGCACTGAAAATCGATCTTAAGCAATAGCCTTCGAGAGAATTCGTTTCTTTTCTTGGTTTTTAAACAGTCTATCTATCCAATCAACATTGCGCCAGCTATACTTGTACATCTATACTGCCAAACCACCACTGTTAAATTGCCTCGGTTCACTCCCAGCCTCGAAAGTCCCATTCCACAATCTCCTCACGCCCTGAACGGCACTATCATGGACACCAGCCCAAGAAGTATTATGCCCCTTCTCTTTCATGATCTCGATCACATCTTTGTTGAACGTTTTTTCAAAAGTCGTGTACGCAGGCATCAATTGATCGTGCAGTCTCGGCGCAGCCAGAGCTTCAGGAACCATCATCTCGTGATCCAGAACATGCCATACCGTTTGTGCGGTAGAAGTGATGATTCGAGAACCTCCCGCAGCCCCGACAGAGAGGTATAGAGTCCCGTTTGGATGCTCAACGATGATTGGACTGATGGATGAGAGGGGTCGTTTTCCAGGTGCGATGTAATTTATTGGTGAGGGAACGAATCCGAATGCGTTGGGCACGCCAGGAATAGAGAAGTCGTTCATTTCGTTGTTCATTATCACCCCTGCCCCCGATTAGCAGATTTCAATTGCGGAAATGGTACTCCACTTACCAGTCTCGGGAACAACAAGTTGTGAACCAAAAAGTAAATTCACAGTCGAAGTCGACGAGATAGAAAGTCCCGAAGCATCTGAAGTCACAATATGACTCGTCCCATGATTCTCAGGTAAGAAGTATTGCTTTGAGTTTGGGAGAGGTCGATAATCAGTAACGTTCTTCGTGCGGTCATCAAGAATCTTCTCTCTAGTCTTCGCAGCAGTCTTAGACTTCAACATCTCTGCCTCGAGACCGACCATGTAGCTGAAGAAGTCTGGGTCTCCCAATTCACTGCGTGCAGCGTACGCATATCTCATGGCCTCATCGAATCGATGAGTGTTGAGTGCCATCTCCTCTATGTCGTTGAGATCGGTGATGTTGTATCCTTCCATGATTTTGAGGATACTGAGGGCGACACCTCCACCACTCGGTACGCCGGTGGAGTGAAGGTTGTAGCCTTTGTATTTGATGCTAATAGGTTCACGAACTGAGACTGCGTAGTTCTTCAGATCTTCAAGTGTCATGGTACCATTCTGAGCTTGAATTGCAGCTATGGTGTAGTTTGCTGCAATAGTGAGCTTTGTTGAGGATGCTAGGGAGGAGGACCTACCAATTTCTCCTTCATAAAATGCCCCAGCACCATATTTAGCAATGGTTTCGAGTGTACTTCGCGGCTTCGTCAGGCTTGAAGGTAGAAGAAGTGTGCACATTGAATACTTACTTTGCATATCGCTTTCTCGTCAAAGTCTCGTCAAGTCCAAGGAGTGTTCCTCATCAGAGTCAATAATCATATCGAAACGAATCCAAGCTACACATACCATTCGGCGCAAAATCAACAGCCCATGACGGATCCTCAGTAAGAAATGGATTAGAACCATTATTGAAAGACATCGCAGCATTCATATACCAGACCAAATCTTCGGTGACTGGGAGACAATCAGCATTTTTCGTCAGCTTGAGATTTTACCTCTTACCTGGGAATCCATATCTCGCTACATGCACAGCAGGATTACATACTGCTCTCCATGGCAATACCTAGCCATTTAGCAACCCTTTCTAAAACAGAACTACCAAATACTCACTCCATATTTGTTGTGCAGATACTCCAATCCGCGAAGATCTGAAGGTACTCCACTCGCCAACCCACTCCAAACACTTCCAAGCACATTATCTTTGTACATATCTCTATGAGCCGCTGCGGGTGCTGTTTCTCGGTAATCTGATCGTGTCAGTATATCCCTGAGATGTCGTGCTTGGAACCCACCAATAGACTCGTATTTTCCATCAGGGCCACGGACAAGCATAAATCCACCTCCTCCAATCCCACTATGTTGCATACCTAACAAAGATTAATATGACTTCAAATTTTTTTAACTCCATACTGACCAACAACTCCAACACATAACGCTGTTCCAACCAACGCATCTGCAGCATTTCCCTGAGATCATGTGATCAGTATCTCTTGAATGTCGATAAGTCCGGAAATGTCTCACCCCTCGCTCCAGCAGCTCTATCCCGATCTCACTACATAGTCGGCTCTCACTTGATACCGCACCAAGACTATCCGTACCAGATGTCCATGGTGCACAAGTTCCTACACCACTAAGAAGGGTGACGACGAGCTGCCATTTCGATATCCTTCCGATAAGCCTCAAAGGGATCCCTAATTTCATTAGATAAGAGCGTAGGACACAAGAAGAGCTACAAACCCATATATATTGTCCTTCTCGATATCCCATACAACGTATAAAGTAGAAATATAAAAGACGAAGATCTCCGCTATGAGATCTTTGCGGTGGAGAGTGGGGGTCTGTCGTTGGTATCGCTACTCTTTGATGGTATGGTGTCTGGGTCTCGAGTAGAACAAGGTGGATCTTGGGAAGTGTTTCAGGCAAAGAAATCGAGTTCGAACTTGGGCTGTCCACCATAGAACCTTCAAACGGTTCATGGTCTTGTCACGGGGACTACAAGTACAGCTTATGGTTGTCGCGCTTGCCTGTTTGGTATTGGTGTGAGATCCAGAGTCCCGCTGATGGACGATTGGTGGCTGATGCTTAGTCATGATTTTTTTTGAGCTTCATGCTTCACTTGAGGAAACATATGTGAATATCGGTGCACGATACTCAAATCATTGGATACGATAATTCGAGTGTGTGAATACCTCTCCACAGTAGCTTGAGTGCAGAGATTCAACCTTGTGCCCACAGCCGTCATCATGCGAGGGTAGGCTGTGCTGCAGGTGTGAAATGGCGAAATGGAGCAGAGTCGTTTAGGTGGCACGAAGAATCGCAAGACATCAGTTCACACGCATCTCTGCCTTCGAGACACACTTGGATAAGCTTGCCATCTCACTTGCAGTTTCAGCAGGCACAAGATCTAAGAGAACGTCACCATTTGGACTCACACATGAACCCAAAACTTCGCCCGTCCTCATTGCATGGATCTATCCCAATTCGTCCAAAGACAAGTTCCAATCGACCTTGCCATGACCCCTCAATCTCACCTCCTCTTTCTCGCCCGGACTAGCTACCAGGTGTTCAGATAAATGTGTATTGTAGTCAACATGTTGCATCAGAGGGAATCGCATCATCTTCAAAAGGAAGCACAGTAGAAGGGAGACTAGACAGAAGAGAGGTAGCAGAAGAGTGGTAGAAATGATATATCTGCTCCAGAGTCATCCTCAGTAGAAAGTGGCGAGGTCGAGGCGAGACAAACTGAGCATTGTGTTCAAGTGTCACGAGTACCGTACAGCAATAGCCCAGTCAGAGGAGTGTCGGTGCACGTAACAGAACTCAAAGAGACATATGGTTTCTGATCTCACAGCTAGGAGATCTTCAGCAAGGTTCCCAAATTTAGGAGCCTAGGCCTAGGCTGACTGAAGCTAATGAGGCAGAAGACCTTGAGCTTAATGGAGATTAAAGTTTGGAACAGGAAGAGGTAGCGGAGGATGAGGCTGACTGCGTCAGCGAGGAAATTTCACGCGGTCCGAGGAAGCCGAACAACCCTGTAGTGCACATTCCTCCCACCTCAAATTCAACCTCACTTCATCACATCAAGAAGACATTATATTTTCAATTGCTTGATTCATTCGTATCGCTCTGATCCTTTCAAATTATCAACACTAGTCTCGCCCTATCTGTCGAAACAAACAGAAGCAGAGATGGCGCCTCCAACTCAATCGAAGAACAAGAAGCATGTCTTATTTTCCCATCCATGATCCCTCATCATCTGACCATGCTCAGATTTGCATTATCTCATTACCACCCTTCGAAGATGTCTTCCATGCATGATGTCGTATCGTAAACCGGGAATCAAAACGAGAGAGAAAAAGTAGTCAGACCCCGCAGGGCAAATATCAGCAAGAAACAGAAGCCAAGGGTATTCGCAATCCATCCACCCAGATCATTACATCCGCCGTCCATTATTTTTTCCATCCGTGTAGTATGCGATGAGGAAACGATTACTCGGTCGGAAATCTATGCGCAGGGATTGTTGATTCATTTACAGAATGAAGGCGGCAAGACCAGCAGCGGCAGCCATGCCTGCGAAAGCAGTTTGGCGAGCGCCACCAGCTGAGGACGAGGAGGTGGAGGAAGAACCAGCTGCGGCGGATGATGCCTTGGAAGCAGCCTAGAGACGATTAGACAGTTTTCAACAATGGACAAAGCTGTTACTTACAGATGAGGCAGCGCTTGCGGCACTAGAAGAAGCTGAAGCAGCAACGGATGACGCGTGGGAGGAGGCAGAAGAGCCAACTGATTCAGCGCTGGATGTGGCACTTCCGCCAGCACCGCCAAAGATGGTGGTCAAACCAAGAGTTGAGGTGAAGGTGGAGGAACCTGAGGTCTCAACGGAAACGATGGCAGAAGTGGTGATAGCAGAAGAACCTCCGGAAGCAGCTGTGCTAGAAGCAGTCGAAGCTGAACCTCCAGCACCAACACCAAAGATGGTGGTTGAGCCAAGAGTTGAGGTGAAGGTGGACGAACCAGAGGTCTCAACGGAAACGATGGCCGAGGTAGTGATGGCCGAGGAGGATCCACCAGCAGCCTATTGTGTGTCAGTCGATGTCTCCAAGCCCCAAACAGAGATATCTTACGCCTGCAGTTGAAGTAGTGGTAGCAGTTGCCGAGGTAATGGTGGTCAACGCAGTTGAGGTAGTGACACCAGCTTGAAGGTATCAGCTCTGATATGGATCTCAGACCGAGAAAAACTTACAGGCTCCAGTTCCGGTAGCGGTAGCACCAGATCCAGTAACAGCTTCAATGAAGTCAGCCTTGATTCAATTTTTCAACCGACTTCCAAACGTACTAGCACAGTATGCGTTTCCATAGGCGATGATGGCAGGAGCATCGGTTCCGCAAGCCTCGTTGGCGCAATCACGAATACCATATCCGAAGTCGACGTTCTTGCAGAGACAGCTGGCCTCGGGGGTACCAGGGCATCCAAGGGATGGAGCCAAGGCGAGCATGTTGTTGATACAAGTCATCTACCAGATCAAGTTAGCGGCCATCGATGTAAACAAACAGCTTCGCAGCGCCATTGAGCTTCAGCGAACGCGTTCCCAAGGGGAGAAACAGCGCGCAAGATGGATTGAACTCCTTTGGAGAAAGGCAGGATTGTTTGGGGGGGCTTACACCGCAGGAGGAAAGGGTGGTTTGGGCGAAAGCAGAGACGGCGAAAGCGCCAACGGAGAGCATGATTGTGGACTTCATCTTGACGAATTGAGGTCGGAGGGATGTTTGGAAGAGCTGTTGGGAGAGGTTGGGAATGGAGATGAAGAAGTTGGAGAGTTTGCGATGGGGAGAGGGAAAGGTGCGTTTGCTGGTGAAGGTGGTTTGGGGGATGGGGAAGGAAGGGAAGAAGCTTAAATTCAATCGGGGCAGCGCTTGCCTTTTTGACGAACACCCAGCCGAAAGGTCCAAGTGACGATGAGTTCAGAACTGCCCAAATTCACTACAAGTTGGCTGGGCCTAAGACAAAGTAAGACACTTGATTGGCACAATCTCAGCGATTCACCCTGTGCCACTGACAATTAAGATTCATTTTGCCATTAGTACCGCCAGTCTACGCTGTTTGAGGTCTAGCCAGTGCAAGATTTCAGGTCACGGCAATGCCGTCGCGGTCGCTGGGGGACAAGCGATGTTGGTTGCTCTGCAAAATTCAAGTTCACGCACGGCCGGCAAGCTGCCAGATGCAGGCTACGATACGAAGTATGGAAAGCTTGCTGGATGAGAGCTCAGACCTGCATGCCAAGGGCGGGTTTAGGCTCGATTTGGTCTAGAGACTTACTCTAATCGGGGCTTCATGCAGGGAAGGCCAGGGAAGTGGATGTCCAGCCACATCTCGGGAGCTGCAGTGAATACAGCACGCCCAGGATGATGCAGGACCAGCGTCGTGATCAGAGCCAGCAACGAGTCGGTCTGGAAGGGTTCGACTTCACCTTCTTTCAGCAGACTTCATTGTATTATTTTCTGTTATTCATGTTCGTCTTGGTTCCAGTCACTCAAGCACAGCGGCAATCAATTCTTTGTGTTTCTTTGTCCCATCCACTCCATCCCATCTCATCTCAATGAGATGAACCAAGACTTTGTTCTGGTTCCCTGCCATCGAATTGTCTCAAAACAAGGTACTCTAGCCAACCACTCACAATCTCATATGCACTCGATCCGCTGCATGGGTACGACTTAGTCTGACATCACCTTGGTAAGTATTTTCCCCTTCTTCATCCATGGAAATGATCCCAAGATACCCGATATCAGAATCGATAACCTCCCCTTAATTTCCCGGGAAGAATATCACACCCACCCACCTCAACGTGAAATCTCTCCTTTTATGCTCTGGATCTTTCGCAATATCCTCTACTTATTTTAAGAACAAAGTCATTTGCATTCATCACCGCAGGTAAAGGTCACTCTCCGCTGCGACCTTGCGTTGGCACGGCTGGACGTGGAGTGAAGTGGAGTGATATTTGCTGTTGCTCAAGCAGGTTCCAACGCACATGGCCAATGCTTCTGCGCACCGTGACGTCTCTTCTAACCAGGATCCTCAGATCTCGGGCCCAAGCGAACATGCGATGTCTCCAACCGCGATCCTCAATTCGCTGGATGCGTGCATGCTATACCTATCATGGCATTTTCCACCTGCAGGTTTTCCATCCTTCCCCAGCCAATCAAGGACAAATGCGTGCAGAGTTTCAAACGAAATCAGGAACTGGATGGTCAAGTTCCCCAGGTTACCACTACGATATCCCTGTCGCCTTCATGCGAGTGCCAGCAAGCAACGCGACCCTGAGAAGCTGAATGTTGCTTTTGCGACAGTGTGTTTGCCCAAGCTTCTCCTCGCCAGACAAATCAGAAAAAAGATCCGACGATTCAGGAACTCAGGAACCGACCTCTTATTTTGCTATCATCTTATTTAACTTCCTTTTCCCCTGCCTTTAAAACCAAACAAGAGGAAATCGAGCGCGCAAAAAGACCAACCTCCCGTGATCCGAGCCCTCAAATTAAAGTGCTGATCTTTCTTGATCTTGGCTCGACCGTCTCATTTCATGCGTCGCACTGGCGGCTGCCATCACAACCACTCAAGCAAAAGGCAGGGAAACAGGTGTGGCTGATGAGCATCCCGACCTCAGATCTAGAACATGGCTATCGCTCTCTTCAGCGGGACAAGGTTTGCAAGCTGCACGAGCCACATCATCTGTGGCGATGCCCCTCACTTCTCCTCAACTTTAATTGATTGTTCTCATTCGCGCGAGTTGAGTCCTGAACATGAGGCAATTTGAACGCGAATTCGGGATCTCGGTTGCTTGTTCAGATGACATGATGAGAGTTATGACGATGTACGGTCCCGAGACAAATATCGAGTGGTTCCGTGGCACCTGGATTGGGTCTGTGAAGTGTGAAAGCGATGTGGGGAGCCGAGAGCTAGAGCTGTGCTGCGTTGGCAACCATTCTTGTCACGTCACATGTTGGGTTAGAGCTTTCTTGCTGTGCCTTTGAACAGTGCTTGGCGGAGATGACGACAATGAGGCAATTGAACCCGTTCTGCTTATCGAGTTAACTGGATTCCTTCAGCCATCCCGCCTCGGATTTTCACAATGAATGAAACAGTTCATTTCACCGCTTCCCTTCAAGCCACGATCCACAAAAACCGCCTCAAAACTCTACATCGCCAGCACCGTAGTCGGCATCGAAACACGCAAGCTTCACGTACAGATCGCTGTCCAAAAACAGGAATGGTAGTTAGCTTGACTAGGCTAAAAAGTCCCTGCTTCCACGTTCGATCTGACAGTCCCGGGCTACAGTAGGTTATCGGACTATGTTTATGTAAAGATCTGCTTCCCCTCTCGGCATGTCCATCATACCCACCTTCCATTATTCTGGAACTGAATCAATTCTGCTTCGAAAAGAGAAACTCCCGTGTATCATCTTGCCAGCAAACAAAAGAGGCGAAAGTCTCACCCATTCTCCAACCTCCTCTCTCTCGATGTCTCACAGTTGAACTCACCTCGCCTCCTCAAGGACCGAGAGCCGCAGAAAAGTGATGCAGCCACTGTCACAATGTACCGAGCCGGTCTTAAGCTGACCGCTTAGCTTGTGCCGGCAGAGAGAAAGAGAGACTGACAGCAGACCGAGTGGCAGCTTGGGATTGATAGTTTGAGCCCCACTGACGAACGTGTCCGTGCGATGTGAAGATCTTGTTTTGTAGATCTTCTGGAATTTGGGGTCGGTCTGAATGTGATGTTTTTACGAGTCGTGACAGCTCTTACCTTTAGAAACTGAAAGCGTGCTTCGGATTCTCAATGAGAAGCCGAGGAATAGACTTCCTGAAGTTTGAGCGTGGCGATTCCGTGAGCGCAGGGGAGATAATTTAGTTACGATTCCTGCCTTCATTTCTTTTCTGCGACATGAGTATTGCACTCTCTTTCAGTTATAGAGACCATTTCGTTTCATCGCTGGTAATCGCAGAAATTGAGTTACAAGTAATGACTGTCAAACTGCATTATGGTAGTATTCGAACTCTCTTTTGGAGGAGAGCTCTACCAGCGACCTATGAACTCGTCAGCTTGGCAAAGTGTACTCTTACGTGAGTCTGCGACGAGTTCCAAGCTACCAAGCTTCAAACATGGGAGGTTATTTATTAGATCAAACTTCCAGAGAGATTGGGTCTGAGCTATGAAATCCAAGCACGATTTCATACTCGCATCTCAATCAAGATAGCTTGTTAATTGAGGATAAGCTTCAAGGACCACAGGAGGTTCGAGTAGAACCCTAAATTGAATGATCAGACATCTTCTCGGACTGTCTAGAGAGAAAAACAAAGTCTTAAATCTTATACTATAACAGGACACTCTTCCTTTTTATGTCTTTCACCGAAATATCTGAGGAAGTCACGATACTGCTTATGCGGGGTAGCTGGAAACAACCCCGCACCTGCATTTTGAGCGCACCCCACTGCTGATGAGAAATCCAATTCACACCACCCTTGGGTGTCAAGAACCACGACCCAACTCTTCTTTCAGCTCAGCTAGAATCAATTGAAAACGACGAAAGCCAATTCAAATTCACCGCAGAAATGGCACAAACCCTCCGCCTCGCAGCCTCTCAATCCCACACCCTCTCCACCACCTCCGCGACCCTCCACGCCCTCGAAAAGACAACCAAACACGCATCCTCCCAATCAATCGACCTGATCCTCTTCCCAGAAGCCTATCTAGGCGGCTACCCGCGAACAGCAACCTTCGGCGCCGCAGTCGGGGCCCGACGCCCTGAAGGACGAGAACAATTCCTACATTATTTCAAAGATGCTGTAGATTTAGGAGATACACCGGAAGGCGCGGGGAAGAAATGGATCGATGGCACATTGGAAGGAGGGAGGAAGAGGGGTGATGGGACGAGAGAGGAGCTGGAGAGGATTGCGAGAGAGACTGGAGTTTTCGTCGTTACGGGACTGGTGGAGAGATGTGGTGGGACGTTGTATTGTGCTGTTGTTTATGTTTGTCCGCGGCTTGGAGTGCTGGGGAAGAGGAGGAAAGTTATGCCTGTAAGCTTGGACGTCAATTGGCATAGAAATCTGCTAACTGGAGATTGGTAGACTGGCAGCGAACGTCTGATCTGGGGCCAGGGCCAACCCTCCTCCCTTCGAGCGATCACAACTACGATTAAAGGCGTCAAGCTCACACTCGCATCTGCGATATGCTGGGAGAATTACATGCCACTCCTACGCCAATCTTTGTACAGCCAAAACGTCAACTTGTACCTCGCTCCAACGGCAGATGCAAGGGATACTTGGTTGCCGCTGATGAGGACAATTGCATGCGAGGGAAGGTGTGTGGTGTTGAGTGCGAATCAATGCATGACCAAGTCCAATCTGCCTGCGTGGATAACTGGAGAGAAGCACGATGATGAACCAATCACGAATGGACATTCTTCAGCACCGGCAAGATTGAGGAGGAAATCAACGATCACTGATGAAGGACATGAGATCGTGCTTCCCGAGAGACATGATGGTAGCTCTACCGCGATAACAGAGAAGCCGCATGAAGATGATTATGTATCAAGAGGTGGATCTTGTATTATTTCTCCTCTGGGCGATGTTCTTGCAGGACCACTGTGGGATGATGAGAATGGATTGTTGACTACGGAGGTCGATTTTGATGATTGCCTACGTGGAAGATTGGATCTGGATGTTGGTGGAAGCTACTCAAGGTGAGTTCATGGCCATCATGCTAGAGAAGCTGCTAACTTTGTAGAAATGACTCCTTCAAGTTGACCGTCGAGGGCCTTGATCTGAGCCCTCCACCATAGTCGCATCAACAGGGCCAATATTTGACAGTAGCCAAAAACTCACATCCCTTTGGCAATTCACCAAATGACTACTTTATCCCCTTACTCTTCAGTCCCTCAAGGTTAACCATTACCCTTTGTGATCAATCCAGGATCCCGTGTTGGTACATCGAACAACCTCTTTCTCATCTCCATTCATAGCTTTGTCTTTTTCACTTTCACTTTCACTTTCACTCTCAACACTACCACCTTCAATTTCCACGCTATCATCAACCACACTTCTCGTCAACTTCGCCTCCGCACATACTTTATCGGTCACCTCTCCATGATCTTCCTCGCCTTCCTCTTGTCACAAACCCACGTCCTCCCTCTCATCCCATCTTTCATCATCCGCTACCTAGGCAGTGAAACGCGACAAAATAGCATTAATAGCAAACGAATTACTCGACCAAATACCTACGAACCCAATCCCATACTCATCATCCAAGTACCAAAGCATCTCTTCTGCAACCCTTTATTTTCGATACTCTTTATGAACGCGTAGTTGCGTATCCATACACGGGCTCAGAGCGGTGATAAGGCCTATACTAAGTTACGAATACATTCCCAAATAGCACGCCTGTATCTCTGTTTTTTTGGTGGAGACGAAGAAGTGCTCCTTGCACGGAGGATGGAAACAATTCTGTTATGATATACTTGGAACTTATGAAGAGATGCCGAGAATTTCGCTGCTATGGAAGGACATTGGCAATTCGTTGCAGGGACATATATGCGGAGCAGCCTCTCGAAAATTAGAGGACTTTCCAGAATTTGGCAACGCAATATTCTCACGAAAATAACCTCGATGGCACGGCGCGAGGATAACTATTGAATCATAAGAATATGAATCTGAAAATAACGTTCGATGTCCGACACGGCCAATTGGCTATTCCTGACATTCGACTCGCAGAACATGTGTCTTGAGAAGGGACATCGGACTTCAGCCGAGTTTCTGGAAGAGGAACCAGTCTTCTCGACAATCAGCTTGGACTCCTGTTAATCATCTCATACCATGGAAGAACCTCTTCTCAGACTCTCTCAACAAGCTGAGACCTCATGTCGTTGGAAGGTGGTTCTCGATCACGTGTACCCTCTTCCGAAGCAGACCCTTTTCACACCCAAACCGCCCTCGTCTCCATCACAAGCTTCACATCACTCCCGAGCGCGTTTGAAATTTAGCAGTGCCGTACCCGAAACCCCTACCTTCCCATGGCCCTGCTCAGCTGAAAGTTGCAGCTGTCATTTTGCGTTTGCCGACAAGACCCCTCAAACGCTATTAATTCCGCGAAATAGCATTGGCAACCCATTGCGCGTCATGCTGGCTACCGATAGTTCTGCGGCTAGAGATAGTCGCTAGTCTAGCTGATCAGCATCCTCGATTCGAGCCATGTCAGAAGCTTGGCTGGGGATCAAGGCACATGCGCCTGACGTCAAGAGACAGAATTGCTGCAAGTGTAGCAATTTTTTGATTGAGAGAACTGTTGCAGCTGAAGAGAATGGTCGAGACTTCACATGCGCCTCTTCTCACGAGCGTTGGGGCAATGCATGAAATCTCTTGAAACGTGCCAGCCACGACCTTTTCTTCATTTGCTGCTGATGAGCCGATTTGTCAAAGACTAGCGATTCGACGGCATTTGCTAATCTGAGGTCCAAGTCTCCATAAATCTGGCCAATAGTGGCTGCAATTACCCTGAGACGATCTATAGCTCCTCTATTTGACTTTTGGACGGCAAGCCACAGACTAAACGTCGCACGGCGGGGATGACGATACCGAGACCTGGCGATCATCATCTTCGACCGGTTTTTTTCGTTTGCGGTGGAAATTGCTGTCCAGCTAGCTTCACATCTTGTGAAAGGCACTTTTTTCCCTGTTGATATACATACTCGAGACCTGCCCATTGGCATCAGGAAGCGACTTGATTTATATTCCAGGAAATTTAGACGCGTGTTGGATCGCGTCTGTGTCGCATAGTCAACATGGTATGAGAGCCTCATCGACCTGTGCAAGTCAATCAATCACTGACCTCGAGATTTAGTCGTCCGGTGCAGGAAGCTCCACGAGTTCCACCAAGAATTCATCATCGGTCTCTGCTTTCTTGTCGACCTTGATCCCAGTCGGTGTGGAAGCGATCGCATTTATTATTCTCTTCTTGATCTTCAGAACAAAGCTCAAGCGAGTATATCGACCTCGAACATACCTTCAAACACTTTACGATGGGTAAGCCAATAGATCGCGTGGCCGAAGCAGAGCTGATGGACACAGTGAGAAGACAGAAGATCCTCCTCAGGGAAAGCTCAATTGGCTCAAACCATGGAGGAGTCTTCCCGACGAATATGTCCTGAATCATCAATCGCTCGATGGATACCTGTATCTTCGGTTCCTCAAGATGCTCACATTCATCTGTTTCTGTGGCACTGTCCTCACTTGGATCGTTCTATTTCCAGTCAATGCGACAGCTGGTGGAGGCGAGCAGCAATTTGACCTCTTGTCCTTCGCCAACATTCCCAAGAGCGGGAAAAACAGATACTATGCACACGTTTTTGTTGGGTGGATCTTTTTCAGTGAGTGCTGGAATATTGCCTGGCGTATCGTTGCTAAATCCTCCAGGTTTCGTGATGTACATCATCACTCGCGAGACGATCTACTTCATCAATCTTCGCCATGCTTATCTGCTTTCACCTTTCAACGCCGCCAAAATCTCTTCTCGTACCGTTCTCTTCACTGATGTGCCTGTCGAATATCTCAATCAAGAGAAGTTACATACACTTTTCGGCAATACAATCGCAAGAACATGGCTTGCAACCGATTGCAAGGACCTTAAGGACAAAGTCGAGGAACGCGACAAGGATGCTTACAAGCTTGAAGGTGCTGAGATCAAACTCATTACAGCTGCAAACAAGCGACGCATGAAGAGAGAGAAACAGGCTGCTAAGGGGAAAGCAAAGCCAACTGCAGACAATGGTGATGCTGAGGTAGCGATCGCTGGGTCGCAATTCATGAAGCCCAAAGACCGTCCAACACACAGACTGGGCAAGATTCCATTAATTGGGAAGAAGGTTGATACAATCGATTGGTCCCGATCGGAGCTGAAGAGATTAATTCCTGAGGTTGAGAAGGATCAAATGGCACATCAGAAATACTCGGGAAAGCTTCTGCCAGCGGTTTTTGTCGAGTTCATAAATCAGCAATCTGCGCAAGCTGCGTTCAGACGAATGAGTCCCAAGAAGTCGCCCAAGATGAATCCTCGTGCGATTGACACCGCGCCAAGCGAGATCATCTGGGGCAATTTGAAGATCAAGAAGACGGAGAGATTGGCGAGAAAGTTTGCGACGAATACTTTCCTTACATTGATGATTATCTTCTGGGCTATTCCTGTCGCTGTTGTTGGAGCTATCAGTAACATCAACTACCTCACAGACAGTAAGTTTTCGTACAGCTTAAGTCGATTGATGCTAACCCCCTATCCAGAGGTGCCTTTCCTGAGTTTCATTAACGACATCCCAAGTGTTATTCTTGGTGTTGTTACCGGTCTGCTGCCATCCATCATGCTTTCTGTCCTGATGTCCTTGGTTCCAGTCGTTTGTCGATGTGAGTCTTCTCTTCGTGTCCCATATCCACAGTGCTGATTATGTCTAGGGATGTCCAAACTCAGCGGTGAAGTCACGCTTCCTCGAGTCGAGCTTCGATGTCAATCATGGTACATGGCATTTCAAGTCATCCAAGTATTCCTCATCACCACTTTCGCATCTGGCGCCTCATCAGTTGTCACCCAAATCATCAATAATCCCAGCTCAGCAACCACTTTACTCGCTCAGAATCTACCAAAAGCCTCGAACTTCTACATCTCTTATATCATCGTTCAAGGGTTGGGCATTGCTGCTGGAAATCTGCTGAACATTGGTTCACTCGTCATGTTGACAGTGGTTGGCAAATTCCTTGACAAGTCACCTCGCAAGATGTTTAAACGCTTCGTTACTCTTGCTGGTCTGGGTTGGGGATCTCTGTACCCTCAATTTGGAAACTTGGGCATTATCGGTACGTTTCGTCCTTCTATCTCTTCTTCAGCATACTGACCTGGTTCTCCAGCAATTACTTACTCCATTATCGCTCCTCTCGTCTTGGGCTTCGCGACTGTTGGATTCGGAATCGTTTACCTCGCGGTCCGATACAATACCTTCTTCGTCCTAACAAACAACATCGACACCAAAGGCGCTGCCTACGCTCGTGCCCTCCAGCAACTCATGACTGGTGTCTATCTCTCAGAAATATGTCTCATCGGTCTATTCGCCATCAACACCGCTCCCGGTCCCATCGTCCTCATGGCCGTCTTCCTTGGAGCAACCATCATCTACCACGCACTCATGAGACATGCCCTGAAGCCACTCCAACTTTACGTCCCCGATAATCTGGACGGAGATAGCGTCGACATGTTCTCCCACGCCGACGCAAAATCCTACGATGCAGCCAAAGCCGGCGTCCCACCCTCCCAAGCAGAACCCATGGCCCCCAAGAAATTCTCTGCAAAGAAAGCAGGATTCCTCGCCCGGATGTTCGATCCTAAGAAATTCAAGTCTCATCAGACAGTTCGTTCCCTGGTTCCGGACTGGCCTGCTCCGCAGTATTTGGAGGAGGAGCAGGAGACTGCTTACTTTAATCCTGCGGTTACGAGTCCGGTTCCTAAACTCTGGATTGCGAGGGATCAGATGGGGATTAGTAGGAAGGAGGTCCAGGATTCGAGTGAGGTTGTTCCTATCAGTGATGAGTTTGCTAGTTATAATGAGAAGGGGAAGATTGTTTGGGATAGTGAGGGGGTTACGTTGCAGCATATGCCGATTTATCAGAAGAGGATTGATTATTAGATCTGCGTGATTGAGGAGGAGGGAAAAGTCTGGTTGATAGGTATTGAATGGTGGATCGGATATTATTTGTTATAGGATGTTAGGGGCGTTGCAGTGATTGGGCTATTGGACGATACCAAAATCTTTCTGTATCAGTAGGAATATACGTAATATTAGTCTGTTCACTCAAGTTGTAAACCGGATTGAGGTGAAGATGAGCCGTATTCCTCCGCGTTCAAAACATTGTCCCGGACCTTATACATCCGCCCAACTTCCAGACTCTGACCTCTGACCACATCCCGAATCTCGACCCCTCATCCCTCCAAATCTGAGCGCCGACTGTCGTTACACAACACCCTCACTCGCCATGTCTCAAGCCCAAAAATCCCTCAAAGTATACGACAAGCAACAAACCAGACGGCTCACCAACGCCTTCCATCCTTGCACCCCACTCCTGTCCTGTACCGGGACCATCATGGAAGCCACGTTCTCAGCCTCCGCTTCCATCCGAGATCGAGACGAAAATCCGTTTCCCACCCCACCCAATCCACCTCGGTGCCGCGAATCCCTGCTTCCCCAAGGTTTCGGCGGATTGATATTGCGGGTTTGTGGTGTGACTTCCTGGGATCTTGGATGGGCGAGTGAGAGAAAGTGGTGTGATTCTGATCGATGTGGCTTAGGAGATGATGGGATTTTTGACGATTAGAGTTTTTGGTGCAGCGACTTCGCTGGGACCAGGGCTGGAAGGAGGAGCGGATGGGGTAATGATTAACTAGAGGAAATGTATATCTGTTCTTGCGAAGGCGCCGAAAGTCCTAGTTTTTTGTTTTCTTGGTATTTTTCGTTCGATTGCCAAGATGACGTTTGATTTCTTATCCCTGGTTAAGAAGCAGTATCGTACTGTTCCACTGGAAGGGGATTTCATCCAGCCATCTAAAATCGAGGGAAAGGAGCAGATTTTGTGGGTTGGGTGCAGTGATAGTTCGGTGGAGGAAACAGATGTGTTGGATGTGCCGAGGGAAGAAATTTTCGTGCATAGGAATCTTGGCAATATCATCAGTAATGGGGATCTGAGCAGTGAGAGCGCCATTGAGTGGTGTTTGGATTTGCTTAAGGTGTGGTAGTTACCTATTCTTCTGATCTATGTAGTTAAAGCAGCAGCTGATGTGATACAGGTCAAACATATAATAGTCTGTGGACATTATGATTGTGCTCTGATAGACAAGGGAGATGGAAGTGCATTGGGAGGTTGGCATAAGTATTCTGCCGCTTGTTACAGTATCTGCCTGCATAAACTAATAAGTCGAAAAGGAATGTAACAAGACTACATGAGCTCAACGAGAGTCATCTCTCGAAATCCGATTCGTCACTTAATTACGAATGTCGACATCGAAAACTGGAGGAGGTATATGTTCTGGCTGAAGTAGATTGGTTGAAGAGACAGCCGAGTGTGAGAAGGGCCATGGAAGAGGAAGGATTGAAGCTACACGCCTTTGTTTATGACAAGGAGAGGAATGTTGGCTACAGATTGGTGGAGGAACAGTAGAGGGAGGGATAAACTGTAAGAATACGTCTGAGCTAGAAAAACAGCAGTCGAGAGTTGCCTGTTTAGACACCCAGAAAAAGAGATGTGTTACTTCAGTAGCAGATTATCTCTTCAGATCATGTTGCAGCTGTGATCTCTGAAGAACACACTATCAAGGAAGCTGTTAAGCTCAAGAACCCTTCGCGTATTGGAAAGGGGCTCAGTGAGGCACTCGCCAAAGCCCTGTGCTGACAGCATGAAGCCAACAACCAGCGAATTCACGGGTCTTGAACCTTGAGCCGAGCGAAATGAAAGCAACATTGAGAGCATCTTCGGATATAATTTGGCCAGCTCGACCAGAGAAGATGACCAAACATCCTCACACGTCCTCAACATGCGATGGTTTGACTGTGACAAACATGCCACACGCTAATGCACACTGACCTCAGCCTCGGCCTGGAGCATGTCACCTTCAACATGTCTGCCCACGCAAGCCAGAAGCCTCCATGAAAGACGTGGACATCAAGTCCGAGAGCTCAATTCATTTGCACTATCATCGCACAGCAGACCAGCTTGACGGAACCTTGAGATGCTGTACGGGCTTTTGGATAAACCTCTGGGTCGTGGACTGCGCTACGACCCAGATACTGAGATCCCGGATCTCAATGGCAAGATAATAGTTGTCACTGGAGGTATGTCGAACATGCTGTCTGCGAACATCAAGCTCACCATCCTACAGGCAATGCTGGCCTCGGAAAGGAAACCATCCTTCGTCTCTCCAAGCACAATCCAAAACGAATATACCTTCTCGTACGAAACCAAAACAAATCCGAGGCTGCGATCAAGGATATACAGTCAATCGTCCCCAACGCGCCGATATCTTTCATACAATGCGACCTCACGGATCTGAAGAGCGTGGAATCTGCTGTGAGGGATTTCACAAGCAAGGAGCAGAGATTAGACATGCTCTATCTCAACGCTGGAATTATGGCTACACCTGCAGGACTCACGAAAGATGGCTACGAGATTCAATTTGGCACAAATCACGTTGGACATGCTCTTCTGACAAAGCTGCTACTTCCTACGCTCTCGAGAACCGCTGAAGAGCCAGGGTCGGACGTCAGAGTTATCTGCTTGAGCTCAATTGGACATGCAGCTGCCCTGTTCACCGGAATATGCTTTGACAAGTTGAAGACGGAGATGTCGTGGACACCAACAATGGTCCGATATGCACAGTCGAAGCTTGCCAACATACTATTTGCCAGGGAGCTCGCGAGACGGTATCCCAAGATCTTGTGTGTGTCCGTTCATCCTGGAGCTGTGAATACAGAGTTGTATCGAAGTATGCTCAGTGGATGGATGAGCTCGTTCAATTTCTCGAAGCAGCTACTTGAGACTATTGAGTCGGGCGCAAAGAATCAGCTTTGGGCAGGCACAGCGAACAGAGAGGACATCACAAATGGCGAATACTATACTCCTGTGGCCATGAGTGGTGGTGGAAGCTGGAAGAGCCAGGATATGGCCCTTGCTAGCAAGCTGTGGGAATGGACAGAGAAAGAGCTTGAGGGGTACGCAGCTCCAACGGCTCTCCCGTAGTGAGCAACGGAGATTGGACTGATTTGGGCTATGTACAAGCATCTCCGTTCTCGTTATTTCAACCCGTACTGAGCTGTTTGATTGAGAAGATGTGGTGGCCTGCATGTCGAGTAGTATCTCGGGTAATGAGCTGTATCATGCCAACTGCATATTTTGGCGCGGCAAAACATTCGGCAGGGTCGTCAAAGACAATGGGACAGACCAAAAACAGCTCAAATCCGCCATTGGTTTACTTGTTGTTATCGACTTCGCCCATTATTCAAGACCTCAACGGTTGCCAGTGCAAGCTGTTATTGCATCCATTCCGATTCCACCCTAAACGCTCCTTGAGAGCTATATTGTCTCTCAGTCTTTCTGGCATTCATTACTCCTTCAGTACGAATCAATGGTTCTAGACTCCCGACTCTCTGTAAGTCTCAATTTCGTACGACGAATGCAGAGCCAGCCGAGAAACCTCAAGCCAGTCTCAAGCACTGGGTCACAGCAGCCACACTGCTAATTGTTAGGAAATTACTTTCCCTTGCTTTTATTGTTCCACAAAGCCTCCGGCGGCCCTTCCCGAACGATTCAAGGTAGTTCCATCTCAGTTGTATCACTTGCAAGTCGTCTTCCTGGAGATTATCGAGGCTAAATCAAACTTTCCTTGCATTATGAGAACTGCAAGTGATTCTCAGTGGAACAGAGAGACGACCAGGTGCAGCTATAGGTCTCTGTATCGAAGGCTTATATGATGTAGGTCTACTCCCTTCTCAAGTCTGTATCCTCTTTGTAGCATCATCCACTCCTTTCCTCGATAGCAACACGCTATCCCAATATCTTTTATTGTTGTTGAGCACCAGCTCGTTCCTCGCTCCTGTTCTCGCAGCTGTTGATAGCAATGGTGTTCCATATCCCAACGATACTTCCGTCCTGAAGCACCAAGCTGATCAAGCACGATTGATCGCCTATGAAAAGAAGGAGAGGAATGGTACGTTCTTTGTATCAGTCTTCTATGTCCTGTCTAACATCAGCAGACTACGTCTTCAGACAATCCCTTTCAAAGACAGCCATCCTCGCAGATAAAATCGTCACCGAAATCAGAGCAATGGAGCGTCTGGGAACACGCCGCCGGTTACGGCAACTACACTAGTGAGAGCATCATGGGCGAAAACTTCGCCATCGCCAGACCACTAATCGGCACCACCGACCTCTTCAAAGTCGTCAAAGCAATGCCTAAAGATTCCCTCCTCCACGCCCATCTCACTGCCATGTTACCACTTGGAATCGTCTTCCCCACTATCCTCAACATCCCTGGAACGGTCATGTCTGCCGCCACAGACCTTTCCAACGACGGAAACAGAAACTTGACATAGATCAACCTTGCCCATACAAATGCCACCATCACTTCTGTAGCAGGCAGCATATGGACCACGTGATACGTCCCGAATACCCCTGTCTTCGTCGCAGCAGCAGCAGACGCTTTCTCTGGAGGTCGAACTGCCTTTCTCGCCTACTTGTAAACCAAGCTCACCCTCGGCGTCGAAGACGCAGACGAAGAAGAACTAGGCGTTGACGCAATCTGGCGTTAATTCCAAGGAATATTCGGCACCGTCGGCTCAGCATACACACACGAACCCGTCGTGCGCCAATTCCTCCATGACCTCTTCGGTCTCCTGGCAGCAGACAACATCCAATGGGTCGAGATCCGAAACAGAGGAAACAACGGCATCGTGCAGACAGGAGACATTTCCTTAGACCCAGACTCGGATTACTGGTACGAGCTCTTTGTCGAAGAGCTAGCTAAATCCAAAGCCAGCCCAGCAGGCAAGAACTTCTGTGGCGCTCGCATCATCTGGACTGTATCCGGCGGCAAAGCAAGAGCGGGTATAATCTCCGATATGCAGAATGCCCTGGTAAAGAAGGCGAAATACTCCGAGCTCCTCTCAGGCTACGATCTCGTCTCACAAGAAGATCTCGGACGGTCCCTCTCTGACCTTGCCCCCGAACTAATCTGGTTCCAGCGCCAGACCGCCAAACAGGGGCCTCACGATCCCATACTTCTTCCCACGCGCGCGAGACGCTCGGAGACGGCAACTCAACGGACGACAACCTGTTCCACGCCGAGATGTTCGGCACGCGGCGCATCGGCCACGGTTTCGCGCTGTCCAAGCACCCGTACTGTACCTGATGGACGTGTACTATACAAGCAAAAAGGACATTGCGGTTGAGGTGTGTCTGATCTCGAACGAGGCGCTGTGAACGGCGGCGTGCTGCAGCAGGCGATGATAGCGCATGGGGTGGCGACGACGCTTTCGAATGACGATCCGGCGATCGAGGGGCAGAATGATGCGCGGTTGAGTTATGATTATTTTGAGGCTGTTCAGGCGTTTGATAATGTTGGTTTCGCGGGGTTGGTGAGTGTTGACTTGACTTGTGTCCTGAGAAACTTGACTAATGTCCTAAAAGGGCCGTAGGGCGCAGAACTCGGCGAGGTATTCGAATTTCCTCGATCAAGACGATAATGAGTAGTTGTTTGATATTGTGGCTGGTGAGAATGGGTCTGGTGTTAAGGCTGGTCATATGCAGGAGTGGAAAAGGGAGTGGGAAGACTTTTGTCGGTGGGTTGTTAATGAGTTTGGCGCGAAGTATAATGCCACTTCTTAGGATACGAACTGCGAAGACAACGTAAGTTTTACGAATGAGCTGTGCTGGATTTAATGTACAATATTCTAAAAATCTCAGGCCCTGGCTTCATTCTCACTTTGTTTCTCTTGGGATCACCCCCTGCTCCAAGTTATCACATTCAATCAATTCAACAAAACACAATTGAGAAGTAATCTTATAATTGCCCTCAAAATCTCTGTCTGCCCTCTTCTCTCCTCTGCTATAGGAACAAGAAACCTCCCATCTTTTGTTTCATTCCATTGCCATCCTCTCGCTCTCAATGCTCAAGATCCCGTTAAAACTATGCTACAATTATGCCTCCTTTGCTTCCCACCATGGTCCGAGAAAAAGACTCGAAAATTTGCTATTTGTGATTCCAGTCCATACCTACAACGCCTCGCTTGTTTGCTTTATTGATTGAGAAAAGATAATCCGCCCTATCCCGACACTGGCACAGTTCCGCCACCCATTTCCTTCCTTCCTGTCCTCCTGATTCATTTCAATTCGTCCTTAAGCGCCATAGTTGCCAGCCGGCATCCATCCGTTTCATCAACCCATTCTCCCATCAAATCATGTAGCCCAGGTAGTGTTTCCTTGCTGGAACGTTAAAGCCGTATACTGATAAAAAGTCGACGAACGGAAGTAAAGTTTCATTCAGCCCTCCATGACCACCTTCTTGGCAGTCTCGGTGCTACCAACACTAGCATTTGTACCCCTCCTCTCATGCGTCTTCAGTTCAGCCTTAACATCGGTTGTCGGGGACTTGGGTTTGGGTTTCCGCCTCGACATAGTGAGACCTTCATCGCTATCAGAATCCTCGTCCTCGGCCGTGAAAGTGGTGTCCCCATCACCATTGTATCCGTCATCGTCTTCATCAGGCGAGAGAAGAATAGCGTCTTCAGCAGTAGTCACATGAGGGGTGTCGGTCTCAAGTGAGGTCTGCTTCGAGAGCGACGGTGGAGTAAGAGTCTCTGGCGTGCTGTATGTAGTGATACCATGGTCAGGAGGTCGAACTGAGCCAGGACGTTGAAGCATTTCACCCTCGGTATCGGCCGAGACTGAAGAAGCACCCGAGATAAGAGCAGGTAGCGAGGGAACCGAAGGGTAGAATTGATCCGTAGAACCAAGATTGTCTGAAGAAACTGGAGATGTGATGTCAGACGGAGACGTGATTTGAGATGCCATACTGTTCGAGTTGACTGAACTGTACGACCTCGCACGTCTGGCTGCATCTTCTTGTCTCATAAAAATCTCATCATCTGGCGAGGGTGGACACTCTACCGGTGTTTGATTCCGCTGAAGAGCTTCTTGTGTGAGTTGTTGTCGCATCTTCTCAGCATGGTCTTCTAGCCTTCTCCTTCTCTCTAAAGCATCTTGGGCTCTTTTGAAGGATTGCGGAGTGCTGGCTCCATAGATCCGTGGAGCTGGAGTCTTGCCTTCAGGGGTCTTGCTCGCTGTAGCAGGTCTATCATCGAGGTTCGATGCGGCAAGAGCAACATGGGGAACGTCTGGTGTTGATTGAGAGGACTGTTGAGCGTAGTGAGCTTGGACCATGTAGGGTTGGAAGAATAGTGGAGAGGCGAGTGGTTTGTCGTGCCCGAGATTGGTGGGGCTGACATCATTTGAACGAGATAACGGCCTTGGATGATGCAGATGAATAGGATGCTGGAAGAGTCCTGGGGCGGTGGCAGTGCTCATTGCGATACTTGGTTCGCTGTGCTTGTTCTCCGACTCGAAAAGACTTCGGTCGACCGATCGAGCTCGTGAAGGTGACTCTTCGATGTCTGGCATCCCTTCTCTGCCTCTTCCATTCCATAGATGACCACCAAATAAAGCCTCCATGAAATCAGGAGAGTGGCGTGGAGATCGAGGAGAACGTTGGCCATTGTCTGTTGTACTCATCGACCGCGAATAGGAATGCCCGCGATGTACGACAGTCTGAACCGACGCCGCCGCCGAGACGGTACGTTCCGGCGCACCTGGTCTTGTATCAGGATCTGCCGCGGACGAGGGTACTCGTTCACGTTTAGGGGTAGCTCCTACCGAGAGAGATTGCGGAGCAAAGTCAACTGCAAAGGGGTCCCCTTCATGGACAGAAAGGTTGGGACTTGCTGTTTGACTTTGGGCGAGTGGGTGCTCAGTGGGTTCTCGATGATGATCATGAAGGTCGGCGAGGCTTGCGAAATAGGACTCGTCTCCCCGAAGGCTTGCTCGTCTGCTATCTCGTAGAATGGGGGTTAGAGGAGAATGGTGTTGGGTATCCGTTCCTGAGCTTGTAGCATTGCTTACAGCTCTTCGTCGAGACCCCTCGCTTCTCGTATCACTTCTCGTGGCACCAATCACCTTCCCAACAGCCTTCTTGACAGCCGAACGAGCACGCTCCAAGAAGGTAATAGGGACAACGGCACGCTCCAACTCGTTCTTGTCGACTTGGATCCTTCTGCCTGCTGTCTTCCTCGATGGATCTGTGTCGTCCAGCCATCCAATAATGTTGTCAATACCGCGGACGACCCACGGATGGCGCTTGACCTCTCGCAGCTTCATTCGTTCCGTGGGGTCTTTGATCAGCATTCTTCGAAGCAGATCATATAACTCATCGTCAATATCCTCGAACGCGAGTTCTCCTTCCTCTCTATATGGACCAGTCGATGGACCAGTACGTTTTATAGGGTTTGTCTGTGGTGTGGTACAGTTCGGGTCAACGGCCTTGAGGCGTCTTCTAGGGATGTATACATCTTCTTTCGCGATTGCGCGGAACAGTTGGTATTCATCGTCAGCGAGGAAGGGGATGCGAGCAAAAACGAGACAATATAGAGTGATGCCCAATGACCAGACATCGATTTGTTCCGTGATCTTGGGCTGTTCTTTGTCGAGATCCGTGTAGCAAAGTTCAGGAGCGAAGAAAGCTGGGGTTCCAACTGTCTTGGCCAGCTCAAGATCATCATCGAAATCGGTGGCATCAGCTTCAGAGATGTTCTCTTCCGTCTCGCCGTCTCTGATTGGTCGTCCAAAGTAGGAAACACCGAAGTCGGAAATTTTGACACGATGATCTCTGGTCCAGAGAAGGTTGGCAGGCTTGATGTCACGATGAACGATGCCTTCGTAGTGGAGATACTCGAGACCTAGAACGGTGTCACGGAAGGCTGACCTCGCTTGTTCGATGGTGAAGCATGGAACATAGGAGAAGTCGTCCTCGAATGCATCATGAATCACACCATCTACAGAAGACATGTGGGAAATGATACTGTCAGCCATGCTTGGGGAACGGCCACGGTAAGGAGGGTCATCGGGATAGGATCCATAATATGTGCCTTCTAGAGCAGAAGATGAGCCGTGTTGGGAGCCAAGAGAAGGAAGCGGCCCCGGGGTTTCATCTTCATTGTCGCTATCGATGGCGGGAATATCGAACTCAGTAGGGAGAGGTGTATGCGCGCGAGAGCTGGTCCGAGAAGGTGCTTGAGAAGGTGGTCGAGAAGGTCCTCGAGAACCTGGATTTGAGCGGAATGCAGATCTGTAAGATCTCGAGAGGTTCTGTGTAGAATCATGAGTGTTTTGCCGTGACAGCGTTGCACCTTCTACTTCATCCTCTTCTTCACCATGCTCTAAGCTCCAATGGTCAACTTGTCCCAGTTGTAGAGAGGAAACCTTGGCTTTCTGGGCTTCCTTCCGAAGTCGGCGTCGTTCCAGCATTTTGAAATATTTCTCGTCATCGCCTGTCTCCTTCTCTCCATTCTGTTCCCGCTCGATTCTTCGACGCTCGTAGTAACAAATCTGCTTGTCGCCCTTCTTGCGCCATACAATCTCTCCAAGCTCAACATGTTCCAACACCATGTAGATCTTCTTCAACTCGGGGTCATCGATGACTTCCAGCAGGCCGACCACGTTCGCGTGTCTGATCTTCTTCAAGATAGCAATTTCTCTCTTTGTCTTGTCTTCTGGTGACACGGTGACTCGACCAAGCTTGCGCTTCTTGGAGAAGCGTTGGATAATCTTGATGGCCACATAGTCCCCGGTTTCCAGACTACGTGCCAGCTTGACCTTGCCATGGACGCCTCTGCCAATCTCGTTGATGATCTCGTATTGGTTTATGAGCTTTCGGCCGGTGATGAAATCTTGTTCGACTTGGGCCTTGTGGGTTCTGATTTGCACATGTCAGTATCGAGTATGACGTTATGATGGAAGAATGGGGGTTTTGGACGGCAACGAGAGCAAGGAAAAGATTTCGAGACACATTTCAGCGGCAGACAGTATGATACAATGAGTGCAGGAGGGGACAAAGGCTGGCGGGTTGGATCGAAGATCAAAGAAGCGACTCACTCTCGAACTTTATGCATCTGCAGCGGGTGCAAGTACGGACTCGAGTGCGGAGTCCCATCTGATAGCGGAGGAAGATGTGTGCGAATTGGGGCGAGGGTGGGAGAGAAGAGTCCTGGGCTCGACGAGGCCGAGGGCGTGCTGTGGACGGTCTTCGTTGTTGAGGAATCCATCACTTGTCGAGATCATGTTTGGCGTACTTAAAGACCCGAAGCAGACGGGTTGCAGCTGGTCAGCAAACAATAGACATTTGATTGATCAAGACGGTGGCCTTGGTGATGGGCAGATGGATGCGCGCAGATATTTGGGAGAGTGTGTTGGTCTGTGGTGGGCGTGAATGTGGTGGTGACGGTCTTTATTGTTGAAGTCCAGAGGATGGGAATTGGTCGAGTGTGGTGGTGGTGAGAGGTGAGAGGTGAGGTGAGGTGTGAGTTGAGGTGGGTTTAGTTTAGTGTGTTCCGCCCGGCTGCGACGAATGGAGGGCAGAAAGAATTGTGCTGGGGAGTTTTGGAGGGGAGGCTGTCGCTTTGCTTTGACTTGGGGGCTTGGCCTTTGGCCTTGGCCCTTCTTAACCAAACCAGACCCTCTTTGCCCTGGTCTGGCGAATCCGTCTAAAGCCCTGCCCGCCCGTCTTGAGCCTTGAGCACTGCACTGCACTTTCACTTTACTGCACGGCGAGCCTTGGGGGTTCTCTCGGATGTTGGTGATACGGTGGGCTGCTGGGATCCAGTCTGGGTGGGCCAAGAATCCCTGGCTGAACCTTGAGCCCCTGGTCGAGCCTGTAAGATGGTGGTGTGCAATCGCTGGGGTCGGGGAGGCGAGAAAGGCGAGAAAGGTTCGGGCGCTGTCAATTCGGTCCCTAGCGCAATCGAGTAATCGAAGGCGCGGTTGCGGTTGATTGCGAGGATTCGATGGAGGAGGGATTGGGATTGGGATTGGATTGGATTGGAAGGGGATGGGGATGGGTTCAGGATTATTGGGATTAGAGCACTCGTACTGTCCGTACTGTAGGAGGATCTCGGATTGTTGCGAGCGAGGGGGCAAGCAGAATAATCAGACCGTTGTCGTCGTCGACCAGGGCCGCAGGGTGGAAAGTGCGTTCGTTGCCCTGCGCGTCTCTCGGGATGATGATTGAATTTTGGAAAAAGACCACCGTCTGGTAGGGGGCAGTGAATAAACGAGAGAGGCGAATACTTTGTCTGATGGATGTTGGGTCCAAAGAGATCAAGCGCCGAGACAAGGCGTTGGAGGAACAGATCAGGCCAAGCTAGGCCAAAGAGGATTTCGAAAATAGAGTGAAGTGAAGTAAAGTTAAGGCAAGTAAAGTGAGTCGAGTCTTGCTTGCTTGCTGGCTCGTCAAATATCGTCAGATCTCGACTAGCTGGTCAACAGTGCGAGAGTGCTCGACTCGACTAATCCCGAAAACACGCCAGTTTCTTAGATGTGGAGACTCGGGCCCGGGAGGAAACTGTAATTGATAATTGATAGCCGCCACAAACTCAAAAAGAGTTCTTAACTCAAACTCCGAGTATGGCTTGCTGCTGCTGTTGATGTTAGGCTCGAGAAGCAACAATCATCAACAACAACGCATCGAATGATCTGAATCGAGGACAACTCTCCGAAGGATACGACTGTACTTGTCCCAATTCCCGCGGCAACACCACAACACGCATGCAACCAGCCCTGCTGGGATGGATGCCTGCAAGGGATCAGAAAAAGTATGATGGTGTAATGGTTGCCGCTGCACCCCGGATCTATCAGGAGAGGTGACGATGTCGATGCTGGTGCTGATGCTAATGCTGAGAGCTGATCGACCCTTAACTTTGTTCGCCCGCTGCGGATAGCCTCACGCTGCAATGAATGCAGCAAGATGCCACTGCAGACAGATACAATCGGAGTTGGTGGCGTTGTTGGCGTCCTTCAATAGTGCTGGTCTGTTACTTACTGTTGACAGACTCTCTTCTTTTTTCAACAGTTCGCCCGCATTCACCAATCGCAACGGCCCAGCAAGTGCTGATCTTCCCCAAAATAATTCTCGCCGGTTTGCGGGGGCGTTCAACCCTCAACACCACACTCTTGGGATCAACGACCAAAGAAGCGGCTTGGCAAAGGGACGACGAGCGAGGGCAAGGGAAGGGAAGGGAAGGGAAGGGAAGGGAGATTTACCGCATCAGACGGCGGCACGGAGAAAGCAGAGGCAAGATGATGCAAGTGGACGTGAGTAGTTGTAGGGGAGGATGAGGAACTTCATGAATGGCTGGATGTCGGGCGAACCTGGGTACTTGCAAATTCCCAGTAGGAGAATTTTGGAGCATGGGATTGTCACTTCGACTGGGACTTGATTTGACTCCCAAGTGAGAGGTAGGGTTATGATGGTGAAGACAGTCCTCGAGGAGGGTTAGGGAAGAATGGGAAGATGGTCAGAGGGGACCGATCGAAGAAAAGGAGGTGTGCTGATCGCGGGGTTTATGACTGAGAGTCATGGAGGAGCACAACGAGTCTTGCAAGTACAAGCAAGATACAACGATGCATGCCCATGCCACGGCACTATTGCTATTGCTGTCCTGATCACGATTCACGACGGCCTTTTCGACGGCCACTGGTTGTGTTCTCACTAACCCTCGATCACCAGATAGCTTTCAGTGACCCCTCCGACGGGCATGGCAAGGGCCACGGCGAATCAAATTGATGGACAGCCGCTGTACGCTGCGACCAAAAAAAGTTGACCGGGCATGACTCCGCATTATTTTTGCTGCAACTTTTCTGCGCCTGGAAGTCTCAAATCGGGCTGGTTTGAGAGGACTGGCTTGCGCTGGGCGTGTTCTGCTTTCTACTGGAAAATAGCCCCTCATTCTCCCAGACACTTCTCTCCACCACAGCAATCCGGAGTGCAATCTCCAGACAACAACATCCGACTCAGTCAGTCACTGTTTCCCCTCACTGATCCTCAATCCTGTCGTGAGACCGCGGTCCATGACCCGGTTGGGGAGAATTGAAGATGCGGAGAAGCCTTGATGTCCTCTCATATATTTCTGCATGCCCTGGTCCAGAGCATAAAGTATCTCCATCTCTGAACCTCCTACCTGCATGCTGTCCTGCAATCCTGCTCCTTTGTGTCGCATTGCCCAATTCAGGGATCCCGTTCTGCTATCCCCAATCTCCTTCTCCAGTCAATATATCTTTGGATCCGCTTTCTCCCCTTGCCCAGACTCTCCACAGCCCACGTCCACCTTACCAAAATCTGCTCATGCAGTGCGGACTTCATCTGGCCCTCTGCAGATGCTGCATATGGGTGCATTCAGCCACATCGGTTCCTTCGGCACGAGATATCTTTTTCCTTCTTGAGGGACATTTAAAGTTCGATGCCATTGGAACTGACTAGTGGGGGGATTGAAGAGAGAAAAGGGTTATGAGATCGATCGACGGAGTTCAACAGTCGAGGGTAATATCAGGACTTGCATTGTGATACCTGAGCCAGAAATACTTCCCCAGGTTTCTCTGGACATCCCTGTAGTGTCTGTATGCGATTCACATGGAGGGGTCGAATGAGGTTTATCATGATGAGAAGTTCCTCTGAAAATAAGAAACAGTCTGAAGTCTACATCCTTACAATCTCAAACCCGTTACCCGCGATATCAGGATCCCTTCATCAGAGGTCAACATGAGGTCCGGGTCCCTCGTTCATCCATCGTCATATCTCCCCTTTGCTTGCCTGTCTCCATAAAGTTCCGTACCTTGCACAAGCCACCTCAGCATCACATCCCTGACACGTTCTCACATTCATATCAAGAAGAAAGCAACGGACGGCGGACATGCTCCCCCTCAAAGCCCCCCAAAAGTGACAGAGATAATAATGAGACCATATCCCCCCCTCACGTAAACCATATCGTGAACCAAATAGATTCCCACTTCAATTCATCCATACAAGCAGTTCATGCTGCTCCCCACACGACGTATCATTTTCCTCATTCTGTTCCACGTCGACAAGCCGATGCGAAGTTCTTTTCCCACATCAACCAATCCAAAAGTTTCGTTCCTCTGTCGCGACCTTTCATCGCGTGCAGATTTTCCCTCTTCATCAACCAGATACAAAGCAAAGGACCTCACGATGCCACATCGCTCCAATCACCAAACAAGGCATCACTGCATTTCTCCCAAGTCCTCCAATGCCCCCCAAACACGGTGCATCTCCCGTCGGTCCAGATTGTCCCCTCCCTTACTCACGCTGCCTCGCTCACGGACTTCCACACCCGCGTACGCTCGCGAACGCAACACGATAAAGATCCCAAGTCACGATAGGGTCACTCAACATGCGGGTAGGGTTAGGCAAGCAAAATTTTCACATCAGAGGGTGGTTACTGGAGGACAGGCCACCGGGGGTTTTGAATCACCCAGCATGCACCAGCCCACATTCGCGCACGCACGGCATAACCTTACATAGACGCGGTATGAGGACTGCAGGAGTCTCAAAGCTGCCTGCGAGCGGAACGTTGAAAAGGTTTGTGAGGGAATTGGATGAGGCGATAGGCTTCAACGTGGCAACCTGAAATCCTGAGATGCACGGTGATGAGGACCATTATAGGTTCCTGCACTTTGGTCCTTCTGGGGATTTCTTGATAGGATGCAAAGTTGCAAACCACGCCAGTTGTGAGATGGAGATCATGTACCTTCATCCTAGTGCGGACATGAACTTCCTTCTCTTCCTTTGGCCTCCTTGATGCTCTCGTCTGGAGAGAGAGGGCGGGACGATCCGCTACTTGCATGGTACGTGCAGCTTATTTTCAGCGCAGCGTCACATCGCCACTGACAGGAGTCGGAGCACTATCCGGCGCTCGAGCAGCATGTGTGACAGCACGGTGGGAAGCTCAGTACGTAGACGAAGAATCGATTCGGCTATCTCTTAGAATCTAAAGGTAAGGAAGGAAGAAGGGAGTGGGAGAGCCAGAGCTTATATACGCCAGAGTGAAACATGCTTAAGCTCTAAGCCCGATCCGTTCCCAGGGAGGATCACGTGGAGGCTACCCAAGTGCTCACGTGATCTATAACCAGGTGATCCAGATCAGTGTGATCCAGGTGATCCGTAACAGCATGCCAGCAGCAGCGGACATGGAAAAACTGAAATGCACAACATACCTTTTTTCCCTCTTTTCCCGACATGAGCTGACTAGCCTGCGGGTATTTCTTAAAACAACATCTCACAGGGGGATGCGTGTCTCGAAACGAGGCAAGTAGGTAGGAATTTTATGATACCGATGGCAAGAGCGAGTCTGCAGTGAAGGATGGAAACGGTCTTCCGCCACCGCGGAAAAGTCTGCTGTTTCCCCTTGAATTTCCTTTCGAAGCACACCCTCTTCCTGTTCTTCATTCCATGATTTGAATTCGAGTTTGCCTGTCGTATTCGCAAGATGTTATTGAATTCAATCTTTGTTAATAATCCCCGCAGCCACACACCTTCTTTGGTTCAAGTCTACAAGGATATGATTACGTCCTCAACCTTCTGAGACATTTCACATGAAAGTTTGTGTGTGTGACCTCTAGATTAGATAATGGGGTTCAAGACTCCTTTTCCATCTCCCCTGCTTTTCATCCATTTAGGCACGAAGCGAGCGCATCATTTGATTGGCATGTAAGACAGGACACCATCTCCAAAGCTGATGTTGAGAATTGCATCGCAACCCTCTTTTGAATATGAAGATTTCTGATTTTAGACACGGGATCACCGGATGAATGAAGCAAGGTCTCGACAACATGAGATGATATCATGATGTCTCTGGTCCATCTTGAAAGGGATGCGCGTTGGACCCCTTATCTTGCTGAGATGTTGTGCTTCTGTCAGACAGAGATAAAGTTGCATGGGAGGTTGGGATCATTTGATCGCGATCCTCGAGGTTGAAGTCTCAACTACCGTCATGAAGACTCATGAAGACAGAGCACATCTTTATGGGCTTGCGAGATGGGTGCCAATGTCCAAGTATGTACTGGGCAATGTATTAGAGTTCCAACTTGTCTCACCTGTTTGTTTCGTATCTTCTTCAATAGCCCTAGAAGGGTTACTACATAACAGCATTGTTTCGCATCACGATTTGCACCTTTCAAACACCTCTCTGTAGCCTCCTAGGGTTATCCAATACCACCATCTCTTCAATCCAATTCTTGATCACGTTGAAACGCTCATGTTTCTCACCTCGTAATAATCAAGGCCAATTCCCACCATCTCGTCCCATCCTCACTCAGCTGAGCCTCCTTAGCCAAGCTATCCAACATTCCCAGACTCTGAATCGGGAAAAGTAGGAACGCATGTGAAGGAGGCTTACGCCAGAACCCAAACAGGCTGAAAATGAAACTCCAATACTTGTTCGAGTCAAGCCACCATCTACGTTTGGATATGTGGTTTGGGATAAGAAATCCGGGGAAGGGTTTCTGCAGCACTAACGGCTCTGGTGGAGAAACATCACGAGCTGAAGTGTTGCTCTGTCTCAGACATTGAATTCATCTTCACAATTCAACGAGGAAAGATCACCATGTGGAAAGCAGATTCGGAGAACGCTCCGGAGACAGGACGATTTGAAGAAGCTGATTACGATCTGCTATTATGATTCACGTAAATGGAAATAGATGAACTCGCAAGCCACTTCCAATGTTCACAACACCACCCCAACCATCCGGGGAATCATCCGCCTTTCAAGGCTGCCAACCGAACATTTCCCAAACTACCATCTTTCGAACCCATCTCGTATACTCTATTCTTTGAAGTCGCTGTCATTCTCATCCCGCTTCCTCACTATCGCTGCTCCCTTCAAAATCTCGCGTCGTCAGCTGTCGTGCATCATACTCAGCACCAATATATCACTGAATACATTCAGCACCGATCTCAGATTGTGCTTCGGAAGCCCTCATCCCCCTTGCCTAGTCGCACCCCTCCTCGCAAGCCACATCACAATCACACCCAATCAGACCCCTCCCTAACGACTCGAAAATCCGGGGTAAGCCGCCACAATCAAAAACGCGCGGTACGAGCGTGAGTCAGGGATAAAATCATCACCTGCTCTCACTCACCCTACCTACCCCTATCTTTCCTTTCAGAATGAGAAGTGATGAGACACAGGAAACCATTCTGCTTAAGCCGACGAGAGCCATATTCATGTCATGGTAAAACAGAGGGAATTTTCGTAACGTGTTATGCGACACCTCCTCAGCTCATGAACATGCGGTCCAAGCTCCCGAGCTGGCTGTGCCGGCTGTCTTATTTGCCTCAATACCGTGATTGATTGATTGATACGGAAGAGGCCGATAGACGAAAAGGGCTGAGCGAGAGCGACCTGTGGTGCGATGCATAGACGCGTCTCGCCCCCTCCCCTCTCTCGGCACCGTTCCTTCCTTTCTTATCCCTATCTCACCATTTCCCGCTACACAGGCACGGCCCCAATCATCCTCGGCATCTTATCTCTCAACTACTCAACTCATTCATGCAAGCCGAATCCTTCACCAGGCCAGACCAGACCTTTACCGACGCCGTGCCACGGACATCCATGCCGAATATTTCATGTCGATACCTAGGTATAGCCCAATTGTGCCGCCAATATGTGTCCCGTTCCCTCCTTCACCGCTCGGGACAGATAGACGTTGTACTCGGTCGGGTTGGAGGTAAGCTGACGGGAGGGTGTGGTGCCTGATTGAAGCAGGAACGGTAATGTTGTTGATGCCATTGATGCCGTTGAAGATACAGGGACGGCTGACGCGATGGTCGAGGAGGTTGGAGAGAAGGAACATGTGAAATTTTTGATTCGTTGGGATGAGGTGAGAATTGGAGAAGGCGTTCTTGATAATTGCTTCCAAGTTACGACGGCTTGTCAGTTCATGGATGAATAGCAGGCAAGAGGAACAGTAGTAAGTGGTTGGGCACGTGATATGGAAAGTCCTCCTGTTGATCAGCCGCTTGCTTCTCAGCGAAAGGGCTCAAGTGATTCCCTTCATTGAGCATCCATCTAGCAAGGTTTAGAGAGCAGTCAGCAACTGTTGTCCTACATTTCCATCTTTCATTTTCTGCTCTTACTTCACCTGCCAAAGAGCATCGTCGAGCGTTTGCGCTGTTCGCATGCCTGTTGTCAGCAGAATATACTTCACAGCTTCATCTTCAGGATATATTACTTCTGGCCTTTATCTAAGCCATATTTGTTATGAAAATGAAGTCCTTTATCTCATGAACCTCTCATTTACTTTATATCCGAACGTTTCCTGTTGAAGTGGTTAGCTATTGATCTGGTGTACAGTCGTTGCAGCTCCAAGTCTGACACTTTGATGAACCATGATCTGAGACCCATTAAAAGCGATGCGGAAGTAAATAATAGCTTCGATAATGCTACCCTCGTGTGAATTTTGCGGCTCGAAGAGCCCCGTAACGTCCGATTTTTGATTGGGGTTCATTTGGTTTGATGTGATTCTGAGTTCAAGCCGTCCCTCTCATGGCGTGGATGAAACACACTCTCGACCCTTGCTTAATGAGACCAAGGATTGATTTCAGGGCTATAAAAGTTATGAGAACTATCTTGAAAAGCTCGCTTTACACTTCATTTTCATCTCTTCTCATCTTAGCTAGCTTGGTCTCGAGCAACGAAAGTCGATGAAATCTGATCTTCGGACGCTGCACTAAGAACAAGCTCATGAGATGAGATAAAGGGGGAAGCTCTTCTCAAATGTCTGATGTTACTGAATGAACCGAAACAGAAGGTGAACTCAAAACATTCTCGCTTAGCAAGTAAACAAACCCCTAAAAGCGCAAAAGAATTGTTTCTCAACACTCGACTAAAGTTCCAAAAAAAATCCAATCTAACCCTTAGAAATGGGGGTAGACCTTGAAAAACTTGCTCGGTGTCGATTGCAGTTTTGATCGCGAGAGTGGCGTATCGATCGTTCGTTCGTATGCGGGCCAGGCGTTAGTTTTCCCATTTCCAAGCTCTTAACCCACGGTGACCTGAACCACTGACCTAAGTGGCACGCTGCTCGTGGTTGTGGTGTAAAATCTGCTTTTTTGGATCTATATGTTGAGTAGGGTGGGTAGCGAGAATCGGAATTGGTATGTTTACATTGCGGAAATCAATATCAATATCTCAGCTTCGAAATTCAGACTAGAGAAAGTGAATGAATGAGGTGCATATTTCTGTTATTGCTATCTGCATACTCTATTCTTACATGGTGCTATCAACGTGAACACGACTTTCATCTGAAGAGCTGTTCTCAGATAATCTATGTTTACGAGTAGAATGAGAGTGAATGTCTGGTCCGAAGCCAGATATTATGACTCATTTCCAGTCCTGGAGACGAGTGGGCAATTCTCCCTTCTCTGCTATTGAAAGCCGGATCCCGCCTTAAACACAGAATCCCTCATGCTGTATCCTACTTGTACAAAAGCATCTTTCCTCAAGGCTTCAATCCCTCACTCGGGAGTCCCAGCCCTGTCCTCCAAGGTTTCGCGTTGGTGCAAGGCTTCGGGGCAGACTTGATCGGCATCACCCTCTCCAATATCGAAGCCTGCAAGAAAGCAAAGCCACTGCTACTGAGCCAATATAATACCAAAGCGCTTGGAACATGAATCATTATTGGCCCAATACAAAGAGCTACCAAACCCATGTTCCTCTTCAACCTTACTTGCCATTTTGGCAGCGCCAAGTCTTGCCCCTTGATACCGCCACCGAAAACGTTCAGCAGTATAGTTCCAGATAGAATGAACGGTAGGACAAGTTGAGGATCCGCTACCAAGAGATCCGGAAACCACAGCATTCCTTCATTGGCAAAGCTGGACTCGACAGGTATCCGTATAGCCTCTGCAACCAATCCATCTCCTGTCAAGAATGCCGCTGTATCCTCAATACCTGCTTCCTTCACAGGTCCATTGGTACCAAACATCATGCCAATCCAGCCTTGACTCGAACCACTCATATTCCTTAGAGCTTCCATGATAGTCAAAAAGACGGGCAATTGCGCCAAGCCCAAGAAACCCTTCCATATCCCACACCTGTATCTTCTGTATATCTCCCGTCTCTTCTTCCTTAAGCTGGAAATGAGAGCTTGTTCCGCAACCTGTGGTCCTAGATGTCCGTATTGCTTCATAGCCTGTTTCTGGAGTGTGAAGCGCCATGCTTGAATCAATGGCTCGAGCTGAACTTGTCGTTGTGCAGCGCGGCGTTGGTAGATAGATAAAGGAAGTATGAACGTAGTTCGTAGTACGAGTGCGAATAGAGGAAGGGACAAGGCCCAAGGGAGTCCGCTGAGGTCGTGTACCGATTGCAGGGCGGTATGGGACGCATTTATAGCTTCCGTTACGAATTGTCGTTGCGAATTAGAGCGTAATGGTCGACTGGGGACGGCTCTCTGGGTTCGAATCTGCGGTGCAATTGAATGTGTAAAGAAGGGTCTCGTCGAGGAGAGACGAGGAAGGGCCATGCTTCCTTTCGAGGGACAGATATATCTACCAATGTTCCAGTGACTTCGACGTCGTAGAAGTAGGACAATGTGAACACAGCCACGAGAGCCCAGAAGTGGTTCTTAGGCCAAACCCCCGAATCGAAAGCTGGCACCTTTCGAGAAGCCCTTGGCCACATAGTGAGGTCGAGCTTGAGCTTGATCGTGAGGTTTTGTTTATCAGGCGATACTTCGTATCGTAGATTAGCTTGCTCCACTTGGCGAAATGTCGGCGTCTCGGAGCCGCGCCCAAAAGTGACACAGTCGCGCATATCGAGTCCAAGGAATCCGGATTTCTTGGCCTTTCGCAGCCTTGCCTTACTTGGCCTTTGCTCCCTTCTCTCTTCTTCACAACACCAACACAACACAAGGATGGCGGAGACATGCAGAGCTCTCGACGGCTCTGAAGCGATAACCTTCGGCCTTACGAAATGGAGAGCGATCATTCTGGTTATGACCGTGGGTTGCCTACCTATGGCTACGATACTCCTGGGTCCGAGGCTGGTTTATTGGCTTGGAAGGACGGTAGGCTTTTATTTGAGGAACAAAACCGCGGGTCGGAAAGCGCAGATCCTGGAAATGACCGAGAAAGACGAAGCAGAATGGGAAAAGCAGAAGGAGGGGAGGAGGGACAGTGATGAGTGGGAGAATGTGGATGCGTATACAGTTGGAAGCGTCGGAAATGGGGAGAAGGGAGAAAGCGAATGGGATGGGATTGTAGGTTTCCTTCATCCTTTTTGGTAAGTATATCATCCGCAATCGAAGAATAGCAGCTGATGGACATAGCAATGCGGGTGGTGGTGGGGAACGTGTCCTTTGGGCTGCGATACGAGCTACGCAGAAGAGGTGGCCGAAAGCCAAATGTGTGGTTTACACTGGTGATCATGATGTGGATAAAGCTGCTATATTGGCGAGAGTGAAGGTTGGATTCATCCTTTCATTGGCAGACTGTGTGCTAACTACAGCAGAACCGCTTCAATATCGCTCTTCATCCGCCTACAGTCACTTTCCTCTACCTAACAACTCGACACTGGGTCTTGGCTTCAACATGGAATCACTTCACCCTGCTTGGTCAATCAATTGGCTCCTTGATTATGGCTTGGGATGCCTTCGGTCTTCTTACCCCAGATATTTTCGTCGATACGATGGGCTATGCATTCTCCCTTGCATTGAGCAAGCTTCTCTTCCAAGATGTCCCTACAGGTGCATATGTCCACTACCCCACTATTTCCACGGACATGCTATCTTCTCTCGATCCCGAATCTGATGTGGGATTCCAAGGAGTCAATGCTGGGAAAGGACAGGGTGCTGCAGGAATCGGGAAGAAGCTCTACTGGGAATTGTTTGCCAAAATGTATTCTTTCGCAGGAGGATCTATCGATATAGTGATGGCAAACTCGACCTGGACCCTGGAACATATCACTTCTCTCTGGAGTGAATGGAGGAGAGAATTCAGTAAGCCGAGACCAGTTGCTGTATACCCTCCCGTCGCAGTTGAAGAATTGGAGAAAGAAGTCGAAGTTTCGGAAGCTAGCGAAAGCAGGAGAGAAAATGTGTTGCTATACATTGCCCAATTTCGACCAGAGAAGAATCATCAGCTCATTCTGAATGCATTTGCGGAATTCATGGCCACAAGTACGCCTGCCACCAAAGGCGCGAAACTTGTTTTGGTAGGATCAGTTCGGGACGATGGAGACAGTAAGAGGGTATACGAGCTCCGCCTTCAAGCCAATGAGCTGAAAATTAAGGAAAGCGTCGAGTTCCATCTTGATGCTTCGTGGCCCGAGATCTTGGACTGGTTGAGAAAAGCGAGCGTGGGTGTGAATGGGATGTGGAACGAGCATTTCGGTATCGGAGTTGTCGAGTATCAAGCAGCTGGTTTGATCAGCGTTGTCCATGATAGTGGTGGACCAAAGAGGGACATTGTCACCAAAATCGATGGTGAACCAACAGGTATGTCTCTGTATTTCTTTTCCTCATTGAGACTAACATATTCCCAGGCTTCCATGCAACAACCTCCGCCGAATTTGCCCAAGGTTTTGAATCAGCCCTCTCCCTCCCCGCTGAAGCCAAATTGGCAATGCGGAAACGGGCTCGCCAATCAGCAAAGCGTTTCACAGAAGAGGAGTTCGCCAAAGATTGGATTGCACAGATGGAGAAGTTGGTAGCATTGCGGATACAGAGGAAAAGTGTCGAGAAGGGAGGAGGAGGAGGAGGAGGGAAAGAGGGCCATCTCAAGACTGCTTGAGTACGATGATCTTTATATCAGTTATTGACATATACCCATTTAGTTGTATAGAGTGATAGAGTGAATGCTATTTGACTTATCCATGTTGTGTACCGGGCCCTTTTGTGAGTAGGAACTCGGATTCATGTGAACGTGGGACATGAAGTATTGATATGAAGTTTGAAACAGAGTACATTGGTATATTTTGATTTAAAAGATTTCGACGAACGCTGGAAGGTTCCCACTCAAATTTTAGATCGAGGTGTTCACAGCTTTTTAGGGCTGAAAAACGGTATTTCGGGTTGCTGCCTTCTCGCTCCAGATATCACTCCAGGCCAGTCATCACTTCAACAATTCAAAATGTCTACAATATTCTTGATTCAACGTAAAGTACAGTAATCCTATCTGTCATCTCATCTTCTGGCTGCCTACCAAGCTATGCAAAAGAAGCATAACATATTACCCGACCCCTCCCATCATGCAAGAAACAGAAAACACTCAGTAAAGGTATGAACTCCAACCCAAGGAAAAGAAAACATCAAGTGCGTGAGCATGCAGCATTATATACGTCGTCAACGATCATGTAGTCTAACCAGAGCACATCAAGCACTCCTCTCTGTTGTCAATGCTGCCTGGAGAATGGTCAGTGCTGATCTGGAAATGAGACAGGGAACTTACACTGCAGAGCAGCCTCGGCATAGATATCATGCTCTCTATCATCACTCTCTTCCTTGGTATCCTCTTCTTGCTTGGTCTTCTCGATAGCAGGTTCGGGAAGCTCTTCCTCTTTTGGTGGAACGGTTGTTGGCTCAGTAGCCAAAGACTTGGGGCTATCACCTTCGGGAACATCAGCCTTGAATGTAGGAGGCTTAACAACAGCAGCTGGATTGAACTTCTTGTTCTCAGACGCCGGCGGAGGAGTTGTCGTCGGCGTCGGAACTCCGTTTGGGGCACTGATTGGGGTCTTGTTGCGGTACAATGGTTGAGGACCAGGAGATTGAGTAATGTAGCCAGTGGATGGACGCTTCTTAGCAGGTCTCTCACGAGCAACGTTGGTATCAGCAACGAGAAGAGCTTCTTGGTCGACAGTAAACTGGATAGGAGCTGAAGCAGCCATGGTACGGAGATAGTACATGCCAGTTTTCAGACCCAACTTCCAGCCAGCGAAGTGCATACTGGTGATCTTGCCCATTGTGGGATCCTTCATGTGAATGTTCATCGATTGTGATTGGTCAATGTAAGCACCACGGTCAGCGGCCATTTGGACGATGGTTCGCTGTGAGATTTCCCAAACGGTCTTGTAAAGAGCCTTGATATCAGCTGGGATGTTGGGGATGTTCTGAATCGATCCACCATCGGCAATGATACGGTTCTTCATGTTGTCAGACCAGAGACCCATGTCAACAAGATCCTTGAGCAACCATGGGTTGACGACTTGGAACTCGCCAGCAAGAACACGACGAGAGTAGATGTTGGACGTATATGGCTCAAAGCACTCATTGAAGCCAAGAATTTGACTGGTGCTGGCAGTTGGCATAGGAGCGACAAGCAAGCTATTGCGAAGACCATGTTGCTTGATTTTCTGCTTCAAGCTGTCCCAATCCCAGAGATCTGTTGGAGTAACACCCCACATATCATACTGCAACTCGCCCTTGGAGGCAGGAGAACCCTCAAATGTCTCATAAGTGCCATCAACCTTGGCAAGCTCAACTGAAGCAGTGAGTGCGGCATGGTAGATGGTCTCGAAGATTTGAATGTTGAGGTGCTTGGCCTCTGGAGAGTCGAATGGAAGACGAAGAGCCAAGAAAGCATCAGCAAGACCCTGGACACCAACGGCGATAGGTCGGTGGCGGAAGTTGCTTCTCTTGGCTTCGGGAACAGGGTAATAGTTGACATCAATGATCTTGTTCAAGTTCTTGACAACGACTTGGCAGACTTCGTGAAGTCTCTGGAAGTCATAAGTGCCGTTGTTCATGTCGACATAGGTAGGAAGGGCAAGTGAAGCCAAGTTGCAGACGGCAACCTCATCTGGAGCACAGTACTCAACAATCTCAGTGCAGAGGTTCGAGCTTCGGATGGTACCGAGATTCTTCTGGTTGCTCTTTCTGTTGCAAGCATCCTTGTAAAGCATGAAGGGATTGCCAGTCTCGGTCTGAGCCTCCAGGATGGAGTACCAGAGCTTTTGCGCCTTGATGGTCTTGCGACCCTTACCTTCGCGCTCATACTGCTCGTAGAGAGCCTCGAATTCATCGCCATAGACATCAGCCAAGCCTGGGCACTCATTGGGGCACATCAAAGTCCACTCGCCATTCTTTTCAACTCGCTTCATGAAAAGATCAGGAATCCACAGGGCGTAGAAGAGATCACGAGCTCGGACCTCCTCCTTGCCGTGATTCTTTCGAAGATCAAGGTACTCGAAGACATCGGCGTGCCATGGCTCAAGATAGATAGCGAAAGCACCTGGTCGCTTGTTACCACCTTGGTCAACGTAACGAGCAGTGTTGTTGAAGACTCGGAGCATGGGGACGATGCCGTTCGAGTTACCATTTGTTCCTGCAATGTAGGCTCCGGTAGCGCGGATTCGATGAACGTTGAGGCCAATTCCACCAGCATTCTTGGAAATCATGGCGCAAGTCTTCAATGTGTCGTAGATACCGTCGATACTGTCCTCCTTCATGTCGACAAGGAAACATGAAGAGAGTTGGGCTTGTGGAGTACCAGCAGCGAAGAGAGTTGGGGAAGCATGCGTGAAGCACTTCTGGGACATCAGATTGTATGTCTCAATCGCAGCCTCGATATCTTCACCGTGAATGCCGACTGCTACTCGCATAATCATGTGTTGTGGGCGTTCGCAGATCTTGCCATTGAGGCGGAGGAGGTATGATCGCTCGAGAGTCTTGAAGCCAAAGTATTGGTAATTGAAATCTCGGTCGTAGACAATAGCGGAATTAAGTTCTGCCTCGTGCTTGATAACACACTTGTATGTGGCCTCGCTGATCATAGGAGAAAGCTTGCCATTCCGAGGATTGACGTAGTTGTAGAGGTCTGATATCACAGTCGAGAACTGCTTCTTGGTCTGCTTGTGGAGGTTGGAGACTGCAATTCGTGCAGCGAGGATGGCATAGTCGGGATGGGTAACGGTCATGTATGCAGCAGTTTCTGCGGCCTAGGTCGGAAAGTCAGCAGAGCTCGACGCGTTTGGACGCGTGGAATGGATAGGGTAGAGGTAATTCGTACCAGATTGTCCAGCTCAACTGTTGTTACACCTTGATAGACACCAGAGATAACCTTTTGGGTAATTGCTGCAGCATCGACATGTTCGGCGTCAAGTCCATAACACAGTCGAGAGACGCGAGCTGTGATCTTGTCGAATTGAACGCGTTCCTTGCGTCCATCTGCAGAGCATTAGCTGAGGTCAAGATTGTATATAGCTGAGGAACATACCGCGCTTCCACACATACATGGCGGCGACGTGGATAGGGAAGTTCTTGGGAGAGGGGTCGATGATGTAAAGGGGCAAAGAAGATTTTGTTGACGTAGAGTATCAATGCGAGTGATCCTACGAGTTGTAGTGTTACTCGACACGATCAATCAACTTTGGAGGAGATCTTGAAGTTGTTGAAGAAGGATGAAGAAGTTCGGCGTTGACGAGGGAGGAAGAATGTTTTTGAAGTACCTACTTTACGCGCCACGACGCGACTTCCTCGTTTGTCAGCCACGCGCTAGTCTGAACCTTGGATGTCAATAACGCGAAACCACTTTAAGATGTGTTGCCTGAAACCCTTAGCAACGAGGTGTTTGTGTGGGGAATATGGATGGGAATTACGTTCTGCATGAGTCACGGACGGAGTTTTCGGGTTGATGCATGACCTTAGAGTGTTTTACATGCAAGTGTTAGAAGTCACGTGTTTTGGCGTTGGACAAAAAAGGGGTGAGGAGAGTAGCGAGGGCGTTCAGCATGTTGAAATTATGATATTGACAAGTTCACAACATTATGGATCGTTGCAGGCCGGCAAGATCAGCTTTCCAAGCACAAGACCACTGAGGGAGTTGAGGTAGTAGAATTAGAATCACTGCATCTTTTACAGCTGGATCAAGTCATTCTCCAGGTTTCATTTCTACATGCTCACGACTTCCGACCACCCAATAGGTCGTTTAATACTACACCAGGATGATTTCCGCTGTGTATCGGCAAACCGGAATCTTCTGAAACCGAGGAAGGAGCGGCGGGAAGGAGAACTTGACTCCAGTCATCAATCTCATGTATCTTGCGGCCTTCAAGATTAGCCACCATGGTTTCCAATGACCCATCTGGACGATCAGTTGGGCTCTTCCGATATACAACCTTTGTAATCTCGCCGTGTCGAGCAGTGAAGTTCAGCGAGAACTGCGTCCTGATTAGAAAGCTCCCACAGAGGAGAAGATACTTACGCCAGATGAAATGTTAGGATCGTTGGGCGATTCTCCTTTCTTGAGATGGTCTGAATCGAAAGAGAAAGTGAATTGAGGAGTCTGGCAATAAATCCAATCAAGGGACTGACTATTGTTAGCCTCCAATCTTCGGCGGTTGAGGAGATCTGCACAAACCTTCAGCTCCTTCAAACCTTTACCTATCTCAGGAACATCCTCCTCCTGATTTCCGACCAATATAACCTCTGTACTTCCATACATCTCGTTGAATTCGCTGATTACACTCTCTTCGAAAGCTTCATTGGCCACTCCCGTATTTGTAATTGGTGAGCTCACACTCTCAACGCCCCTTGTTTCGATGTACGGCTTCGCTTTGGATCGGAGGTATTGAGAAATGATTGGCAGATTCGGACTGGATAGAAGGCATGTTCCATGATGCAAAGATCTCTGCCGTACAAGCTTGTACGCAGAACCCGAGACCTTGAAGGTCTTGTCCTCCCCTTTTACCTCTTGGTCCACCAGTATATCATGACGCTCGTTGACCCTGGCCCTCTCAATTCCAAGCTTCTTTAGAGCTCGAACCACCATATGCGCATGTTTATCTCTATCGAAAGCCGGTGGGGGACATATAACGCTGTAATTCACGTTCCCTTCGTCATGGAAAACTGTTCCTCCTCCTGAACGACGTCGCACAAGGTCAATTTTCAGCTCTCCATGGCGGAGCAGGCTAAGATTGACTTCGAACCAAGGATTCTGATTTCGTCCGAGAACAATAGAAGGTCGATTCGTATATAGAAAGAGGACTGTTGATTCGGGAGGTGTCTTCTGCAAAAGGAAATGCTCAATTGACAGGTTCAAGTACGGATCGAGAGATCTGGACATATAGACTTGTGATTTATTCGCCGAATTGGACGCTGCATAGGTAAATTGGGAATATCTTCGTACAAAAGGAGAAACATTGGAATGTACTTGCAGGATGCGGTGCCATCCTCTGGAGGGTGCCATGTGTCTCGAATGGAAAGTAGATATCAAGGCTGAGAGTCGAACTGTGGATCAGTGAAGCTCTCGGGAGCTTCAGGCTGCACGACGCTAAGGCGGTGAAGATCTTCTCCGAGCTCGGCTGCCACAAAACAGTCACCAGGCTGAAGAAAACAAAAAGAATCGCCTCATCCTCGAATTTCGACGAAAACACTCAACCCTTCACGATGTCGACCTTTGGGCAGTACTTCAAAGTTACTACGTAAGCTGGCCTCAATTGGCCGAACAGAGGAACGTGCTCACAATTGCTAGGTACGGCGAGTCGCATTGTCGCTCAGTAGGATGTATCGTCGATGGTGTCCCTCCAGGAATGGAGCTTACAGAAGATGATATCCAACCGCAGATGACAAGAAGAAGACCAGGCCAGAGTGCGCTGACCACGCCTCGCAATGAAATGGACTTGGTGGAGATTCAATCTGGTACAGAATTCGGCGTCACTCTCGGAACTCCAATCGCAATGATCGTACGAAATAAAGATCAAAGACCTCACGATTATGGAAACAAGACAATGGATCTATACCCGAGGCCTAGTCACGCAGATTGGACATATTTGGAGAAGTACGGAGTCAAAGCCAGCAGTGGCGGAGGCAGAAGCAGTGCCAGAGAGACGATTGGAAGAGTTGCTGCCAGTGCCATTGCAGAGAAGTACTTGAAGTTGTCCTACGGCATTGAGATTGTGGCTTTCGTCTCTTCTGTGGGTAGTGTACACATGTTCCCTCCTACTGCGACGCATCCTACACCATCTACGAATCCTGCCTTCCTTTCTCTGATCGATTCAATTAGCAGAGAGAAGGTCGACGAATTCGTTCCAGTACGATGTCCAGACAAGGCTGCATCCGAGAAGATGGCGGAGTATATCGCAGATTTCAGGGACAGACAGGACAGTATTGGAGGTACGGTGACGTGTGTGATTAGGAATGTGCCTAGTGGGCTAGGAGAGCCATGCTTCGACAAGATGGAAGCTCTGCTTGCTCACGCAATGCTGAGCATTCCTGCTACGAAGGGATTCGAGATTGGCTCGGGTTTTGGGGGATGCGAGGTTCCTGGCTCGACACACAATGATCCTTTCATTCTCGCTCCGGAAGTACCACCACTAGAGACTGGCGCGACGAAGAATGGCATTCCCAGACCGAAGCTTACCACGAAGACCAATAATTCAGGAGGTATTCAAGGAGGGATCACCAACGGAGCACCGATATACTTCCGAGTAGCGTTCAAGCCACCTGCGACGATTGGTCAAGCTCAACAAACATCAACATACGATGGAGATGCAGAGGGTGTATTGGAGGCGAAGGGACGACATGATCCATGTGTCGTTCCTAGAGCTGTGCCAATTGTTGAGGCTATGGCTGCACTGGCTGTTGTTGATGCTTTAATGGCTCAACAATCGAGGCAGATGACAAGAAATCTTTTACCGCCATTGAAGCAAACAATACCGGCAGCTAAATCTGCTCTTGAGACTGAGGCGAACGAAAAGCATGGCGTCAACGGAGTTGCAAAATAGAGAGAAATGAATTGGACTTTTGATCGTATCTGTCTTCCCTGTTATCGATGTCTGCTCTTGGATGAAGCATCAGGGGCGATGAACTAATCTCTTTCGATTCATATAATCTTCCTGTCGACATTTCAGTCCGCAGACTGGTTCTAGGTCGTGCAGCTCTCAAACGTGGCGTTCCGAGAAGAGGTCGAGATTGCAATCTTTCTCATTCAGCCTCATACACAAACTTGGTATTGTGCTCAATAATCCGATGGACTGGACATTAATCATTCTCAGGAATGACTGGTGCATTTAAGGGCATTCTTGCATATGCCACAATGGAGCTAGGAAATATGGGAGTTTCCCGGAACTCGTTTCTCAGCATTCATTCGATAAAGCGTCTTGAGCACGTAGGACATGACAAGCCACTTAATCACATGCTAAACGAGTCATCAGGAACGAGGAGCATTCAAAGTCTTCATCCCAAGAAGCTGAAGAACTCTGGAGACCAGGCCGAATATTGTGGCATCAATCAAGTGATCGACTCAGCTTTGCTGTCAGCCCCCATGTCCCAAGCTTTGATTTGTCCCCCTCTCACTGCCATCCACGAAGAGCTCCTGGACAATTTAGTGGCAAACATTCCGAAAATCACGCTACCCCTCTCCTTCGGAAGTCGTATATCCTACTAGTGCTTAGTGTTCCTCGACAAGTGGATCATATTTTCTTATGAATGACGAGTCATTGCGAAACACTGACGATGCCGTATTGCAACCAGTGGTATCTAGAATTTTTGTATAAAAAGTGCGGAGGTTGTGGACCTAATTTGGACTCGGGACTGAAGTACCGAAAATCTAGGAGCGGGGCTAAACATAGACCCCTTTGAGACATCGACTGACAGCTGGTTGACTGTGGCTTGAAATTTACGGACACTGAAACAAAATGTCTCGTCTCGTTTGGGTGCTGAAGGAGGCTCTCAAGCAAGATCTTCGTAAGTTGGGGAGCTCCTTCTCAGCTCTCAATAGCCTTCCTATCTTGTCCAGGTGGTGCAAAGGCATCCGGTACACAGCATTAATAGTCGGCCCGTGGTGCCACGTGACTGCTTGTGAGACATTCAAAACGACCTAATTTCAACATCATCGTTGCACAACGTCGAAGTCAATGGCCCCAAGCCTTGGTTCAAGAACTCAGCACGGTAGGATTTCTTTTGCCAAGGTACGGTAAGTTTACGGTCTCGCTCGATCTCTCCAATTGGCTCTCGGTCAATATCTGCGCACGAACGAGGTCTGGCCATGTTCCGAATATCATCTCCTCACGGCCTGCGTCAAATTGGCAACGCCATTTTTCACCATCTTGCAGCTGCGCCGAGGCCTGGCACCTTGGTTTTTAGCGATCGTCAAAAGTTGACGAGAATGGTACACAAACTGCGGTCCTTTGGTGAAGACCGATTTCGGCATGGCCATACTTGCAAGGACCGGAAAGAGAAGATCATTTGTTCTCGCACAAAGGTCCAATTGATACTTGATCGACTGCTCCATGGACCATGGACTTTGTACTCTGACAAAGCTGCCAACGCAGAAATTCAGGAATCGGGAAAAAGTATCTTTTACGGCTGAGGGATCACGGCTTTTACCCTGCAGCCATCCATTCAGCTGCGCCTTGTGAGATGGCGCTCATTGGCTATATCGCATCACAACACCGTCTCACCACGACTTTCGCTGCCACTGATGCTGACAGCAAAAAGCCACAGTTATCGCGCTCTGGTCCTCTAAGGCAGAAGCTGCCGCCGTCCCTCAGTTCGGAATCTGCCTGACAGGGAAGTCCTTTCGATGTGTCAGCTCATCTTCTCCGTGCCACTGGTTTATCACCAGCCCTACCATTTCTTCTTCCCATCTGCCATGCTTTCGGGATCACTGTCTGGTCCGCCCCTGGAAACAACACGATCGCGGGTAATCCTTTCTTCGGACCTCGATCACCTTCGTTGACTTCCAGAGAAGTTTTGTTTTCTTTCATTATTGTTTTGCATTATATTATCTTTGGCCGATGTTCGCAGCCTGCCAATCACTTACTGGTGGCCTCACCGCGACTTCGTCTTACACAACAGGCTGCTGAAGAGAAGGAAATTTTGGCGTGATGTCGAAGATACTCGGCGTGATCCTATTGTTGGCTCGATTATCATGGCAGCAGCAAGACCCTGTGACTGATTTTTGTCGGAGATGGGGACATCAAACTGCTGTTATTGATGAGAGGTTGTGGATTGATGGAGGTCAAGTCAATTGGACGCCGTTTACATCAAGCTCGCAAAATGTTTCCAGTACGTATTTTTGCTTCTTTAACACAATCTCTCCCTTTTCGAGGTTGTTGGTTACTAATTGTTCATTCCTGCAGATACTTGGCTGCTTTACAACGACCTCACCATAGATTCTCCTCTTGGAATGCCCCAGCTTAATGCTACAAATTACAAGAACGCTACGGTACCCGATGTCACTGGTGGAATACTCTGGGAAGACAACATAAACAAGCGGTTCTACCTTTTTGGGGGCGAATATTTGAATGATGGAGTTGGACCAAGTCCCGTTAATTTATGGTCTTTCGACGCCATCTATGATTATTGGGTAACCTTTGGAGCCCCTCAAGTCACAGCTTCGATTTCAGGCGTCTCCTATGCTGGCCATGTAGTAGCTCCAGAAGTTGGTCAGGGTTTTGCGCTTGGAGGGTGGATGAGCAATCTTACTGTCCCGAACTGGTCTGGAGGTCCAGTTGCTAGTAGTGCTCTGCTAAAATACGATATGACGACCAATTTGTGGACGAACAGTAGCGGTCCAGATTCTACACCTCGAGCTGAAGGGGCAATGGTGTATATCCCAGCGAGCGACCACGGGCTGTTGATTTATTTTGGAGGTGTCACGGCGCCATATTACAACTCTACAATGGTCGAAGCTCCAATGAGCGAGATTCATGTTTACGATGTAACGAGCTCTAATTGGTATACACAAACAGCAACGGGGCAAATTCCACCAAATCGGAGACGTTTCTGTGCTGGAGCAACATGGGCAGCAGATAAATCCTCATATAACATGTGAGTTCTTCCAACCTGATCCTAGAAGTGGCTAATATCAACCAGATATATTTACGGTGGTCTTGGATTTGGTGCCAACTCAACTGGATTCGATGATTTATGGATCCTGTCATTGCCCTCATTTACTTGGATCCAGTGGTATGTGGGCACGAATCCTGAAGCATATCATCATTCCTTGACTTGTAATGTCGTCAACAATGCTCAAATGCTTGTCATTGGAGGTACCTTTCCTGTTGGGGATTCATGCGACGCTCCGAATGTTTGGGGAACTCATAATGTCGACATGGGAAAAGTATCCGGAAACATGTGGGAGGTTTACACGCCGAATTTGACGACCTACCATGTACCACCTGAGGTAATCTCTATAGTGGGTGGCTCGTAAGTACCTTTTCACCGAGACCTGAAGCAAAGCTGACTTGCCATAGATCCCTTGGAGGCGCCACAGCTACTGCACCAGCTGCAGGATTTCAGAGCCATGATCTCTCCGTATACTTCACGGAACACGCCTCTGCAGCCGTCCGGACTGCAACACGAGCCATTCCTTCCTCCACATCCAGCAGTACTGGAACTTCATCTTCGAAACTTTCGGCTGGTGCAATTGCAGGCATTGCGGTAGGCGGAGCTGTGGTATTAATCGCGATTCTTCTTGGAGGCTGCTGCTTGATCCGTCGCCATAGACGAAGAAACATCCAGCAACAATCACCTGCTGGATATCCCACTCCGGACTACGCCGTCGTGCCCCAGACTCCACACAGCCCTTACACTCCAGGAAGTCAGTATCAGCAAGGATACCAACCTCCCATGCCTGTCCAGCAACATTATCAATTGCCAGCAGTTGTTCCTGTGGAGTTGCAAGGAAATAATTATCAAATGGATCCCACAAAGCATGCTGGTATTCAGCAGCTTCCAGCCGATCAGTATTCCTACCAAGGTTGGCAAGGATCGCCAGACGCCTCACCTCAACCTCAACACCTTTCTCCTTCACAGTCTGTGCATTCACCTCATCCATCACATTCTCCGCATCCATCTTACTTCAGCCCTCAAACGGATTCGAACTCGAATACGTTGTACAGCGCGCCGGGGTCCGCAACGTCACCGACCCCCACCTATTCGAGTGTGGGAAGGCACGCCAGGAAACCTGTTGCACCACCTAATCAGACATACTATTCCCCTTGAATTGTTCATTTTTTGTTTGTAAGCGGACTAGCGAGTGAAACTATGGGCGTTAAGGATGGGACATACCAGTGGCACAATTGCTGCGACATGAATTTATGATGGATACCGTTGGTCTAAAATATATAATCATTGATAGTGTATATTCAAACACAGATGATTCTGTCCATTTGCACTCGTCTGAGAATGACCCTAATGTCGAATTTCAATGTGTAACCGACTCCCCACAGCCCATGCCTGCTCAACAATAGCGTGAAATGTGTCAAGAGCCATGACTATCAAGTCAGAGTTGAGCAATGGCATCTCGTCTCCCCCAACCTTCTAGTACACCTTAATTCCAAGCGGGGTATTTTAGGTGGCACCGTGGCTTTGAAAGATCAGACTAACAATTGTAAGTGCATCGAAGTCAGCGGAATCTTCAGCGTTTCTGATTCGATGTCTCGTATAGTCTACCGTTCAACGTTAAATACTCGGTAAGGTTAACGGTAAATCAACCAATCAAAAGCCACAGAGCCCAAATCCTGAAAATGAAGCGGAAACGCGGACCATCATCCTGCCGCAGACGAGTGTCTCATCTATTGTTTGTGCAACCTTGAACCTTTTCAACATGTGCAATGGATCACCATAATTATACCTCGAAGCCATGAATACATATCTTTCGGTACTGTTATGCCTTGCTGGAGCAGAGCTCTTGCGAAGATGCTACTCGGTCGTCATCTGTGCCTTCACAGGGCCTTTGTCAAAGATTCCAGGGCCATTTTTGAACAAGTTTACACCTATTCCATGGGGAATTCAAAATCTTACAGGAAATTCTATGAATGTGGCACCGAAGATGTTTGCGAAGTACGGCGATGTCATTCGAGTTGGTATGGTTGCTCCTTCCAAGAAAATATATCGTCAGCGCTGACCCGTCTCAGGTCCGAGGGACGTCATGATTGCAGAGAAATCAGGCGTGCAGAAGATTCTTGTTGATGAAGATTTCGTGAAGGCACCAGTCTACGAGAAAGTCCGTCTGTATCCAGGTGTCACAAGTCTCATTACAGAGAGAGATAGAGCTGCGTACAGACAGAAGGTAATTACTGAAGCTGCGACTTGTATTTTTCGCGCTAAGTTTTGCAGCGACGACTGATCTCTCCTGGATTTTCTATTAGCTACTTGAATGGCCTGGAGCCGCTCATGAAGGAATGTTTAGACGTTCTTGAAAGAACTTTGAACAAGGAATGTGAGAAGGGTGGCGGTCATGCGGTAATCAACATGTCACAGATGCTGGGAAATTTAACTTCTGTAATTGTTCTCTCCAATTCATGGAATCACTTGCTAATGAATCAGGATGTCATGAGCGCCACATCCTTCGGGGGCTCGTTCGGCTTAGTTGAGTCAAATGACTTGAAGATGAAGAACATGGTGATGGACCGCTTGAAACGAGCTGCTCTAGATGCACAGCTCCCGTTCATCAAATATCTTCCCTTTGTCCCTCCTTCTCAAGGGGAAGGACTGAATAATATCATTGATGACATTGTCGCCACGCGAAAAGCAGAAAGTCAAAAGCCGAAGAAAGATCTTCTCCAAATTATTGTCGATGTCAATGAGAACAATCCCGACACTTTCACGCATTTGCATGTTAGGGAGGAGATGTCACTGTTCATGTGAGCTTGAATGTTGAAGGACATTTGCGTACTTGACACTGATATAAGTAGGATTGCTGGAGCAGACACGACAAGTACCACGGCCACGTTCACACTTCTTCTGCTTGTGAATAATCAGGACAAGCTCAAAAAGCTGGTGGAGGAGATTGATTTCGCCTTTCCCTCAATCCATGACTCTATCACATTCGCCAAAACGCAAGACCTACCTTATTTGAATGCAGTCATCAACGAGAGTATGAGAAGGATGCCAATTGTGGCGCTCGGTAAGTCGATTGAAAATAGCACAGAGCGCTTTTCAGGAGCTCCATTACCACCGCCTCTTCTTCACTTGCCAGCCCTTCATTGTCCAGATACTGACTCGTGGGTAGGTCTTGCACGCTGGACAGAAAAAACATCCATGATCTCTGGCTTTGAGATCCCGAAAGATGTGAGTCAAAATTGAGGATCCGAAGATGGGAATTAATCATTCATCTAGACCATTGTATCTCCTGCTGTCGGCCAGTTGATGAGAGATCCCCGTGTCTGGCCTGATCCAGACAAATTCATTCCGGAAAGATGGCTAGAACCGTACAAAGATGTGGAAGCTGACAAGAAAGCTTTCCATCCGTTTTCTTCGGGGTCTAGAAACTGTCCCGGACAACAGTGAGTTAAAACTACTGATCAAATGGCTAGTCACTGACCCTCGTAGATTTGCTTTGAAAGAATTGCGACTTATACTTGTTACCCTCATCCGGCGATACGAACTGAGCCTCGTACCAGGTCAGTCGCATGAGATGAGACTTCACACCGTTCCTTGGTTTACTCAAGGATTTTACAACGTTGGAGTGAAGCAAAGATGACATCCTCAACTCATGTTCGACTCTAGACTGGACTTTCTTCCCCCGTGCTCTTCGAATGTTGATAACTCAGAGCTCTGAGGGGGTTTGGGCATGTGGAGTGGAGGAGTTGAATCTTCAGCGGTTGTTAGAGGATGGTGATGAAAAGTTTGATGGTCTTTACCCACAGGACTACGGACGAGGTTGGAGTAATCCAAAACATGCTTGATGATTGCAATGCTAGAGCATTCAAATAGCTGCTATAGAAAGTTGAAACTGCTTACTCGGTCTATTGATGAGTGTCCCTGGTGAGTCGGATGCTTGGGCCTGTAACAAGACGCGTAATCCATCTCCAGAAGGCGTAGGTTTGGCTTCCGAGCAACGAACTGACGAGACGGAACATTGAGTGAGACGAAATGGAGAATGCTGACGAAGGGTAACAAAACATTGAATCGGAAAAAGCAGAAATGTGCACTGAGATCCTACAGGAAAGCTTGAGTACGTTCCCGCCGACAGTAAAGCTTGTTTCAGCGGCATTGCGCAACCGTTTCCGACTAAGATGCTGGGTTGAGCTGAAGTGAAACAGATGTTGTCAAGATTTGGAAGATGGCACGCACTAAGCATCAACTTCGATGGAAGTGGAGCTTCGAGACGGCTGAGCGGGGCGCATAGTTCGCCTTGACGTATGAAAGACAATGAATTTGCGTTGATCGGCGGTAGAATTATTGAAGACGATGGAAGCAATTGCCTTTGCATGAAGAACACTGGACGATCATCTGCATTTCCTATCAGCTCAAAGCCTGTTTCTCGCAAGGACATGGAAAGAGCGCTCCTATGTTGAAGTACTGTGGTAGACTTAAATATGTTCCTGCTCCCAACCGCCCAAGTGCTGGAAACATTCTCTCGCCCCGTATTGATTGCATTTTCCACTTGACTTTTCGCTTCCACCGTTCATCCACCGTTCACCCACACATCAGTATGCGTAGCCAGTCTTTCTTCTCTTTCGCCTTGGTCGCATTTGCTGCTACACATGCAGCTCCACTGCTTGAAGACGTGAAGGCAGCGATCGTTGTTCCAGGACAAGATTTCGTTGAAGTTTCGGATCGACAGGCTGATAATGTAGCATCGCTGTTGGCTTCGTTGCCTGCTGAAAACCATCAACCTGCCCGAAGAGACCTCGCTGGAGATCTCCTCAGTGCTCTTCCGGCCGAAAGTCATCAACCGACAGGAAGAGACCTGTCAGTAGATCTCCTTTAAACCCTTCCTGCGGAAAGTCACCAACCAGGTGCGCGAGACATCAACGCACATGCGACTGCCATCTCAGCCACACTGCCAGCCGACCATTTTCAGGGTTGAAATGTCGAATCCCATGCAGCCTCCATCCTCGCCACACTGTCCGAAAGTAACTTCCAAGGAAAATGGAAAGAGTCGGGGAAGACAGAGGAGAAAGGGTGATACGAGGGAGAGAAAAGGTTGTGGGTGAAGACTTCATGTACATAAACTAGAGTAAGAAATGACGGACATGCTGGGAAGAATCGTTCATCCAGAAATCGTTATTTATCAATCTGAACTCAAATTCTTCCAATTGACCAGAAACTGTATTGTCACACAAGTAGGACTTCCCACGAGGCAGAGACAAAATGCAAGCTTTGACAGCGACTTCCCCTCACCAACATTGAAGCTGAACACACTCGTGCTCAGCGGTTGCCAAATATGTGCTCTGAACATGGTTTGACGCATGTCCATCCTCACTTGTGCAGCTGCCGCCCTCCCGATAACCCAGCTAGAGAACACTTCTTGGAGGGCATGCCGGCCAAGCAGCGACGTGGCTAGAAAATGCCTCGACTATGGCCACGCAATTGACTTGCGAATGCGGCTGCAGATGGATGAACAAGCAGGTATCCGTCGCAGATTGCCATATATCCTGTATGCTTTCCCAATCCTTGGTATCGTGTGTTTCCAAACTTCTCGGTCGCTGAGGGATTTTCGCTCGATGATGTCGTTCGTGCGAGGTTGGGAAACGGTTGATCATCTGAACAGCTCAACGGCGGAGGGAATTGGGTTTGCAGGACGGCTTTTCGTGAAGGATGGCTATTCAGAGGATGCTGAGAGAATGGTTAATTCTCGTCGAAGGCGCAGAGGGGAGTACTGTGTAGATCATGATGGCAATCTCGAAAAGTCGACAACTCGAGGAGGCTCTGGAAACTCGAGCAGGGGAGCTGTTGACCTTCGACCTGTAGTTACCCCTCCTCTGTACAACTTCGCGCTTGCCGCCGTATATCATGGATGCTTGCAGTACGATCATCGCCTTGTCCGTGGATGCTGCAAAGAGTTGACGACGGGATGGTTGTCGTTGGTCCAAGCTTATCTTTGCAGTGGCTTTGGTGTGGCGGGTTGCATACAGCCAAGGACCGTTAATCTGCAAGTGGGGGCTTCAGAGGCTCAAAGTTGATAATTTCGTCAAAGCAGGTTTTACTTGCAGCATGCAATACGAGAAGCACTGCAGCCATTCCAGGTATTCGGGATGTCTCAACCGCTCTCGAGCATTTCCACCTTCCAACCTCATCATCCCACCTCGTTCTTGTACTTGTCTTGGGCATAGGGCAGCTGATCAGAGACCCTTCACATTGTTCGCAGGATCCAGAAGTTTTGCTTTTTGTCTTTGTCAACCCAAAGGATATCCTCACTAGGAGTTTTGGGCGTTGGATCGTGCAGAATATTTGAAGTCTTGACTTGACTTGGAAAGATTGTCTCAAACCACCATCCAGAACGTCGCCACCACATGCACTGAAGATGGGGGCGACCCCTCCTTTGTACAACATGGGACGGGAAATAAAAAGATCCTGGAAGTTTCTAGGATCACCAGGATGTCTTCACCGACTTCTTATCTTTTCCCATGTCTGCATGGAGATCATCCTAAGCTATGAATCTGACATGTTGGATTTCTGCGGGATTATTGGGTATGCATTTCTTAGCAAAAGGTCGAGAAGGATGCACATTGGTTCTCGAGCATGTGAATCCTGCATGCAAGCTTATATTCTCGCGAACTGTTGAGAGATAAGCCACACTTTTCACCGCTCAAGGAGGGTGTGAAGAGAAGAACGTGGGCGCTGCCGTTGGTGTTTGAACCAATCGAATATGTCTCCATTCGAGAATCGTTAGGCCTGTGTTAGGGGTGTCTCTGAAAGTTCAGGTGTGCCCTGGAACTGCATCCATTCACCATGATGGATGCGACCATTTTCGGTTTCGATATGATTTCAACACAATTGAGCCGCGCCATTGGGTGGCAAAGGTCATAGCAAATTCTCCGAGGTGGGTAGCATTGATGTCTTCGAAGCTTATTCTCTCGTTGTGTTTCACTACCAGAATTAAATTCTGCACTTCCCGCTTGTACGATCTACACCGCTGTCGTACACTGTTCCCGAGAAGGGCATCTTTTTTCCGTTGCCTATCTGTATGTAGTACTTAATCTCTGGGTGCCACCCTGAGAAGCTCAGCGTATATCTGCTTCTTGGCTCTCATTGTTTGTTTGTGTTTAAGCTTTTCCTGATTTTCCGTGTTGTGATTTTCTGGTTTCAGAAATCGGTCAGTGCAAGATGGGTTTGAAGTTCGACGAGACCACTCCACTCATCAAGGAGATTGATATCCAGTCAGAGTATTCTGCTCTTCACACAGAATTCGAACATCACCTGGGCGTTTGGCAAGCAATCAAGGTCTACAGTCCTGCTGTGTTCTGGTGTATCATTGTTTCCTTGACAGTGGTATTGAATGGATTTGACAATGCCTTGATTGGGAGCTTGATCAGTGTCGAGTCTTTCACCCAGCAATTCGGCCGACCTTATGGGGATGTATACGTTATCAGTGCTGCGTGGCTGGGAGCATTTAACTATGGTACGTGAAGGAAAGGGTTCGGGCGAATTGCTACTGACTTCTTCAGCTGCTATGCTTGGTGGCGCCATTGGTTCTCTAGCGGCTGGTATCCTGTATGATAGACTGGGGCCGAAGAGGACCCTCGGGTTATGTGTGTTCGGCTCGATTGGTGCGACGATCATCCAGTTCTTCAGCACCACTCCTGCTGTACTTTTCTTGGGCTTGGTATATACTCGGATTCAGCTCTGAAGCTTATTCTGACATTTCTAGCTCCTAAACGGGACGCTCGTTGGATTCTTCCCAGTCGTTGCTTCGGCTTACATTGGTGAAGTTTGTCCTGTCGTGCTGAGAGGCATCATGGGTTCCATGGTCAATTTGGGGTTCGTCGTGGGACGTGAGTTGACTCCCCCCTTACGCTGGGCCGGGCCGGGCTGACCTGATAGAATTGATCGCTTCCGGACTTTTGAAAGCCACGGAGAACATGACCTCGGAATGGGAGTACAAGATGCCCCTTGCTTCTCAATGGATCCTTCCAGTTGTTTTAATGCTGTTCTTACCCATAATGCCAGCATCACCATGGTGGCTCGTTCGGAAAGGAAAGGTCGAAAAGGCCGAGAAAGCGTTGAAGAAGCTGTCAACGAAAGCAGTAAACACAAGGAACGCTCTCGCCAACATCGAGGAGACTCTTTCCCATGAACAGAACTCCGGCGAACAGGTGAATGTCTTGGATTGCTTCAGAGGCACAAACCTACGACGTCTCATCATTGCGGTCATGGCATATCAACTTCAACCCCTGACTGGAAACGTCTTCTTCATCACTTATTCAGTGTACTTCTTCACGAACGCTGGACTCAGTCTCTCGGATGCCTTTTCGTTGAAACTTTGGTTGACTATTGCTGGATTCTTCGCGACTATCCTTGCTTGGCCAGTCATGTCTTGGACCGGACGCAGACCAATCCTCATTATTGGTACGGCATTCCTCACGATGACCATGTTCTTGATTGGTGTTTTGGATCTCGACTTTGTTCGGACCTCATCATCAATCTACACACAATCTATGCTGATGGTCTTTGCAACCATTGTGTATGATCTTTCGACAGGTCCGATGTGCTTCGTTATACTTTGCGAGATTCCAGCTCCTAGAGTCAGGGGTATTACGATTGCCATTGCGAGTGTGTTGACTTCAATTACCTCCGTCATTATCACGGTCTTGATTCCATATGGTCTGAACATCGACCAGTTGAACCTAGGAGGAAAGGTCGGGTTCGTGTTCATGGTTCTCGGAGCTCTTTGCACAGCATGGTGCTTCTTCTGTTTGCCAGAAAGCAAGGGAAGGACATTCGAGGAGCTGGATATTCTGTTCGAAAAAGAGGTGCCTAGTCGAAAGTTTCAAGATTATGATGTTCTGGGCGAGGAAGAAGAGTGCACGATTTTGTATTGATGGAGAGAGTGTGTGGGGCATGGATATTTTGTATCAAAAAAAGGCGTTTGCAGGCATATATTGGGTTGCATTGGCTGGCGTTTATGGAGGGAGTGGGCATTATTGGTTGATGCATACATGATGGGCATGAGCGATGTCAATGAATGATATTTGAATTCCTGGTTCGTAATGGCTTTCGCTCTCTCCGGTGACAAGTGTCTTGTTAGTTGGGCCAGTGCTGCATGGAGCATCATGGATCTGTTGTGATGAAGGGGCATAGATTCACTGCGATCATCGTTCCTAGGTACGTGGCCTGCGAGGCAATGCAAAGTCAAGTCATGTGGGGAGATCTGCCCAGACACCGACGGAGTTGCGGTTACGAAGTTGGAAAATTGACAAGGCTGCAAGAACATTCAAACTTACAGACAATCACTTGACATACAAAGCTTTGCATTGCTATTCCATGTCTATTCTATCGAATCTGCGCAGAGGTATGAGTCTTCTTGAGCAAGAGCGCGTGACTAGCAGGTGAGAAATCTCCCTTGCTCCACGCCACGCCCGCTTAAAAAGGAACTCTGTCTTCGTCTCCGCAACCTAGCCTATCCCACTCAGTCTTACTGAGTCCATCGATTGGCGTGGCAGGCCTTTTGTAATCTACCGTGACAGCAGCTCGATTCGCTGGCGTCAGCTGCAGAAATTGTGCATACCACTCGGTAATAACGGGGAGGCGTCCATCGTGGTCCCGAAATTTCAACCAGCTTTTGAAAACCGTCATGATGTGGGTAGCAGCTTTATGCACCCTCTTAGGGACATGATTCTTCCGACCGCTGGGTTGATCTAGCAGCTCGAGCCATATAAGACTTCGTAAATGGGCGTTGTTGTGGGAGTGGATGCACTCAAGCTTGAAGGTTGGACTGAGCATCGAATTCAGCTCATCGAGATATTTGCCATTTTCTGCAGTAATAAGTATATCGTAAGGACGAACATCAATCATCAGAGAGAACCGAGGTTGGCCTGTGTTGGAATCCCATCCTAAGCTCGGTGACCACTTCGGATCATTCTTTTGTTCCATTACTGCTTGGTGAAAACCATCACTATATTCCTTCGCGGTGAGATCTTCAAAGCCGTCGAAGTCATTTTCAGGGCTGTAAGGAGGACTTTGTCTTGGAGAAGCGAAGAAGTGATTGTCAATTATCCATGTAATCTTCGATCGTGGTTTTGCTGTCGGAGATTGGACCTTTGAGGTTGGAAGGAGCGAAGGAGAACTCGAAAATGATGGACTATGGATGGCAACAAAAGGGTGAGGTAGCGGTATCGGAACATCTTGTGAAGTAGACACTAGGGTAGACACATCTTCAATTGGCCTCGAATTTCTCCCTGTTCGAAGTTAGTACGAGCCTACAGTTTGCGCTGCCAAACATACAGAGGTAATTCCATAAACGACACTCGGCTTCTATCTGTTTTGCTTGTTGGTTACGAAAAGGGAAATCGCGAGGAACAGTAATGTTGAGGTGTCGATAGAATTCGCTTTCAAGCTTGGCATCTGTCAAGAAAGGATGCAAAGATTGGTTTCCATTTTGATGATAATCGTCCTTGATAGAAGCCAATCGGCTTTCCAGGATCATCCGCGGCGATTGCACTCGTTCTGGCTTCAACATGATTGGTGATGCGTGGTTATTGAGAACTGTTGCGTTGTGTTTAGGAAGGTGGCTTGGAGAGGTCAACATGGCCGAAGAAGTGATTCGAAGTTGGTTAGACAATAATGGCAAAAGCGCACGTGTATGAAGGTTGATGTCGAGACTGTTCGCGTAACAGTTCGAAAGGTGAATTAGTATCGATTGTCCACAAGGCCCAGGGGGTCTTGGCTCAGGAAGTCTCGGCCTAAAATTTCTGACAGTATGACAAAAACCCAAATCCTTTTGTTGTCCGAACTGGCCAGAATGCCCACGGCTTGTAGGAACTACAAGATGACGTCCAAAGTATTCTAAATTATATGAAAATGGGAAGCGACGACGGACTTGGTAAAAATAGCTTACCGCAGTAAACAGAAATTTAACATGAGACGGCTTGCTTCTCTGCCTCTCATCATTTATCGCCACTAGAGCGGGAATGGCCCAAACTTCTCGTCTCAATTCAGTGCCCAGAATGACGGCTTCTGACGAGTCAGCGGACGCGATCATTCTAATCTCATGAGCCCAGCGTGAAGCCACACCTCTTGTGTTTTCGCCATCGATCTAAAGAGGACGAACATTGCTACCTAGGCCCTTGCGGCCATTCCTTAGTGAAGAGCAAATGCGGAGACAAGATATGGGCAGCATGTCGTCAAGGTGATGAGGGATAGTATGAAAGCAAACGTGAGATGGAAGGTATTGCCCAAGTGAGAAAGAATGATCGTGCAATCGTTGGTGATTTGGACCTTGGACTTTCTTTGCAGTATCTGTACTGCGCTTTGCACTTGCCGTTTCTGCCAAGAGTTCTAGGCGATCTGGCTCTCAAAAGGAGAAGCTCTGCAGTGACTCTGCGAAGCACGAAGAATCATCGAACGTTGCCTTACCTTGAAATTTTGGTATGAAAATCCAATGAGAATCCCGACTTCGTGAATGAGGAGAGCTTCAAGCCTCGATCACGTCGTGAAGAATGCAAAGAAGAAACAAGTGTCATACTAAGTAGGTGGCTAGGGTACAATTAAAATTCTTGAGGAGTATGATATTGTGATACTTGGAATGTCATGGGAATCTCTCCGCAATTGAAATGGTGGCATTGGGTGCGCCTGGAAATGAACAGCATAGTAACCATGAGCATGACAAATTTGGATGTTGATTCTCCTCCAAGGAAGGAAGACACATTGAATCTGGCAGATCCACGCATTATGGAGACAAAGGAGTAGAGCTCTCCTTTTCACATAACCCATTGTAGGCTCCTGCCAAACTGGAATGCCAATGATGTCCCAATCACGCTTCGATTACGTTCTTGATATTGGATTTACTGGTCGTTCCCTACCCCAAGATCTGCTGGTAGGGCAGGCATACTGACAAAATGGCATTGAGTTGTCGGGGTCCAAAGGGTAGAAGCTGTCAGCGAGCCTTTGCTGCGGGAGGAACGATGGGATATGCAATCAGCTAGAATGGTAGACACCCTAATACTGCTGGAACTGCAGCGCTGGTTGCACGTGGGCAAACCGGGGTGGAATTATATCAAATGTCCTCGATTCCTCATAAGCCAATCTTGTATAGAGCCAGGAGGAAAGTCAGGTTCCGGTGGAAACATTGACAGAACTCCGGACATCTGGGTTGTGAAAGTGCACATCGTGGGAGGGACATTGGCAGATTGGTCGAGTCTCCAAGTTTCTTGCTGTTGCAGGGAATCAAGGGAGATTGGTGTTCGGTAGATTGAAGCCTTCCGCATGTCTCGATGAGTTGAAATATCCATGTGAACCATTGTATCCCCGTCCTGTCTGGCTCAGACTTAGGTAGCAACCCTGTAGGAGATTATTAGCAGATGTCAAGACGATGAGCTTGCGGAGCTTTGAAAGCAACTCCTTCAAGATGAAAAACATTGCAGATTAGTGTCTGCAACCTGCCATCTGTTTCGATAGTCGACAGCAAGGGTGACTGTTCGAGAAGTACAGTAGAAGGATTATGGTGAAGTTGGACAATAATTTGTATAGAGAGACTTGGATTGGACGGGCATTGAAGTCAGACCCCACCAAATAGGGTGGGGTACAATATTATGTAATCAGATCAAAGCAAGCACCAGTAATTGCCCGAATTCGTGGCGCACAGGCCATCCCCACCAAAATTATAAGGGGGCCAGAAATCAGTTAATTGAGACTATATACACCTGAATTACCATAATGCAGTCTTAATAGGCTTTCCACCATTATTAATAAGGCGCGCGCATCGCCTAGGCATCTGGGAAATTCGTTTCCGTACTTCCGTCATTATTACTTTGCTCCATTCCTCTTGTAAAGCCTCCTTGATTTCCTCCTCAGATTGGAAGATCCTATGCCGTAACCTCTGCTTAATTATGTTCCAGATAGCCTCGATTAGGTTCAGATCAGGGCTCTGGGCAGGGTGCTTTAAGTTAATAATCCAATTATTCTCCTTAAGCTGCTGCGCGAGGCCCCTTTTCCTCATACCGTGAGAGGGGTCCCCATCCTCTTGAAAAAGCCACGGTCCTAGGTCTCTTATACGTGCTTTTTGAATAGTATCGATATAAACTGGCAAGAGACGCTCTATATAGTACTTCTAAGTCATAGAATTACCCTGCGGCTTAACGTCGACTTTGTGAGGCTTCTGGGCTTCCCAATCCGTAAGTCTGGCTTGGTATTCCTCTGGCGTTTCAGTCGTTGGCCGCCGGCGAGGCTTAGTAGGCATTGGGGGTTGTTCTTCGTGCTCTTCTTCGTCATTATAGAACTCCAGCTTCTCAGCCTTATCAAACCAGGTGACCCACGCAGCCACATGAAACTTAACTCCCTTCCTCTCTCCTCTCTCCACAATATTCTCATCATCATACCGTGTCCCAAGCTCTCTAAGTATCCCAGGAGCTTGTTGTGCCGAAGGGTCAATATGTGCTTCATCGGTAAAGAATATATAAGACCAAAAGTCCTCCATTGTCTTATCCTTATGCTTATGTGCATAAGCTACCCGTTCGTCCTTATTCCTGGCCGAGATTTCCTTTTTGACAAATACACACTTATAAAACTAACCACCATTAGTATACTCTTTAAGCTTACGTTATAACTAACGCTTCTTACAAGGAATTTTGTGATAGGCAATCTGCGCTTCGTACGGCTAATTTCGGACAGGATTTCTAGCCGGATCGACTAGCTTCTTACACATAGCTTTTGTGACTTTTGAGGGCTTTCCAAGCTTGCCTGATCTCCCGCGTGTATGTCGATAAGCTAAGATACCTATATTTTCACGTTGCTTAAGCCAGCGTCGCGCGGTAGACTCAGTAGTGCTTTCATCCTTTGCGATCTGGCGTAGCGATTTGAATAAGATTTCTTTGTCGTACGCTGTGAAGAACCTAGTCTTTTTGATCGTATCAGCTTCGTGGCCACTAGAAGGGCCTGGCGGAGGGGTAATGCGGCTTGTGCGACGTGTAGTTGGGGCCATAGTGAGTGTTTAGAGTGATAATAGATAAATCGCAAAAATCGCGTTTCGCGATTTTTGGTGTTTTTGGCCCGTGCGCCACGAATTCGGGCACCCACTGGTGAAGCACGGTGAAGCACCAGAAGCTGGTGAAGTGCAAGCACCGAAGCACCAAACCCCGGTGAATCCCATCGCGATGCTCATCCACACTTGAGTTCATGCAATCAGCTTGACTGATGTGCGATCTCTATGAATTTGCACTGCAGAATGTGGTAAAGCCAACGACTTATCAGGCCTCAGCTTTGCCATTGAAGTTCTGCAGCAATCAGAGGACAATCTCCGCTGAATTGAAATCGGCGATGGGAACCATCAATGCCTACCTAGGTACATATCAAGGTACCTGGCGACTCGGTCGATCCACAGGAGGTGAGTATGGACCTGCTGTAATCACACCCTCCACCAAAGTCTTCTTTGGATGCTAACAATTTACAAAGGACCTTGTTGATCACCACACCTTGCGCGAACACGACCCCAAGCGCAACGAACACACCTGAGAATCGAGAGACCTGGCCCGTGTACAGGAGATGAGCCTTGGAAGGTCAAGAAGTGGTGGACACCGGCACGCAAAACGGGTCCTCCCGAAACGCAGAATCGTTGAATGCAGGGCAATATCTACCTCTCAATGTTCGAACTACCTACACCAACCCCTCTTCGATTTACCTCTCCGATATACGTCCTATTCAAACTACATTTTTCTCGATACTGCCTCAAATTTCAAACACCACAACACTTGCCCGCCGAACATTCTTCCTCCTCGATGTCTCTACAATCTTGCAACTCTCCATCAAGCAGAGCATATGATGACATTCGGGGTTTATCAGGCCAAGGCTGTGGAAGTGTACCATGTTTAGGCCGAGCTGACATGAGGGTCTAGCTCAGACCGGCCTCATCGACCCATATCCCCTTCCGCGATCCGTATTATATGCTCAATGCAACCGCTCCACAAACGTAAGTCTGCGGCGACTTGGCTTCGCGGACCAGCATACACCCTAGTGGGCGAACTCAGCGACACCCTTTCGAGGTTGAACGCTTGGTCCTTTGCTGGCTTATCTGTTTTCTTTCGAGGTTTGCTCAGGCGTCGTTAACTTGGCGGCTGCATCCTACACGGGTGGACTTTCAACGACCAAGTCTAAATTGAATCAACGACCCACTACGTCAAGTACACCGAGATGCAAAAGCCTTCAAATTCACGAGAGCCGGGATACCTTTCAGCACGAACCCACGCCAAGTGCGTGGCATTCGCATAAGTACTCTCCAATTTTCTATGATCACTCCATCTCTTATGAAGCCGCTCTTCAGATTGAAGAAAGAAATGTGGCTGAACCCTCGATCCCAATAGAATGGATATGCTGGAGGAGTTGCTTGGAGCCAATAATCCAAGTCGTCTTTTAGCCAACTCAGATCGCCATCTGAGTTTGATTGATAGCACACTCAGTAGCAACGACGAGCCTCCAAGTTTACCTTGTTCGATGCATGCTATCTCAGCCATTACCTCTGCATCAATTTTGCCTCTGGTCCATCAACATGACTCCATCATGTATCGGGAACACGGCCTGGCATGGGAGACGACGGAGTTGCCAATGCCTCCGGTGAATACTGCAAGAAGAGTACCCTCATAGTTACCCGGTTGCTCTGTGTCTCTGCATGTCACTATCTGCTTTAATGGAGGTAACCTTGACCCATTCCAGGGCATGATTTTTCGAGCGATACTGGCCACAACTGGCTACGTGACTTCAAAGTCGCATTGGCACTGATTCTTCCGGCGTCAGCGAGTGCAGGCTCATCACTCATAATGAGCTTTTCGGCATCACTCGGGTCTCGGCTCAGCGAGTTCCTCCGTCTGATTTTCTTTAGCCAATCAACTTGATGAAACAGGATTACTCCCCTGTGCCGCATTGCAATATAAATACGAGACTCACCCCTCGTTTCCATTCTCATGTCAAGCCATGACTATGGCGTCTCTCGCAACCACCCTTGGCCTCCGCGCTCCTTCTTTACCCAATGTCACGGTTCCCAGTTATGCTCCTGCCTTTTTGAGCTTCCACTTCGTCTTTGCGTACTGCGTTCTTGCCCCTCGTCACTTCAAACAAATATTCGGCATCGACCACAATGTTTCACCGAGGGAGGATCTAGTCAAGTACGGCGATGCAGTGGTGAAGTCGGGCAAAATCACTCAGAAGCAGCTCGAAATGATGAAGCGTAATGAGTCCGCGCACGCCAACGCCATCGAGAACTATATCTTATTCGTCGGGGCAGTAAGTTTTGCAACTTTCGCAGGAGTTGAGAGGGAGCTGGTGAACCGTGCAGGACTTGTATACACGATTGCGAGAGTTTCATATGGATTCATCTTTATTTTCGTTGATCAGACATTTTGGAGTTTGTTCAGAAGTGCTGCATGGTGGGTGGGGAATATAAGCTGTCTTTGGTTGCTTCGTAGAGCCGGGAAAAAGCTGAACATGGCTTGAAGGATGGAAGTCTGTGCTGGTGCTTGAGTGGATGATCACCTGAAATGAAGTTCTGTTGGCAGCATCATTGGATAAGCAACGTTGAATTTGACGGGTTGAATGCCATTCGACGAACTGCAAGTCGTGAGTCTCCACGAGGTAGGAATTGCTGCGCTTCCTCGACTCATTTTTGCCACCTTTCCACCCCCTCCTTCTCTTCTCCTTCCATGCAAGAAATATTTGCAGCGTTTGTCGACGTAGAAATTTATGCATCGCACGGTATCAAGGGCGCCAGCGACACATCTCCGCAGGAGTCTCTTCAATTAGCCCAATGTAACGCGTTTCAGCTCCCTCGGCTTCGGCGCGCTCTTTTTGGCTTGTTTCTTCTGTTCGCGGAGCTCTTTCTTAGACAGAGCTTCGGGTTGGAGTTTTGATTCAAGGGTTTCGTCCGGTTGTTGGTAGACGAAGTTTCCGAGGGCGTCTTTGAGACCTTCTTGACCCTTGGGTGCTTTGATCTGGGTGAGATCCATGATATCGGGTTTCTGGTATGCTGTGGTTGTTTGAAGTTAAGTTTTGCTTTTTGAGCGTGGACTGTGAGATTTTTTGTAGGTTTCTAAAAAGAAAATGGTTGTGTGATTTCTTCATGACGGGAAGTTTCGCCGTTGAACTAGTCAGGTTAAGAAGCAATGAAGCTTGGGCCCGATGAAGTACCAAGTGGGGGTTGGAATGGAACTTGACTTTGACAAGTGGTTCAGAAGAGCACTAGCTTGTACCATCCAGCTCCACAATCCCATTGCGGACTAGTGATGCAAAGCTAGCAAATGCTCCATAGAAGACTTCCAATAACGATGCTCTGCTCCTGGCTACTGATTGAAACGAGTAGCATTTCTGCATATCGAATTAAGCACAATCATTTGTTGGGTTCGACTTGTTCTCAAAATATTCGTGAAAGTTTCGAACGTGAGGTTTCAGGAACAGGCTGCTCCTGAAAAGATCGAGATCAAATGTTGCTTACAGCAGAATTTCGCGCGATGCCATTAAGTCCAAAGAAGGGTTAGTCCGCACTTAATGGCATTTGATCCTTCAGGGTAGCTAGTACAGCTGATATGAATTCGACTTCGGACAGCCTGGCAAGCTCGAACTCGACCCCATCCCCCTCCATTCTCTCACTTTCATCCAGCAGCATGAACACGTTGTCAAAAAAGGAAAATCTCTCGAGTTTCTTCTCCGAATGTGAGTCACTGAAAGACTCATACCCCTGTATCACGCCATTCCATATTCTCACCTTCAGATACTGCTCCTACCACTTTCACAACATTATTTCGTACCTTATAGTTCGACTTCTGCCCTCCATTCTCTGCTTTCACCAGATCCGCCCTCGCCGAGTCAATTCAATTGGACCTTCCTTCATGATACTTTCTACACATGCATAGTGGCATCTGCTCCCGGCGAGTGGGGATTGCATGAGCTCGGAAAGGGAGATAACATATGAAGACGAAAATGGGACCTAGGAATTTTGCGAAGGAAGATAGATGCTATTAACATGAACACTAGAATCTCACGTTTCAGGCAGTTCTGACGGCCGACCACTGGCAACAGCCATACAGTCATCAAAAGGTGCAAGAAGATATCGATGTCCTATTCGCTTCTCATCCTCGAAGGTTACCATGATGCGCTGCTCAGGCATACGAGCAGCCAGGAAATTTTGCTGGTCTTCCAGACCGGACTGGTGTTGCTTTGACTGACCATGCTTTCGAGCGGTCCGCGAAGATGATCTGATCACCATCATCATCTGAGCATGGCCGAAAATACTTGTGATAAAGCTGGAACCTTGTGCACGAAGTCATGAACTTTTGATGAACTTTTGCTAGCTCCAAGGAGAGATTTGGCATGGACATTGATTTCGAAGACACGAGCTTCTCCCTTGGCTTTGTATTCGGGCTGACTTTGCCCTCCTGACGGCTGGCCATGGTCGTGCCTCTCTTCTCCTCGCATCTGCTTACTCACGTGATTGTGGGAAGACGCAGGCAAGGATGGAGGACAGGAGTGAAAGAGATTGTCAAATGAGAAAGGGATTTTGAGAGTTCCAGTATTGAGGAACGGACAGCTGAGTACGATTGCTTAATTGTGTTCTAAATAGCTGTCTGCGAGAAGCCACCGTTCCCACCTTCAGGGATCCATCATTCAAACAGACATCGGTCCTGATGGTAAGTTCCACAACAAGATGCCATTCGTCTACCAGCGCGAGCACTCGACAGCTATCATCCCCAACTTCGGTACCACTATTGGCATTCGGGTTAACGGTGTGAGAGCATATATCGGCCATGGTCGCAAGGTCCGGAGCAAGACCACCTTGATCCCTCATGCTAAGACCATGGATTTGAATGCGATGGCTGCTTTCTGTACTGCTTGTTAGACGATTCCTGCTCCATCTGACCTTTGGTGCTGTACTGCCTAAAGTCTGTACCATGCCTACCTAGCCTTCAACGACTCAATGCGAGCTACTTACTATCTTAATTTCTACGATGTATGACTATGAACTCGCCCATCTTGTAAAGCAACTTGAGGCCCTCTGACTAGGTGTTCCTTGTTGTCCTTGATAGTCAGAATGTTTTGGAGGAAGACGTCCTAGTTAGTAGCATGATTGCGTTCCTTTAGGAAACCGGAAGCGGCCTAGAGACTGGTGAACTCCTCTTTCCGCACAGCGCCGACCTGGGTTCTGGAGCTCTTCCAGCTAGGGACAAGCAGAGGATGCGGCTGTTACTAGTCTCCTCGAGTCTGGTCCATGATGCGTCGTGGTAGACAAGATTTGCGTCAATGTATGATATTCGAGTCGTACAATGACCTCAAATAGCAGCAAATGAATGGAAATCGAGCGGTCCGGCAGAACATTCTTAATTTTGAGTGCTGTGGGCTGCGTTCGTCGAAGATTTTTCTCTGCCGAAGAAGGATGGTTAACTGTACAAACTTATGCGTCGAGACTTTATGAAAGTTTTATTCTAACAAGGAATTTCAATCAATCGAAATCACCTAGAAACAATGACAGATTTGAAAGAGATATGGTTAATAAAATATCGAACGACTTTAAGGAATTTGCTATTGGCATTTTTGATGCCCTTAAACGAGCCCCTTTTATCGCTCGGTTACTGAATGGCGGTGCTTACGTAAGGGCAACCACTTGGTATTGTCTAGGTACGTAGCATGGCAAGAACATAGATCAGCAATGCGCCCACCATTCTATCACCCCATTTTGTGTTACGCTAGGCAGCAATCATTGCCGAGAGTTGCCGTGAATTCGCTAACGATCGCGACTTCTAAAAACCAAACTGTTTCTTGCTCCCCTGAACTTCGAATTGTCTCCTCTGCCCATAAAGGTCGATCGCAAAATCAAGCGCCAGATCTTTCTCTGTTCACGATGGATCCAACCACAGCAGCCTTTCAATGGTTTCCAAAGCTTCCGAAAGAGTTGCGCCTCCACGTATAGTCATTCGCGCTCTTCCCCAGAATAGTCAACCTCATCTACGATCCGCAGGAAGATAAGTACTTCAATTTTAACTCGCAAGTACCGGCTATCCTCCACGTCTGCAGCGAATCACGTGAAGTTGGACTTGGTATTACGCTTCAGCTCCTTCACCTTCACGAAGCCGCAGAGAAACTATGGCACCTACAAATTCTTTGAACTTGCCTGGTCCGGGAGTTCTCCCTACTATTATTGATAATAATGCATTTCACGTCTTTCGATATATTCCAGTTCACTTCTGTGTAATTCTTCTCCTTCAGCCGCTACTCAAGAATGCTAAAAATGCTAATAAGTACTGCTTATTATCTTCTCATCACGATCAAGTCTAATTGGTGAGAATTCGGCCGCGCTGGAATGCCTTCTTCATTTCATGGATATCTGGAATAATTAGCGGACCTACGTCAGCTTTTTTGTAATGCTTTCAGCGTGTGACTCTGTCGTGCGATACAATAGACTCAACATAGGAACTTTCCAAGGGATGAGATATGAAGGTTGAAGAACAGGTGCTACCCGCTGAACAATTATTCCGCATTAACGGCAAGTTCCACTTGCATGAGAGCACAATGTAGCGTTTCCATAAGCATGGGATGGTAGAAAGATGCTGTTGGGATACATCTTGCGACTAAGTGTAGAGTGTGACGACACATGATACAATTGACTTAATGTTTGATTAGTAAGGGTTGTAGGCATCGCACGATAAAGAGTAATATGATCAATTACTAGGATAATCTCAGACGACAAGTGAGCCTACTAAAGTCCATTTCCGTCTTTAGACTAAAGTAGTCGCTGCTTTAACCTGAGCTAAGCCCTGGGTCCTGAGCACGCTAACGAAGTTAGGGGGTTTCCTTTTTAGCTCCCTCGAGAATCGGTTATAGATTCTATATTATCTATATATAGAATTTTGCAGATCTTGTTGCTTGTAACATAGCCACCTCTTTGAGCCTATTAAGATATCGTGACGGTGCTGTTCTCGCTCCCCTATCTCGCTTATTAAGAGTTCTTGCTGGAGCCGATTTTGGATCTCTTTGGCCTAGTTGCACGTGACGATTAATGCAGCTTGCCCGCTCGCTTAACTCTTGTCGTCGCTTCGGCTATTAAGGCCACAAATTAAAAAAAAGTATAATAAAGTAAAAATAAATTTGATGAGAGGAAGGGGCTAATTTATTGTTAGACTCAATTTTTTTATTTGAAAGAGGCAAGACTTACATTCGAACCCCTGCAGGTTTCCCTATGAGAAGTCTCACTGATTTTTAAATCAGAAAGATACGAAATCGCATCTTGAGCCTAATAATAGTATTAGTATATGATATTGTTGTGGTTGGGTGCGGACAAACGCACCACACGCCATAACCACTCGGCCATCCTCCCTATTGTTTTCCGAAAATGTCTCTTATTTTGTATTATACCACTTTTAAAGAAAATGAGCGGAATAAGCGGAAATTGACCGGCTTTTTATCGCTTGGCCTTTCCTATTCTGGTATGGCTCCTAGCTAGAAGTTGTTTTTTTTAACCATATATATCTCTTCAGTTCCCCTTTCCCCTTGATTTAGATTAACATGCACTACTCTACTAGGAAAATCAACACGTTTGCTCAGTTCAAATTCCAATTCTTGTTCATTTTTAGGGTGTTTTTAAACGAAGGTGCGCATCACGTGGACTCGCTTGGTCGGGCGCAATCCGCACTTTACACAGACGAAGAATAGATACTCTGCATACGAACGGCCGTCAGCAATAATTCCTAATTAATACCGTTACTATGTATAGAAATGGTGATGGGCCACGGCGGGGGCCCATTTCGTCTCGACTCTCGAGCCCAGCAGCGGTGTGAACACATACACATGACGCAAGTCACCCAACGCGACTTAACTTCTTGTCACAGCGCCCGCTGTAATCGCCTGCCTAATCGCCTGCCCAATCGCCTGCGACAAAGGCCAGGCCGGGAATGGTGGCGCTCCCGAGCTTTAAGCAAAGTGGAGATCTTGAAATTATCGTTTGGTACTATATCCCATGAGCCAGCCATCTACTTCGATTTTGCAAGAGACACTCTCTACTTTGACGACTGGATGGCTGCATGTTGGTCTCGGATTGACGATAATCGAGTTCGTGGGGGAGGATGGCGAAGAATCAGATACCCAGAGGGACCCATGGCCGCCAACGAGATGAGTAGAATCGAACGCTTGGCCGTTAGCTCGAGATCTGTGGACGATATTAGCATAGGTGATAGAGCCGAGAAAATGCTTTCCCGTTTCGCAAACATGAAGACATTCTTCGTCGCCTTTGATGAGCAAAATTATCCCACAACCTCACGAGCCACGATTCAATTTGCCGGCATACCAGCAACAACCAACTGTGAAATGGAAGAGCTCGAATTTGAAGAGAAGTGTCAAATTTGCCGGGAAAAAGACAGATGCGAGGAAAGACTTCTCACAGAATTTGCGGCAGACTTTGCGATAGTTAGCATCATGCTTATAACTTGGAGGAGACAATTAGCTGACACCTGTGAATAGTATGACCCGAGCAACACAGTTGGAGTTCCACCAGTTCCTGCGGAAATACCAGATATTGAGTTCGTTGTTGCTGTTCGGAATGACACCCGATCCGACCTTCGCTGTATTGGGCTCGGAACTGCCGCCCAGTATTTATCTTCGGAGTTTGGGGTTGAATACGAATCTGATAGTGATTCGGATAGTTCTCATTCAGATTTAGACTGGGAATCCACTTCTGGATCTACTTCTGATTCCAATCTTCACGTTCTCAAGATTACAGAAGCGGGTGGGAAGGTCAAATTGTCTTTATTCGGCGTGAACAATTATGAGGAGAAGAGTGATGATGTGGAAGAAGAAATTTCCGAAATCATCGAGGATGAAAAAAAGTTTGCCAAGTTCGTGAGCTACAGTGGAGAGAGTTTCGAGACTCTCTGCTTCTGGGTAGGGTCAGATTATCTTGAAAGAAGGGCGGATCTCTGATCTTCCATACGCAATGTATGTGAGGTTTCAATCCTTCATCAGCTTGCTCACCGACAATTTTGAACAATCAGCTATGAGTGGAAAGGAACAGCTTGGGAAGTACCATCGACATGATCTAGAAGTCGCTATGGACGAGATGAGGTGATGATTCTAGAGAAATCTGGGCTGGATGAAGTCTGAAATGGGATAGAGATCGGAATGTGCGACTAGACGGCCGCAAATTGAGCAAAGAAATATCAAAATTCTTTTCTTTCACTCAGATTTCGGCACAGTCTTTTCTATTTCCTCTTCTTTCTGTTCTCGTATGCTAGGATTATATGGCAGCCTTTTAATGCTAAAGACAGTGGTGCTCCAGACATTATTATACGAAGAAAAGTGTGGGAAGTGGTTGCGCGGAACGGTGAAACTTGATTTTCCATGTCAAAGAAATTAAGTGAATGAAACAACAGCGTAGTTTGAAGAGTATAGCCTTCCAGACTTTTCCTACCCACTCAAACCGCTTGCTTCACGAACTCTGAGTTATTGAGGAATCGTCAGTTCATGCGAAAGCTGTATTGCAGGGCACAGACATTCGCTTGTAGAAGTTTTGCTCGAGCCCTTCAAAAATTCCTCTATGTGATTGCATTCCGTATGGAGATTGCATGGAAGTCCCCATCCCACTCAGCCTCTCAGCAACTGAAGTGTTTGCACATAAGACCGACATTCACGGTAGCCTTGCTTAGTGCGGATTCTTTCCGCAACCTTGTGCTGTGTAAACAAAGACACCGCTGCACGAGCTTCTGACTAAATCCTCCGACAAAGCGCCCACAACAAACCTTCTTCACACCGAGCAAGACTCTCGATCAGGCGCAGAACTCAATTACAATGGACTTGGGAAATGTAGTTACAGGAGATCGGCTTACAGCTACGGATCTGATGCAGTAGGTTCTCGAGAAAGGACTTCTGTGGCATTTACTAATGAATCCAGAAGCCTATACTCGAAGCCAATCAACTGTCGTATATTTACGGCACCATGCCTCAGTTACCCCTTTCCCCGAGAGCTCCTGAGCTTGTCACCGGTATTGAAGTCGATGGACGAAGACACCGAGATCATCGCCCCGGTCGAACCAACGCCGCTGTCTTCGCAATGGTGATCCAGATTTTGGCGACAGGCGGGGTCACTATGGAGGCGGCAGGTGGAGCAAGCTACAGTGATAAGGACAAGCTGGATGTTCTTGTCAAGCTATTGGAATACTTTCGAGGTCTAGAGATGGAGGCGGTCACCCAGCGAGCCATCCTTCCATGCAGAGAGAGCGAAAAGTCATGACAGACCGCACCATTGTGGCAATCTTCGCAGCCCAAGTCATGACATTCCTCGAGCTTCGAGATACAGTAGTCAGGAGATTTGTGAAGGATTGGGTCATGTTCAAGGTGTCCACAGAACACCAGCTCTACCACGTTCCAGACTGTGACAGCACTGGGACGAAGGTGTGAGGTGGCAACGCTCCGTCGGGCTATTCAATTAGAATCTAAAGCTAAGGAGAGAAGAAAGGAGAGGAGGAGAGATCTATATACATATATATGTCAGAAGTAAGGGGATGTCATGTGAGGAGCTAAGCCCTAGTAGGCTTAAAGCTCGGGAATGCCACCATTCCCGGCCTGGCCTCTGTCCCAGGCGATTAGGACAGGCGATTGGCTCAGGCGATTGGCCCAGGCGATCCGTAACAGCTGGCGCTGTGACACAGACTTTCCACACCATGCCGCAATGAAAGCCAGCGCCCGCTTTTCGGTTGATATGATGACGGCCGGGAACGCATGTGCAGTACGGGGAGTAACTCCGGAAACTGGTCCGAAGAGAGAAGGTTGAAAAGGTGAGGCCTCAAGAGTTCATGAACTGAGTAAACTGCTGCTGATGACACAAGTAACCTGAATGCTGTACAGAATATTGGCAGGAGATTTGATGGCGATTGAAGCTGGCGTTGGAGATCTTCGGACAACCTTCACCATATCAAAGACATTGGCTATCTCGTATTCGGACTTCTTCAGAGTGTCGTTGTCCAAAAATCTTCAACAGCGGCATCGAGAAGACCTGTGTCGATCTATCGCACAAATGGCCGATCACGGTCAGATATTATCTCCAAACCCTCCAAAACAAACAATGGGACTCCCAAGGAGATCTCATCGGCGACACGACGGAAGACGAGGAGATGGATACAAAAGCCTCTCCTATGACTACGATGGAAAAGTGTCAGGATCTGCTGAAGTTGGCAGAATATCTCCAGACCAAGAGTAACGACATCACAGAGTCTGTGTGTGTTGTTCTAGAGGACCTGAGCAGAAATGCTATGAAGCCATGGGAGCTCCTGACTGTCGACGATCTTGTTGGGTTTCTCGGTATCAACAATTATGTCCAGGACATGACGGGCATATGGAAGCAGCTGGCTCCCATGGTTGCACCAATTTTGGCAGCAACCGCGATGTGGCGAAGAACTCTGCCGGAATTCAGACACTATTCGTCCCCCACGTCCAAATTCGAGACTGTCACCACCGGAAACGTCGAGTTCGAGACAATCTTGCAGGAAGAGATAACAGCGATATTACAAGGTGCATACTGGGCTCGAGTAGAGGGCGTTGGATCACAGGGAAATATCGCTTGGTATGTTACGGATGCTGCTGGGAGAAATCTATGCATCTTCGAAGACGAAGGAGTTTTCCGAAGCCTGTGTATACATCGTGGTTTTTGGTTACGACCAGAGTTCGTAACTCGCTACGATCTGTGTATTCCTCGACCTAAATGAATGATTGCATTGTTTACTCTCCTATCATTGAAGTGAAGGAATGCCTACTTCGTCTCGCGCTCAACCAGAGACAGCCGACAGAATCTCGGCCATGGCCATGCTAGAGTACGAGTCTCAACTGTTTCAAAGCTAAACCACAAGCTAATCAGCAACAGCAACACCGCATCAGTAGCGTGCATCATATCCAAAAATCCCACAACCAGGGCTTCAGCGCCATACGGAATACCGAGAATTTCTCCCATCATTGCGAGCCTCCTGCGACCCGTCTCCCTGCCTGTCAATGGCTTCATCTCGCTTCCAGGAGACGACAAATTCGATACTATTCGCCATGTTTGTTCAGACTCTGACCACTAGCTCTCTTTTAATAGCTACTACTTTCACATGCTTGCGATTGACCGTAATCCCTTTATCCCACCACTCCATGCTCCGCTCGTCCGTCTCGAATAAACGCATATCGAAATGCAATATGAAAGTTGCGAGGCACATATAAATTTCTAGGTATGCTAGACTAAGTAGTAAGGAGACATCAGCTTGCCAATCTATAACACCTTATAGGTCTCCGTCACGAAGGGAAGGGAATGGAGGGATGAAACTTGAAACACACTTCATTCCAAGACACCTCCTAGGTCCCTTAGAAAACGACACGTTCCAGTAATCCAGCTCCTTGTTATTAGTCCCGAGCCAGCGTAGTGGATCGAAGTTTTCTGGTTGCGGGAACAAGTTGGGGTTGTCGTGAATTGTGCGATGGGTTACTGAGACAGCCGTCTAGATTTCGAAGAGAAAGCAAGTCAGCGTGTTTTCACATTCTTTATAGCGCGAGATCTAGGCCAACAAATTTCTACCGCGCTTAAGGAACTAGAAAGAAGAGCGCAAGCCGCCCAGAATGATTGAGACGAGTAAAACATTGGGAGATTGGGTCAGTACTTACACCGGCAGGAAGGAAATACCCGTCAACAATCACCCCACCTTCCGGAACCACACGAGGAATATTCCCAGCAACAGCAGTAGAGAGTCGCAGGCTTTCCTTCACCACTGCCGACTATAGATAAGAACAGGGTCAGATCTCCATTCCACACGTCAAAATGATGTACGACAGCACAAGAAAAGAGGTGACCCACCAGATACGGCAAGCCCGCGAGAACTTTGTACTCAAACCTCCCATATTGGTCTCTTGGTGCAGCGACTAACTCTTCGACCAGTCCTTTGTGCACCTCATCATGTGAGAGCACATAGTAAGTAGCACAAGAAAGAGAATAGGAAGTTGTGTCAGTGCCCGCCATTAGGAAAAAGAAAGCTTGATCGATAAGTGCTTCCGCAGGCGGCACCACATACCCTTTCTCGACATTCGACTCGAGAAGTATGTCAAAGAGTGTCGGGTGTCCATTCTCGCCATATTTCAGTCCCTGTGCTCGTCTTTGCCGCACAACTTGCACCCATCGTCGGGCTTCCTATCTTAGAGTTAGCAATGTCATGGTTAGTTGAAAGAGTGATGTTACTGCGCGAAATTTAGCAAGACCTTTCAGTACAGTACGGCCTAGCACAGTGGGTAGAATTTTAGTGATGTGTTTGACAATTGGAAAGTGCTTGATCAACCCGGAGTCATTCACGAAGAGTGTCAATTGAGCTAAGATTGATGGCTCCTCATCCCCAGATAGAAGAAGATCCTGAGATTTGCCAAAGAGTGCTTTCGAGATCATTTCCATCTAGTGAAATAATTTCAGCAACGGTTGTATTGTACTAGTATATTCCCTTGGCGTTGTACTTACCGTGATGCAGCGATAGAGTGTCTGAATATCTACCGGTTTTCTGCTCTGGCATCGTTCCTCCATAACACGTATAGCCATTTCGAGCTTCTCCGCCATAAGAGGCGATAATGTATAGATGTATCGTTTTGAGAACATGGGATTGAGAAGTCTCCTATGTACGCGGTGTTGATCCGGATCCATAATGCCCACAATTGAGTTTGAGGCACCTAGCCGTCCATAGAAATCCGGCTCCTTCATGTACATGGTTCGGATGTTGAAAATTCTAGTCCGTCAGCTAGCTGCACGGTTGGCGGAGAAAAGAAGCATACTTTTTGTAGAATTCCAAATTATCAACATGGACGTGGTTGGGCGAAGTCCGAACAACAGGACCTTTGCACAAGTTAGATCACCTCGATTTTGCTCCGTATTGGCACTATTTACCATATCTTTTGTACATCCAAGTATATTCTTTGACATATGTCCCTCCAGTTACAACATCGTAGTATGCTTCGTACCATCCTGTCATGCTTGCCATTAGAGGTCCTGGGATATGAGAAAGTGGGTGGAAGTATCGACGCCTGATTGCACCAACCACTGCATAGGTAAATGACAGAGCAAGAGCCAGAGCAATTGGCTGCGTGGTAAGGTGTTTAGCGAGTGCCAAAAATGCAGGAAACAACAGAACAGCCATTCTGTATATTCTGCCATCGATCGTCGGACACTTAGGATGATGCTTTCATGTTCGAAACGCAAAGAACTTGGGAAAACCCAGGGATGAGAATGGACTGAAATGAAATGTTGACTTGAAGAATGAGTATCAGGCTGCAGATAGGTAGCCCAGCTCCTCCCATATGCATCACGTGCAGGCTTTTCGTCTGCTTTAAGGATATATTTCGTGTAAAACAAACGTTCGGTAGATAACACAAGTCTGCTCTCGTTTCAGTGGTGGCTGAGTTCGAAGGCGTTGAATCCCTTCGCCTTCAAGTCAGAGACCGAGAGACGACCAACTCGACATCCCGCGCACATTTCACCCCGTGCATTGCAATTGTCTGCTGCAGGGAACGCCTCATAAGGAAGATGAATTGCAGATCAAGACACTCCCAGCGCGCCCCGACACAGAAGCCGGGCGTAAAGTTGCTTTTCCCAATGTTGGGTTCAACCTCTTGGAAAGCGGAAGGATCCAGAGCTGCCACTTTCAACCACTTGTCGAGTAATCAATATTATGCACGCTGTTTCACACCAACCGCCGTTCTATGCGGGTCGCTCCTTTTTGCCGCTTCGCATCGATCAACAGTGCGGAGTTAGCGGACTTGATTCGAAGTTTGGGTGTATGTAGTAATAGTAGATCAATCGATACCGAAAACGGCATTACAGGTGTTGAGGTTATCGTCAGGAGAGTAGGAGAGTATTTTCACAAGTAATTCTTGATTACATGAAAAGCATGGCTCTAAAGCTTTCGGATCTCCCAAACTTGCCAAGTACAAAATGCAACCTTTCGTTCATCAAAGCCGAGAAGTATGAATCCATCAAGCCATATTTCTTCTCTGGCCCATTGCCGCCAGATCAGGAAAATTCGCGTACCAATTTAGAATACACGCGCCGTGACGATGTTTCCATGTTAGACTTAAGAGGTTGGAACATGTTCTCGATATACAACAACACGGATTTCAATTTCTCAAACAGCCAACAGCCATTCCAGCGGAAATGTCAGAAGACGAATTTATCAAGTCGTACATGGAGGAGACAGCCTTAATCTTGAAAACTCAGCTGAAAGCAGACATTGAACTGTGCTACGACTATCGAGTAAGAAGTTTTGTTCGTTGGCATCAATGGTAGATAGATATCCAGTTGTATTTTATCGAGAGATAGGAAGTTTCTAACCATCGAAAGTAATAGTTTCGCAAAAATAAACCTACGCAGGATGGAGATTCGAGCCAGAAAATTGGCTCCCAGCAGCGTCCAGACGAGCCTGCCAATACTCCACATGTGGGTATGCTGGCCTATTGAAATTGTCTTCAGTCGTGAAGAATGACGTGGAACTAGATCAAACTCGCGAGGGCGGTCAGCGTCGAGCTGCAAGGCATATGACAACAGAAGAAAGGGCCGAATTCCTCGACAGGACGTGGCGAGTTCGAATCATCAAGTGCGACCTCTTCTCTACCCACATTCTGTAACAATCTTTAGTTATTGAGATCTGGTTCTAACAAGTTCAAATAATAGTGCATGGAGACCCCTTCATCACGAAGTGAAGGACGCTCCTCTGGCGTTCTGCGACTACTTCTCGACTAACGATAATGACCTCGTAGCAGCAGATAGAGTCTCAGAACAATACGAAGGAGAGATCTATTATTTGAAGCACAGTAAAATGTTGACATGGTATTGGATACGTGATCAGACACCTGATGAGCTGGCTATCTTCACTAGTTGGGATTCAGATCCAAAGGATGGGGCGGCCTGTAAGTATTTCTTGCATGGTGTGCGGGAGATGAATAACAGGTTTTCAGGGTGTCCACACTGCTCGTTCATAGATGAAGCGGCTGCGCACAAGGGACTTCCTCATGAGAGTGTGGAGGTGAGGACTGTCGTCTTGAATAGGAAGTTGTAACAGAGTATAGTATCTATTTTCAAGGAGAGTGTTCCGATTCTGCATTGATAATAATATGCCATGTAAAGTGAATTGTGAAGAACTCGTCAACCCAGAAGTAATCTTGTGACAATTCTATTCTAAACCCTTTTTTGAGCTCTCAGCCTGTAAAGTGGTTGCAATGAAAACCTGATAAATGTAGAAATTGTGATTCATTTCTTTACAGCTCCTTTGAAGTGACGGACGGAATAGGAGGTGGTCTCCTTTCCGGGAAAGTTGCTTCCCAGGCACTCATGACTTCAATCAGGGTCGCCTCACTATGTGCACTTGACACTGCGGCTAGGGCAAAGGGGCGGCCATTGAAGTTGAGGTAGCCTAGTGGAAGTGACGCAATCGGATACCCTGAACGTTGTCAGTGTAAGCCGATTTGTAAACTTTACATAAAAATCGGGGAACAAACCCGCAGCGGAAACAAGTTCTGTTAGCCAAGTGGGAGACTTTGCGACGGTCAACAACGTACGGACCGGAGGAGGAGGAGCCGGAACCAGCTATTGCGAACATCCCACCCGATTCACGTCGTCGACAAACACCATGGCACACTCTTTTAGCATGGCTCTCATTCTCTCAACGCAGCGGGAGCCTTGAGACGGGCGGTGAGGCCGGAGCGACTCATGACGCGTCGTCCGCAAACCAAACTGATAATCGCATTACATTACTTTCGGCTGAGCAGAAACAATACATTGCTGCTTGTACTGGGATCTCGGCCGGAGGCTCGGATGCTCAGCCATACCACAAAGCTGCCTCGAGATATATGCGGTTTGTGGACCAAGAAATCGACAAAATTCCAGCTGCTGCATTCCTAGAAATCCTCCTTGACGAGAATCCCAACACCACGTCACCGGATGCATTGATCTACCATTTCCTGAGTCACGTCGTCGAGGCTCTCCGTTTGGATCCTATCACAACCGTAAATGCTATTATTGATGAAGCTGTTGCGTCTCGAATCTTGATCGAGGATTGCAACATATCTGGTGCGGCCCGAGATTCAGCGTGGCAGTCCATTATTGCTTGCTCTGCATGGGCGACGCTCTTCTATATACCTATTAATGGCGATAATACGGACCCAAACCGATTGGATTTCCGTATCGATCTGCAGAGAGCAGACGGCTTGCCGTCAACTACACTTACAAATGACATGTCTCAGAATAACATCCCTCAAATCTTGCGGGCACTGAATCTGGGCCTCCCTTCGAAGGCAGACCCAGCGCCGTCAAGAGAGACGAAGTCTGATTTATTGCATGTCTCTTACTTGAACGCATCTACCTTGCACAGTACAGGAGGGATCGAAATCGTCTGGGTCACCTGCCTCAGTTCACACCTCCACTTCGATTCTGTAAGCCGTCATCTGTCTTTGTTTTGCCTTCCGTCGTTTTGTGAAGTGCAGAAGTTGGATGACTCTGTCATATCAAGGTGGGCGCCAACCAGGCCGAAGCACTCATTGTATCCACTAATAATGGTGCATAGAATCCTTGACGAATATTACGATGAATGGACCCGACCCGAAAATTACAAAAAGGGTAACCTGTCTCATGAGATCCGTCTTTCATATAAGCTACTCTTTGGAGACAACCAGAGATCTCGAGGGTGTTATCGCTGGAAGGAGCGCGCGAAAGCGCAGGCTGCTGCTGGTGGGCATGGAGACCCGCTCCTCGACGAATTGTGCGGCATGAGGAAGTCAGCTCACGTCCGCTTCTCGTATGGTCAAACCGACTTTCCAATTTTCTCTTCTCGACTTTACAACATTCAGGCAGACATCAAACGCCAGCTACCAAATCAAATCTCCCATCTTTGGCGAGACAAGAGTGACATTCTTCGATGGTACACCTTTTGGGCAGTGGTAATTGTCGGAGGACTGGGTTTGTTTTTTGCTCTTGTTCAAATCGTTGAATCTGCAATCCAAGTAGAATATGCTGTCAAGGCCTACAATCCTGTAAGGATCTGAAATAGAGCATCACTCCCGAGGAACAAGGCATTCTGAACTTGAAATACTTTCATACTATCACTCATTAAATCAACCCGTCTCATGCGTAACCGAAGAAAACAAGGAGATCGTAACTATATTCACTGTCTGGCAGATCCTTGAATCGAGATCCTTGAATTCGTTCACGCATTGCCTCTGCCTTTTCATTCAGTTCCGCAGCCTCCTCCACATCACCATGTATCTCCAAAGCCTCGGTGAGTCGTCGTAGACATCGAGCAGTCTCTCCCTTATCCCCCTTCGCCTTTTCGTTCAGCTCAAACAGCAACCGTACTTTTCGGAATAGATTTCTACATCTGTCAAATTTTGATTTTGAAAGGAGCATTGCCCCGCGGTGAAGTGTCCCTGAGTTCACTTACATTGACTGCTCCAAGTCACCTTGCCGCATAGCAATTGAGGCCAACTTCCACATCGCTGCGCACGTAGAAGGATGCAATTCATTCTCCTCCTCAAATAATACTAGTGCACGTGCGAATCGTTTCTTAGCATTATCCCAATTTCCCTGAAAGTACTCAATGTCACCATATACGTAGTCTGCACTATACGATACGTTAGTCTGCAACATCGAATCTCGAATGTTGGTGAACAAGTATGTTTTAGGGTATATCGGGCACACTTCCTCGCCGTCGAAATGGCATGCTGGACCGAAGTTCTTGATGGCGTAATGTCTCCCTGTTTCAACAGCTTCGACAGCTTCCTTGTATCGTTTCTGGAACATCCACACAGTGGCAAGGTTCAGCCATCTGATGTGCAAGATCAAAGCACTCTCCTCCTCAGGTTTTGATTTATCGATCTCCAGCGCCTTGAGATACAGCGATTCTGCCATCGCCAAACTGGCTTCATCCTGTGACTCGGTCATGATGACGTTGGCATAGTTGTTGTAGATGTTTGCTAACTCCTCGTGGTCGGATGGAAGTAGTTTCTCTCGGATACGACGGCTAGTGTTCATATAAACAAATGCTGCTTTTGCATTTCCTCTCTCGCATTCAACCAGCCCAGCTGAATTGCAGAGATGTGCCCACTGCAGAGTCTCTTTGTCTTTGCAAGCGAGATTAGCCAGCTCCAGAAACTCGGACCAGGCGCCACTTTCCATTAAATACCTGTTGGAAAGTCAGTGTCTACTGTCGGTCTTACTATATAGAAGTTATGGGTCGTCAAAAGGTAAAGAAATCAACTGTGCACTAACCAACCGCAACTTGTGAGCAGTTCAATAAATGTATCGAGATCATGTGACGATGACTCCCGAGGTGGAATTTCCCTAAAACGCATGCATAATACAAGCACATGTCGAATATACCTGCGACATAAATGCCATTTTTTGCGCAGTGACAAACCGTTAACGTGCTTTGGTAACACTTCGAATAAGAGTTTTGAAGCCGATTTCCAAGTCTCAAAGCTTCTTTGAGGACCAAGCCAGATGCGAAATTCGTCTTGGACAAGTCGGTGAGTGTGAAGGAACATCGTAGTTGGATCCCGACTAATCAGGGACGTGCTTAACAATGGCATGAGAGCATTATCGAAGCTTTTGAAAATGAGAATCAATCAATGCGCTCACTCTGGCGTTTATTGCAATCTTCGTACCTGAGGGAGTCCTGAAAGTAGGCCTGCCCTTGCTCCTCCTCCCCCAATGCTTGGTCTTCTTGGGGCACAAATAGTTCTTCGGGTACATCGTCTGGACGAATAAAAGTTAGCACGCCTTGGATCACAACACTGTCGGCCTCCAATGGATCAAACGAAGTCTGCCAAACCGTCCTGAGAGAATGTTGATAGTAGATGTTCTGGATGCCCTCCCGCGGCCGATCGTGCAGTCTCTTTGCATTTGTTTGGTATTGGGTTAGGAATTGCTTGATAGGCTTTCCTCGTGTATGGATCTGGGTCCCCATCAGGTTCAGAGCTAGAGGGAGACCACCAAGAGTACTTGACAGCGTTTCTGCTGAGGCAATCTCTTCCTCCGAGTAATTTTTGCGTGCAAGGAGATTCATCAGAAATGCTGACCCTTCGTGAGCATCAAAAGTAGGAAGGGGTACTCCACCAGCAGCATGGTCAAAAGAGACAACATTATTTCGGGATGTCACAAGGATCGAGCCATGCGGTGCCGAGGGCCAACACCCTCGAAGCAAATGGGGATCTTCAATATTGTCGAAAACCAGAAGCCAATCTGTGTCTAATGTAGACAGGTTAGCTCTGTTTTGACAGCTTGGCAGAAGAATTACCAGTGTTTTGTAGCCATTTGGTGACGAGGTACTGGTTCCGGTCATCGTTTCCCTCGGCAGCTCCCTTGAGTCCTAAGGCAAGAGCAATCTGTGTAAAGCTTTTGTTCATGTCCAAAGCCGTTTCACCACTGACCCAGAAGACTGCTTGTACTCCATCGCTGATTCTCTGATGAACGTATTCCAATGCTGTTTGACTCTTTCCAATTCCTCCCATTCCCCAAAGTGCCCACGACCTGAATACAGCTCGCTCCGGTCGGTGGTCTAAGGCGTGACCGAGAATCTCCTTTCTCCCAAAAAAGTGCGGATTTCTAGGCGAGGTAATGTTCGTACATGGTAACTTTGCTGTCTCCTCTTCACCAAATATCACAAATTTCTGGCTGAATCGACTCTCAAGCTCCTGGATCAGCTCAGCTTGCGTTCGATGCTTTGGCCTGTAGCTGATCGCTTGAGCCTTCTCCTTGAGCTGTCTGATCTGCTTTTGAATCCGCGTTGATGTCTCATTAAATTCCTTCTTCACATCATTCCACGGTCCGGCGACGAAATTAACTTGAGATTTCTCGTCAGTGAATTGGCAAAAAACAGCGAAAAACCTACTCACCCACAGGATGTCGGGATAAAAATTTGATTGTGTGCGTCCAAAATCGGATGACATCAACAAATACATTAAGGAGGATGTCCTCCAAGCCTGCGTGTTCTTGGAATAGCCATTCGTATTCCTGAAAGAGCCATAACTCGTGGGCCATCTCATCAAGCATTTCAACAATCTTTGACAATGTTTCAACCGATTTGACAGTGTTCTATATTGACAGATCATTCAAGAGAATCCGGAAAATTCAAGCATCGTTACTTTACCTCAATTAAAAGGTTCACCACTCCCCATATCATGGCTGTACGAAGTACAGAGCCCTGCACAGACAAGGCAATGACGGCCGTGAAGCTACGCAAATGAAACAAGGTGGGCTCAATACGAGTAAGGAATTCTGGGAGCATTTTCTCCGAATATTGCGTTTTCTTTTGCGACAACGACTGCAGCAAGCTTTCGCACGTATCAAATTGGTAGATAGTGCGTGGTTGTTCCGGATCGAGATGGACTTTGCACACTGCTTGAGCTTCTTCCCACACTATGGTCTGGTAGTTCTTCTGACTAAAGATCTTGTCTTAGACTTTGGCAATCTGTTCCGCAATCAAATGAATACTGACTTATCAAGGCCTTTGTCCATCTCGATGTCGATGACTACTGGCACTGAAGTTGCCATTGCGATGTGATGCACGAGGAGATCGAAAGCCGAAAACTACAGACGAATCTGAAATAATACAGGATCTAGCCGGAATAGTACTGAACGGAATGATCATTTGATGTCCCTTAGGAACCGGTATATTCCTTCCGTAGGAACGAGCCAGACCTTGGAGTGCAAGTGTGGGCATGCCGTGTGACTTTGTGGCGCATGCTATGTTGTCGCTGCTATTAGATTTCCTCTTTTTCATCCGGATTGTCTTAGGTGCCAATGCACATGAATGTAAGCTTTGCAGAAGTGAACACTGCGTCACTGTGTCACTGTGTCACTGTGACAGAGCCCGCATGCTTGCATATTGCCTGAAGGGGCGCTTGGGTTGGAGGGTGGACGGGACAGGGGAATCCAGAGCCGCAGCGAGCCGGAGCCTCAATTTTTGGGGAGAGACCGCTTTCACCTCCATGCGGGTCCCAACTGAATCTTGGTTTAAGCCAGCCTAAGAGGGCCAGAACGACTTCCGACTCTGGTCTGCCAGCAAAGAAATCATTGATCGTATCGTATCCTGCGGTAATGTATATATATCTGCCTTGTCAGTTCGAGCTCATAGAAGAAGGATACTAGTGTGTATATGTGGAAAATGATTTCAGGCCCACAAAAAATGGAAATATCGGTTACATTTCTCTCCGATCTTCAAAGTTATCGAATCGAGAAACCCTACGAGCTCTACCTTCCCACTGAGCCTTCAGTAGCGAGGACCAATTGTCAATTTACTGAGCACGACAAGATCACAATTCGCGACATCCGATACGAGGACACATCGAAGTTCGACCTAAACACCTCTAGCTTCAAGTTTGTCAAGCACTCTTCTTCAAAGCTACCTACATCCAGCCTGTTCAACAACGCTGAGAATGCGAATTTTAAACTCGTTCCCTACCTAGAGGAAACCGCGGCACTTGTTAAGAGCCAGCTTGGGGCTTCCCATGTCGTCTGTTTTGACTGGAGGGTCAGCATATGCCTAGCTCTATTGCTGGGTCTACAAGATAGACTGATTACTGTTCAAGTACCGTCGGAATAGTACCCGTGTCAAACGTCCTCATGTGTACGACGAACCAACAACAGAGCGTAATGCTACACTTTCACCAGCGCATATAGCCCACATTGGTAAGTGTTAGGCTTGCCTTACCATTTGTATCAACTCAAGGCCCCGAGCCTTTGGCTGATGCACATATAGATGAGTCAAGGGCGGAGGGTTTCAGGAAGCTAAGTGTATACCTGGGACGTGATGAGCTGGAAACTTTCGACCTGCAGAATTGGCGTATTGTTTTGATCAAGTAAGACAATCAATCCCACCTGGACAACTGTCGATTGATCACCAATCTCGAAGCGTATGGAGACCATTGGTGCCTGTTGTTGAAAATGCACCTCTAGCATTTTGCGATCAGCGAACCGTCGAATTCAACAGCCTGCTTGACTGCGACAAAGTACATGTTGACCATGTCACGGAAGGAATCTACTTGCTCCACGATACAGAACAAAAGTGGTACTGGATGTCCAGGCAGACAAGTTCTGATCCTGTCTTATTCTCGAGCTGGGACTCTACTACAGAGCCTGGGGGTATCGGTAAGTTGCCTGCCTAGGCATACTGTTTATGAAGCCTCATTCGGAATAGTAGGTACTCCGCACGCCTCGTTTGAAATACTGTAGCGAGATACCACAAAAGAGCTCAAACAGTCGTAGAATAGGAATGGAGTTTATGCTGCCTGAAGAGCTTAATCTAGGTGAAAGCTGAAGCATATATACACTGTGTGCATCACATGATCTCGGCTAGCAGAGCTGCACTAGGCCCGATTCGGAACAACAACACCATCCCAGCCCAAATCCAGCACTTAACCAGAAACCCCGCTACAATACCACACGGGCTCGAGGAAGCGGAAGGGGCACCACAACGTGAAAGCATAGAGGTTCGTTCAATTGCGATCATTCGAAAGACATGAATAGGAGCATCGGCGAGGCGACGATGGAAACACTAGCTTAATGCCTCGAGGCAAGTTTTTGATCACCACTACTTGGTATATATCACATAATTGATGTCCATTGCTTGTTTTATGCATCATGAAAGATGTTTCATACATTCGTGGAGTGACTATCTCGATTGAAAGAATATCTCAACCATCTCACATTCCCCCATCGTCACCATACAATAAAAAGTGAACGCAATAACCAGAGACAAAAGAGATCAAAGCGAGTCGAGGAACGTCAAAAATTTGAAACCGGCTTCAGCCCATCTCTCTGGGACGCCAACTCTCCAACAGCAAAATTATTGGTTCCCAGCAGTACTAATTTGCATGTCAGCGAAACTCTTGGCGTCACAGATAGTAAGCATACGTGGAAATTAATCAACCCCCAAGTCCTTCGGTTTCCATAAGCCTGATGATGCCGTTGGAACCCATGACATCGGGCTTCTTGACATAAGAAGCATGGGAGTCATCCTTCGGAGTACCTCTGAGTGACTTCCAAGGCTGCTTTTTGGCAGAAGCCGGCCCCAAACTGGACTTCGCAGAATCCAACATGGCGAGTTACTGATCCGCGTTAGCAGAACACACTGTAGCAACATGGATCAGAAATGCTTGCCTTGGTTAAGTATGAGGCAGTAGCTGAGGCTAAGCAGATTGTTTTCTGGTTACTTATCGGAGTGCTATATGTCTTGCGATGAACGGTGAGAGAGGCAGTTTAAGTAGACGGTGTAAGGTTAATGCAAGCGAGCATTTGCGGAACACTCAAGAGGTCAAACGACGATCGAGCTGGGAAGATCCAGCCGCCTGTTTTAGGCAGTATTGCATGAGAATAGTTGCACAAGGCTTATGCAAATATATCGGATGCATGAATGTGTTGGCACATTCGAGAGCGGTCATCGAGGTTGTATCCCGTGTGGTAGTACCCTGTCTCAGCCGGCTGCTGAGTACGAGCGGTGACATGCTAGACTTTGCGAGTGAATATACCTATAAATACTGTATAAGTAAAATTTACATATACTGGAATTTCGGGCCCGGCCGGATCTGTCCCATGATCATCTTTGTGCTGTTGACAGTAATACCTGTTGACACTGAGCAGCAAGACCAAGCTTTAATCCTTTCTTTGCTAGTTTTATTCCTTTATTCTGTGGTTCGATTATCCTAGAGTCTTAGAGACACTTTATTTCATCAAACACTTTCGGGCCGGAAAATCGACATGTCGAGGAGTTGACGCAAAGCAGCAAAACAACTGATCGTATACTTGCTGAGCCCCAGCACGTCGTTGAAGGAGTAGCCCGAGAGGTAATCTAGCGGTTCGGCTATGCTCAACATAATTAAATCGCATAGTTTACATCCTGTTCAGTATTGAAAATATGCTTGGACTTGAAGATTGCGAGGTTTTCGTCCCTGATGCCTCTATCACCACTCGAGAACTTTCAAGTGCTGTTGGAGCTTCAGATGATATTTTTGGTGAGTTTGAAATCACCAAAATGTCTCAATGCCAATTCTTGACCGTTACCAAGGTCGTGGTATGCGACTGCTCGTGACTAGGTCAATATTCAAAGAGACAAACCTAGACACATGGTGCCATTCTCCCTGTTCTCTTGAACTACGCAAGTCGGGATTTCAGGCCAGTATAAGAGCTTTGTAAGCGCTTTTCCTTTAGAAGACTGCGAAAGCTTATTTTGAAATGGGGACTAACAATTCAGACTCGAGGAATCGTATGCTTCGACAGCCAACCTTCCTCGGCATTTGAAGGAGACCGGGTATCAAGCTCCAAGGCCAGGACAGACTTCCTTTAACATGGTATACGAAACTGATCTCAGCTTCTATGACTATTGCAATTCCATAAATCTTGAGATGGGAGCAAATTTCCACCGAGCGATGGCGACATTCTCTGGGAAACAACGGGACCTTCTCATCCGCATGTATCCGTTTCACATTCTGAACGAAAGGGAATCTTGGTTGATGTAGCTGGAGGTATGGGGCATGTATCTATCCAAGCTGACAAAATGAAGTTGAGTCAAATGCATTTGATTTCCCATACAACCGTTTAGCGTGGAATTGCCGAGTGAGCCAACTTCATTTAGCCAACTTCATTTATTAGAGTTACGTCCAAATAAGCTCGGATGCGGCTCAAATTCGAGTATGAGTTGGCCCGGGCATATGCGACACTAACCCCGTCAAATGCATTACCCAGAGCCCGTCGTAGAGTTATTTATCAAGGGTTGGATTCAGCAAATTGATTTTTGATGGGGGAGAGCAGGTGCACAGGCCAGGTAAGCAAAATCCCCAGGTTTGAGCATAAGTAGGCATAAAATCATAAAAGTATAAAATCGGAAATTAAAGCTAGCTATTACACGCATGGGTTTAGAGCATGGATTTGGACGCGTAGGACAACGCGTAGAAAAGGCAAGCAAAGTTAGAATAGATAGAAATATATGTTTGATTCATTTGATTAGCATTTATTATCATAGAACCGTTTGTGCATTTGCTAGAACATAGGGTAGTAGTGTGTATTAAATACAAGCATGCTATGTTACCTAGCAACGTCGACACCTATTTAAGGGACGAAAACACGTATAACATGCCTAAGGAAAGTAGAAGATTAGTAGTCTAGGAGATCCAGAAAATTCAAGGCTTAATAACAAGCAAGGCAGATTTGAATAGGTTAGTTTTCCCCCTAGTAGGCAACCCCTCTATTCTAGTATTATAAGAGCCTAGGACAGATGGCAAGAAGTGTTAGTTGCCTAGCGAAGCCGGAAAGCCATGCTAATATATTAGTCGCTACTAACAAATGATCCAAGAGCATTGCCGTCAAGTACATTAATGGGAGAACCCGCAGAAGAAAGGCCGGCTAGAGACAAAGAGAAAAGTGTAAGTGCTGTGGCGGACCGGCGTCTATTGCTAGTATTTTTTCATCCGTGGACCGGGAGCCCAGTTTTTTAAAGTTTAAGTAATAGAATCTAGTCTAGCAACCTCGTCCGGAGATATTGATTTGGAGGCCGCAAAGACAGAGTTGAAGCAAGCTATACAGCAAGCAGAAGAGGATATACGGCGTTAGATCACTAAACCGGAAGCAGCCCGGGAGCCAAATCTATGGTTACATCGAGTAGGGTGGGTTAAGCATTTAGAAGGGTTTAACCGGACGGAATTACAGGCATTAGTTGCACCTGTAAAGGACGACGAGCTAGAGTTAGAAGTGTTATACCGGGCGTTTGATTGGTTAATTCAAGACGCACAATACTATTATATTCGACTAGTAGTTGGGTTAGAGGCATTGTTTGAGGCGAACTAGAAGGAGGTAGACAAGGACGTCCGGATGCCGTTTGATAGTTGGATGGATATTACCACTATTATGCGATATATAGAGGTTTGTAAGCAATTATTGCGTTATATATTCCGGTCTAAAGACATTGAGCCCGAGAAGCGGCCGGCGTACGAGTTGACGGAACGACAATAAATGTGTATTAAGGACGTGTGGACGAGCATTAAGGAATTTGTGTGGTGGAAGGAGGAGCAGGGGGGAGCTTTAGGAAGCGGGGCGGACGAGGGAGAGTCGGACGAAGAGATTGAGTGGATGGGCCGGATTCAAAGGCAGATTTTACGGTTGTGGATAGCATTATTGAACTAGCTATTGTAGGACGACGAGTATAAGAGTATGTTGATTAGTGGACTAGCCGTTTTAGGGATGCAGGAGGACAACAGGTAGTTAGATGCCGAGGATTATACGCCCAAATATTCGGCCGTGATTAAGTTGGCCCGGTTAATGGTAGTCTAAGAGGCGTATAAGCGGCGTCGAGAAGCTATTGAGTAGTATGAGAGCCGTGGTTTGAGCGCGAAGTAAGCTAGGGAAAAAGCATCAAGCTATTACGTTTTAACACGGGGCTTAGTCAGCGCGTTTATAACTATAGCCCACGGTAGCCAAGATCCCAAGCCTATGCAGTAGTTATACTGTAGTCGGTCGTACGGCTTTAAGATCCGGTATACTACTATAGCCGAGGGGAAGATTCAGTGGATTAGGGATGACGTTTTATATACCAATATGCGGTTTAGCATAAGCTAGTTCCGGGGTATGATTCATAGGTTATTTAGGGAAGCACGAGAGGAGTTGTTTAAGAAGTTGATGGTAGTAAGGATAAGTGCAGACCGAGAAGTGGATATGAAGCAAGTGCTACTAATCCACTAGGATAAAATAGTAGATTAGCCGTTAGAAACCAGAGTTAGGTAGTCGTTTTTGGACGATAAGCGGAACTAGTTTATAGTATATAAGTAATAGTAGTTATATAAGCGGATGTATAAAGAGGAGCAGTTGAGAGAGCAGTTTATAGACGCGGTAGGGAAGTTAAAGAGGGAAGCTATAGCCGCATTTTAGCGTTACATAAAGCGGTTCTAGGAGTTATTATAGGGTTTAATGCATTTATGTAGTAGGCAGCTAGCTAGAGCACCGGAGTTATTGGGAATATAGTGGAAGAATACAGTGTACGGTGGCGTACAGAAAATTTTCATTGAGGAGGGTTTAGTTGCGTTTGTGGCCACGTACTATAAGGGGTATTAGAGTAGTGGAAACATTAAGATCGTGCACCGGTATTTACCACGAGAGGTGGGGGAGTTATTAGTGTATTATTTGTGGTTAGTTTTACTATTTTGGGAGAAGTTGTAGTTCTAGATGATAAGGAAGTCGAGTAGTAGTCCGTTTTTGTGGAGAAATAGTTAGAAGAAGGAACACCGGTAATAGACGGAACCGAGACGAAAGTAGCTTATGCCTGTGGAAAGGGACGATGTTCTAGAAGAGAGGCGAGGAGAGCTAAAAGTATAAGATAGGAATGAGAGTAAGTAATAGGCAAGGTTAGTATCCTAGTGTTAGGCACGTGTATAGACGTCCGAACGAGCCCGGAAGATTTTAAAGGAAGCTACTATGAGATAGATAGGTGTAGATGGGTTGAATATTAGTAGATATCAACAGATTGCTATTACTATATCTCGGAGGTATTGTCGAGAAGACCAATTTAAGGAAAAGAAAAGCAAGTTAGAAGAGAGTGAGGGTTGAGACGAGGATAATGCCGATAGAGACGATTTATGGGATTTGTAGGCCGGTTACAAGACTTATATTGCAAGTATGATTTACGCCAGGGAGTTAATAGAAGGTAATAATTCTGTTATTAGCCGCTGTGAGAAGTTCCGACGAGTTAGCCACGTATGGCATTGTTTTTTAGGGTTTCTGTTAGTATATTAAGGTATTAGTATGAGCGAGAGAGCTAAGAGAAAGCGGTAGGTATATGAAGAAGAGATGCAAGACGCGCAATTAACCCGGTAGAAGCGATTGCGAGGAGTCGACATCTATACCGAGTTGGAGAAGATGTTAGGGAGTGAGGCCCGGTTCCGTAGGTTGTAAGAGCCCGTATTACAAGCCATTATGAAGCACTAGAGCCCTATTGTGGCTATAATGGGAACTAGGGTTGGAAAGACGTTGTTGTTCTAGTTGCCGGCTAAGAGCATAAGTTTCGGAACGACAGTAGTCATTAGCCTATTAGTTTTATTGTAGGACTATATAGTAGAGAGATATTAGCAAGCCGGCATTTCGTGCGTTAAGTGGAATCTCCGATAGTGCCATTCCCCTAGCTAGATTATTATTATCACGCCAGAGTCAGTAGTTAGCAAGACGTTTGGGACGTTTTTGGACCGGTTACAAGGATTACATTTATTAGAGCGGTTTGTGTTTAACGAGTGTTATACGCCATTAGATAGTACGGCCGAGTTCCGGCCCTACCTCTAGAAATCGCACTTATTATGGTTAACTATGCGGCTCGGCACGCGAGATGACCCCTGGCTCAGGGGTCTTGCACGGACTAGTCAACTATAATAAGTGAACCATACTATGTAAACCACAAACACGCGCCCTCGCAGCTCTATAAGGCCCAGAACTTGGCGTGAAGAAGAGCTAAGCTTACTAGCACAACCCTTTTAGAGCTATGAGCGACGCGTTTATATACAAGCCCGAGTGGCGGGTGCTCCTCTGCGTTGAGTGCGGCTTCTGTTTATAGCCCAGACGCGACGTATGGCCTCAACACCTCAGGCAGCAGCCGCATTGCTTGCGAGGCGCGCCGCTAAAAGCTCTCGTCGAGCTCTTTGGGAGTTATGATCTGTTGGCCCCGGAGCAAGTAGTCGTGCCAACCCAGGCGGTTGCTGGTCTGCGGCTCCTAGACGGCTTCCAGTGCTCGACGTGCTTAGCAGGCCTCACACAGAGCCTCCAGACTATCCAGCTGCACGTGTCCAAGGTACACTAGCAGAAGCCAGCGCTGCATAAAAAGACGGCCCTCTGGCGGAAGTGTAAGCTACAGACCTTCTTCGCCGAGAAGCAGCACATCCGGTATTTTGTAGTGGATGATGCTAAAGAAGCCGCAGGAGCTTTAGACACTAGTACAAAGAGCTTGGATTCGGGAGAGGCAGACTTCTTCAAGCTAGTCGATGAAGATGTAGCCGTAGCAAAGGCAGATGCTAAAGCAGAAGCTAATATCGTTCATAGTTTCGATAGCCATAGATCTGCTGTAATACTGTGGCTTCGACGGACGGGCATCGAGGAGCACACGCGGGGCTTGAAGAAGGACGAGATGCACGCCTCGTTTGCGGTGCCAAAGACTGCCGAGAGCGAGCCCGAGTTGTTTTTAATGCTGGAAATCATGGACGAGATCTTTATAGAGGCACACAGCTAGTGCTTCGACGGTCCCGACTGCATGCTGACTTAGCCACGGCAGCTAGCGCTAAGCCGCTTCCACACTACTGCTGCCCTACCTCTAGAAATGGGCGGATTTGCGGCGTAAATCCAGAATCCGTAGGCGAAATGACCCTGGATCAGGGGGAGGGCACAGACCAGTTCACCATAAATCCTGCACCATAAATCCAGAATGGTCCT